TGTCCAGTTAGCCTCATATTAACGTGTTTGGCTGGCTGTTTTGATGCTTAACACCAGCTTGGAAACCAAAAATGATAACCTTGCATAAATATTATCACAATATTCCTGGGAACCTTGATTTTAAAATGCTATGAATCAAATCAGGAAGAAACAGCTAAGATGGAGAAATGTGTCTTTAGATTGATTCAACTAATACACAAAATTGACAAGGTAACATGCCAACATCCATATCTTCTGACATTTAAAGTTATGTTTGATCTACGTCCCTGTGATTATAACTTATAATTTAACTCCTTTTTGTCTTCTGGGATTCTGCGTCATGTTGCCCACAAACATTTGTACAAAACCTTTTGTACAAAATCAACAGAGGAGACCTTGTATGTATAGTACGGGTAGTGTATCTCACTTTATATTGTCATCTCCTCTGTCATGTTTGTGCATTTGTGCTGCTAGAAGTCACACTCTACGATAGGGGGTGGCAAGGTGGGCAAGGAATCTCCTCCTACAGCTGTTTTTCTTTTTTTTCTTTTTTCTTTCCTTCATTTTTGGTAGATGGAAACCAGCGTTAAAAGCAACTACTGCCCTCTATTATGAATCAATCACTTACACTTTAAACTTATTTAAGCTCAATATCAGTTTATTCTTCTTGAAAGACAGGTATTGTTGATACCGGTATACTGTGACAGCCCTATTTTGTATTCCTCATGACACTGAGACTTGAAAAATGCTCATGACTAGTTTAGGTAGATGTCATGTGTCAGGGACATCTAGAAATCTACTTTATGAGGCCATTGTGCTGTTTGCACTATTGTATGTGTCTTCGTGTTTAAAAGTTTAAAAGCATGGTGAAAACATTCAAAAGCATGATAGAAGTCTTATTCTTGGACTGGTGGTTGAATAAGTGAAGCATCGGAGTCCTTCAGTCCTTCAGTGTGGGCTCAAGGCAAGTGTGATTGTCATTCCCATGAGGTCTTTCATTCCGGATTTAAAGACATTTCCTTGAGGTGTTCCTGAGATTTCATGTTCTCTTGAGCAGATGAACAGATGGACAGCCTGAAAACACAGCACTTATGGACACAACCGTCTGAGACACGGACGAACAAAAACACAGATTGCCTTCAACTGCTGTCAGGTTCAACAGAAGGGCAAGCTTAAATTTCTGCTTTAAAACAAGTAAAAGAAAACTTCAGTGAGGAAGGCTTACTGCTTCATAAAATGACAAAAAGACATAATAGGTGGCCAAGAAGCTTGAACAATTGACTAACAGTTGAAAGAAGTGGTTCGTTTTCTTGGGAAATGTCTCATTTAAGAGATACGTATCTGTTTAAGTCATGAGGAAACTGACAAGCATCAGTGCTGTGTCCTCTTGTGGACTCTGAACTCTGGTGCAAATATAGCTGTTCAGTGGGCCACTCATTGTTTAGTCACTGCAAGATTAAAAAGTAGAAATACATTTCCTCCCTAAGACAAAGCCGATACTAATTGAAATTATGCAGGAGAGGGAAAATCAATTTGTAACGCTGCTATCGTTTAAATAATACCTCTTACAATGCTGGCATTTAAATTCATCCTAATGTCTAACAAGCTTTTGTGCCAGCTCCAACATCAGGAACTAATTTCATACATGATTTCATACTCAAAAGGACCATCTGTCTTTGTCCCTGACTTCCTCTGCTCTGATGGAGACAGGGAGGCAGGGCCCAGCCTGTCAAGGGTCTGGCCTGTCATAGGTTGCTGCAGCCTCCTTGGAGAGACCTGATTGAGGGTGGCATTCTGCTGGCACAATAAGAGCCACCATGGCACCACGCTTCTCTGCTGGATCTAGCTCGACAGGCCCAGACGCTGTATGTCAGTTGTAATCCTCTATTATGCAAATTATCTCACACCAAGTCACAAGCGTCATTGCAGGTCAGTAAGGTAAAGCGGAACTAACGCAGAGAGGGAAATGAAGAACTGATTTTAGAAGGCAAGACAGAGGAGGGAGTGCAGAGTAGAGTTTAAAGCTGTTAAACTTTAGGATTTCTCTTTGAAAAGTGTGAAGGTGGAGACAGAGAGAGCAGAGTGCATGATAGCAGCAATCCTATCCTTCCCTGGAGAAAGACTCAAGGAAACACACTCAACTCCGCCATAAGGGAGCAAAAGTTCTGGTTTCAACAGAACGAAGGGGCACTCTTCATCTGCCAGTGACTGACAACTGCAACCAGATGCTTGACAGAGCAGCAGATGGCACCGACTTACCTAGAAAAGACGCATGCCACCAAACAGCTGGACGGATTTCTCCAGCCTCCAACAACCTATCGCCTACAACCGTGGAAGTGCACCAAAACGCGCAAGAAAACAACGGAGGATCATCAAGCTAAATCCCTGTATCAGATATGATCTGCAATTGTAACTCGCAACAGCTCCCCATGACCATTACATAACTAATAATGGATGACATAAAATGCCACGAGATAAACAGCCCCGTAGCGCTGACCTGTGATGATATTATTTGCATAAAGCGTCTAAAGTGCTTTTAAATATCTCTATCCCCTATATTTTCAATTTACTGTACAAATCAACTCCAGTTTGATGAGTGTCCACACATGTTGATAATAATATGATCCCCAGAGCAGCAGAAGATAACAAGAGCCTCACGACTGGCACAGCAGCACATGTGCGCGGCTGTGAAGCGCGATGATGCACCAAGCTGAGCTGAGCACCAAGGCATAAAACCGGGGTCCAGAAGTCCGCATGAGCGCGTCATTCTGCCGCCATAACACACGCGGAAAGGTGGAAAGTTTAGTGAAAACAACCCTTACCTCAATGTCCGGCGGATGGACTGCAGGCTGTCATCGGTGCGTCGGAGCTCACTGGAGAAGCTCCGCGTAAATGTCGGCACACGACACCAGAGGAGGAATTTTCGCTCGTGATTGTAGATCACCTGTTTAGTATCAGAATCAGAATCCAGCAGTAGAAACAGTCACTTTCGAGCTCCTTCCACTGACTAAACATCCCTTCCCTCGTGCATCCTCTTCCTGCCCCTTTTCTTCCCGTCTCCTCCCCTCACTCACCAGTGCGCATTTACGCAACCTCGACACACCGCAAACTCGTGCGCTCTCAGCGCTAGTTGTCACTCCACCACTCTCGAGTGACAACACCCGAGTCAGCTTAAATATTTTGGTGCAACACGTGCTACTTTAGTGCAGCGTGGTCCCGAGACGCAGTGCGTACAGCCGGTGGTTTGAGGATCCACTGCTCACTGCCAGCATCAGGTAACTCCAGACTCACCTGAGAGGAAGGGTGCTGCCTTCAAGTGTGAGGGGTCTCCAAGAGCTGCACTGCTGCCCCCATGTGGATTGAAGGAAGTTTGTAACAACTTAAATAAATATATAAAAAGAAAAGAAAAATACAGTCAGATTCGCATGATATGACGTGGAAGGCATTTTCATGTGCTGTGCGATAAAAAAAAAGGTTTTCCTTAATTCCACCTCAGAGTCACTGAGGTAGAAAGAAGTGGGAAAAATGTGTACCTACTTTATCTGTAAAAATCCAGTTTTCTCCAATGAGTGTGAATCATCTTATCAAAAGTACACGGAAAAGAAGACCGTGATTGCTTATTTCATCTCTGGATCTATATTTGAAAATCTATAAAAGGCCAGTGAACCATACTTTATGTAAATTAGGCCTAGTAGTAGAAGTAGCAAAAATAGTAGTTAATACCTATTATTTATGACACTTTAAACATACAAACAGGTCATTTTACAGAGCAAAATACAGAAATGAACAGTGTAAAAAAGTAGTTTAACTGAACAGAGGAAACAGTGCAGATAATAGATTGAGTTAGATGTTGCAGTGATAGTAACATCAGTGGTAGTTTTAATTAGAGATAGACTGATTAATCAGGTTGATTTTTAGCATCGTTATGTAAGGAATTTATCCGTGCGAACCTGACCCTTAAATTAATTAATTATTCTTCAATAGCCTATGTTGAAAAAAAGTTAAGCTTCTATCTCTAAGCCTCTTGAAAGGAACTTTCTGTTTAATTTTTGCCCCATGTTGACAAAGTGACATGTCTTTTCTCTCAGCCGATCTCATCCTCTACATGTGTTAAGTGTTTTCTGATGAAAAATCTCCTTCTTTTTTATGAACCAAATGTGTCACTACCTTGAAATATTTGCTCTGAAAGAAAAATGAGGAAATGCTTTTTAATCAGTGTGCTGTCAGTCATCAATGCTTACTCGTTCCTCCCCACAGCAGCTGCAGGCCTTAAAAAAATCCTGATCTAGGAAATGTCAGTGTTATCACTGATGGTCTTGTTGGCTTTTGTAGGTTACAAAGAGGCATAAATGTTCATTTTATTCTGTTTCCTGGCCAGCTTAACACCCTCACAGGGGCTGTAGAAAACAGAGTCTCCCAAGTAACCCATGTATTTATTCAAAAGATGAATTTTGCCCACTGCTTGCTTCTCTAGTTATACCAACTTTGGTAACGACCGCATGATAGCAATACACAGCGGGCTATGACTCCACACACAAACCTCAACCAAAAAGCCACTCTATAGCCACAAATAATGCTCAGAACAGAACCTAACTTCATCAACAGTACATGTAGGATCCCAGCCATAGTACTAGCTCTTTCTAACTATAAATGATGATCAGATTATCAGTGACAGATCAGACAAAAAAGATCATGATCAGAAGAAAAGCTGTGGAGTTCTGCTTCTGTTGTGTTTCTCTCATCATGGCCGACACTGTGGAACCATCTGCTTTGGAAGTAAATCACTATATGTTCAGCCAGTTGCCAGCAGTGTCACTATCATCCATCTCAATCAGTCCACACACACGTCAGGGCAAATATTGATGTGTCTGACCTCTGCCATGAATCAGTCAATTAAACAAGCCTTTACACAGAGCACAAGCAGAACAATCAGGACACATTTCTGTGGAGCCCAACACCACTCTAATGCTCTTCTTAAACTGTGTGCTTAAAGTATTTTTTTATTAGAAAAGACAAAACAGTTCATCAAAAAACGTACAGGTTTATTCAGTATCTTATACGGTTATAGTTAACAACAGGAAATAAATTAAAATGTTAAAGTTTGGATGTGATGTGAGTCAAAAACAAAGACAAACTGAAGAATGTGGTGTGGATTCAGTCTTTCACAGTCATTTGAGCTAAACCATAAAAGGAAAGTTTCAGTGTGCAAACTATAAAACGCAGCCCTCATAAACAGAGTGCAAAAGTTGAACCACTTCCCATAAAGCTTTGCTATTGTGACAGTGCTTTGAGAAACTCCCAAAATGGTTAAATAAAGTAATCATAACGTTGAGCTGTAAAAATGTAGAACGAATTTGAGAGTAAAGATTTTACCTAAAGTTATGTTTAATCTGTTCACCTTTCATAATCTGCGATGTGTCTTTGATTTAGGGATCAAACAGATGTGATGAAATGAAATGAACTATCTTGACTTTTAGGTTTATTATTCTAATTAATTCTGTGATGCTTCATGGTCCAAAACCATGCCAAAGCTGTGGAAGACGAAATCAAAAGGTTTATTTTTCAAGTCTGTGGGTGTTTCCTCACTTTAATGTCAGGCTGTCACAATATCACCCCACACTTGTTTGGATAAGACATAACCTCATAAATGATTATTTGTCATGCTTTTATCTAATTTTCCTAAACCTTCTCAAAGTTGTTTTATCAAAACTGTGCTTTTATTTTGATATTTTTTAAACCTTCTAAAGGTTGTTTTATTAAACTATGCATTTATTTTGAAGTGTAAGCTACTTCCTGCAGTTGGTAAGTTTCAGATTTGACTGAAATCAATCAACAGAACTATTAGAAAGTACAAATTAGTGCCTGAGTAATGACAGTTTTTCAGGAGAGATACCTATAGACAGCAGCTGGGTCGATGGCTGATATATAATGCCACAATCATATTGAAGTTTTTTCAATATAACAATAGAAACAACTGCGGAACAAAATTGCTGAATACAGGTTCATGTTTAATTAATCTCATTGTGATATTATCAACATATTCCTCTGCAAAAACATAAATTATGTTGTGTTTTTGGGAGGATGGCACCGTGTTTAATAGGTTTGCACACAAAAACTCTCCATTTAACTATTTAAACCACAGTCATGTCACTGCTCACAAAACTTTCCATCTCTACTTTGTCTTTGCATTTGTCTGATAAACATACTTCTTCTCAAATAATAAATGTAAACACTCTGTTTAAAATATAACAGGTTCTATCACTCCACAAAAATCAACTTGTGAGTATTTAATCTTAAGATTGTTTAAACTGTTTGCATTCAGTAGTCTGTCTAAACTTGACCTGAGAAACAAAGAATAAAACATTTAGACATCTCCCTGAAAACTTTCAAATGGTTATCCTAAAACCCACAAAGCAAAACTACCGTAACTACTGCACAGAACTTACTCAGCTCAAGTTTCAGAGAAGGGTCCTTAAAATGATAAAAACTGCATCAAATAACTGCAGGAAAACATCCCAAAGCTGCGTTCAATCTAACAATGTGTGATGGTGCTGACAGGAAAATACTCTGAAATGACACTGCTTTAATAAGCCAGACATCATACTGTATGTTGCTAGAAATCCTGTACGTAATATATTTAATAACTCAAACTGTATCTTAAATCCTTCTCCTCAATGTTTCAAGATTACAGAACATTTTATTGTAAAAGTATTCAGTTACACAGTCCTCAGATTATCTCTCAGTCATCTGTATATCTTCAAGTTTGTCTTTTAAGTTCTATTTTGAGGTAAACAAAGTAAACGATGAGTCAAAATAAGAGCTCTTGAAGAAGCTACATGACACCTTTCCATCCCAAGGAAGACAAATAAAGAGCTCCAAACCTCCACAACCTAGATTTCACTCATTAGCTCACAAACACAAGACTTGAGGGGTTTAGGTCCATATCTGACCCCAATTTAGTTTCTTGACACAGATTTAGACTTAGGCCAGTTAATCGGCAGCTTGATTAGCTCCAGCGTCTTTGATTAATGAGTGTGGTCTGCCTGCTTTGACATGTTACGAGTCCAAAACTCACCCTGTGGAGGTTCATGTCAGGACAGCAAACTGTACCATGTATCTGCGCCTGGCTGAGGACACATCTTTGCTCTGCTGTTATGGATTGTTCAAAGATGAGTTGTGGTTGTGTTTAAGTTTGTCCTATAATTTCTTTTCAAGTATTTCATCCAGGAAACTCTTGTAAATGAGATTATTGATCTCAATGAGGTTTTCCTGGTTAAATAAAAATAAATAAATAAATAACATTTAATCTCGGGATAATGAATGGGGTTCAGCTCTGTGCTGCGCTTTCCTGAGAACAACAGGACACTAGATTCATTTCTTTAGATGTGGTGCAGCCAGAGTTAAGGAGCACAACTGACTCTTTTGTTTTAGGAGGAAAGCTGGTGAGGGATGAACTTTTTTGTGTGTGTTTGAGCGTCCCAACAACTGATTCTTAGGTCTCTTTGCCTCTAGTGTAACAGCAGTATTAAGAACACTAAACTGAGACTGGTAAATGGAGGGATTTTTCTTGGGTTTATTTTCTAGAGATCCGCCTGCTGGATGTCAGCTGCTGAACCTCAGAGGTGCAGAGTTATACAGTTATATGAATAACTTTATGACTCTTCTCATCCATCATTTTGCAGTGAGACTGGTTATTAATGTAACCTCTGTCTTTCTGTAAACTTTCTGAACTCTCTTCTTTCAGAAAGTTGCTCATCTTCTTCATACCGCTCTAAACTACAGCCTACTGTGTCTCTGTCTACGCTACGGATTAAACAGTCTGTGTTTATGACAACCTTAACTGCAGGTTTTTCACAGACTAATAGACATACATGTTTCAGGGAGGTTAAAGTTAGTCCTAGCCTGCCCCCTGCTGGAGATTCCTGTCATAGTTCTCCTGGCACATCTTGACTTGCTGAGTGAAGTATTTGGGGTCAGAAATGGCCCTCAGGAGGTCAGTCTGGACCAGCGTGATGTCATAAAGCTCAGAGGTGCAGGCTGTGCGAGTCTCGGCACCACCTGGGTCCAAGAAAACCTGAGAAACAGAGAGAGAGAGAGAGAAACCAATGAAAAGAGGTGAGAAAGAGTGTGAAGCTTTACTTCAAGTTACTAATTCTCCAACACGTCTCGTGCATTTCATTAACATTTGTCATTAGAGCAGGTAAATATCAATGAGGTAAGTCAGAATAAGTTGACCTATTTAGTACCTTTAAATCTGCTCATTCTTCATTAGAAATAAGAGGCTTTGAAAATACAGATTCAAGAGGAGGACAGTGTAGTTTGGTCTCAGTGATAATACCTTTGGCTGAACGATGGTATCCTCATCATTCTGACGGATATTGTCATCTATGAAAATGTGCTGGACGTTTTGGTCAAAAGGATCAACCCAGAGTGGCTTCCCCCCACGGATGGAGAATGTATTACTAGCCCACCTGGAAGAAAAAAACACGCATGAAACAAAAAAAAGTTCAGATGAAGGAATAGGGAACATGACGGCCGCACTTAAAGCAGCTCAAGAAATGTGTTGCTCGCACCAGTCATAGTGGTCCTGAAATCCCCCTAAGCCCTGGACTGAGCTGAAGTACTCATACAGGCCTCGCTCTCCATCACGAGATGACACGCGATCCTGGCCTCGGCTCAGGACAATCGCTCTTTTACTGCAGCGGATCTTGCCTGGAGTCATATTCACACTTAGCTGTGCAGAGAGGGGAATAGAGGAGTCAGAGAGAGAAAAGCACTCCTGTGGTCAGCTGCAGCCAAAACCTCTGTTAGTGATGTTGGTAGAGTTTGGCCTCTGGCAGAATTTCTGAGAACAGCACTAGATTATCTTAAATAAAATGTCAGGAACTACACAGTTCTGATGGACTTTTAGCAGATAGTTTTAAAGGGAGCTGGGCGTCATGGTGTTTTAGGTTGAGTTCAAAATATATTTGAAAAAAAAAAAAGAGGGAACAGATTGTTTTCATTCATGTTCCTCCTCAAGAAGCTCAAAACTGTACAGTTTCAATTCAATTCATCAATCACTTACAAAGATATGTATGCACACAGTCTGTCGACATGAAAATGTGGTGATTGTATCAGCGTGCTTTGTCTCTACTCTTGCTGATCTCCATCTTTGTTGAAGTCCTTCAGTTTGTTGCAGACACTGATGGTTATATTTTAACCTAAGCATGGCGTCTACTTTGTTTACATTCTAAAAGACTGTCTCAGGAATTTGTCTCCATCAAATAAACAGTGAAATGAATCAAAGCTATCTGTAATGTGTGTTTGTTTATATCCTGGTAGTAAAGCAGTATGGCAGAGCTGCAGCTTATACACATTATATGACCGGCATTTTAGACCCACAATGAGAGAAATGCTAATTATTTAAACAACCAACTTATTACCACAGATGTGTGTTTAATTGACCAAACGATTTAGCATCCACAACCTTGGAGTATAACTTAAATCTCCTGTGTGTCATTTTGGTTTGTGTCTAACTTGATGGATGAAAACAGCTCCTCATTCACTGTTCCTCTTTTTGGTGGAGGATGTAAACAAAGACTGTGTCTGCTGTACTCTTTTTAGCTTCATCATTGAAGCAGGTCTCATGATGGAAATATCTCTCGGTCCTGTGCATAGGTCTGATTCTGAGTCAGATATCTCAAAAACTGAAGGACAGGATGGTGTGTGAAGAAGAACTCCATGTTGTCTGACGGGTTCACTTCTGACACCTCTCCCACCAGACCTTTCCCCTCATCTGTGGAAACCCCTCTGGGAGGAGAGTGAAGGGAGGACATGCATGTGTGAACTTGTGTGTGACTGAGTGTGTGGGTGATAGAGTCGATGTTAAAGGCCACTGAATGTCACGCAAGAGACCATCTAAACAAACAACAAAACTCAGCCACGAAGAGAGCTGGGGCACAGACCTTTAAAGAGTCTCTCAGCATTATCGGACACTGGTCATACAATACTGAAGTCTGTAACCACTTTCAAGTGATCAAATGATTCAAAACAAAGTCAAACATTACTGTTATGTAAGTGTAGAGATAATTCACAACGTCAACTGGTACCACTGCACCTTGAGATCAGGCAGGTCTGGGAACTGTGGGTGAGCCCCTTCATTCAGCGCTCTGGACACTGCGCTCAGCACACGAGGTAGATCTGTTCCAAATGTACGAAAAAGGACGGCAAAGTCCCATCCTTCCTGCACTAGGTCTTTAAAGAGCTGGAAAAAGGAGGGCAGGATCCAGTGATACAGCCGTCCGTCCTCTCCTTTCACAGCCAGGTCTTTGTCTCCCTGCAGGGACAGAGGGAAGGACAGGTCAGACACATTAACATAAAGGAGAACAACTCTTGAAAGAAAGAAAGAAAGAAAGAAAGAAAGAAAGAAAGAAAGAAAGAAAGAAAGAAAGAAAGGGGATGGAAATAAGAAGGGGAGGGAGGCAAGGAAGGAGTCTGAAGGTAGAAGGAGGAGAGAAGGGAGGAAGAAGAAAAGGAGAAAGAAAGAGGGAGGAAGGGAGAAGAAGAGAAAGAGGAAGAAAGGAAGGAGGAAAGGAAGGAAGGATGAAAGAGGAAGGAAGTAAAATGGAAGGAAGAAAGGAAAGGGAGAAAGGAATAAAGGGAGAGGAATAAAGGAAGGAGGAAAGGAAGGGAGAGAGAGAGGGAGGGAGTAAAGAGGAAGAAAGGGAGGAAGTGAGGGGGTAGGGAGGATGAAGGGGAGAAGAAAAGGAGAAAAAGAGGGAGAAAGGGAGGGAGGAAGGAGGGGAGAAAGGGAGAAAGTAAAGATAGAGAACAGGAGGGGGAGAAAGGAAGAGATAAGAAGAGGAAGAAAGTAAAGAGGGAGGAAGGAAGAAAAAGATACAAGGAGGGAGGAGAGGAGCAGGAAGAAAGAAATGTAGGAAGAAAGGAAGAAAGAAGGGTGGGATAGAAAAAAGAGAGACGGGGGAGTAAAGAAAGAATGAAGGGGGGATTAAGAGAGAAGGAAAGGAAAGAAAAGGAGGAAAGAAGAACATGAGTAAGAAAGGGAGGAAGATAAAGACTAAGAGAGCAAGGAAGGAAGAACGAAGGATGGAAAGAAAGAAGGAAGGTTATAAATACAGAAGAAATACAATTTTATAGCCCAGAAAGTCAGTAATTACCAAATGTTGAGAAAAAGATTTCATTTCATGAAAAGCAGCAGAGAAACTTTGAGTGACACCACGACCAAGTTTAACAACACTGTTTCAAAACAAGCCCAAAACTCAAGTGTTGATGGATGGAATGAATTTATGAGACAGATCATACATAGTTAGCAGAAGGTTTTGCTAAATAGGACCCAGACAGGGTGAGATGAGGGTTTATGCCTTGCTTCATGACTGTTTTCTTCAATTTGGTTGACATCTCTCTCACTCTACTCTCAGAGAATAAATTTATATCGCTTTGATTATCAACAGAGCTGTGAGAATGACTAAAGGGTGACTTTAAGTCCTCTGGGCATCAACTAGAGCCACACTATCAGGAAAAACTCTATAATGGTAAAATCTGGAATAACATTTTTTTTTGACAGATGCATAGCAGGTGGTATGCTAAGAAATTCAATTATATAACACAATTTCATTCAAAATTATCACTAATCACAGAGGGAACCTGAGGTAAACAGATTGTTTTTTTATTGGTCTGTACCTGTGCCAAATGTTTTTTCCCTGGAAAAACACGAGCAGTGCAGTCCTCCATATCAAATCAGGCAGCACAGTGCAGCTTTACCTTCCCTAAAAAGCCTTCTGCTGACAGGTGCAGCATCCTTACAGAGTGAGTCACAAACTTGGTGATAAGCCATTTTCTGGTGCAAGAGAATGCAATCTCAGAATAGACTATTTGAAAATGGACGAAATAAAAATTACAGAAAACTGAACTAACTTAAAACCTGCAGAATTTATAACTCAGCATGTAGCAACCAAGAAGCAACACGGGGCCAGACTGTCAGCTGATTTCAATGTGAATCTTAATGTTAGCTTGTAACAGGTAACTGTGGGTGAAGGTAATGTCTCTGTTGACAGATGAACAGAGTTAAATCTTTGAAGAACTTTGCTTCACCTCTTTGTCTCTGTGCAGGCTGACCAACAGTCAGGTTGAGTCATTTTTTCTAATTTAGCGGCCGCCATCGTTTTGGTCCTGTAATGCCTCCTCAGAGACCAACAGGTGATATCAGTGAATCCATGCAATGAGTAAAACAGGAATTTCTATATTGAGTAAGAAATATTCACATGTAGCCACAATTAATTCCCTCAGTATTTGGGAGGTAAATTAATTTGAGATAACGGCTGTGATTTTAAAGCTCCTATGAAGAGTTTTCTCTTTTCATTTGGTGCCTTTCTTTGGACAAAACTGGAGAACAAAAAAGAAGAATTTAGGATATTATTTTATTACCTCTCAGCCTGATTACAGCTGATTAATACTGTCATATGTTTATTGAATCTGGAGAGGAATGTGCCTTCAATCTGAATCCTTTGGATCTTTTCCTTCTTGTTCAATAATAAGTATACACCAGGCTTACAGCGTGAATGTTCACGCCTTCTTCTCTGCAACTGAATCATGTGTCACCCTCTGTGAGACAGCTGTTAAATCCTCATGAAACATTTGCCAAGCTCAGCTCTGCACCCATCCGCTCCACCCTGTGGGGAAAGCTTCCATTGCTCCAACTAACTCTGTACAGAGACGCTCTCTTGTAAAGTAAGTAAGAGTACAAAGATTCAGAGAAAGTTCAGTGAAACCAGATTTTAAGATTGTCTGTTGTGACTGTTTCTTTTTCAGCTTTATGTTGATTCTAGGTTTTTGGGGGTTTTTTAGGTTTGAGTAAAGTTTGAGTAAAATAGATTGCATCATTTCAATATTGTAAGATTTTGGTATATTATTTTGCATGGTTTCAAAGCTTCACATTAACACACTGTGAGGCTTGCTTTCGAAATATATAATAATAAACAGTCAAATATATGCTGGTGTATTTGTTTTTATGTGCCCAGGTAGCATTTACTAACCAAAGAGTACTGTCCAAGTCAGACACTATCTTAAAAAGTACTTTGCCATAAAAAAAGCTGACCTACATCGTTGAGCACACACCCATATCTGTGAAATAATGGAATAGGAACAAATACCTGTATGAATATGCAACAGTCAACAGCAAAGTTAAGCACATTCAGTCATGATTAAATGATGGCTACCTTGCCATTAGCACGAGTATTACCAGTCAGTCAGACAACATATTATTTTTATTTTTACAACCGTAGACCTGAAATGTCAGGGCTAAGTTGTGTTTGGAATTGATGCTACACTTAACAGTGACTGCCATTGTGCAAAAATGCTCCACAACCTGGATGTCAACAACCACAGATTATAGACAGGAAGGAGGACCAGAGTATGGTGTTGGGAGCTCTGCTAATATTACTAGGCAGAAAATGTGCATGAGTTTGACTGTTTTCTGAGTGTTTTCTTACCTTTACACTTGTTGGTTTGTTTGAATCTGAATTTCTGGTTAAGTGACTCAGGAATTAGCTGCTTTAAAACATTCCCTGTCTCCATGTTCATATAAAGTTTCGTATCAAATCTGACAAGTATGCAACTCTGAACTTGATCAGAAATGGTTGATGATGAGCTGGGTGGATCTGTCTCGTGTGATGAAGTTAATAGACAGAGTTCTTGGTTTCTAAGGGAGGTTAATTCTGAGTTAAGTCTTTGAGTCGATTCCGTTGACCTCAGAAATTTTTCGTTTTTTAAAATTTCAACTCACAGAGGCAATACTTTCAGCAGATTTTCGCCTTCCTCTCTCTTCCTCTCTGTCTCTCTCTTTTTCTTTTATTGTGTTACCTTGACTCCCTCAGGCCAGCGGAGCAGATCCAGATGCTGGTCCAGAACCCCACGGAAACGTCGCCCTGCACCAGAGGTGAAACCTGGCGTTCGTCCAAACTGACAGTAGTAACTGACAGCATCATCGCAGGGTGGGAGCAATGATGGTGAGTCACTCAGCCACTCCCACTGTCCTGCATGAGGATGGAAAAACAAGATATATGAATAGTCTTATTACAGACATGCAATCCAGGTGGAGTGAGTGAAGGATCTTGGTAGTGTGTACTGGGGGGCTTGCCTTCTACAGGTGCACTCATAATCTCACTGGAATCAATCTCACTATTAAAGTAAGTGCAGTAATGCAACAAGAGAGTGACAAAACAGCATATAGAAGATATCTGCTAAATCATGCAGTTGTAAGATTTGAAGTTGTTTTTCAGGATTTTTTGTCAGAGTTTGACCTTACTTGAACTGACAGATATACTCTTTAGTTTTAGATACAAAGGCAAAGCCACAATAAATGTCTTCAACCGTCTGCTGACCTGATCTCCTGATCTGTGAAATATAGTGTTGAAAATCTATATCTGTAAACTTTCAATTGTTTATTGGTATTGAACTAATATGATCCTGTAAATGTGTATAACAAAAACAGGCCACAGACTTGGGTACTCCTCAATTACCCCATCCCTCTCTCTTTTTTAATATCTATTACAGTCAGGTGTATTTACACTCAGTCTCCCATCACTCCCACGCTCAGTGACTCTCTGCTGGTCTGATGTAACCTGATACAGATAAATATCTTCATACCATACTGTGTCTATTTTTACTATTATATTGTATAATCACATAAAGTGTACAAACACTGTACTGTACTGTACTGCACTCTCTCATTATATGCATATCTATACAATCATATGCAATATATTTAAACAATGTTTCATACTTTACAAGAACATACTGAATAAATATGTTTCAATACATATTACAAGTAAATGCATTTGTTATATTGCATCCTATACTGTTATATTCACACTGTATTTCAACACACTGTATAGTTCTACATGACCACATCTTATAGTCTGCTTTTAATGCTAAATCACATCTTATATTATTGTCTATATCTTACCTCATACTATAGTTTATAATAACCTGAGATGATAATAAAGTAGGGTGCTATCTATCTTATCATACCATGTCCCAACTGTGCTGCATAATTCTTTATTTATACCTTTGTATACCTGCTGTTTGTACTTTTTATTTCATTATTTTATTTATCTTGCTTTATTTTATTTTAACCCTTTTTACTCTTCTTATTTTTATTGTATTACTTAATTTCTCACTCTTTCTTAACTGGCCATGCCAGTGTAGTAACAAATGCAAAAATTAACTAGATAAATTACATTAAATCACAGTCTCTATCTATTGTCAGGAATCTTTAAATGCCAATACTCTTTTTTCCCATATAATTTTAATTATATATAATAAACTGCGATTAAAGCTCTAGTAAGAGAAGCACCACAGCTAGTTTCGTTAGGTTTAATACCCAACAGAAACTGCCCCTCGTGAGCTTTAAATGCCAGTTTCAGTTCTGGTTTTATTGTTTTTGGAGACTTTTTCTATCTCAGATTTAAAAGTGGCTGTCCTGGCTGTAGTCAAACAATTCCAAATACAGAGAGGTGAGACCAGGTGTGTGTTCAACAGAGGCGACGACAAAGAGGACTGTGAACACTATTGTCAGACAGCAGACCACAGCAGCAGTGACCGGCACGGTCCCAATGAGGGTGGCTGTGGATGAATAGTTTACCTTGTTTGTTCATCTTCCCCCAGGTGACAGTGGAGAGGAAATTGTCCAGAGCAGACACAGTCCCCTGTCCCGTCACGGCATCAGACACCAGGATGGTGTTATTCAGGTCGATATGCAGGACCAACTTTTTCCTCCGCTCATGGTTCAGACCCGGACACCGGGCAGTGGTCATCACGGGGTCACCTGCTTCACACTGAAGCTCCGGCGGGTCGTTCCTAGCGTTGACCTCGTCAGGTTCTTCAGTTTCATGCCCGCTGTTTTCACCGAACTCCGCCATGAATGTAAGACAGTCACCGGCATGTACTAAGGTGAGAGCACTCCAACTCTGACATGTGATCTTACCGGCTCAGCTGTCCGTCATAGTCACTCGAATTACCGGTTGTTATTTCCTCATTCTCCACGCCGTTTTCTTCTTCTGTGTGTTGATGCTTGAATTCACGCGGAGGAAAGTGCGCCATCTGGTGGTCCGACTATACACTCGGGACTGCACAGGTTACAGGAAAGGAGTATAAATCCAGCCCCATGTTTTAACTCCTCTACAGTTTTAATTTGGATTTTAATATTGTAGGGTGGATCCTTAGTTTTTCGACGTCCAGAACAAAGAGAGTAAAGGTGAAAGGATGAATGTCATGGGAGATGATATTATCCAGTGTCCTCCTCTCCTCTACAGTCTGTACACTGACGAATGCTGCAGTCGGCATGGTAACAGATTTATCTTAAACTTTGCTGATGATTCGGTAATAGTCAGCCTCCTTCATGTCCATGAATATGACCATATTTGTAGACTGATGTAAAAATGCTTTTCTTCAATTAAATGTAAAGAAAACTTAAAACATGCACATTGATTTTAAACAGAAGTCCCACAGCACCAATCAAAACACCATCATTATAGGCCAAACAGTAGACGCTGTTCAATATTATAAATATCTCAGGACTATCATGAATATAAAGCTCAAATTTACCTCCCACTGTAGCATCAAGACAACCCTGTAAGTGTAACTCACACATTCCTCACATGAAAGGTTCTTCATCTAATTCCAGGACACAGGATCATATAAATCTTTCCAAACTTGTTTGTACTTTCAGATTACCAAACTGACCCAACCAGAGGCTGGCCCAAACCTCTTGCTCTTCTCAATCGGTAAATTTAGAAAAATAAGACAGAGTTTTTATTACCTTTCAAACTGACTCCATCACTGACCATCTAAATAATCATTCATGCCTCAAGCGAGGTCTCCGATTTGAGATTTACCGTCTTAAAGTGTGTTAACACACGGAATGAGAGGAAAGGGCTGAGGAGCTGGATGCTGACCTCCAGATCCATGTTGCTGGACCTATCATCACATGTACCGAAACAGTCAACACATTGGCAAGGGGCTGGTTGTACGTTTAATGATGAAAATAGGGACATTTTACAGCTCTGTACCTTTGGTATGTACAACATGACGGCCTGCTCTCATTTTACATCCCTTTTTCTTCTGTCAAAGTTTTGTTTCCTTCCTGGATTTCTTCATTTATGCTGTTATGCTGTTAAGCTTCCAGGCCAAAGCCTGATGTGCAGACTGTGGAGCGTGTGCAGACCGCTAGATCCAGTTCAGTCCAGATACTAAAACATGGAGGAGAAAATCAGTCCTCAGACCATCATCTACGTATATTGGTCTGGCTATGGGAAGGTTTGGGTCGGACTTATAAGACAACATGCACGTTTACTAACTCATTGAATAAATTTTTTTTTAACATAATGTAAACAAACTGATTGTGACTACAGCCGTGTTTTCTACAGTCTGTGATATTCACACACTCTCTCTTTATTCAAATAACCTTCAGACCATACATAAACACACAGTCCTGATACTGACTGCAGGAAACCCCACTGACTGTATCAGTATGAGGGACTACAGGCATCTGTAACAGACTTAAAAATGTACATCATCCAAAACTCTGCTTTACAAAAAACATTTGTGGGTTTTATTCTTTGTATTATCCTGTAACTGACTCGTGTTTTTTTTCTCAGTGACTCTCATTGACTGTTAATTTGGTTCTTCAGTTTTAATGTAATGTGTTTTTATGTAACACAATGTGTCACATGATTAAGGTGGCGCAGCAAAGATCTCTGAGAGTCATATCTGTTACACACGTGGACAAAATTGTTGGTACCCCTCAGTTAAAGAAGGAAAAACCCACAATTCTCACTGAAATCACTTGAAACCTACAAAAGTAACAATAAATAAAAATTTATTGAAAATTAAATAATCAAAATCAGCCATTACTTTTGAATTGTTGATTAACATAATTATTTAAATAAAAAAAAAAAACTAATGAAATAGGGCTGGACAAAAATGATGGTACCCATAACTTAATATTTTGTTGCACAACCTTTTGAGGCAATCACTGCAATTAAACGATTTCTGTATTTGTCAATGAGCGTTCTGCAGCTGTCAACAGGTATTTTGGCCCACTCCTCATGAGCAAACTGCTCCAGTTGTCTCAGGTTTGATGGGTGTCTTCTCCAAATGGCATGTTTCAGCTCCTTCCACAGATGTTCAATGGGATTCAGATCTGGGCTCATGGAAGGCCACTTTAGAATAGTCCAACGCTTTTCTCTCAGCCATTCTTGGGTGTTTTTGGCTGTGTGTTTTGGATCGTTGTCCTGTTGGAAGACCCATGACCTGCGACTGAGACCAAGCTTTCTGACACGAGGCAGCACATTTCTCTCCAGAATGCCTTGATAGTCGTCAGATTTCATTTTACCTTGCACACATTCAAGATACCCTGTGCCAGATGCAGCAAAGCAGCCCCAAAACATTGCTGAGCCTCCTCCATGTTTCACCGTAGGGACAGTGTTCTTTTCTTCGTATGCTTGGTTTTTGAGTCTATGAACATAGAGTTGATGTGCCTTACCAAAAAGCTCCAGTTTGGTCTCATCTGTCCAAAGGACATTCTCCCAGAAGCTTTGTGGCTTGTCAACATGCATTTTTGCAAATTCCAGTCTCGCTTTTTTATGATTTTTTTTCAGCAGTGGTGTCCTCCTTGGTCGTCTCCCATGAAGTCCACTTTGGCTCAAACAACGACGAATGGTGCGATCTGACACTGATGTACCTTGGCCTTGGAGTTCACCTTTAATTTCTTTGGAGGTTGTCCTGGGCTCTTTGGATACAATTCGAACGATCTGTCTCTTCAATCTGTCATCAATTTTCCTCTTGCGGCCACGTCCAGGGAGGTTGGCTACTGTCCCGTGGGTCTTGAACTTCTGAATAATATGAGCCACTGTTGTCACAGGAACTTCAAGCTGTTTAGAGATGGTCTTATAGCCTGCACCTTTAAGATGTTTGTCTATAATTTTTTTTCGGATGTCCTGGGACAATTCTCTCCTTCGCTTTCTGTTGTCCATGTTCAGTGTGGTACACACCTTTTCACCAAACAGCAGAGTGACTACTTGTCTCCCTTTAAATAGGCAGACTGACTGATTATGAGTTTGGAAACATCTGTGATGTCAATTAAAGGACACACCTGAGTTAATCATGTCACTCTGGTCAAATAGTTTTCAATCTTTTATAGAGGTACCATCATTTTTGTCCAGCCCTATTGCATTAGTTTGTTTTTTTTAAATAATTATGTTAATCAACATTTCAAACGTAATGGCTGATTTTGATTATTTAATTTTCAATAAATTTTTATTTATTGTTACTTTTGTAGGTTTCAAGTGATTTCAGTGAGAATTGTGGGTTTTTCCTTCTTTAACTGAGGGGTACCAACAATTTTGTCCACGTGTGTATATTGCATGTTTAGGGGCAGAAACTGAAGAGCAGAAGGTGATTCATGAGTTTAACTGTCTTCAGCAGGCGTGTCATCTCTGTGAAAAATACACAAGGATTTGTGTTTGTCTTCACTTGGTCCACTAGGTGTCACTGTTTTATTCGTCATTATATTCCTCTCTGTGTTATTTCTTGTATTCAGTGATAGAGAGTATAAAGTGCACCATGAGACCTTTCTGATCTCTCTGATAAGGTTTTATTGTGTCTGTCAGTGTTTGACTGCAGGTGTTCAGGTGGTTGAGTCCAAAGTTCAGAGCTGCTCTGTGATCACATTTCCTTCCAGAAGACTTCAGTGTGAAGATGAACTCTAAGAGTCTGGACTGGATCTGAATGGTGGGACCTTTGAAAACCTCCTGCTGTCACTTCCATCTTTCTTCTTTCTCTGCTTGGTTTCCTGTTTGAAGCTGCTGATTCATTTCACCGTCACTCATGGTCTTCATGCAGATCACTTTCCCCATCAGAAGGTAACCTAACACACTCTTTTCATCATGTTTGAGTGAGTTTTTTCATCACTGTTAAACTGATCTGAGGATAGCACACATGAAGCTGCTGTAGATCGGACCTGTTGATTTGTGACTGCATTGGTGGAACAGGGCAAACACGGAGGAAAGGAGAAAATCTCTGTTTGAAGTCTGATCTTTTGTCTCCTTGATTTAAAAATGTACAAGTAAGAGCAGAAATATGTAAACATTACGAACCTCAGACTTCTACCAACAAACATAATCACAGAGATCAGATTTAAAGGGATATTCTGGCCAAAATTTAAGTTATGGTCAAATACACCATAACACTGTGTTAGACACCCTCTCGAGAGATGAATGTTGCCGACTGCTTGCTTCTCTAGTTACACCAACTTTAGTAACGAACGCACAATAGCAATACACAGCAGTCTACTGCACGTCTCCATGTGTAAACCTCAACCAAAACACCACTTTATAGCCACAAATAATGCTCAGAACAGCACCTAACTTCATCAACAGTACATACAGGGTCCCAGCCATAGTACTAGCCATCAAATTTATAATCATTATTTAATGGAAATGCAATCGGACGAGACGCCGAGGCAGACGAACTACTACGTTTGCAGTGCACATGCAAGATACACAAGAACTCTGATTGGATAAGGAAAAGGTCAATACTCTGTTCATGTGTAGGATGAGCACATCCAACACATGAACACAGTATTGTCCTTTTCCTTTAAACCTGATCGATCAACAACAACCGAGGAACAAGATGTCTGTCATTTCTGAGAGCTTTTCTTTGCTGTCTGATCTCCTCTGGACTAAAAAGGAGATAACTACTCAGAGACAAAGCTGAAAACTACTGTGATCTGCTCTCAGATTACCAGATAAACAAATATATATAACTGATACGTTTACGAATATGATCAGTAAATCATTGATAAAGCAGGACCTTTTTCTGGGTGTGAGAAGTGATCAACTTTTATTGACCAATAAAATAACATGGAGCCCAAAGTCCACTCCGAGTTTGATTGAGTGTCAAAAATGTGACAGAAAGTCAAAGTTTGAAAGAGTGACATTGATTTCAGAGTGAGTTAAATTTTGTGTCCTTCATTTCAAAGGTGAGCCACATCTAATTTTTCTGAGTCTGTTTCATTGATTTGGGGTTGAGTCAAAGTTGAATTGGACTTCTTGTCAAAAGATTTCTCATGGTTGGTTCTTTCTGGAGCAGAACTTGAATGTTTCCACATGTACGCAGGTTTGATTCTCTGTCACATCAGAAATGATCCTGGATCACTCTAAGGTTTCTCTGTCATGTCCTGACAGCAGGTCACTGCAGGGTCCTGCTGTGTGACTGGAGCTGAACTCTGGTTTCCTGGGTGTTTGTCACTGATTTAATGTCTGTTCATGTTTGTAGACTTTGACTGTTCAGTGGTAAGAGAGTGACAGCGTCCCCAGATTAATGATGATGAACTGTTGAAGGGCGATCAGCTGCACTGTCTCTCTTTGTCTTTCTGCTACAGGTGAAACAGGAAGTGGATCTGAATTCACCTGGTGAGTATTTTCTTCGTTTACTGTCAAACATCAAACTGAAAGTTTTCACATGTCTTGATTTTGAACAGAACTGGACTCTGAATGGATCCAGATGAGCTCTCTAGTAAACAGGAACAACTGTAGCTCTATCTAGTGGTAGAACCTGGAATGACACTGTGGTAGAGGAGAGTATGTGGCTCAAGTTGTACTGACTGAGCATGTTGTATTTGTATGAAGGTGGGGGCTCTGCCATGAATGAATGTGAGGACAGAGAGGAGGGACCCCCTCCCTCTAAAACCACTCTGTGGGGGGAACATGAGAGCCAGACCAAATCTCAGAGGTGAGATGAGGATCTCCAACTGTCCATGACTCTTCTCCATGACTCTTCTCCATGTCAGAGCTCAGCACTCACATCTCTCCACTATCACTGTTATTCACACTCAGACCTCTGTCTGTCTGTCTGTCTGTCTGTCAAAGACCTGAGCAGCAGTACAGACCAGACTCTCCTGGACCTGGACCCAGCTGTGTGTCCTTCAGGAGTGACTGGTCTAAGGGTGTAATTATTGATTTCCAAGATGGACATCAGTCTGATCATCAAAAGTAATAATCTATAACAGCATCACTCAAACCTGGACGATTTTCAGTGTTCTTGTTTCTTCATCAGTGTTTGTTTTTCCATCAGAGTCAAACATGAGAGACCAGGCTCTCCTGGACCTGAGCCCAGCTGTCTGTCTTTAAAGAGTGACAGGTCTATGATTGAACCTTTTAATTTCAAAGAAGGAGAGATTTGTGATGAGCAAAGGTGAGACTTTCAAACTGAACTTTCTTTGTTTTGTGTGAAAGTTTTCATCCTAATTGCAGTCAGTGTTTTCTCTGTGAAGAGGAGGATTTTTCAGGATTCACGTTTCTATAATAATAATAATAATAAACTATACCTGTATAGCACCTTTCTAGAACAGTTGTCACAGAGTGCTTCATAGTCATCAAATTAAACAAAGGGTGAGACAATAAGACATAAAAATCAACAAAAAGTACACAGGTAGTCACAAGTCCTTTGGTTTGTAGTCTGGTCCAGTTGACAGCCAGCAAACCCTGGTCAGAGGATCTTAGAGTCCTGCTGGAGCTGTAAGGCTTCAGCAGGACTCTGATATACGCTGGAGCTTGTCCATGCACAGCTCTGAACACAAGAACAATTTAAATTGGAATTTGAATTGAATGGGTAGCCAGTGTAAAGACCTGATGATGGGTGTGAGGTGGGACCATTTAGGTGATCTTGTCAAGAGCTTAGCTGCAGCATTTTGAGCCACTTGCAGGCGTTTCAAAGAGGAGGTATTTAATCAAGTAAACAAAGAATTGCAATAGTCCAGACAAGATGAGACAAAGGCATGAAGATTCATCTCAAGCTCATTCCTAGATACTATGGGTCTGAGCTTAGAAATATTTCTCAGATGATAAAAAGATGTGCGAACCAGACCATTTACATATTGCTCCAGACTTTGGACATGGCCCATCTGAACACTCAGGTTTTGGATGGAAGAATAAGACATCAATACTTTTCCTTACATTTGGCACAGCATGCTTGGGTGCTGAGATAAGAACCTCTGTTTTGTCAGAGTTTAACTGGAGAAAATTATCTGCCACTCATGCTTTAATACAGTTCACACAATCAATTAATCAGGATCCAACAGCAGTAAACAGGATCTAAGCCTGCAAGAACTGGACTCTGCATGTATCTTTATTTGTGTCCAGGATCCACGAGATAGACTCTATCACATGTAACCCTGTGTCTCCTTATATTATATCCACTACATTAGATTCTGTTGGTTCCACAGAATTCAGCAGCAGAGATCACAGGTTCCCATTGGTCAGTCTGCCCAGCAGCATCAAACACAGCTGGACTCCATACTTATGGTAGGTGTAAATTTACAAACACAGCTCCTACTGATCATTAGAGCAGACACTCAGTATATTTGGAGGTTTCTCGATTGTTTCCTGATGACACTGCAAACATCACCTATGCCTGAGTTGTCGTCACACTCACAGTTTGACTAACTGAATGAAGCCTTACATTTATGACCTGCACAGAGGTCAGAGGTCATGGTGAATGGTGGTCTCACAGACTCAGACTTGGGCAGCAGAGAGCAGAGTTCACAAACTGAGTCCAGTTTGAGGTTTAAAGAACAGAAAGATTTTGGTTCATGTCAATGACAGCTGCTGCTTTCAGCTTCATTCTAATAAACACATCACCTCTAAAGTCACTGCAGACTTTTTCTCTATGAAATCACACCAGGAGATTTCTCCAATATGAAGTTCAGGTCATAGAAACTGGATCTGTAGAAGACAGGACCATCCACAAAGTAAACCCTGAAGCAGCATTGTGATCCAGTCTCCACGCTGGACTATGCAGACCAGCAGGCTTTCTGTCTGTTACAGATGATCTGATGTTCATTTCTACAAGTTCAAATTCACATTTTGTTCTGTTTCAGCTGCTCCAGGAGAACATGATCAGCTTTGTAAAGGAGCAGCTGAAGGAGATCCAGAGAGTTCTGAGTCCAGATGAGCCAGAATGCTTAGAGAGTCCAAGGGAGGATGAGGATGAAGAGCAGAGGAGGAGCAGAGAGGCATTTCTGAAGATCACTCTGCACTTCCTGAGGAGAATGAAGCAGGAGGAGCTGGCTGACAGTCTGCAGAGAAGTAAGAGGATTTGAAGAGATTGAACATAAAGGAAAGAGGAAATGGAGACAACATGAAAGAGGTTTACAGTTCAGACTCTGCTGTTCATGTGATGCACACATGTGTATCACATCTATGAACTGAGAAAAAATGATCACAGCTAGTGAGCTAAAGAGATTTCAGAGAGGAGGGAAATCAAATCCATCCTGATGTCTTCAAATGTCAATTCATCAGACTGATTGTAGCTTCAGATGATTCATCACATTTCTTTTTGTTCATTCAGGATCTGCTGCTGCAAAGTGCCGACACAAACTCAAGTCCAACCTGAAGGAGAAGTTCCAGTGTGTGTTTGAGGGGATAGCTAAAGCAGGAAACCCAACCCTTCTAAACCAGATCTACACAGACCTCTACATCATAGAGGGAGAGACTGGAGAGGTCAACGATGAACATGAGGTCAGACAGATTGAAACAGCATCCGGGAAAGCAGAGCGACCAGAAACCACCATCAGAAAAGAAGACATCTTTAAAGGCTCACCTGGAAGACAGGAAACAATCAGAACAGTGATGACAAAGGGAGTGGCTGGAATTGGGAAAACCGTCTTAACACAGAAGTGGACTCTGGACTGGACTGAAGACAAAGCCAACCAGGACATCCACTTCACATTCCCATTCACCTTCAGAGAGCTGAACATACTGAAAGAGAAAAGGTTCAGCTTGGTGGGACTTGTTCATCACTTCTTCCCTCAAACCAAAGAAGCAGGAATCTGCAGCTTTCAAGACTTCCAGGTTGTGTTCATCTTTGACGGTCTGGATGAGTGTCGACTTCCTCTGGACTTCCACAACAATCAGGTCCTGACTGATGTTACAGAGTCCAGCTCAGTGGATGTGCTGCTGACAAACCTCATCAGGGGGAACCTGCTACCCTCTGCTCGCCTCTGGATAACCACAAGACCTGCGGCAGCCAATCAGATCCCTCCTGAGTGTGTTGACATGGTGACAGAGGTCAGGGGGTTCACTGACCCGCAGAAGGATGACTACTTCAGGAAGAGATTCAGAGCTAAAGAGCGGGCCAGCAGAATCATCTCCCACATCAAGACATCCAGAAGTCTCCACATCATGTGCCACATCCCGGTCTTCTGCTGGATCTCTGCTACAGTTCTGGAGGATCTGCTGAAGACCAGAGAGGGAGGAGAGCTGCCCAAGACGCTGACTCAGATGTACATCCACTTCCTGGTGGTTCAGTCTAAACTGAAGAACATCAAGTATGATGGAGGAGCTGAGACTGATCCACACTGGAGTCCAGAGAGCAGGAAGATGATCGAGTCTCTGGGAAAACTGGCTTTTGAGCAGCTGCAGAAAGGAAACCTGATCTTCTATGAATCAGACCTGACTCAATGTGGCATGGATATCAGAGCAGCCTCAATGTACTCAGGAGTGTTCACACAGATCTTTAGAGAGGAGAGAGGACTGTACCAGGACAAGGTGTTCTGCTTTATCCATCTGAGTGTTCAGGAGTTTCTGGCTGCTCTTCATGTCCACCTGACTTTTACCAACTCTGGAGTCAACCTGATGGAAGAAGAACAACAAACAATATTTTCAATATTTAAACTCTTCATTGTCAAACCAAAACTGATCAATGTCCATCAGAGTGCTGTAGACCAGTCCTTACACAGTCTGAATGGACACCTGGATTTATTTCTACGTTTCCTACTAGGTCTTTCTCTGCAAACCAATCAGAATCTCCTGAGAGGTCTGTTGACACATACAGGAAGTACCTCACAGACCAATCAAGATACAGCTGAGTACATCAAGAAGAAGATCAGTGAGGATCTATCTGCAGAGAAAAGCATCAATCTTTTCCACTGTCTGAATGAACTGAATGATCGCTCTCTAGTGGAGGAGATCCAACAGTCCCTGAGATCAGGACGTCTCTCCACAAAGAAACTGTCCCCTGCTCAGTGGTCAGCTCTGGTCTTCATCTTACTAACATCAGAAAAAGATCTTGACGTGTTTGACCTGAAGAAATACTCTGCTTCAGAGGAGGGTCTTCTGAGGCTGCTGCCAGTGGTCAAAGCCTCCAACAAAGCTCTGTAGGTGGACACATGAGACATTCAAACACTATTGTTCATGAGAGATGAAACATTGTCTCTGTGCTAATCACTGAATTTTCTTCAGGTTGAGTGGATGTAACCTGTCAGAGAGAAGCTGTGAAGCTCTGTCCTCAGTCCTGAGCTCCCAGTCCTCCAGTCTGAAAGAACTGGACCTGAGTGACAATGACCTGCAGGATTCAGGAGTGAAGCTGCTGTCTGATGGACTGAAGAGTCCTCACTGTAAACTAGAAACTCTCAGGTCAGGTCTTCTGCTGATTGAGTTTTGTAGTTGTTTGAATGAAATTGTCTAAGGTTGGTACACTTTTCCTTGTTTCATATATTTTTTATGACTCCAGATTATCAGGCTGTCTGATCACAGAAGAAGGTTGTGCTTCTCTGGCCTCAGCTCTGAGCTCCAACCCCTCACAGCTGAGAGAACTGGACCTGAGCTACAATCATCCAGGAGACTCAGGAGTAAAACTACTTTCTGCTGGACTGGAGGATCCTCTATGGAGACTGGATACACTAAGGTATAACCAGACAGTTACTGGGTCACAGACAACTACAAATATATTTGGGTCCTGATCTTCAGCTGCAGCTTCCTGAGAGGAGACTTTCAAGAGTTCTGATTGTTTTATCCAACTTATACTTATACTATATGGCTAGTAAAGGAGTCAAATCAAATATTCACTCACTATGATTAATGTTAAAGAATGCTTGGTTAATAATAAATGATTTGATGCTAAACACATATATAATGAATTGTACAATCACATTAACAAACATTCTCATTATGCTTTGAGTATCACTTTTCAAAGAACATTGATCATGTTAAATTACTCTGAAATGAGACAGATAGTAACACATAGAAATTGTGAATAACACAAGGGTAAACACATGTAAATGAACTTCATAACAGTCAATAATGGATTCTACAAACCAACATTCAGAATATTAACTAACAGTATAACTAACTAATGGTTAACAAAGCTAAACAAATGATTAAGAGATAAACTAAATATTCCTACTAGAATAGGGTTGTAATTCAAACAAAATAACTTCAGCTTTTTAAGTACATGAAACAGTTTGGAAAGCTGTTGATCTGAAGGAACTTTAGGACTGAAGGATTTATTCTGTCAGTGTGAGATCTTGGCTTATGAGTATGATAGGCAGATGGGACAAAGGGCTCTATTTTCGTATACGCCGGGGACGCGGCGGACCCAAGCAGGGCGTGGTGGCGAGGCAGGGGGAGGTGTCGACAGAATCAGCTGGCGCAGTGACATTTTCATGCTCGCCACCAGCGTATAAAGTGTGCTGAAAGCTCACCGATTCAAACCTGGTCAGCTTTCAGCGCAGGTGGAGCGCAGCTGGTCTAGTGGTATTTTGGTAGACCGGCAACGTATCAGCATACATCACCAATGCCTTACCGGCAGGTTTCCAAAGTTTCAGGCACATTTCAGTGCAATAAATAATCAACAACAACTAATAATCTGAGTCAGCACATACATTTAGATCTATATTGATATATTCTGACCTATATCTGATCTGATGAGCGCGTTTGGCACGTGTTTGGACACACAACCTGACCGAATCAACACAGCTGAAACCACATAAAATTAAATAAAATATCTAGTAAATAGACACACATGATGAAGTTAACAAGATATGTAATTTGTCTCTTTCCTTTTCTTTCTTCCTCTTCCTCTTGTTTCTTGCGCAGCTCGACCTGAACATGTCTCCGTGTCCTCTCTCCGTCCTGCTGCAGCTGCGGCTAAACAGATTATTTATTTCAGTGATCAGATGAGTTATTTACTTTAAGCCTACATACCAATATTATAATATTCAGTTTTGTGAGTCAAATTTATTTTATATGCCAACATCTATGAAAGAAAGAGCCAGGCCATGGAGCGCGATGCGTCATTTACGCACAGATGGTTCAGATTTTTTTGGGGAGTTTATGTTGTGATCTGTGTGCACAAACCACCTTTGTCACGTGAGGTTTGAATAAATGCAACTTTATGTGAGTGTCTTTATTTGTGGAAAGGGTGTTTGTCTTACCAGTGGGTCCAGCATTACACACACCAAATCCGTCTGTGCTCAGATGAGAGAGTTTGGAGGACACCAAATGCAGCGCTTACAGTGACACTTGTTGAGGGGCTGCCTTCTGTCGCCATCTTGTGGCATTACTGTCTTCAGACATCTCTTGATCTCTTTGACTACTTCACGAAAATAGTAATATGCCTCGCCAGTGGCGGATTTAAAGGCAAGGAGAGGAGCTTATGTGATTGGTGAAAACAGGTCTCAACTGTGTTAAACCCACTCCACGCCCTCTCTCCTCCCTCGCTACGACTTACTCCACTGGGAGGAGCTGAGTTAGGGAGGGGGGATACTTACGCTAGGCTGTGCCGCTCACCAAAATACCAAATTGTGCTTGAGAACGCCTTTTCAGCTTACGCCGACACTCACTTACGCCACTCCTGCGGCACGTCTCCAGCGAGACACGAAAATAGAGCCCTTGGTGTTACAGGTTTACACCATCTCGTCTCTGGTGACCAGATGTAAGCCTTACATTCTTTTGGGGGGTTGGGATGAGAAAGTGGTCGTCTCTGCTACACAATAAAAAAAGTTATAGTACTATTAAAACAGGAATTCATATTTCCAATTTCATGAGTTCATCCATGAACAAATAGAGGAATTATAAAAAGATTCAAAAGTTTATTCTTTAAAAACACATGAATGCATTCCTCAATAAACAGCTGAAAAATCAGTTTGAAAATGCAGTTTTAAAAGCGAGAATACAGAATTGAATTGACTGTCTGAAGTAAATATACAGCTTTTAATCAGCCATTTAAAGGACAATTCCTCTTTTCATTTCCATTTCCTGGCTGCTTTTTTTCCCCATTAGCTAATTGATTAAAAAGTCTTTTATCTTTCAGTTCCCCCTCTCCATTTTTCTTTTCCTCACACTTTGGACCTTGAGCTGGTAAATCAGGTGAAACATTGCAAATAAGCCATGAAACAAGCTCTCTAATTGGTTATAACCTGGCTTATTACATGCAGATGTCTGCAGGGAGGTGAAGATGATGGAAGATGAGGAAGAATAGACCTTATCCAGTGTTCCAGGTGGAAAGAGGTCCAAACTTGGATATTCTGACTCTGTGGTCATTTCACAGCTCCCTGATTGAGGAACAGACACACAGAATAAGAACAGAGATGATCAAGAGAGAGATCATATTTTAACTTTTAAACACATTTGACAGTCCTTTAGCCCACGTCAGAACACAGAGAAGATGCTTTATTACACCGGATATTACAAGATGAAGGTTCACATCCAGTTTAATAATCAGAGCAGAACAACTTTCAAATCTCCTCCAGATCCTTTCAGTGGAGCTCTAATGCTTTACTGGCAAAGCTACGTTCAGTAAGAGCAGCAGCAGACCTGTCAGTCATGATCAGGTAAGCTGAGAGGCTGTTTGAGGAGATGCACCAACTTTGCTTCACTTTCTGTCCATCCCAAACTGCAGGAAATCCACCTGCTGTTCCAGCTGTGATACTTCTACTCCCTCTGCTCTAGCTGAATCTGAATGATCCAAGAAGAGGCTCACATACTCACATGAGTTCATCTGAGAGCTTTCATTTCATCTTCATTTATATCTAGAAGAAGAGAGCCCAATACTTTATCTCTCTATCTGCAGACAAGGTTTCAAGTCTATTTAGAGGGAGCTTTTTAGACCAAAGTGTGGACAGCTGCCCTAAAAGAAGAAATGAATGTCTTTTTCCAAAGGGTCCAAATCAAATCTCCATGTTGTGGGACAGACCAACAGCCAGCCTTTGCTGTTTCAATCTTGTTGTTGTTATTCCTTTTCTGGGAGTTTCTGTCAGAAAGACTCAGAAAAAGTGTCACAGGGACAAACCGAGGAACTCTGCTTCATGTTGGACAGCTGGGACGACTCATGTTGGGCACTCAATCATTCTGACTGTGTTTGTTCCTCCAGGGTGGACCATGGTGGAGAGCAGAGGTTAAAACCTGGTGTGAAGAAGTGTAAGTGTGAAATCAGTTTGACTCCTGATGACCAAACAGCAGACTGTCAGCTAACAAAGAAGAAGAAAGCCTTCAGGTGTGTCTGATGATAACTTGCTGCTGTGTTGTGTCTTTTTCTCTCTGTCAGATTTCTGTGAACTCAAACTGGACTCAAAGACAGTAAACAGATTCCTCAGACTGTCTGAAAACAACAGGAAGGTGACAAGTGTGAAAGAGGATCAGTCATATCCTGATCATCCGAAGAGATTTGACTTTTATCCTCAGCTTCTGTGTAGAGATGTTCTGACTGGACGCTGTTACTGGGAGGTGGAGTGGACAGGAAAGATTCATATATCAGTGAGTTACAGAGGAATCAGAAGGAAAGGAGACAGTGTTAACTGTCTGTTTGGATGTAATGATCAGTCCTGGAGTCTGCGCTGCTCTGATTATCGTTACTATGTCCATCACAATGAAATTAGAACAGACCTCCGTCTCCCTTGGTCTTCTGTCTCTCACAGAGTAGCAGTGTATGTGGACTGTCATGCTGGCACTCTGTCCTTCTACAGCGTCTCCTCTGACACACTGATCCACCTCCACACCTTCAACACCACCTTCACTCAACCTCTCTATCCTGGGTTTGCACTCAAGTCTCTTGGTTCCTCAGTGTGTTTGTGTTCTGTGTAGGAGGGAGAGTCTCGTCCTCTCTACACAAACACCACAAACACAAACAGCAGCTGAAGAACAATTGACCCTCTGCACAAACACAAACTTCAGCTGATTATTTGACTGTTTGTATCCTGTCACATCAGTCTGTGGGCTCTATTTTCGTGTACGCTGGTGAGGCAGCGGAGGGTGGCGGACCCCGCGCAGTTGTATTTTTGTCCGGCTGAGCCCGGCATACAGCCGGTTTGGTATTTTCGTGGACTGAGGCGCACCAAGGTCTGCCAAGCTGGGCGTGGTGGCGTGGCAGAGGAAGGTGTCGACAGAATCAGCTGGCGCAGTGACATTTTCGTGCTCGCCACCAGTGTATAAAGTGCGCTGAAAGCTCTCTGATTCAAACCTGGTCAGCTTGCAGCGCAGGCAGTGCGCAGCTGGTCTGGTGGTATTTTGGTAGACGGGCGGCTATCGGCATACGTCACCGATGCCTCACCGGCAGGTTTCCACAGTGTCAGGCACATTTCAGTGCAATAAATAATCATCAACAACCAATAATCTGAGTCAGCACATACATTTAGATCTATATAAATATATTCTGATCTATATCTGATCTGATGAGCGCGTTTGGCACGCGTTTGGACACACAACCTGACCGAATCAACACAGCTGAAACGGCATTAAATTAAATAAAATATCTAGTAAATAGACACACATGATGAAGTGAAAAAGATTGGTAATTTGTCTCCCTCAGAGACAAAAGCATGAGTGACAATCTCCAGGACTGCACAGTATTGTTGACATGCTGGTTCAGACTGAGGTTTTTCTTTAAAAGTCATGTCTAACATTTTGTGACAGAGAGTCCAGATGAGTCATCATTCCTGCTGAGCCTGGACTAAAAATCATTACCTCGGTTTGATCCAAATTTAGCTGCAGGAAACTCTGAGACATCCATCATTTTATGCCTTTGATACAGTTATTTAATGTGTTGAAATGGTGAAAATCAATGGGAATAAAAGACAGGTGCAGCTGGGTATCATCCGCATATGAGTGGAAACTAAGATGGATGACATGACCAAGGGGTAACAAGAGAAGTGGTCTAAGGACCGATCCCTGAGGAACCCCACAGGTCAGCTTTTTTTAAATCAGTAGGACCATTACCAGTTATTATCCATGAGTTTACCATGGAGAGGAGATGTGAACTGATTGGCTCATAACCCTCTTTTAGAAATCTCACTGCAGGACGTCAGGAGCACAGGAGGAGGGTTTCATTTTATGAATCACTTTAGTGAGGGTAAATATTGAAACACAGTTAAAAGACTGAAAGACAGCTGTAGTTTGAAGAGAAACAGTTTGGTTTGGAGGAGGAGGAGTTTCATCTTTGTTAAGTTTCCTTTATTTTGGCACATTCATGTTTCATGTCTTGTCCTTCCTGATTTATTTTGAAGTCATTAACCCTTGTCCTTGTTTCAGAAATGTTCCTGTCTGCCCCACCCCTGTCTTGTCGCACCTGCGTCCTGATTGCGTCTCCCCACCGGTTTCCCATCACCCTCATTACCTCTTGTATTTAACCTCATGTCTCTCACTGTCTTTTTGCAAGTTCGTTGTACCTCACAGTCTTCGTCTCAGCAGTCTGTCACACCCACAGTCTTAGGCCTTCTACACACGTAGCTGGGTATTTTTATTGTAGTGCTTTCTTCATATCAACTATCCTCAGATACAGAGCCCTGGGTTTATAAATAAAACTTCTCAAGGAAGTTATAGCATGAAATGTATTTTAAAAGATTTTATTGTCACACACCTACCTTTACATCATCGTCTGTGACACACATGAACGTAACAGATAAGTGCTTAGCTGTATGATTTTTACCTCAATAAACGTCTTAATCACTAATGGTTAAACTTTTCTTATGTACTAAAGTCATAAAGAGAAAATCTACATTTTAAGTTTTTATTAAGAAAAAGCAAAATAAAAATTGACAACACCTTCTTCATCTGCTTGTCCACTTTATTCCGCCATATCAATACTGCAGGTAAGAGTCAATCCCTTATGAGGCAGCTTATCAATTTAAACTTCAGGATAATTCACACAACAGGTATTTGTTACTCCTAAATGTGGGCCCACAAAACAAACACACAAAAAGCCGGCAAATAAAATTCAAATGAAAGTATAATCCTCCCTTGCAGGCCTGTTAGAGCTGCTTACTGGCTTTATTAAGAAGACGAAAAACACCTCGACTCCACGGTCCAACCAACTTCATCCGTCGCCTCGTCCTGCATGCTGCTCAGTTCACTTCACCCTCTCGTCTCAGCAGCGGGAAGAAAACCAGCACCAAACGTCCACAGCATCAGAAGAAACACAGCCAGTGACGGCGTCCTCGCCTCAGGCTCAGCAGCATGCAGAAGACCCAGCAAGTGAGAAACCAGCTAGCTACATGTGTCCGACTGATCTCTCCATCTCTCATGTTAGTCCCGCCCCCCAGGCAATTACAATAAAAGTAACATCAAAACCACATTTATTTATAGATACCTTTATATCATGCATTAATTGAGTAAATCCAAGGCCTAAAGGTTCCTTAATGCTCAACGATACAAAACGGACAGAGCTATCCCTTTGTGCTTCTCATTCTTCAGGCAGTATTTCTGCAGGTATCCTTTAAGTTTAGAGATACGGGCCAGTTGGAGCAGTACCACTGTAAACTGAGGGGGCAATGTTGGTGCTGTCACTACCTGCAACACACTGTATCACAGTAATGAAAATGACGGTGTCATCAATTTCTCTAATCGGTACTACGCATGGAAATATGTGGGCTGTATCAGGAAATTTCAAGCAGCTTGGGGCATTTTCTTATTAAGTTACTCATGAAGACTGTGCATACCAATTTTCATGGCTATCACCAATGTAACAGGTACATCCCCTAATTGTTCCACTTGGGTGGCGGCCATCTTGAAATTTCAAATGGCTGGGGCTGTGTCTGAAATGGATCCCTAACCCCTATACAGGTGACTACATGGGGGTTAGCGCCATTTTGAGGGGTGTCCGAAATCTCAGTAATCAATTCCAGTGCCCTATATAGGCGACTCAAAATTTCCCATAAAGCACTGCAAAATGTAGTGATCATCTGATGGTCACTCACCGGTGGTGGGCATCCAGTCATGCATTGCGTCATGCCATGTAGTGTCCGAAACGTCTGGTAATTGAGTTCACTACATTGTCAAATATATAGTAAAATCCCATATGGGGGTTAGGGATTGAGTGATTCATTTTGACCCACAGCCTGGGACACTTTTCTAGTCAAGTGACCCATGGAGAATGTTCATGCCAATTTTAATGCTTGTATCACCAACTGAACAGTTCTGGTTTAAATGTGTACTTAGCCACAGGCTACATACCGTCTATCACTGTGACGAAACCATCGTTTGAAACGGACTAGTAAATTTTCACACGTATGGCGAGCATAAATGAATTCTAAATTCTGGACATGCTTGAGTGGTGATTTTTGACAAAAAATCTCACACTGCCATCTTCTGACAGCCAAATGGATCATTCATTGTAAAAATGCTTCAAACATTTTGTAAAATTTCTTCCACTGCTTGACTGACACAAAGCCCCTCACCTGCATCTTAATGCTGATGGTTCATGACAACCAAAACTCTAATTAAAAACACCAATGTCAGCAGTTTCCCAAACTGTTTTATTTATATTAACCATTTATATTTATCCACAGCATTATCTTAATGATCCCCAATTTATTTACTCAATCAATAACAAAGAAAGGGAGGCCGAGACTGGACAACTCACGCAAAACTGAAAGAACTCAAATGTAGCAGAGTTTTAGGGAAAGGAGGTATTTAACAGGGGCCAGGGTTACAGCCTGTATCCACATGCAGTCATGCACATTTCAGTTTATACTGAAGCCATTTGAGAATTGCATCCACAGGATTGAATATCTAAACAAGTACAAAAAGAAAAGAGCGAAACGATCGAAGTACACTACAGCAAGAAACAGAAATAAAATATGTATGAAACAAAAAAAGAGAAAAAAGCATGTGCCCTCTGTATCAAAAAAGCAGCAGGTCAGCACCAGTCTCATGTTTTCATCTTTTTACATCAGCTTCTTCAACTCCGATCCATGTTACAGAAAAGCCTGCCACAAACAAGTCATACCAGGAAATACCTCGAGAAATCCTAAACAAAAAACAAAGAGAACAAATGTAGTCAAATTTCAACTATTTCCACTCAAACTCCCCAAACTTACTTAAATAATCGACTGCAGCTTTTTCCTGCGATTAGCATGTCTGGTTAACAGTGATGGGTTGTCGTTTTTTTTAGCTTAAAACCAGACCACGTGTAGCAGCCTGGAAGGAACTTGACTCCACTATGTTTCTGAGTCTTGACTCTTTGGCGGCTGCTATAATGAGCTGCCAAGAGGAGCTCAGAGATTACTGACAAGTGTAAGCTTCAGTGTGACTATATGCACTTCATGAATATAACTACGTATACAGCTTGTTAAGGGTTTATCATGGGTGTTTATTGTGTCTATATCAGTGATGTAAGGGTCTGGTTAGTGCACGTCTAAGTGCAACTGAGAGTCAAATCTTTACGGACCACCTCCCTATCACAGCTTGTCTAAGTGATACCAGAAGTCAAAGACCACTGGTGTGTCCTCATGCTGCAATGGGACTTCCATTCAGGTCCTGGATCGGCTCTGAACTTCCTTTAGTCCATGCCACGTCTAGTCCACCTCCTCCATGTTGCTGTAGGATGGTGCTGCACACTCTCCAGTGTGGGCGAAGAGGTCAGAGGGAACCTCTGGCGTCAGCGTGGGTGGTCCTTCAGGATCAAGGTCAGGCCCAAATAGTGACTGGCTAGAGGCCTGTAAAATAAACCAGTGGTAACGATAAATCATGCTGATTTAGAAGTTCAGGAGATCTCAGCTGTTTGAAGAAACTGGTGAGGATATAACATGAATGTATACAGAAGACCATAAAGAGATGGAGGTTTTATTTCCAAAAGAAGTACATAGCTTTAAATATCTGAAAGCAGCATTTAGGTGGAGGTTTCTACATACATTATTGCAGATACATTAAAATAGGTTTTGATTCTCTTTTAAATACAATACTTTAGCCATTAGCCAACACAAGTCTGATTTGTCTTTTCAAAGTAACATTTTGCAGCAGATTACACACATACAGAATTTCATCCGTCACACATCAGTCAGAACAACAAAAGCCCAACATCAGTTTAACATCTAAACCAGCAAAGCTTCTGTTAAAAACCTCTTTTCCTTAAAATGACACCATGGTTCGGTTTGTAGATGGCTGCGAGATTTCACTCTACACTTCAAGAGCAGTGTACGCTGAGTAAAAGCTATACTCATCCAGAGTTAACTAAACAGACTTGATCTTTGCATATTATTTGAGTCAAGTTTACACCGTCTGATGGTGCTCTAATAATGGCAGTTAAGGCAAATATTGGACACTGTACACTGCCTCTAGACTGGAAGAGCACTAGGATTTCCCTGAGACCCATGAATACTTCTAACCACTACAACAACAGAAAAACAGCTGCGTTATGGACAGTCTGGAGACTCAGAAAGAGTTAAAAACCGTTTGATTTGAGCGCTGGTCATGCTTATTATGCATGATCATGGTACAGAAGCGGCTCTTCAGTTCAGTGGAGTATTTCAGATTTCTTCATGTTTTGATTCGGTTAAAATGACTTCCCTTGTTGCAGGAGGTATTGTATTTGGTTTCATGTTCACAGTTCAAAGAAAGCACTCCAAAACCGTCCATAATCAACTACTTTTCCCAAACGTTTCTCTGGAAAGACTGTATTACATTGGGAACATGACATTCAGCGGAGGATGAGACTTTCTTGTTCAATAATCTGTTCAAACTGGGCTGAGACAAGTCTGTGTCCTGTGATAGACATCAAAACAAACATGAGGATTAAAAAAAAAACAATGATAATACAGTGAACTACAGAACATACTGCAGGAAAATGTCATCAAACCCATGTTGTTTGGCAGAAATCTGAAGGCCAACAAACACAATCTGGTTCCTAGATGAGAAGAAGCAACAACTGGTCACAACATACAGAGAGCTCTCTTTGCATCATGATTCAACAAGGTCTAACACTCACTCATTTCATATTCTATTTGTACTGCTCCAATAAATACCTATTCTCTCCAGAGTTTAGTAGTGCAATAAAGACAGAAGAAGGCCTTCAGTTATGGCTTTATCTAGAGCTATTGTAGAGTCTATTATATTCTTCCGCTCTGTAGTGATGTGTTACTGTTTACACACAGTGGATTAGCGTTTTCTAAGGGCCTCCCTGGTCTTTCCATTAAGATTTACAAGCTTACGAGCTTGAGGAACTTTCGCCTAAGAAAAAAAACTCATCACAGACCTGCCTCCATGATGTTGCACAGAAAAATGACAGTGTTTAAAAGCAGACTCACATTAAAGCAGGAGTCTACACAAGAAAAAGGATCAATAGAGGTACAGTACTGTTATCCTGATAGTATCATCAGTCTGCATCTGTGACTAACAGGGTTTCTTAAGAGGAGGAGCTTATTGCTGACATTCAAACCTCGCTGTCCACTTAAAGGGGTTCATTCAAAAGACTTGGACATGTTCATGTTCACTGTACACTTCGTATCCTAAGTCAGGTCCAGTGTTTCCCCTACATAGACTTTACTTGGGCTGCCAGCTCAAGAAGACTGACATCTGCCCAAGAAGATGAAAATAGAATAATAATAATGAAAAGACGTGTGGTCATACAGACACACAGACAGCAGAGTTTTCTCCAGACGAACGCTGTGCAGCGCGGGTGAATATACGGAAGCCCACCCAAACCGTTGCACTACGGCTTTCCGGAGTGGTAGCGATCGTTTTTCGAGCGAACAAAAGTGGCGCAGCGTGCGACACATTGGTGAATATACCAAAGTGCACCCAAACTGTTGTGCTCCTGCTACACTAACTTTTTGTTGATTATATACCGTTTTCTTCTTCATTCAGTATGTGTTAATGTGCTGGTTGTGTCTCAGATACTGACTTTGACTTTTTCTTCTTCAAGACATGAAGCCAAGTGAAAGCTATTTCAAGAGCAAGAGACGGACTCTCTTTTTTTGTCTTGTTTTTCCTTAAGATTGTTTGTCAACAAAGCAAAAGTCTGAAGCAGTCTAAACTTGTAAACAAATGCCATGTGCGAAAAAAACAACTTCTCATTGGTGAGTGTAATGATTTTGTTTTGCATCTTTAAAAGTGCACAATAAAATGTGACACTGAATTTAAAACAGCACATTGTAATTTCTGCATTTATGATCTATTTATCAGTAAAACAGTGAAAATTACTGTGCTCTTAGCAAAACGAGTTAGTCTGGAGACCTGTATGTGCAATAAAAAATGCATAGTTCATAAACCTTAGTTTGACTAGATTATTTTGAATGAACTTCTCAGACCACAGTGTCATCCTGCACTGCCCAGCCCACCACCACAAGTAAATTCTTAACCTAGGGGAAACACTGATATCTACCAAACAGCACATTCTTCATTCTCTTCTGAACCCCTGCCTCTTTGACTATCCACACATTCATATTTGTGAGACTGACCAGACTTTAGACTGACCAGATTACTCTCAGGTCCAGTTTGATTTGTATAAAAGAGGGTAGACCAAATTGACAAACAGAGCAAACATGGCTGCCACAGTGCCCAAAACAAAATAGCGCACGCAGTCGTCGTCAGGATAGTCCGATATCCTCCTCCTGCGGTGCTGCCGCACCGATCCTTCAGTTCTGTCTTCGTCTTCCTCATCCCTGTTCCTCGGTGTTTGTCCCCTCCGCAGCACAGAGCGCAACAGTCCAGAAGGGCTCTGGGTGAGCCCCTCCTCTTCCTCCTCCAGTTCCCGCCATATTAGAGAGGCCTGCGATTGGCGGAAACCGGTGTCAGCTTCTGGGAAAGGCATGTTCTAGCAAATACTAAAATGACAAAGAAGGTGGTCTACCTAAAAACTTTCAATCAGCTGCTGAGATGACAGAGATTTGTAAATCAGGAGCTGATTACATGCCCTTCATAGCTGATTGTTAAGGTGGACACTGAGACGTTTGGAAGGGGCTAGTTTCTCAAGACTGAGAGAAATGACAAAACAAATTCATCCAACCCTGAGACTCTGAGAAAATATGATGGTTTAGTATTGTTTAAACCTGGATGACCGCTGAAATACAGCAAAGACAATACGTCAAATGGTGAAACTGAAAAATGGCATTTTAAATTTAATACCTACAACATATTTCAAGAGTTTGAGCACTTTCATGTTTACCGCTGTGCAGTATCTTCTCTTCTTTAAAGAACTGTGTAGACATTTTGGACCAAAGAAAACCAGTTTGTGGAGTAGTTCAAAGGAAAGTTCCCCTCTCTGCGGCCAGGATACAACAGTGAGGGGTCTCTGCTAAATGTTTTCAGTGTGTGACTTCCTGGAACTGCAAGCAGGCCAGTCTAACGCCCAGACTTCTCAACTATGGAGCCATGCTGCTTCACTATGTAGAAATGTCCTGCTAAGAAACACAAGGTCTTCCTATTTTTTTCTTTTTTCAGAAGAAGACCGCATCCTAGGATGCTCCATTGTTCAGCACAGTTATGTTGCCTATCCTGATGTATAAGACAGTCTTGCCACAGGCACCCTTACCCTACCCTGTACCAACACAGAGGCCGGCTTTCAAACTAATGCAGAGTGTGAAGCATCCTTCAAAAAAGAAAGTCAAATTAGATTTTTCAGACCCGAACAGCTTTTCACTTTCCCTCATCCATGGACTCATGTTTATGGACCAGTTTGAACCTGAACTCTGGATGCACAGTAAACTGTGATCATAGAATCATAACTGTTTTGGTTACACTTTTGAGCTCATGTGAAGATTTCCACTGCAATTTCTGATTTTTGATACAAAGATCAGATCCAGTTTTTGTTTTTGGCCTTTCATTCCTGGACTTCAGCCTCTCTTGAACGCCCCCAGTCATGTCACACACCTTATGGATGTGGTACATAAATAAGCTTTTCAGTGATTTGTTGTTACTGTCCCAACTTTTGAAACATGTTGCTTACATCAAATTAAATAGATTTTCTAATGACACAACACATTTTTCAGTTTCCACATTTTACATGTTTTCTTTCTGTTATTCTCAAGTAACTATCATGTTTAAATAATCTGCAAACCATCAAAGTCTGTAATCAATGTTTGACACAGCGTCCCTACTTTATTAGGATATGAATTAAAAATATAACACGCATTTGTGTAAACCAAAAGCACAACAACTATTACATCATGGTATCGTGGTACACATAGTTTTGGTTGACACCTGCCTTGAGCACATCCAATGCAGAACTGAAATAGAGGTTCATGTTTTGAGAATAACCTCAAAGAAAAGGCTTTGTGTCTTTGTGTGTATTTGGTTTTACAGGAGGACCATCCATCTCAAAATCACACACAATCTGATACCATCAAGAGCAACACAAGGCCTCACTCGACATCTGTTGATATGAGCCACCGCAACAGAATATATCTCTGTTTATCTGATGGGGATAAAGGAATTCAAATGGATCCTCAAAACAGCAGAAGTCACCATGCTCAAAACTTCAGAACTGAACTTGGGTGAATCAATTGTTTACTTTAACTTTAAAGCTTTCTGACAAACTGAAGAGAAACTGTCACATCCTCTTTAAGTTCAACCAAAAATGTCTCATGACACAAATGTTGCCTGACAGCTGAGAAACATGGTGCTGTTGAGACTGACAGACTATCAGTGATTTATGATCACATCATAAACTTCTTATTAGTCAAAACTAACTGTGACAGAACTCAAAAGACATCAAACACACAAACCTGACTTCCAAACATTAGATTTCACCAGTTGGGAACATAATCATGGCGTTTATTTGTTCTGTAATGGAGGTGTGTGCCCAGCATGCTTCTTCTTCCAATCTTGAACCATCTTAACACTCCCTATCTAAACTTTAACACCTTAGATTAGAGTAAGATTATTAGGGTTGGGTATCGTTTGATTTTGAACGATTCCGATTTTGATTCCTTATTTCGATTCAGATTCCTATCGATTCTCTATTTCGATTCTTTTACAAGGCAGGATATCTTAAAAAAAAAAAAAAAAAAAAAAAAGCATGGTTTGAATAAGGGCGCTAACCGGAGCTCTTCTTTTTGGATGAAATTTCTGAACTTCTCCATGAATTTTCAAATTCTATTAACTTTCTAAGAACTTTACTATGAATTTCTCACAGGGCTATTTTCAACCAGTATATAAATATCAATTTTTGTTGTCAGGTCGTTTGTCTATGAAAAAGTACAAGGGCTAACGTTAGTTGGATATTTAGGTTTGCTCATCGTACACAGTACGATTTGTTTACCGCTTCAAAGTTATTAAAATCGAAATTTTAATATTTGAACGATACCGGAAGAATCTAAATGTTAGTCCCGGTCCCCATCGATACTCGATTCTCAATACCCAACCCTAAAGATTATTGTTGATTTCAATAACCCAAAAAGTCTCCAGATGTGTGGAATAAAAACAAACAAAACAAACAACATCAGGAATACAAGGGGGTCTCTGGTTTCTGTGGCACCCTTACCTGGCTGGCAGTAGCACCTGCTGCAGTGGGCGATTCAGCTCCCACAGGTCTGAGGAAGCGAGGCGGCCTTTCCACAGGGGAGTTTCGGCGTCGGTAGAACAGGACGTAGGCGTAACGCGTCACCACCTGGCTCTCCTCCACCATTGTCACAGTGCTGTCATCAAACAGACGCCAGCCTGTAGGATGAAAGGGTGGGCGGCAGCAGAGTGTTAGACAGAGGCAGTTCTTGGAATAGGCATGTGCACAAGGTGGAGCCTTCAGTTACTCTACAAAGACGTTCATACAGTTTAAAACACAGCTTTGAGAAAAGACAGAAATAGACACAGTTTAAAAAAGGACGACAGGGCTGAGTGAAAAAAGCATCTCATGTCCAATATGTCATCTCTACATACAAGAGCAGGAATTTCAGAGCTGCTGGGTTTGAACACGAAACATGATTATGGTTAAAAAAGGACCATTAAATGAAGGTTATGTGTTTAAATGTTTCCCTTCAATCTTTTGTTTTTGAGTTCACCCAGTATTATGTCAGTCATAAATCACATCATATCATTTGAAATGTTTTTTTTTTTTCTAAATTTAAAGGTGGGGTAGGCAGGATGTCGTAAAGGAAGAATTTTTTTGGTGCGTATACAAAAAAGCTTTAAATATCAACTCTTTCTGACTGTAAACAAATGCATTCTCCGCTTCCCACAACCTAATTGGTTGTGAGGCAGACACTGCTCCCTCGTGTTGTGAGGTACGGTTCACATCCTTGAATAACGTTCACAAGACCAAACAAAGTTAGCGTGCTACAATATTGGACAGTAGAAACAAACCAGAAAGTATGGAAAATTGTCTGAATCCTCCTTTGGCTACGACTGCCAACACAAGCAAGTAAACAAAGTAAATACCGGAGACTCTGGCAGGACAATGGGCACCTAAAAAGGAGGTAGACCGGACAAGAGCTAGAAACCCGCTCAACATCAATAAGGCATAAACGATGGGGGACGCTTCAGGATCTTACGGACCCTGTAACCTTTCTGCTGGACAGGTAAACTGCTTTAACAAAGTAATAGAAGTGTTTGTCAAACGGGACTTGCTGTGTGTTTTAGCACTGCTAAACTGTTTACCTCGGGTCCTGGACTATGTCACTTTATCCTAGTTGTAGAAGTCCTGCAAACTTTGTGTTTGCTGGTAGTTTGTTGGCATCTAAAGTAGCACCAATGCTTTTAACTTCCACGTTGACTGGGCCCCATCTGTAATTATCTGAAGTATTTACCTGCACTATATCGGAATTTAATTGAAATGATATGAGCGAGCAGGAACGGCTGTTTGTGGGTGGGGCTTGCTGGAGCAGAGAGGGAGTGGAGAGGAGGAGCTGAGGAGAAAACTGGTTGGAAGGGATACTGTTTACATTCAAGATTTCTCCCAAATAATGGCACTTCCTCAGATCCTGCCTACTCCTCCTTTAAGGAACAACTTTTATGACCAAGAATGAAGCAATTAAAAAAATCAACAGCCAAGGAGTGGAGACTAAAATAAGGGGAATGATGAGCCATCTGTCAGAGCTTGTACAGATTCATCCTGATGTGACAAACCTCGCTGACAGGACACTTACCAACATCACTGCGCTGGCTGTTCTTATCACTTGGCAGGCGAGCATAGGCCGTGTAGTGGCCTCCTATCATTCCTCCGTAGTGGTTAATGACTGCATACAAGTCGTAGATGGGGGGTTGTTGCATTTCATCCTTCTGACCAATGCAGAACTTACTCAGGTCCAGATTCCTAGAGGTACAGGAAAGAAAAATCAGTTTTGGGCTGCTGGAGCTGAGAGGTGACAATTTATCTTTTCACTGTCCATTTACCTTACGGGGAAGTCGACCATGTCATTGATCTTATCCCTCCAGATGAAGCTCCTGAAGGAGAAGCGTTTGAGCTGGATGATCAAAACGTTTGGCAGGCGCCACAGCAACAGCTGTTTTGAGGCCTCTCGGTGCTGCTGGCACTTTGGACAGTACCTGAAAGATTGATGGAGGAGCAGAGTTATTAAAACAAGTTTCTAGAACTCCCTGAGAAAAGGGACCAAACACCAGTTTAGCTCAAAATTTTCTTTTAAAAAAGTCAGATGCTCCAGAGTAAAAAGTGCTCCCAGATCAAACCAAATGGTATTCAGTAGATTCATCTTCATGAGCACATTATTGGGCCTGTTTATTTTCACTGCACATGCTTCCATTATCACCCACATGCTGATGACACTGAACTGTACATTTCTGTCTCACCAAATAACCCAAATGCACTTCACTATCTGGAGCCTCATGTCACATTCATGAAGAGGAGTTTAGGCGAGGTTATGAGATAAGCCCTCACCTACCCATGGATCCATTTTTATTTACCTTTTTTTTTTCTGTATGACTTTTTAACAATATGGAAATAAATCAAAACCATAAACTGCACCAAACACTCAAAGGCTGTAACGAGGAATTAAATCAAGCATAACAAACTTGAGAGTGATCTGCTTTCATTTTATGTTCCAGTCATCCTGGAAAATAAAAAAAAAATATCCTCTGGAGTTTAAAATCAGTTCTCCAAAGTTTGATGAAACAACCTTCCACACTCTAAAGATGCCTACCATGCCTCCTCTGGTGCCAGCACCTCCGGCTTTGTGAAGAGGTTGAGGCACTGCTCCAGGGTGAAGTGACCCGCTCTGGCCGTTTCACTCAGAGAGCCCGGGTCCTCCTCATACTCCAACTCCTTTGAGCTCACCAGAACGTACTCCTTCAGACGCTCATTGTTCTTCCACACCAGCTCGAGGGTTGCATCTTCAGGGAGTGTTTCCAATGCATCCTCTGCAGAGGGGGTTGGACAGAAAACAATGCTTCAGTTATGATGATAACATGCAGCACAAAGAAAAAGTCATTTATAAATTCTACCTAAAAGGAATCATGATTATAACTTCAAAAAACCTGAACATTAACATCTCTTTTACAGAATATTGACACTGAAAATGCCAAATACTTAAAGGAGGAAAAGTTTGGACCTCTCTCATCCAGCCTCTGCTCTTTGTTGTTGGAATCCAGCAGAGCGATATAGAACTGACTGGCATGACCTGAAGCTGATTCACTTGGATGCTGATACCCCGTTACAGCAGCTAGCAGGAATAAGAGATACATGACATCAATAAAAGGGGGAAAGAAACTCAATTTTCTTTAAGTTATGTTTTTATTTTCTTGTTACCCTCTGGCCGCACCGCCTTCTCACAAGAAGTCTCCTTTTCGGCATGAGGGTCCGAGGAGCAGCAGGAAGTGGCGGAGACTGGCTCTGAGAAGCCTGAATCTGTAGTCCGTGTGGTGGAGAGGGAAGACTGAGAGGAGGAGAGGGATTCTGACTCTGCAGAGTGGAGAGCTGAGGCCTGAGCACACTCTGCATGAGCTTCAGGCAGCAGAGATGGGCTCTCTGGCATCTGATCAGCTGATTCTACAGCACAGCTTTCACCCATGGCCTCAGCCCCGGGCACAGGACCCTCAGAAGAGCCTGGTGGCATCAGATCCCGGCTTTGGGGTGTTTCAGGGGACGTCCTGCCTGACTGGAAAGGAGGCTGGAACACGTTGACAGAAAACCTGCATGCAGAGTGACACTTGAATGTTACACTCTGAGTTCATTACTTTGGTGATGATGACTACAAACAGATCTGCTAATCTGCTATCAGACAGCCGCTCACTGTACAAAAATGTGCTTAATTCAAAGACCGGTGAAAAGAGAGTTAAAGGAAGGCTGAATGTGAAAATGTGGAATGTGCACAAACATCTCAGTGAATGTGACAAAAAGAAAATACAGAAATGATTTTGATCCATGATCAAAATTCATGGGCACAGTTGGCAGTTACAGAGATCCTTCACACAAAGTTATTTCATGTCAAATTTTAAACTTATCGAATTTCCTCATGTTTAAGGAGTGTCATCCAGGAGAAACATTCAATACAAGCCAACTAGTCAGACATCCACTCTCTCTACACGTGGAACAAGAAGGTGTATATTTGGTGTTATGAAAAAAAAAGTCCTTGAAAATGACACAGGTAACGTGATTTTGACTAAAAACTTCATAATCACAATTTGAGGATCACTGCGAACACTTCAAGTAGTAAACAAAAAACCAACAAAGTGGAATTCTTAAGCTAAGACCAACATATTACGATGAATCAAATTAACACAAAGTCAATGACTACACAAAGTTAGTTACAGCAAACATATCTTTTTTGTTCAGACAATTGTTTTGGTAATGTTTCATTTCAATTACTGATAATGATGATGAGCACAACAAACTATGGGTCAACCTGCGTACCTGGAGTAACCTTCGAGTAGCTGGGTGAGGCGGGCATAGGAGAGACGAGACTCTGGCACGCTGACCAGGAAAGGCAGACCCACATTCTCAGTGTTGGGTCGACACAGACCCTTGTGATTGGGCCAGTGATTCCTCTGACAGGCTCTGGGGAGAGAGTTCACATGTTCAGAACAGAGTCAATAGATCTAGTTCATGTGAATAGTAAATCCATGTGACTTTTACAGTTACTTGTAGAACTCACTGATTACAGTAGCCCACACGGTAGCAGCGAGTGCAGCGCTTCAGCTTGTCCTCCTCAGACACTGGAGGCTTCAGGCAGGCTGCACACTTTGAGATGGGAATATTAGGGACCTGCAGTCTCTGTAGGAAAAGCAACAGCAAAGAAAGCTTGCCTTTATACCTGCGCACACTTTTTAATTTGATATTCTTTGGCGATGTTATATCGGGGTTCGACTTGATTACCTGCTGCACTCTGAGCAATATGACTCTCTCTTTGGCCATGTCTTTGGAAAGCACCTCAAAGCAAAACAACATGTCAGAGGAGGACACTGTGTCCAGCGAATGGGATGGCAGGAACATGCGGTGGAAACGATTTTTCCCAACCTGAGAGAAAGAAGTGTGTTGAATTCAATTTAGCTTCAAACCCATAAAATCTCTGCTAGAGTGTGAAGTCAAGAATATTGTTAATCTGTTACCTCTGCCAGTCTGAGGTTTTCTGGTTTAACCCGGACACTCCTGGAAATGGATTCAAGGACTTCAGCAGTGCTGGAGTTCTCCTTGCTCACACTCACCAAGAACTAATAACGCAGAAGGATAGAAGTTAGTGAAGTGCAATCTAAAGCATCTTTGAGCTGTATTGTTTATTATCACAGCAATTAGGCCCTTCATGCAGTCTTACCTTGATGGGTTTTTTATGAGGTTCCCTGGCGAAGTAGAAAACTGAGAGCACCTTTTGTTTCTGAGGCAAGGGCACCGGTAGGTAGAGGAAAGGGTCAAAGGTGATGGACACCTAAAAGAGGGCAGAGAAAAGCAGGAGGGGAAGGTGTTAAATGGGATGTAAATCATTACCATAGAAAAAATATACAAAAGCATGTATTGATGACCTTCAAACATGAATAGAAAAGGTCAGTGAGGGTGGATTTGTTTTCCCCCAATGCAACACTGGCTTCTTGACAACCAAATCAATAAACCAAAGTAAAAGGGCTATAATGGTGTCGAACAACAAACACAAACAAACTTATCACTCACAGTCATTCATGGACATTTTATAGAAGATATGATACTCAAGTTCTAATTGAAATCTGTGTTGAACCAAACTGGGTGAGCAAAAATATTCTATTGTTACCTTTGAGCATGTGGGACAAACGAGCTTGGATTTAAATTGGCCTTGGAAGAGGTCCACTATAAAGGAGTCATTTCTCATCTTGTGCCTTTGCCAGGCCTCCTCCGCCACAACCTGCATCAACAGCAAAAAGATGTCACAGGTCAAAACTTGGCAAGACTTCACAGGGAATTGTTTCTTATTTCAGCAAAATTCTCCAAAAGTTCTTTTATTTTTCTGTTATGTCATGTACAATATTTCTGAAGGTGTTGGGGACTATTCTTAAAATCAGCACTTAAAAAAAAAAACTTCTCATAAAAGCAGCAATTTCTGTGCTTTTCCAGCGAAAGACTTCAAAAACAAAACAGCTGAAGAAACAGGTGAAACACCCACCTCATCCAGCCGCCCGTCAGAGTCCACCGTCTCCGTGTAAGGTTTATTCTGGATACGATTCAAGTCTTCATGAAGGCCGTCCAGCAAGAAAGCCATAAACTCCTGGGCATCATGCTGGGCGTAGCCTGTAAACTGACTGGCTTTACTGGCCACAATCGCCTGCATGGTTCCAAACAAACAAAGAGGAAACGAAAACAAACATTTTACTCATAATGTTCACAAACATATGAGATGTCATACACCTAAGCTTCCCCAGGGGCAGACTGAATGCAAAAAAAAAATATTCATGAAGTCAGAGAGAAATTGAAAACTTCCTGGAAGTGAAACACTACTTTGCAGCAACAGCAGTGCAATATATCTGGAACATATCTGATGGGAACTAACTATTCCTGCTGCTTGTTTACCTTGAGTTTGGAGGGTTGAAAAGCATGATGCGTTCCTTTCCAGAGGGCCCTGAGCAGCACAGCAAAGCCAATGGCGAGCCTGCCTCCTGTTCCCAGCGGGTTATTGCAGTTGATTTCTGCTTCAAATGCTCGGTCTGCAGGGGAACAGTGAAGGAAATCAAAGAATCTGAATTAGCTGTTTACATGAATTCACAAAACAAATTTTCTACCCTGCCTTCACTTGACATGTTTTCCTTCCAACTCCTGGGTGAAATTTCTGCAAAATCTGGGTATGTTGTGTGTTTGGAGCAGTTATATTCAAGAAACAGTTTAGAGTTGTGTTAGGTAATAGAGCTAAAACAAAGTGGTTTTCTGAAGGGACTGTACAGCATTTCAAACTTCTCTCAAAATTAAGTGTACACTTGCTCCAACATTAATATATAGATTGGGGTTAAAGTCAGCTCAAGGATGTGGTCGAGCTGACACCATCTGCTGCAGCTGACAGCTTTGCGTCCATGTCTTCAATTGGTCTCTCAAGTCAGGGGCCTTGTGGGTAATATTCTTACTATTGACAATTAACAACCCCCCTTTTCATTTCATCTGGGATAAAATGTTCCTGCCTGTGTTGGTTTAGTTAGCCGAGCAATCTGCTGCTGGAACTTTTCTAAGAGTGAATGAAATACACACTAGATCCTGTTGAATACACAAAGGCAGGTGACACAGAGTCTTTGCAGCTTTCTAGAAAGCCCAGCAAAGAACCTCATCTCCTGTGAAAATGAATTGGAAGACTAAGCAGAAGAGGAAGCAGCTGCTAACAGCAGGAGCTGAGTAGATCTTACAGACTGCAGAGTGAAGGAGTGTCAAAAGTTCTTCCTGGATTTAGAGGACCTTGGACTATCAGCAATCAGTGTCAGTCATTGTTTATCAAGCTGAGGTCATACTGCCCCCCCCAAAAATCACGAGATTTACCATGGAAATAATCCCTGAGTTCTCTGGTGTTGGACAGGGATTGGATGACACTGTTCATGAAACAGGTGTTTCCTAGGTTGACCAATCCTGTGAAGCCAGGCAGGCACACCTTCTTCTCCTCTTCTTCTTCGTGGCACTCATTGCTTGCAAGAGACGTGTGAGTCATGGGCTGCACCATGCAGGTGGGTTTAGGCTGAGGAGGAAAGAGTAACACACCAGTTCAAGTAAGCACAGTCATATGACCTTAAAGGAGACCTATTTTACTCTATATTTTAATACTGACATATAATGTCCCAACGAAACCTCAGTTCAGTTTTGAAACATGAAATTGTTTGGGTGCTAATGACTTTGTCTGCATAGTATATTAATCAGGCCATTTCATGACTACATAGCTGTGTGAAAAGTAACATCCATGTGCTGTGTCTGACATTATATCACTGCAAAAGCAGCCAAAATGGAGTGCTACAGGCAGAGGCTGAACAGTGATACATGAGGGTTTACACAGATGCTTATCTGAGATAAATCAGGGGTTGTTTTAGCTGAAAATCACCCAGAGCTATTCTATAAGTGTCCCTGGCTGACATAATGAAAGGATAAAATACTCATAACCGGTCTCCTTTAGCCCCTATAGACCAGCACCAACTAGTGCACAAACCTGTCTTTTGCCATGTCTCTCTGGTATATAATAGTTTGCACTTTTGACTAACCGTGGTAACAGTGGGCTCTGGCTTAGTGATTGAAACATGAGACTCAGAGACTGAACGAGGGGCCACTGCATCAAGACCTCCATCCTCAACTCTTGGTGAGGCTTTAGGGGTCTTGGGTTTTTCCTCCCCAACCCTAGGAGGCTCCTCCTTGGCTGGTAGGCTATGCTGGCTGCTGCCCGGCTGGCTTTTCTCCAAGCAGGCAGGACTGGAGGGCACGGCAACCTTTGCACCACCCACTGCACCTTAAACAGAGGAGAATAGAGCTTGTGGTTAAGAAGATTGTCCAAAACAAGACACTATACAATTCTGGCATGTGACAGGTTAATGATAGAAAAATCTGGCCCTGATACGTCTAACCTAAATCCTTTTATGATGACTGTTTACTCTTCTTGCCCCTTTAAAAAAAGGAGCAAACGTCTTAAATCTGGCACCTGCACATACTATTGTTAAGTTCACTCATGTTGGCACACCTTCTCTTCATGACAATAACAACTCTGTCCAACTCAAACTAAATAACTAGGAACTCTACCTAATGTTTTTTCTATTAATCTGCATTCCTGGATGACCAAAACTTCAAGACTGCAAAGTCAACTTTTGTAGCAAAGGATTAACTTTTTCCAAGCTCCAAAAGTCCATCATCTCTGTTTGTATTTAGGGGTGTCATGATACAACTTTTTTACTTCCGATTAGGGCTGAACCATTAATCGATTTAAAATTGTGATTGGATTATTCATTATTATTTTGAATTTCCCTCTGGGATTAATAAAGTGTCTGTCTGTCTATCCATCCATGACAATGTTAAGAAAATGAAAATCTCCAAATTGATTTTCCTCTCTTTCATGTCTAACACCTCCTGGTCGCTGTAGGCTCCTGCTTCACAGTTCGTATCGGCGTTTCACCCACATGGAAACTGCGGTTTAGATGCATTTCCTGGGCAGCATTACAGCGCCACTTACTGGCTTGGGATATGCACTATATCGTTTTCAGTGGTTTCATTTTGAGAGCTGATAGAAAAACTTCTTATTTTTGAATTGAAGTTTGGTGAAGTTGTCACTGAATAAAAGATCCAAATCGAAAACAGAAAGTGAGTTTTTAGGGAAAAAAAATCTGGATTTTATTTTTGGCCAAAATCCTGCAGCCCTACTTCTGATACGATACCGATATTGTAGCCTCCAGTATTGGCTAATATCGATATTGATCTGATATTAGCTCAAACTTGTGCATGACTAGTTTGCACTCAGCTGCAATGACTTTTTTGAACTTGAATAATAAAAAAAAAAAACGCCACACGGCCGACATCACCCCTTCTCCTTGCTACTTTGTTAGTACCTAAGTACACACTGTTGTTGTGATCACGTGGGCTCTGCATGCTGGATCCAGGCATTGCTAGATAGAGGTGCTGGAGTGGAGTATGGAATGGACTGCTTGTATCGTAGATTTTAGATGCAGGCCGACATAACCCAATGTTTGTTTTTTTTGCTGATATCAGAACAATATCTGATACCAATATCGGATCGGGACACCCCTGGTCATACATGTAGAAAATATAAACAAGTAGAAGCCCGGCAGCACACCTTGTGTGGCAGGAGCCTCTAGACCCCCCCAGCGCTGGCTGTGCCTTTTTTTCAGGGTGATGTCCAGTCGGGACGGGGTGAAGGAGTAGCTGCATTGCTCAGGCTGGATAAGGTTCCTGAAATTGGGGAAACAGAAACACAGACAGGAATAAAAAAAAACTGTCTCTTTATATTACAGAGGTCTAATGACTTGTACCACTGAATTCAAGTGTTACCTGAGTTTGACCTGCCACTTAAAGACTGTGTTTGACCCACAGTCTGAATGGAGCCGCAGAAAGTTAGCATCACTGTAAAATAGTGACACAGGGAGATTATTCGCAGGTTGTTCTTGGCAGAAATTAAAGCACAAAGAAATGATTTAATAATACTGTATTTGTTGGATTTTTTATTTTGTCACTTTTACTACCTAGTCTGAAAGATAAGGGTGAAGTCCTGTTCCCTGAAGATGACTCTGGCTGTGTCCCTGCAGATCCCCTTCATGTAAACATTTACCACCATCAGGTCCGTGCCCTTCTCATAGGAATCATTCTTCACAAACTGCAGGTTGACCATTGGCTCTGGGGCTGCAGGAAGGTTATAAAGGCATTTTCATCAGGGTTTGATCGAAGTGAAAAAATGATGAGCAACAAACAAAATCTCTGCTCTTGGCCAAATCTGCCACTTTTCCACAAATGTGTATATGAAAATTAGTCCCCAAACCCTCTCAACTAACCTTCCTGTTGCTTTATTTCCAGAGGAGGCTCCTCCTTTGACTGGTCCCGCTTCTCTTCGCCATCAAAGCTGCCGTGCCTCTGGGCTAAACTGGGTGACTCTGCTTGTTTGGCAGTCGCATCAACAGCTGGTGCTGAGCCTGTTTCTCTTGCTGGGCTGAGCTGCTGGTGAATCAGAGTATCCTGCTCCAATTCCTGCTCAACAGGCTTTTTCTCTGGCTCAGAGTCAGTTTTATCTCCCAGCATTTCAGGAGGGCTCGCTTTGTTGTTGAAGCTTACAGGTTTGAGGCAGTCGCTGGTGCTGACGAGAGTTGCTGGTGGGCTATCACTGCCGTTTGCTGTTGCTCCAGACCTGTCAGAAGACTGGGTTTGCTTTTCTGCCACCTGCATTAAAAAAAGACAGGACAAACTTCTCATGAAATACCTTCATACCCACATAAGTTTTTTTTTTGCAGGATCTTTGAGAATTAACTACTAGCAAGGACCAACTGATACTGCACCTTGTTTAATTTCCTTAGTGCTACTTTCAGAAAAGGACATATTAAGCTGTAACTAATCTATCTTTACAGCTTACTGAAATCATAAGAAATTCAACTGCAAGTATCTTCCAAGCTCAAAGGTAACTTGACAGACAGGAGCCCACACAGACTAGATGGTGTTATTGTTTGAAACCTTATCATATACTACTCCAGAGAGTTTTTTTAAATCCTGGTTCTTTTTCCTCCAGTCCAGCAGTTGTGATCAATACACGATCAGAATGACTTGTTTGTGCCCGGCATACTTACAGACGACCTGTGTAACTTAATGCTTGTCCTCAGAACAAACAGTGCAGTGGCTTATTAAAGTTCTGAAAGGATCAAAATAGTCATCCAGAGAAGTTCATATTTTATTTTTTCCATTTTTAGGTCAAATAATTATAAGATTAAGTCAAATGAACACATTTTGGAGTTTGCCTGTCAGTTATCTGAAGATTCAATCAAAAGCGCCTTGTGAACCAGCAAATGTGGAATTTGTTCATTTAATCAGTCAGACTCAGTTATTCTTCAGTTTGTAAAGCACTAAATCAAAGTTACATCATGACAATTATAAAACATAGTGATATTTAGGCATGTGACTCTCTCCCCACACAGACACATGAACAACAATAATTCAATGATGTCTGCATATGGTTTCCATTAACACCTAGACTGTCTAGCTAGACCGATTAACTGGTTGGCTGATTTTATCAGACTGATTAAAGACATTGTGAAATAGTCTGCACCACATTGGTAATATCTGGCTGGTGTTACCATCTCTACATGAAAACACTCTTCTGACAGAAACACCTGTCATGTTCTGAAATCTATATCATGACTCACCGTATTTTTCTTTATATCCATTTATCTAACGAATGCATCTTAAACATGTTACTGGTCAAGATCATTTATCAGCAGCACACAGTCCTGTATGGTAAATAGTTGATGTAGTTTTGATGAATATAGCAGGAATCACGAGGTTAATTTTGTGCACTGAAAACAACAGTGGTTATAAGGATCAGTTTCCTTTTGATTCAGACATTTCTGTCAAATCATAGCAAACAGCAAAGTTCATGCAGAAATTACCCTTTTTGGTTGTTTGTTTCAAGAAAAACAGATTTTGAGTAACTGGGGGTCATGAGGACATTTCAGCCTTACAGCACTTTGGGAGCACTAAGTTCATATTCTTCTAAAGCATTTACCTTCCAGCCCTCAACCTCACTGACAACAACGCTGGATACAGCTTTTGCTACGTGCACTCAAGTCAAAACCAACTCATACTTAAACAACATGGCATCATAACATCCCCCTCATGCTGTTAAATGCATGCACATTCTGCAGAAGAAAACTGACCACGGTGAAAATCAAACAACAAGCTGAATTCAAGTGTGACAGTTCTTGTGAAGTTCCTCTGTCCTGAAGTTCTCTGTGTTTCAGCTTGTAAAGCAGCTGGACAACCCTCTCTGTTAACAATACGCTTTTACTAATACCCTTGATAAACGGGTCACTTCTTCAGTTTGAAAAACTTGTTATTTGACATAGACTTGAATGTTATTGGAGTTTAAAATATAAAGAAATATCATTGGCATTCTCCTTCCATTAAACATTATTAACAAAGAGGAAGGATAATTGGACTACAGTATGCTGCCATGTTTTGGTGTCATTTAAGGAAGTCGTATATTTGACCGAGGCCATCGTCACCTTTTCTTATTTTAATCTTAGACCATTAAGCTATTCCCAGCATAACTAAGCATCAGAAAACACCTTCTAGACAGACACTGTCACTTTGTGTGGATGTAATGAAGTATAAATTAAAAACTTCAACAACACTATTAAGTAATAAAAATGTAAATAATGTGCAGACAGACAATCAGGAAGTCCCAGCCTTCTCACCTGAGTAGTGTTGGTATGGCTGGCAGGAGCAGCGATGACAGTATCTCCTGATTTCTGATCCTGGTCACTGACTAGTCTCTGTGATCTGTTGTCTCCATCTCTGCGCTGTGTTTGTGGGCTCCGACCAGCGGGCAGGTGTGAATGTGGAGTTTTACCATTGGCTAAAGTAGACTTGACAGATTTTGTGTCCCTGTCTGCTGGTGAGGCAGCGTCCTCCTTGGTGGTCTTGGGCAGCCGTACAACAGTGCACTTAGCACTGGGCTCCTGTGGATGCTGCTGCTCGCTTCTTGCGACTGTCACAGGCTTATTGGAGGTGACTGAGCCATCTCCAGCTCCACTTTTCACTCCTACAGAGTCCACAGTGACCTTGTCACCAACTTGTTTGTTTTTAAGGCAGCGCTTGGCAGCTTTACCACCACTGCGTCTTGACTCACTGTGCGAGTGTGAGGAGGAAGGCTGCGAGGATGACAGTTTGGGTATCTCTGATGAATCCAAGGCAACAGTCTTCATCTCCTGCTCCTTGTCAGTTTTGGTCTCTGTGGTAACTGACTCCTTCTCCTTCTTGTTGGACTGGAGAAGAAAAACCAGGAGCAGAAGCATTTTTTACATTAAGAAGAAAGTAAGTGGAATGAAGTCTCTATTAACAGGATTCTTCAAAATGGTTAGAATTCATCCAAGAACTGATAATAGAGTAGAAAACAAGTGACAGACCATAGAGGCATCATATCAAATGAAAACACAAGCCGGCTTAGACAAAGGCACGTAGAGAAAAATGTTCATGTTACGTGACTCACTTTCAGTGAAGGCCATATGTGAAAAGGAATCTTCTTCTGCATGATGACCAGCAGGAAGCCTCCCTTCTCCTTGTACTGGACTCTGCTACATGAGGCCTCAATTTCCTCCTGCAACTGACATCTCCACTCACGTCCATCTGAAAATGGTTGACATGCAGACATGAGAGTCTCATCATGAGTGCTGAAACTGCAGCAAATACTTAACAGGCAGTTACAAAGTCAAGCATTTAATGTCTCAGTGACAACATTTAAACTTATGTGAAGACTTTGAAGTTTGATGCCAAACACACAAACACGTCTTTTATTGATTTTATTATGTGTGTTAAGGCCAAAACAAAACCCGACCTCCTTCTTTAGATACCTGGATGATTCTGACAGAGAAACTGTGTTTTAATTTTTTAAATGAAACTAACTCTGTTGTATCTGAGTTCAACCTAACATCAGCTTCAGCTGCAAAAATAGCTGTTCTTATTCAGCCACTGTACATGACACTGACCAGAGGCCAGTTTGATGTAATGTTGAGCAAGGTCAGGCACAGCTCACCCAAAGGATTTACTGACTGAAAAGGATCTTGTAGCCTTCTCTCTTATTAGCAGCATTCAATCTGTCCGCTTTTGGACTGTTTGCAGGTTCAGTGTGTCTATCAAAACAAGTCAGTTGTTTTCCAGAGATTCTGCTATGCTGATTTCACTTAACGGATCAAACAGAGCATGTAAAAGGTCAAGATCCATGCTTTGCCATGACGCATTTTTTAGACAGATGAGACAAATCATGAGGGTTTTAATGCATTGCAAAACAACCATTTCTGATGTAATATCAGGGAAACTTCTTGTGCTCTCTCCTCATTCATAGATATTATGGCAATACTGTGGAGCCTAAATTTATTCTTTTTTGCTCAGTTTTTCTTTATTGATATTGCATGCTTTCTGTCCCCAACCCAATTTCAACAACTGGCTAGGAGCCAATCCGGGGGTTTTATAATTTCTTGGGCATATTATTGAGTAGACTGAGCACAATTTGTGTCATAACCCAAACACAATTTAGTGTAACTAGGTTTGGCAAACTGGATAAGAAACTAATAAATCCAACGTTGCTGTAGAACACCAGCCAAAGCTTACAGCAACAACAGCAGCTCTGAAACAGCCTACGGTACCTCACCAGGGACACATGGCTCAAAAGGGGCAAACCAAACAGTCTGTTACACTAGAGTTAGCAATCCTAAATGTTAGTCGTGTAAAATATTTGTACATTAAGGGGGGAAACTTTCAACCAGTCAAACATGTTTGAGGCGGATCCACTGGACTTAATATGTGGATCCCTGATATGAAGACAGGCAAGGCCAGCAAGTCTGTTTTGCTTCACGTTTAATGAAATATAGAAATTTACAAAGTAGAGCAGGGAAAAAAACAGAGAGCACCTCTATTCAAATGCAGCAAATTCAAGTATTAGATTGAGACCTTCTCATGTCTCAGTAAATCAACATCAAAACCTCAGATCTGGGGTGAAGAACAGCTGATTTTACCGACTTACCTGGGAAGCACACATGGCAGTGTGTATCGGTGAAAGTTGTATTGATATCCTCTATCCTTTGCACCCCCTCCCCACAGCGCAGTCTCACAGTCACTTCATTGACATTTTGCTTCCAGTCCACAAACACATCTGAAAAAACAACAACATGGGAACAGTCAGAAACAAAGAGAGGGAACTTCACATAAAGCAATCTTCAACCACAATGAAAATAAAATCAAAAATGTGAGACAAAACTGAAAACGTTAAGAGTGTCAGGATTTGTCTACAGGCCTAAAAATAAACAGAGAAGCTGGTCCCATATGGAAAAATAAAACCAGAGAAGAAGACAAAACACACAAACACACAACAGGACAAGAAAGCCAATAAGGTTTTCAAGTTCGACCAATGGGGAACAAAATGTGTCTCTAGTACACAGAGACTAAAGACAGACACGCACACACACAAAATGAAATGCACCTGCTCACATATTCAGATACAACATATCAGTGTACCCATACGCTCAAGTGGGTCAGTCCAGAGTGCTCGATGGACTCAGGCACAAAGTACAGTGAATACAGCAGATGGGACATCTAAAATTATCCATGCTGCACCAACTGTAAGCTAGCGAACAAATGTTTGACAGCAGATGATCAACATGCGACCAAGTCATGAAAATGTTTTTAAAATCAAGAATCATGACACATCAGGAAAACCAACAAAAAAACTTTACCATTTTTCATGGTGAACTCAACGTGGACGGAGGTTCAAAATAAGAAATCATTCCAGACAAGCGCAGACTGCGCTCTCTTCCAGGAAAGAGGTCACGGCCACACTCGTACTTGACTTTAACCTTCAACAACAACTAGAGAGCCTCAACTTTCTCACAACTTCTTTCGTCTGACTCAACCTCTCCAACTTGAATTTCTCTAGAAAGGTCACAGGCAACATCCAATCCCGACCAGCTGGTGATTCCAGGTCAGCCATGCTGAATATCTAACAGTGCTTTAGCGCACACCCTCATGACAGGGGACGACGTCACACTGTCTCATCAATCATAACTCCAACACATTAAAAACACAATGACATGCTTCAGAGCCAGGGAGTCTATTTGCCCAAGGAAAAAAAAGCATGTCTGCAAAACAGCAGACTTAACATTTTAATTTGAAGATCAGAACTGAAATTTAAATGTAATGTTTCATTTGAATGAAAGTTTTCTCCCTCTTAAACAACAGACACTGTATGATGAAAAACCAGGGAACTTATCTGATATTTACACACACAAAAAAACAACTGAATAGTTCCACATAAGGATATCACACCCTGTGTCTCTTCTCTGACTTTGCTAATAACTGATAAAAGTTGTTTATAAATTGTTTTAGACATTGTTTTTTTGTTTTTTTAAACAGCGATTTAGATTATACCTAAGGGATAAATATGGAGAGGCCAGAGCAGCTTAAACTGTTGAGATGAGTATTATTGAGTTTATGAAAGTGTAACATTTCCATGTTAGTATTTTCATACCATCACTAGCCAAATAAAACATCATATGATGATCATGCAGTTGTGGATTTCTCTCCAGCCTGATCAAATCATACTCACATACACACAAAAAACCACAATTATAATTCAGAAATCTCAATGATTTTAATGTGCCTGTTATCTTCTCGTTTCAAACTGATGAGACATTAAAAAACTCCAGCTCATTCATTCAAATTATATCAGATCTGCCACAAATTTAAATGCTGATATTGAAAACACAAAAATGATGACATTAGACTACTTGTTCAGTTTGAGGTTTGAAGTTAAACCCAAGATTAAGTGGATACTTTCCTGAAGAAACAGTGATTTGTCAGTGCCCTCTAGTGGACAAACGATGATACTGTTGACCTTAAATCGGAGAGGTACCATCGGCCAGAATGTGGGTCTACATGTTTGACTTGTCTTGTCCAGATTTCTGCCATGACATATTATGTTTTTTATTTATTTTTTCAATTATCTAAATCTACAGAGCCCAACAAATTCCCAAAGCAGACAACAAAAAGACAAACAAAGAGCAATAAAGAAAGACAAGTGTACTATGAAAGCTAACCATTGTTTTTTGACAGTATGTTGCTGCCAGATATTGAAGATGGTTTGAAAATGTAGACATTTTTCGAGGTATTTTCAAGGCCCCCAAAAAACGTCCAGTCTGCCAGATAAGAGGCTTAAACTGTCTTGACTGGGAAAATCCTATTGACTATCCTATCCCATTTACTACTGTTTTCTTTTTCTTGTAAGGTGTCTTTGAGTGAAAAGCACTACATAATAAAATGTATTATTGATGTAATAGTGTATTCTTTTTATTATTATTACTGCACTTTGGTAAGATACAGTAGAGTACATGCAACCCTATCTCCATCCAATAATTCTTTCATATTTCATATAAGAAATACGCAACAAGCTGTGAGAGCACAAGAAGTTGAAAATGCCACTTTATGTTAATTGCTGTGTGTTAAACATGCTGTGCTGCAGACAGATTATTTATCATGCATCCACGAATGGTGAGAATACGGTGGGAGGAGAAGCAGGTGTGTAGGTGTGAAAAGCCAAGAGACAGAGCAAGCACAACAAAAAGAGGCTGTCATGATAACAAGCATATCTAGGTGTTGAAAAGCACAGGCTAACAAGTGTCTGGCTAAACAGTGAGTGACACTGGTCCATATTGCATTTAAATGTTAGTCTACTAACGTCCTAATGTATCATAAAAAAGAAGAGCTCAGATCCTTCATTGTTCGATAACACTGTGTAAAACTACGCTACTACTAGTGTCAACCTGGCATTTACTTCAGTGACAGCTATTATCAAAGGTCAAATCTCCTGAGGTGATGTGTAGAGCTGATGTGTGCATCCTTCCACTGCTGTTTCATACGATATTTTCAAACCAACAACATTAATGTAGTTGTGTAAAGACAGTTGTGACTGATTCAGACTTTAAGAGTTTCATGAAACTGTTATCAAATCATCATGAGTAATTATGTTTCATAATTGTGATTTCAAGTTCAACCAAAATAATAGGGATTATGTCTTCAGCTATCATCAAGCAGCCCTAAGACTGACTGCTATCAAAGTTAGTATCTTTATTGATGGATTAATGATTAACAGAAATAAACTTCTGATTAACTTCTCCTTCCTCTGGCAACTGCATCAGGGCAAAATCATTATTACGAAGGCTGCTATGAAGTGCACATGGTTGCAGCATTACAGCTGAATAGCCCTGCTAACTAACTAGCTTTTTGCAAAGGTGGGACACTGAGTTTTGTTGTTAATGAAAAACACTCTGCATCAGGTGTTTCTCACCACACTTAGTATGTGAATCATTTATGTCTAACAAAATGGTAGTTACACAGTACAATTATTTAATTACACTTCCAATTAACTCAGTCGTGTTACAAAATAGCTCTCTAACTTTTCACTGTAACACCCATTTTCTTTGTTTCTTGTTCAGGTGACACCAATAGACAAACACTGGAACAACAGCTAAAGGGTGTGAAATGCCTGTTCAACACCAAAGCATGTTGAATGAAAAAGCAGAGAGATTTTGGCCTCATACATGTGTGCAACCAAATACACTTCTCTGGCATCAGCTTTACACTAATCCTCTTATGGCACTGAATATATGCACAAAAACATCACACAGCAAAAGCAGAGGAACAAAAGAACTAGATTTTTAAGTTATGGGTTTACAAATATTTGATGAGGGGAAAAAAAAAAGATTTAATGTTTCTAACCAGTCTGATAAAAAATTTCAGAAAAAATACACTTGCTTCCTTAAAAAAAAGATCAAGCTTTTCAAAGTTGCAGGCACTGAGAATATACTGATGAATACCTTTCCAGGTCTGAGAGATTTTAAATGCTTTTTAAATTCCCATCTTACAGTGAAACAGTCTCAGCTCCCGTGCTGACGTTGGTATGTCAAAACTGTCAAACAGGTCTTAAAGCTGCTGTTTAATGTAGATGATAATACCTGTGTGCCTTAGCATTTTTGCATAATGATAAACATAGGATAAATATACCAGAATATTACAGGGCGGCCCACATACTACAAATGGAATGTGATTGTGTTACTCTATGAGCAACACCCAGAGAAAAAGTATGTCTACTGGGCAGCCATATTTAGTGAATGAAGCAACACCTTTGAGCATACAGTTGAGTTGATTAAACAACATCTTCAGTCCTACTTACCTTTCTTGACCTCTGCAATCACCCCGTCCACAGCTGCAGCGGCTGCTCTCTTGGCCTCTTGGCTCTCCTGATTGGCCCTGTCCTTCTGCTTCTTCTTACTGATACTGGAGGTCATGTCTGAGCTGTTGTCCCTGCCGCTGCCTCCTCTCTGCTGAGCCCCACCACGACGGCCCGCTGTCTCACTACCAGCCACACCACTACCACCGCTGCTAGCCATTTTTAGGCACTTGGCACTAACAGGCTGCCCGTCGCCGGAATCACTACCGCTGCTGGGGTCTGGATCTGAGGTGTGCCTCTTCCTGCCTGGCCCGGCTATCTTGGCGATGATACTGGTTTGAACTCTCCCAGAACTGAATCAGGAAGGATAGAGGGGGCTGGGGACCTGCAGAGGAGGGCAAAGGAACATTTTAATATTAAAACAAGACATCATTAAGAATCTTCGTTGTTTGACATCAATACATGTTCTGGGGAAAAACCATCGAGCTGCAAATAAAGACTATTTTCACTGTCAACTGGTCATTGATTATAAGAACAATTGTTCAATGAATCATCAAATAGATATTAAACTGCACAATAACTCACTGGTTCTTATTTAGCTTATTTAACTTTTTAATTAGACATTACTCTTTAAACTTTAAATGTGAAATTTAAAAAATAAATTTATGTGAGACAGATGTGTAGCATGGTAAAAGTTTGCTCCACTGTTTAAGGCAGGAGAGGAGGAAGAAAAAGAGGAGGAGAGGAGGAGAGATGAAGTGCTGTGAGGTGGGGACTGAAACTCTAAAACTCACACAGTGGCTCTAATTTGAAACTAAATGTCATTGTCTGTTTTTTGTTTGCGGCTTTTATCTTAACAGTGTTGACCCCAATTCTTTCTGACTCTTTCAATTTTACAACACAACAGTGTTACATCAGTTGCTGCCATGTTGCTACGTTTTATTTACCTGTTGTTTCCCCATTGCTGGGTGTGTCACATGCTCCAAAGATTATAAGGATGCATGAGGTCTCAACTTCCTAAAACCATCTTATATCTTCTCACCGCATGAAAACACATCTGATGATGTTACAACAACTCACTGACTTTTAATTCATCTGCAATCAGTTATGCCATCTATTTCTGTAGATGATACTGACAAATGTTGCACCCTTCAAAGACAACACAGTGTAAAGTTTAAGCTCATCTGAAGGGCTTTCAGTTTGCCTTGATTCTGTCTACCCCTGTGAACAAAGTGGTTACACTTGTTTCTTTACTGACTTTGTCCAAAGTCATGTATTTAGACATAAATGAAGAAATACATCCACGTAGAAATAGATCATCTTTATGCTGATGGTGTGGTTTGCTTTCAGATTCAGACCGAGATATGATTTATTTATTTCAGTTTGCTTCATGGCCAACTCAAAACTCGTTACAGGAGCTTTAAAATAACTCGGGTGTTAATGATAACTGTGTCTTTGCTGACAGCGCTATGTAAATACATGACCATAAACTAAGAGAGGGAGAGACAAAACACGCGAGGGTTTCCTAAAATTATCTCAATATCAAGATTTTTTTTTAAACTAAATACTCTATTCAGCTGCAAATCATACGGCCGAACTGGGGCACTGTGTTGTTTCGTTTTCTTAGCAAACCAAAATAAGTAGCTTGAACAGCCACATGAAAAAATGAGATAGCTAAATCAGCCATTTTATTCGGCGTTTGGTACAGTAAGATAAGAAAAATAAACATGGTTGGCGTGGACAAAGCTCGCTAGCTCACCCGGCACTATCGCTTTCTATCCGCATAGCCGTTAGCTTGCTAAGTTAGCTCTCCAACTGCAGAGGTACGTTTGTTTACGGCACAGGTGACGGGAGGTGTCAGGTGAACGCCGATTTAAGGCGGGTACATTTGCCTAATTAAGTCTTTCCTGTATGTATGCTGTAAATTATCATCCTTTTTGTGTCACACAGAAAAAAAATATGTAATTTGCTGCCTAACGCCAGCACTGAGGAACATTATTAAGAATAACCCAGATCTCGAACGGCTCGTTCACTCTTAACTTTTAACCGTAATGTTACATATTTAAGCTTTCTTGTCTTTTCTTACTATTATTAAGCACCACTGTAATTCCGTACAATTAAAGGGCTTCTGCAACCTACTGTAAACAATATATGCCCCCCATTATCTGTGTCTTCAAACAGAGCTCTGGACGGTTTGTACAATCAAACGCTCCTCGTCTTGGAGAAGCTAATGTCATTAGCCGCATTATGCTAACGTTAGCTGACACGGAACGGCTGATCTAACGACATTTAACGATATTTTAAAAAAACAACACAGCATGACAACTCATGAAACGCGGCCCCTGTATGTGGTGGAAGTGTCAATTCTACATTAATATTGAAACCAGAGACTTACGGAGCTTCAATTTGGCAAGAATTGAATTCCGCTCCTAGCACACAATGGATTCTGCTTCTCCCGGCTGCTGAGCTCCTTCACGGCCGCGGGCCGCGGCGCTGCTGCCCACACTCCAAACAACCCTCCACGGTGTTTCTAGAATGTTCCTTATTAACCGGGACCCATTTCTTCAAACATTTATCTACATACAAAAACAATCAATTGAGAGAGGAAAAAACGGAAGACCTGCTCAGTCCGTTCGAGTCATTTGGCCTCTGCGGTGTGAATTGTTTGGGACAATATGCGCCGCTGCCCGGCCAAGCCTCAGAGCAGTGCGCATAGCCCACTTCCTGGCCACTGCGATCACGTGACCTGTAGCCACTCCTTTCTTTCTTTCTCTGTTTCTAATCTCTTGCGGGTTTATGACGTGCTAAAATTACAGACAACAAATTTCTAAGTAAAATAAGACACTGGGAACATGGACATAATTAAGTGTCAGAAATATCAAATAGTCCTCGTTTAAGTCACGGTTGGACTTTTTAGTATAAATTTAAACAGCCTAGCCGTTCTCAATGACGTTAACTTTTTTGTGCATTTATAAATTTCGTCACCAGTTTGGGCTCAGTAGGACCCAAGCAGTGTAAAATCATAAACTGCAAAATCTGAAGAATGTCTTTAAAAAGAGAGTAGTCACCGCAAAAACGTCCTCATTTGGGGACAGCCATTTTATTGTACTCTTTTAAAAACACAGCAGAATCACAATCGTGCATTATATCGCAAAAACCGACAGTAAATTTAACTGCTGCCTTTGCAAAACAAAATTAAGAAGTAACTTTCATGATAAATAGGTGCTGATGGTGACCAGGTATGGTTGATTTTGTTTAGGCAATTTCCTTTCAACCAACTGTGTCCCTGGGTAACTTATCATGTGGTTGTTCCTGGTCTCTCCTGTGAACCTGACATTTTTTTTTAGTTCTGCCATTCAATGATCACATACAGCTGCAAAGTTTGCCAAGACTAAGACTGTGGAAGGACTCATCAATGGCTCATGGTAGACTCGATAAAAATAGCCTGGGACACCCAATACCCTTGCTGACCCTTGCAAGACAGGGTGTACATTCAGGCCACGAGACAGTTAGTTTTAAATGTGGGATGATATTAAGCACAGAGAATTTTCATTTGATCTCCACACATGGACATAAAGTTAATGTGTCTTAGTAATATGTCTTTGAAACTGAGGCATTGAGTATCACAACCTTTATTCACAACACTGTACATACGTTTACAGTTTTTTTTTTGTGTCTCTGCTTTGGTGGTTGCATACGTCAAATGGTAGATTGGTGATCAGCGGGAAATATACTTACAAAGTCAGTTTCTCTTTATTGTTTTTTGACACAGCATATTACCAATAGTTAATGAGTACATTTTCAAGACAATAAGGCACAGCTAAAGACTATTACTTGAGAATACTATGTCACTTCAGTGAACCATCAAACACTGCAGGTCTTAAATATTCCATCACAGTACATTTGATAAACAAACATTCACACTATGTGCATTACATGTAAAGCATAAATCAAACAAGACTTAAACTGACATCAGTACCCCTCTTATAGTTACAATACAGGAGACAGACAGCCTAGTTTGCAATAAAGGCTAAAAAGGGGGGAATAGTTGGCCTGGTTCTGGTCAAATGCATCATCTACAAGGACAGTTTGCGTTGAACTATCAACAAGTTATCTCTATGTATGTAATCCACCTAAAATACAAAGTGCAAAGATGACAAATTGTGCTTTTACAGTGTTATCTGCTGGATTATTTTCATCATGAGAAGCTGAAACTGGTTGGACTTGACAGAAACCGCCTGCTAACTTCACTGCTATAGCTTGTTAATGACTTTTAGAAGTAATGAGGGTCTTCCTAAGCTTTTTTTAAGCTGGGAAGTTATATTCATGCTAAACTACATCAAAAGACTATTATCTGTAACAACAGTAGTGTATTGATCCCATCAAGTACCCCTTGTTTTATTCTCAGAAGCAAAAGAAATATAAACAGAGCAGTCCTTGAGCTGTCAGAGGGACTTGTAATACCCACATAAAAAGGAATAACTCGAACAGTGACCCCTACAGAATATGTCAAATTTAGTCCTTCAGGTACGACTAAAGAGGACGTATATATGTTGCTTTCACTGCTGTCGTTCAAAATCTCCAAAACTACTGCTTTCCAAGACGTTCAAAAACAGTTTTGCACAAAATGAAACATTGCATGAGTATTAACCACAAGCTTTTTCATAAAAAATTACCTTTTATCTGTTGAATGTCAGAAAGCCTATGACACACATAAAGGGAGGTTGATAGCACTAATCAATGCAAAAACATTAAAACAATGAAATAAGGAGAAACAAGGTTTGCATGACAGCAACAATATATATTTATTTATTTGACGACTGTTGTGATCTGTCATTTAAAGACTATTTTTTAAGCTTCCAACTCCATTCTGGCTGCTATAGCTGTATTGTGCAGATATTTGTTGCATCACCAGTGCTGAGCTGCCAGCATAGATGCTCTTCTCCCTCTACTATCTACCTTATTTATGTGTAGCATTAGTCCACAGCCATCCTCCTACTCCAGGCAGAAGTGGTTCTGGGCTGGGTACAAATATTACAGAGGTAAATAGTCAACTTTTTCATAAACAAAATGGTCACATGTTTGATTCCATGTTTTATGAATGTGTTACAAAAATATGATTCCTCCCAACATAGTTGGTAAACCTTTCTATGAAAATCCCTAAAACATGTGTCCTCGAGCTCCATGTCTCAACACACTTCGATTATACTCAGTTGTTTTGACTGTCTGAGGGAGATTAACTGAAGTCATCTTGAGCACAGCTCAAGATACACTTCCAAAAAGTCTGATAGAAAATGCTGATAGACTGGTATTGACCTGTTGACCCTGAAACTGTCATTTCAGATGAGTAAAAAAAGGCATAGTCAAACAACAGATGGTCTATACTGCATAACATCAATCAAATATGGGAGTTGCTGACTTTTACAGGATACAGCTGAATACATTTTCAGATTCCTCTTCAGATTAAAGACAAAAATTATGCACTCAAAACTGACAAAACATGCAACATCAGACAACCTTGAAATGTTGCATTAGGGGTTTAAATATCTTTGGTTGACAGCAATTGCATTATGCACCTACATGATGTAGCAGTTAAAATATGCATAGTCACTGTGCATATTCAGAGGTTCTTCAACTGTTCTCTTAAGGTCTGCTGTACATTTAGTGAATCTGGAGGGCATGGCAGAAAATCTATGTGCTGTTTTTTTTTATATTTCAGAGTAAATTATTGGCATGTGTTGTAGATCTGGATCTGTTTGTTGATGTCGTTGAGAATGGCTTTCATCTTGTCCTCTAAGCCATCAAGCTGACGAGCTTTCCCCTCTAGTCTCCTCTGGTTCTCCTCGTAGTTTTTCTCCAGCTCTGTGGGAAACAGACATTTCAAGAATGGATAAGCAAAAAGAAATCAGGGCATTACGAGGGACTGTGAGGCGTGCTGCTCTTTTTTTCTTTTTCCCAGTCGATTTCTTCATCTACAAACACACAAGCACAGGTGCACACAAGGATTTCAATAGGCACCTGCTAGTCTTTGGAGCTTGTTCTGGGCATCTTTCAGCAGCTCCTTGGCTTCATCTCGGAGGCTCTCGGCTCTTTTCTTGGCATCCTTCACAGCCTTGGCCTTCGTGTCGACCCGCTGCTGAACCTCATGGTACTTATCAGTCAGCTGGCCGTCCAGTATCTGAGCATCAAGACAGAGCAGAGGTTTTGTGTGTCAGATCTTAAAATGATACACAGGCCCCGCACTTCTGAACACGCACTCTCACCTGCTTGGCTTCGTTCGCCTTGTCTCGAGCCATGGTGGCTGTCTCTTCTGCTCGGGCTGCTGCCATGCTGTTGTTAGCGCGTTTGGTCTTCAGGGCGGTGATCTCCTGTCCCAGTGTGCCCAGGCGGTCCATGGCATCATTTAGGTCATTTTCAGTGTTGGATGTCTCTGACTCAATCTGGGGAGAGAATTTCCGAGCCAAATCATTTCTTTCTGTTCCTAAATAATCTTTAACCCTTAGGTTAAGTGATGCAGGGTTTTCTTATTCATGAATCAACAATGTCATATCTTCATATTATTATTAAAAAGTCTGAGAAATCACTCAATTTTAGTTCTATCCTGTCTTTAGGGTGTTTTTCTCTTAATGCTACATGGCTGCTGGTTTAAAGATATTAAAACAAGTTAAAATAAATCTATCAGGGCTTCTTAGGGTGTTAAGTTTTGAATGGTTTTCGTCAACCTTTTTTTATGGTAGGCATGTTAATTCAAGAAATATTGGCAAACAGGTTATTAAAGGCAACTCTGAGGCGATGTCATTTTTAATTCTGAGAAGAGAAGACCAAAAAAAAATCACTAACAAGAAAATTTTGCCCCGTGGTCGTGATTTCTTTGCTGTGTGTAACAATACTTTTCAAAAATGTGAAAAAGAAGATGGCTGCCTCGCCTCTCCTGGCTATTACTGACTTTAATTCATGTGTTTGGTATTTCAAACAACAGATGTTAAAAAAATAAATGTTGGTTACAGGGCTGACAAATCATAAATTTGAATATTATGAGAAACGGATGATAGCAAATGTGTCAATTGCATTTATTAGCTGAGTCTATGAAATGATGTGATGCTCCATTTTTGCCTTTCCTTGAAAATAAGTAAAGATTTCCATTAATGTTCAAATTACATTGTTATAATGACATTATATAGCCAACATAATCATGAGGTGAGTATCTGATGTTGTAACCACCCAACCTGAGACATAATACGACACATGAAGAAAGTTTCAATTTAACAGCCTACTTTTGCATTAGGAATTAGTACCCCTTATTTTCCAATTTAATCCTACATCCGATCATTGATGGTCATCAGAACAAAGCTCTGACAGTCTAAACTGGTGTGGTTGTTCATACTGCTCAGTAAAAGATCGGCTTTGGCTGTTACCTGAGCCAGTCTGGCCTCCGTCTCCCCAATATCTGCTTTGGCTCTTGCAATGGCCTTTTCAGCTGATGTCTGAGCACTTTTAGCGTCCACCAGGGCCTGTTTCACTGTCTCCGCCGTGGTCTTCACCCCCTCAGCACTGTGCCTAAACATCAGCAACACAGAAACACTGACTTTAAGAAGCGTTAGGCTTCACTGAGTTAATACACTTGCTACTATACAAACACATTGGTAAGACCAGCTCTGCTCTGACCTTGCCCTCTTCGCATCCAGCAGCAGCTGCTCTGCCTTGCGGACATCATCCTGTGTCCGCTCCAGGATTGCATCCACATTGGAAAGGCTGCGGACCCGTTCTTTGATTTCATCAGCGAGATGTCTGATCTGTGAGGGTGAAGCTGGGATGGAGAGCTCCAACACGTGATTTGCCACCGCCTCAATGCTGTCTGGGTCTGCACCCTCCTCTGAGAGAAAGATAAAAAATTTACAAAAGTTAAAAGGTTGTTTTCAGTACATTTTAAGTCAACTTAAAAAATGTGCATTATAACATGATCACAAATAAATCCGAATAATATCAGACTCACGGGTGAGGAAGTCTCTGATCTGTTTGATGAGGTCTCTTAGGTCATTGTTAGAGCGCTCCACTTTGTTTTTCGTAGCCGTAGCTTTATCCAGAGCAGCTTGGGCTTTACTCTTAGCCTCCTCTGCCTTGGTCTTGGCATCTGCCACCTGAGTGAAAGACACATGTTTATAGAAGACACGAAAAGGCTTTTGGGCTTTCTGCACCCTAAGAATGACTTACAACCCCAGGAGCTAGTGTCAATGTTAATTTTAGTGTTAATTTTAGTGCTTTTGAATAATACTGTCTTCTCTGTCTGTCTGTAACTTTGAGTTCTTGCTGCTGTCTTGACCAGGCAGCCTTTGAAAATTAGATTTTCTTATCTGAATAAAGGTTTAATTATGTAAAAATAAGGGAAATAGAAATAAACGAAAGACTGACAGTTATAACAGAGAATGTATCCGCTTTAGCTGCAGTTTTCATGAGCTTTGGTTGTGTTTCTCTGAACAGTTATTCATAAATGTGTTTTTGTGACAATTTTCTCCTACTTCTGATTCCAGTGTGCCCACTCTTCCTTAGATTGGTTTTCTCTAAGGACATATATCTCCTAGATTGCATCTGTGTGCCTTATTCAAATCACACAATAGTCTAAATCTATTTATGGAGATTCAGTCTACATGTAGGAACGCTGGCACAAACTGAAATGGCAAACCCCCAGATGTAAATCTTTGTGGAGTAAGTCTGTAAATAATTTAAGAGCTTAATTCTCACTGCTCCTCCCTTACTTCAGGAAGTAAAAAGGATTCCTCTTAATCTGGTCTAAAGGGAAACTGAAACACTTTAAGACAAGATTTAGTTGAAAATGTCTTGGCTGCAGTCTGATCTGGTCTCATGAGAAATAAACAAAAAGCTCTTCTTCTTTATTTCTTGGTGGAAAGAGGCAGCTCCAGAAATATGTGACACAAAAGAAGATTTAGAGGCCCTACATATTTGATGTTATGTACAGACAACAGCTTGATTTCAAAAGTTTAGTCACACTTGTGGACATTTTCCTGCTCCTCACTTTGGTAAAGAGTCCTTCCACATCCTCCATCGCTTTGTTCAACTCGCTCTCTGCGTGTTTGGCTCTCTCCAGGGCATTGGCAGCTACTGCTACAGCTCCGTTACAGTTCAGCCCTCCACAGTGTCGGTTCCCTTCGTCGTCACGGCAACCTGCACCCCCACATGGACTTTCTTCACAGGTAGCATCACCAGGGGCGCCGCAAACCTGTTGGGACAGGTGAACATGCAATTGCAAATGAATGGAAAGTACCAGTTGCTTGTAACAGTGTAGGAGTGAGAAAGTTTTCTCCTCGTCTGTTGGACACAGCCAGAACATGACGCTGCATATTTGATCAACACTGAGTTAAGACCAGACTTTTACAGTTTGTTGTGTAAGTGATCATTGCAGTACCACTACCCAAAGAAATCTGTGATTGCAAAAGTCTGAACTCTGTTAGACTGCATGTAAAATATAAACAAAACAGACCAGCAAACAGAGCCGGCACAGCTAGCTTAGCTTGTCTTTTGTTGCTTGATGATAAGTTTTAAGCTGATATTTGATTGTATTATTTAGTTAAACTTAATTGGCGCTTGAAATGGCTTTTACAAATGAAGAACTGGATCAAACCTTCTCGTTGATCTTCCTCATGTCCAGGCCCTGTGCTCGGGTATTGAGGTCACCGAGCGCACGCTTGTTAGCAGCATTTTTGCGGTTGAAGTCGTCCTTCTTTACATTGATTAGGCGCTCTGTACGGCGGCGAGTTTCTGCAGATTGGCTCACTGTGCTGGGTGTGGTGGTTGTTGATTCATTGGCACGCCGCTCTGCATCACGAGACTTGTTGTAGGAGCTACGGATGCTGTCATAGGCACCTATGAAAAGTAAAGGAGGAAGTATATTTTTATCAACTCAATGCATTATCTTGTGTAGAGGGCAGAAAATAAAAAAGGGGATGCTTTATGTGTATAAACCAAGCAGATTAAGAAGAAGAAACCTACAACTTCAGAAGAGCTGACCACAGAGAGTTTGATTAGAAGGTGTAAGTGATTCAGTTATGTGGGCCTATTCTCCATCTGCTCCTCCTCACCTAAGAAGTTGGAGTTTTTAAGGATATCCAGTTGACGGTGAAGCTGCTCTGAAGTAAGGTTCAGCTCTTTGGCCTCTCTCTCCAGAGCACTCAGCTCCTTGCTCGCCTCGGAGTTGCTGTCCTGAACGATGGTAAGATCTCCCTCCACTCTGTTCAGGGTGTCAGTTGTCTCACTGATCTGCGCTCTGCAGGGCAAAACAAGCAGTTATCAGTGGATATAAACTTTATTATGGGTTCATTGATTTCAAACATAGCCTACTTTGTTGGGCAAATTGAATAAAGCTGTCACTGGGATTGACAGATTTGGTTTGAATCCTAGGTAATCTCTTGCAATTCTTCTTATATAACAAAACAAATCACTTGAGCCAGCTGCACCTTAGATCTTCAATAAGCTCCATCAGTGTAGCAACGGCTGCAGCAGTGGCATTGCGTGCGTTGACAATCCCCTGAGCCTGCGCCAGCTTCTCCTCCAGGTCTCTGAAGGCTTTTTCATAGGGCCCAGTAAGCCCTGTGGTCTGGATCTCATGGGCACGCTCTGCCAGAGTCTTTGTACGCACTGCCAGGTCCTGGTGGGCAAAATTGTGAAGAGACAGATTATTGTTGACAGCTGATAAATGAACAGTTCATTTTTTTCCCCACATTTGGCTTCTGCAGACGTGGAATAAGAAGCTTTTTTGCATGAAAGTGTACCTGCACAATGCGGTCCCAGTCCCCAAAGCACTGGTGGCAGGGCTGACAGTTTGGGAACTGTCCAGAGAAGCCTCTGGCACACTGATCACAGCGGACACCTGACACCCCCTGCTGGCAAACACAGTGGCCGGTCATCCTGTTGCACTGAGAGGTCTCAATGCCACGCCAGTCACAGTCACAAGCTGGAGGAAGGGACAAGAAGAAGGATAAGGTGTGACACTAATATACAGATCACCTGGATGTACTGTATATATCTACTGCTTTCATTTTAATCTCGACCATCAAAGGGTGCACTTTGCATATAGAGCATCCTGAGTAATCCTACCGGTGTGAAATAAACTCTTTGCTTTCTCTTTCGGGTCAGACTTGAATAGCAAACTTTTCAGAGTCTGCAACACCACCATGACAGAGCTGTCCTTTCCCATTGATCCTGCATTGATCCTAATATTGGTGTGCTGGTGGGTAATTTCACAAGAGCTGAACAAACCTGGGGGACTTTGCACACACTCAGACATGCACACACCCTCAGCACTTGTTTGTCCTGTCTGCTCTTTCTGCCCATAGTGATTCCATTTGTAACACCTTCACTCCTCTGTGAAATTCATTGAACAATGATTTTTTCTTACAATCTTTAGCAATTTTTCTTACTTTCTTCAGAAAGTAGTTTATATGACATTTGAAAATAAAAGCATGTGTTTACAACACTGAGATTCAGGTAACCTAAACAAAAGACAGCCAAAATGTCTAACTGAGAGCAAACAATCTTTCCTAAAAGTTTCCATGAGTCTTCTGATTATATCTCTGTAATGAAGATTTTTGGGGATGATATTTATGAGGTCAATTTCTTCCCTGTCCAATAAAAAACACATATCTCCAAAATGTTTTTTTTTTTCAGGAACATTAAAAAACAATTTTATTCATAAACTACCTTACAGAATAAACCCAGAACACTGTAATTAGACACAATTTGGACCCGTAATCAAAATCTATATTTACACAGTCATTAGTTACCTGTTTAATATTAACAGACTTAGGTGCTTTGCTTGTGATAAGCAATTGTGAAAAACTATTAATAGTGGGCTATCTTACATTTATAGCACATTGGTTGTTAACCTTTTTGAGTCACGACTCCCAATTTAAAATACACTAGTGTCTGTGACGGAGTGTGAGAGAGAAAACAAAAGCAGCTTTGCCTCTGGGGATTAACTTCAGCTCAAGAAATTGAAATGTTATGAATATAACTTCTGTAACTTCTGTGGGGCAACCCAGTGTTGTACCTCATTCCTCTCCTTCAGGAAACAGAAGTTATATTCATAACATTTCGTTCCCTTTCAGTCGATTCACTCGGCACAACACATATAGTATGGGACATGTATACATACCCCGCAGAGCAGCCACCGAACTGAAGTCAAACCTCCAAAACTTTAGTGCATTGTAGACCCAGCAGAAAGGACACAGTGAGCCAGTGAAGAGGCTGTCACATCCAAACGATAAAACCGAACAAAAGTGTGTGGTGATGACCAACTGGCTGCAGTACAGATATCACTCACAGAAACCCCTTTAAACAAGGCCCATGAGGCTGCCATTCCCTTGGTTGAATGTGCCCTCACACCTTGGGGCAACGGGAGACCCCTGCTGCTGTATGCTAAGGAGATAGCCATCACAATCCAGTGGGAAAGCCGCTGCTTAGACAGCGCCTTGCCCTTGGCTGGATTAGCAAAACAGACAAACAACTGGTCACATACACGCACACTCTGAGTGCGGTCTATGTAAGTGCGTAGTGCACGCACAGGGCACAAGGAATGCAACCTCTTCTACTCCTCAGATGCAAATGGAGGGGGGAAGAAGCTCAGCAGATCAAAACTCATAGAGCTATAGGCTGTGGGGATAATCTTCAGCAAATACGCCGCATTTGGGCGCAGTCTAATCATAGATCCATCCGGAGTGAACTGGGTACCAGAGGGATGCACAGACAAAGCATGAAGGTCGCCCAGTCGCTTTGCAGACGTCAAAGCAAGTAGCAGTGCAGTTTTGTATGAAAGAAATTTCATGTCTGCTGACTCAACAGGCTCAAATGAGGTCCACCAAGAGCCTCAAGCACCAGCCCTAAATCCCATGAGGGAACACTGGGTTTAAGAACAGGTCTTAGCCTGCGGACTCCCTTTAGGAAGCGCATAGCAAGAGGGTGAGTGCCTAGCGTCACACCATCAAAGCCAACATAGCTTGCAGATATAGCTGCCAAATAGAACTTAATTGTTGAGAAAGAGAGACCCCTATCCAGCAGGTCCTGAAGGAACGTTAAAACATCCACAATAGAACTCTGAAATGGGAGTACATTTCGGTCCTGACACCACTGCTCAAATGCTTGCCATTTATAGGCATATAGGCCCCTAGTAGATGATGCCCTTGCACTCTGGATCGTTGCCACCACATTTGGGGGCAGACCCTGAGCCATTAAGTTGGATCTTTCAACAGGTAAGCATGTAGTTGCCACAGTTCTGGGCGCGGGTGAATCACCTCTCCTCCCGCCTGGGAGAGGAGGTCCCTGCAAAAAGGGAGCTGCCAGGGCCTCGCTGCCAGCAGACTGATTATCTCTGCGTACCACGACTTCGCCGGCCAGCGAGAAGCCACCAGGATCAGGGAGAGCCCCTGCTGGCACACCCTCTCCAGAACAGACAGAATCATTTCCACCAGGGGAAATGCATTTAGCAGCGTGCTGGGCCATGGAGGAGCTAGCACATCCATTCCCAGTGGAGCATTTCAGTCTGTTATGGAAAAGAACAGGGGGCAATGAGTATTTGCTCTGGAGGCAAAAAGATCTACTTCTGCCCTGCCGAAGCGGTCCCATATCTGAGCGATCACTAGTGGGTGCAATCTCCACTCTCTCACAAGAGGACCCCCCCTGGAGAGAAGGTCTGGCCTAAGGTTTAAATGACCCGGAATATGTGTGGCTCTGAGGGACAGAAAATGAGCAATGCACCATAGCAACAGATAGTGAGACAGTTTTAACAGGGGAAGAGAGCGTGTCCCTCCCTCTTGTTTATGTCGGAAACCACGGTTGTGTTGTCCGTCCTGATCAGAACATGATGGCCTGTCAGAACGGGACGAAAGTGCTTCAGAGTGAAAAGGGTAGCTAATAGCTCAAGGTAATTGATGTGGAGCTCGCATTGTACACGCCTCTCACTGCTGTGCCCTCGCACAGAGACCCCCAACCCCTCAGGGATGCGTCTGTGGACACCCTCCCTATTGGAGATCCCTGTTGTAGAAAACCGGGTTCTCTCCACAGGAGAAGAGCTGACATGCAAGACAGAGTTATCGTCAGCCTCCTCTGGATGTGACGCTGCGTGCACAGCCGGTGGGACTGAGTCCAGCATTGAAACGCTCTCATTTTTGAGGGAGGGTTGTGCTTGGGAGACTGTGTTAAGGGAGTGCAGCGCCTCTCGGGGCTGGACCCCTGAACAAACTTTAAACGCGGCCTCTTTGGCGGCAAAAACTGAAGGGCAGCAGTGTCTCTGTGCTGCTGGGCCCCCTCTCGAGTCCCGAAGCTAGGATGACAGCTGCTTCTTCTTCCTGGGCACTGAGTCCCTCTGAAGGCTCAGTGGCGGACCCTTGTTCCAAGCCGAGGGGCGTGGGTTCTGACCGGGTACATGCCGCTTCACCGGTTGGGGCCCCAAACTGGCGGGCGCTGCAGTCCTCTTGGGGAGAGGCAGTGGTGCCAGTTTGTGCAGATAACACTGTTGTTTGGGCCTCGCATCACGCCTGGGGATGATGCTTCTCAAAGCTTCGGTTTGTTTCTTCCTCAGCTTAAACTTAGCCTGAATGGTGTCGAGGGACTGCCCAAACACAGGCTCGTCAAGATAAACCCCTCTGTCCCTATCCGGAACGTCGGAGAGAGTCAGCCACAGGTGTCTCTGCGCCACCACAGTGGAAGCCATGCCTCTACCTAGAGAGAGCGCTGCACAGCGGGACACACGGAGAATGTAATCTGTGGCGACCCTAGCTTCATTGAGGAGAGGAGAAAGCAGACTGTCAGGAGGCATACACAAGCTGAGTTCTGCCAGACACATAGCCTGATATGTCTGAAGCATGGTGACAGAGCTTAGTGCACGGGCTGTACTAGCCAGTCACCTGTAAATCTTATCCAGCTGTGACGCTGAAAACCTGCAGTGCTTGGATGGGAGCGTGATGGGGCCAGATAGGCTGCCAGGGACGCCTCCAAAGGCGGAGGGTTCACCGAACCAGCTTTTTCAGCTCCATCCAGATCCAGAAACTGTCCACAACTGGGCACTGTGGCGCAGGTGGACAGCGGCTTGTTCCATGTCGAGGTTAGTTCTGCAACAAATCCGGGATCATGGGCAAACTGTTCTTAACAGTCGTAGGTTCGGGTGGGAGAAAAAACCCTGAGAACCACGATGTTTTTTTGAGCCGGTGGAGGAGGGGGCCATTCTACTCCCAGTTTCTCAGCTTCACGGCAGTACAGTGAGAGGAAGGATGTGGTCCAGCTCAACCGGTGCAGCAGCGGCGGCATACTGACCCAAAGACAACGGCTCCTGCTCGTCCTCCGAAAAGCCCTGCACGTCCAGGCCGATGTCCAGCACGTCATCCTCCTCCTGGTAACAAGCTAGCCCAGATAGCGGGGGGGCCCGGCTCAAATCCAGCTGACCCGTCAGCACACTCCACATGGTCTGCCCAATTTCCAACTGAGCGTTCGACCAGAAAGTCCTCACCACCGGACTCAGACGAAGCCAGGTCCCTGGACTCGGAGAGGAGGGGATTGTGCAGCGCAAAAGCGTTTTTTCCTAGTATTTTCTCCACAAACTTGACCCACCTTCCCAGGGTTGAGCTCTGAAGCCGGTGAAGGACTCACGCGACTTGGGCTCAGTCAATGCCCTCCTGGCGTGGACAATCCCCAGGCAAACAGGACAAGCCTCATGGAGATCTTTCTCATGAAGGGACAAGGCGCACTCCTGAGGACAGGGGCGAACAGAAGACTTCGCCTTTACTTTCATGGGCACAGCGCTCATAATAAGACGCAGAAGCTGAACGAAATTAGCGCTCTGCGGGTAGCCGCAGGCTAACACCAACAGGGGCAGTTAAGCTAAAATCGATCAGGCAGTGGCCACAGACAAGACCAGGCTAAGCTAGCAGCAGCTAGTTAGCCCGACTCAGTGGAGGTGTTCTCAGCGGGGTGAAGAGCGTAAGAACTGAAGGATGACTGTGGTGTTAGCAGGCAGAGCCTCCCAGACGTCACCACAGATCATCTGCCTTAAAGGGGTGTGAATAAAGGTGTCTTCAGTCAGGCCACGTGGGGGCGTGATATTCCATACTATATATGTTGTACCGAGTGAATCAGCTGAAAGGAAACTAACGTACAGGTAAGCAACACTGTCATGGTTAGAACAAAGTTTGAGGTCTGCATCAGTCAATGTGAGGACATTAGTGTAGCATTACCCTGGACTGTAATGAGTCTGTCACAGTGTAAAGTCTGTTTGCTGACATGACAAGACAGGGCCAGGGTAGAAGGTACGTGCTTTGTTGACACATTCTACAACCGATAGAGATACTTGTTGAGAAGATGATGTTATAAAATGTCCTTCCATCAGTCATTTGGATACTCAAAGCTACAGGTTGTTAGGGAAGATTATGGACCATGCATGTATTGAAAAAAGTCTGTATCGCTAAAAGTGGAGATACGTGTTTTTCATCAGACAGCGATGATATGTAGTATTAGGGTTTTTTGTTTTTCTAAGTCTCAAGATTTACCTTATAAGTCTTAAAAGCATACAGAATTTACCTTATTTTGTATGTGTCTTACCTCTGCACTGTGTCCTGGGATCCCCCCAGTAGTTCTCCTGACAGTCTGTACAGGTCCTCCCTCCAAAGCCATCCCGACACTGACACTGTCCAGTGAACTGTAGAGCAGAGAGGAAAAATGTGACGCTTGACACATCAGTTCTTCTTGTTTCTGTCAGTGTGAATGAATTCAAGTGAATGTAAATGAATGTGAACAGGTTTGATTAATTTTAGAACAGAGAGATATGCATGTTTGAGTGTGCAAAGGTCGGAGTGTTCCTGACCTCGTTACACGAAGACGTGACTGAGTTGTTGGGATCACAGCCACAGGATTCACAGCCCCTCCCGCTTGCGAGGTTCCAGTGGTTTGGGGCGCAGTGGTCACACATCAGGCCCATGACATTTGGCAAACACTGGCACTGCCCTGTGGCGCGCTGACACACACAGTCCTCACGCTGCATACACTGACTGTTTTCAGTGCCCAAGAAGTTGCACGTGCACTCTAAAGGGCAAAAACATCAGAAATTATTCCATCATCATCATAGTACAGTTACTTCAACACAATATTCATGTTAATGTCAATCATCTTCAGATGTCACTCACTCCTGCAGTTGCGTCGGGATGCATCTCCAAAGTAACCGCTCTTACAGATGCCACAGTTCGGGCCCTCTGTGTTGTAAAGGCATTTCCTGCATTCTCCAGTCCGCCTGTCACAAGAGTCCATGTCTGACATGTCGATGTTGTTGTTGCACTGGCACGGCTGGCAGCGACCTCCAGGCTGAGAGGGGTTGCCGTAGTAACCTGGGGCACATTCCTCACATCTGGCCCCTAAAGAAGACAAAAAAGAAAAAAAAAGTTAAAATGTAAACAAAGAGTGTAAGCAGAAGATTTTACTATTCAAAACGAAATAAACTGCACAGCTTTATCCCAGCTGTTTTTTTAAGTTTGAAATCCCATTATGTTTGAGTGTAAGACAGCATGAGGCTGAAAACTTGTGAATATACAGAAAAGGAATAATAAGACGCTTTTGCTTTAAAGCAATGAGGACTCTCTTGATTGGCCTTTTTTGTGGATTCCTCTGTTTAAATCCACCTCTGTAAAAATTTAGTGATGGATTTTTATTTTGATAGTACATTAAATATGGAATTTAAATTCCCCTTTGGGGATAAATAGAGTTCTCATCTTATCTTCTTCCTATAAGTACTCCCCCTGCCTTTTGTGGGTTCCTCTGATGGATTTTCTTATATTTCTTGCATATCTTGACTCTTGCATTTTGGCTGCTAATTTAAATAATTTAAAACTGCATATTTGTTTATTAAGGAGGCAACCCATGACCCCCCACTTTGGGAACCACTTGTCATAGGAAATGGAGATAAAGTTGTGTTTGGGTTGTGTCTGGTTGAACTGGCATATAAAAACTTAACCAGCACAGGCATGTGGATGTAAACCTACAAGAAGGACCAAATGCTGGTGGTGCTAGCTCTGCTATTGTTAGCCACACTATGCAAACCAATCCCACACCATGTTTTGCCTGTGCTTACAAAATTTCCCTTTAAGTACTGCTAGCACAGATTCAAAAATGTCAACACTATCAGAAGCTACACTGCTTCCGTTTTGTTTGTAACACAGTATTCAGTCCAGCATTTGGCTCAAAGTCTTTCTGCAAAGCATGGACAACATCAAATTCAGACAATCCTATAGGAGTATCAGTTTGGTTACTAAACATCACTCATTGGTTAAAAAGCTCTCATTAGTTCAGGGTCTTCAATCACACCTCCCTTCTCAGGAGATTATGCAACACATCATCACTAAAAGTATTAATTCCATTATATTATTCCATGAGTCTATCCAGAAAAATCCATCCCGGCTGGTAATTTAGTCTCCCATGGTGCTGCATATCACATTTGGCTGATATTACAATCCGTCAGAAACCACTGCCATAGACTATACAACACAGCTAAAACAACAGTAAGGTCGTATCTGACATTCTTCAGCCTGTTGGGCTGTTTCCTCCTCACTGTTACATCTCATTTACTCTCTCTTTAGGTCAGACTCAAACAAGAAATACCTGGCATATTTGAGTGAAGCGGAAAAATGAGAAAAGCAGGAAATAAGAGAGAGAAAGTAATGAAAAAGTGGGGAGAGGAAGAGAGTAGGGCTGTGCTAGTAAAGCTAAAACTGAAGTACATGGGAGATCAAATCAGAGGAATATAAAGAGTAAGAGGCAGCTGGATGGGGGAAAAGAGCAGAGAGAGTGATGAAAATAGAAATAGAGCAAATGCTACTTGTTCATTGTGCTACATCTTCAAGAGCAGAGGCAGTCACACAGTTCAGTTTTTGTTTCACTACAGCTCTTTTCTCTGTAAAAATTTCTGCTAAAACATCATCCCAACAGAAGTCATTCACAGATCAAGATGAACAGTGAAATCTATGTCAAACAAGAGAGAAAGAAGCTGACCCAGACTCTGAATCAATCAGCACATGCGTCCAAACCTGAAGCCATATTACCCATCTTCATGTTTTCTCCACCTTTAAGTAATTTAAGCACAAAACCAGACTTTTTGACACAATCGCTTCAAATTATGTGATTCTGGGTCAGGTCCTTGTGACGGTGTATCTACACAGACCTGGATCAAATCTTGTCATCATTATTCTATCAGCAAACCACCCAAGGAACAATTTCTTCCTCCTTTTTTAAAATCACAGCAGATTTTCTCCCCTTTCAGACATGAATCGTATGAAACACATCAGTATCTAGAAGGATTTGATGTTATTCTTTGAGCCAGGTCTCACACAGAGGCGGGAGCGCACTCCGGCACAGCACTGCTGATGGAGGGGTGCTGAAGCCATGCATGGGGAGGATTTCAAGTGAAGGGTTGGTGGAAAAAAGAGGAGAAGGAGGAGGAAGAGAAGGGGGGGGCAGGGGTCAACCATCATTACTCACGCTTAAAAATGGTCGCCCCGGAGCGTTTAACAATCCCTGAGCCAGTAGTACAGGGGGAGGGAGGAAACGACACAAGTTACCATTTCACAGAACCCACTTAAAAACATCTTTCTTACCTCATTGAGCTGCTCTGGAAGAGTCTGATTCAGTAATCTGAGTTCACAGACCTGCTCCAAAAGTAGCTGTTGGATTGTGCTGAGCTCCTCTTATAAAAAGAGATGGGACCGATCTTTCCCTCAGGGTGCTTGTTGTTGTTTTGATGACTCTATTTCTTAGTCTTTAAGCTAACATGCTTACTAATTCAACACTAACATGCTAATGATTGTTAAATAGCTATCCATAGATATCAGTATATTAAGTTTACTGACTCTGGTGAGAATTTCCCTTTCAAAAAATAGATAAAACAACTCCAAAATAGTCAAGGAACAATTCTGATTTGTTGCTAAATTTCTGTAAATGAACAGCATTTCTGCCAGTCTCTTCTGGACCTGTGTTTAATGCTGATTAGCTTACACTTTGCATATCACACAGCAGGTTCACTCATAAAGTTAAAATAAGGAACTACATGTCTGCAATGTCACTTTGCTCCATTCTCAGCACAACAAAAATGCTTCATACACTCCAACACTCACAAATTGCTTTTTTAAAATTATCATGCAGTAATCACCGCTTTCTGGATCTTAGTTCATTTTGTATGTTTGCTGTTTTAGTTGTATGTTATATTTATGAAGAGCACCCTGAGAAAAGTTCAAAACAACAGTTTAAGCTGACGTAGTAATAAGCTTTGAATGGAACTGAATCCTAATGAGCACTGGGAGTTTCCGAAAAATAAGAATGAGAGGCGTCTGTTCCAGTAAAAAAAAATCTATCAGCAGCCTCGACTTCAGGCACTTGGCTAGGCTAAAAAGAACCAGTCAAAGGTGGGTGTGCAAGAAAAAAAACAATTAAATAACCAGATGGAGAAGTGAACCTCAGCCTGCCTGTGATGAATTTCGATTGGTTTCATATCAGCCAGAATGAGTTTGAAAATATCATTTGAAATATTCACAAAAATCCAACATCAAGCATCCCTCCTAAATGTAAAAGCTTCCAATGAACTGCTGAAGTGTCTTTTAGCTTTCCATCAGAAGTGTACTTTCTGCTTTTGACTCAGCTAAGGTCTGTTTCTTAGACATGGTCAAAAAGTGCCTCATGAAGAGCAGAATGATGAAAATAAATGAATTTCAAAGTGACAAATATTACAGTTACACAGACACACACACACACACACACACACACACACACACACACACAAACACACATCTGAATACACTGATGATTTTATCAGCATTATTAGCTTGAGCATGGAGACATAAACAGAGCAGAGGACTGAAGAGGAGAGAGGGAGACTGTTGTCTGTTGTTTACCTGTGTAACCCTGGTTACAGTTGCAGATAATTTGTCTGTTACGGTTGTCCTGGTAACAAGATGCAGCAAAGTGGCGTCCACTGTTGGGTCCGTCCGGACAGGGGCATGGGCGACACTGACCTCCGGATGCAATACCCAAAACTGGGTTGCCATAGTAACCATTGGCACACCTAAAAAGAGCACCAATCATAAAGAACTGCCAAACACCGAATCGATTTTCTCATAGCCTTCAAAGCTCATTTCTCCGGCTGAAACATCACCTATCACACTTGTCTCCTCCAGTGTTGCCTCTGCAGCCGATGCAGGCACCTGTCCTCTGGTCACACTCGTCAGCATGTCCGTTACACTGGCATGGACGGCAGCTCGGGAAGCCCCAGTGACCCGCTTGGCACCCGTCGCAGCGCTGACCAAATGCTCCCGGGCGGCACTGGCACTGACCAGTAAACTTATCACAAAGTCGAGTCACAGAGCCTTCCAAGCTGCAACCGCAGGCTGGAAAGAGTGAAGAACAATAGAAGATAGAAAATCATGTGAAAAATGATATTTTGAATGAGGGGTTTAGATTTGCAACTGCACTAAGGGACAGTAGAGGGCACCAGCAGCACAGCATGTCATAGGAAGGAATTACACATAAGCGTCCTTTTATTCAGTATTGTAAGAAAACGAGAGTACCAACAATGTTCGACAAAGTATGAGCTCTGAAATTTGTCCTGAGAATAAGTCTGTATATCAATAAGACTTCTCTTCAGAAATCTTGAACCACAGCTGTAGAAAAGAAGTGGAAATCTGTATTTAGAAAATGTTTATTCCTCATCTTTTTTCCTTCAAACAGATCCAGAGAAGTTGAAATAGCCATAAGTCACAAACCTACGCAGCCGGAGGGTCCAAAACCATATGTTCCTGGCGCGCACTGATCACAGCGTCGACCAATCACATTAGGTCTACAGCGACACTGGCCTCCACGGACATCACAAACAGAGCTGATAGACCCTTGAGGGTCACAGTTACATGCTGGAGAAGGACAGAGAGGTACAGACAGGAAGTTCATGAGCTTCTAAAAGGTGATTACATCATGCGCATCAAATTCAGAGAAGAAGAAAAACAAACATCTGCTGACAGAAATTATAACTATGTCTGCAAGGTCAATGTTAAAGAGGTGAGTAAAAGCAGTTCTGGATGATAAAAAAGCAATTTATATCCTCACCATTTTAATCACTCTGTCAATATGGCAGACATTTTTTTAACAACATATACTTGTTTTTTTAACATACCTAGGGCTCCGTCATTTATGATAGCTGACATGCTGGTGATGAGTTTCGCACAAGTGTCACTCATCAATGGGCGGGTCACACTCTTGGCCCCCTCATGGCAGCGGTACCTCTCATAGGTCTGCCTCCTGATGTTAGAAGCTGGATCCCCAGCATTGAACATCTCCATGGAGGAGTGGCGTGGCATCAAGGCTATCTGTGGAAAGAAAAGTCAGAGATTACCGAGCTGAGAGTGAGAAGCAGATGTTTGTGACTGGAATGAAAATGACAATTTCATGAATCAGTAGGAGATTCCAGAAAAAAAAGGGGTCTCACAGAGTCTACAAGGAGGACGGCGTTGGCACCTCCATTAAGGAGGATGCTGTTGGCATCCTGATAGCGTGTGAATTCAAAACGGAGGGTGTAGGTCACCCCTCTCTCCAGACACACCGTCTGAGGAGGGACCACAAATCTGAAGAAAAGACCAAAAGCAGAGGGTCAACTTATGTGAATCTGAATATATGTGTGCATTTCTATGTGTGTGTGTGTATGCGTGTGTGCACTGAGATAACAGACCTAGCTCCAGCTGGCAGGGAGACAATGATTCTGTCATCATCTGGGATGGTGTTTCCACAGGGGCTGCTGGTAGGAATCAGTCCTGGACGAATCACTGTTATCCGCACCTCCTCCCAGTCTCTGGGCATCTATGAAGATTATTGACCTTTATTATAGATTATTGAATATAGGAATATAGAAAAATTAACATTCTAGGTTCAACCTTAAAAAATACATGATGTTTACACACAGACCTGTGACTCGTAGCGAATCAGCAGGTCATACTCCATGGAGTACGGGATGTCACTGATGGTGAACTCCAGGACGCCACCTTCAGGTACCCGAGCAAACCCTATGCCGGTCCAAGTGGCGGGGCGACCTTGCTGGTGCTCCCTGGTCTCCAATGTGCAGCCCTGATGGTCAAAAGTATTCAAATGTTTAATAAGTTTTACACGGTTACACTTCTCCACCAATATGTTCCCATAATAAACACGAGTTGTTTCACCTGCTCCATTTTGGCCAGCTCAGCTTCATAAAGGTAGTGATCCAGAGCCATGAAGTAATATCCAGACTCCAATTGTGTACACTGACGTCCTGTCATGTGACTGCGGCAACGACACTGACCACTCTCCATGGAGCAGCTACGGAGAAAATACATTCGCAGCTTTGTCATATCACCACTACAGCAGACAGCAGCTTCCTTAATACTTGGTCTACCAAAATTCTGCAACTAATAGAATGACCATGTCATTTTGACTAGTTGACTTAGTCGAATCAACAACAACATAACTATAAACAGTTATAGTATGTATAACCTATCCTGAAGGGGATATTTATATCCAGTGGTTAAGAGTTGAAATATCTATCGGTCTCATGGTGGGGCTAGAGGTCAAAGGAACACCACAATCAGTTTCATTGGAATAAATGAGTGTCAATACTACTTTGTCAATACATCCAACAGCTGCTGACATTATGGCCTGGACCAAAGGGCCCCAGCAGCCTCATACTTCAGGTTTCACCTTTGACTCAGGATGAAAGCTACAGAGTCACTCACTGGTTGTCCAGGGCTCCTCCGATGTCACACTCACAGCTTCTGCAGCCATTCAGGTCATGGCTCAGAGCCCAGTGTTCAGGCTAGGAGACACAAAGAACGACAGACAGAGGACAGCGTGAGCGACCGACAGAGACAGAAGAGGACAGGGCAAACACTAAACAGACAGACAGCTGAAGAGTTGAGCCCCACAAAGACATGATGCATCCATCTTAGTGCTATTAGAGGGTAAGAGGGGAACTTCCACCACAGTTTGACTATCTGTATCAAGCCCTCTTATTCCATAAACATTCAGAGCCTTACTGCCAATTTCCTGTCAAATGACACCATGAGAATCTCCACTCCTCAAAAAACAGCTGACTTAACAATGTGCAGAGTAACTTCTTTGTAGTCAGCAAATTCACTTTTAAAGTTCAGCGTTTTGGATGAGGGGTTCGTACTTTTAGTGAATTTGGTGGTTTCTTGCATGTCGTTACATAAGAATCTGGTTATTTCATTACTGTTCAGCTCAAGTTTGGGATTCAAACTCTGTCATCCAGTCAGACTAAGAGACACACTGATCTGAGCTTGTTGTTGTATGCTGGTGTATTAGCCTGAGAAGCTATTTAAGGAGAAGTAATGACATTAACATGTACTCCTCTGTGATGGGGCATCATGTTAAAGTACACCATTTGTTTTAATGAAAACTTTATAAATTAGTAACAGTTTTGGAAACTTTCTCAAATTTGTTAGCTGAGACTTTAAAAAGAGGCTCCACAGAGATTATCAGAGGACAGGCTCTACTTTGGGAGCAGGTCCAGGCCCCTGACCATTTTAGGCTAGCTGTAACCCACACCTACCGGACAAGCCACAAATCCCTGGACTAAAATTAGATCTGGTGCCAAGGCAGGAGCTCACATTCCTGCCTACACTATTCCTGGCTGGGTAGGTTTGGGACAAGAGGCTGAATTATAATAGGGAGCTGATCACCAGAGGGGTGGGAGGAAAACAGGAGAAAGAAATACAGAGTCGAGAGAAAGTGAGCCGCACTGATATAGAAGCAAAAGGAGACCGATACAGAAGACTGGGGCTGTTAGGTAAAATGTAAGGATGATCCAAGCAAACAGAGTGGCCAAAAAGAGGCTCTCAGTCCCTCTCATATTAACACCACTATGGCTAAAGACAGGATGAAAAAGTACAAATGACAGAGACAAATATTTGAGCATTTTCTTTCAAGGAAACAAATGTCAGGGCAAAAGGACAAGGTTTATGTCCCACTTACTCACCAAACACTGGTCACAGCTGCGTCCAGTGACAAGACGCTTACAGAAGCAGTCTCCACTGACCGGGTCACACTGGGAGTTACCTGACACTGTTCCTCTGTGATCACAGCGACAAGCTGGGGGCAGAACACAGACAGCAACATTGGTGAGATTCCCCAAGGAAAGATAATGAGTTACAGCAACACAATAGAAAAGTTTTTGATGTAAGGTAAATGAAGGGTTAAGAAACAAGCTACAACATTTATGTGTTTGTTTACCTCAACTCTCACTAAAAAGTTTTATCATCTTACAGTCACAAATATTTCAGATAAAATGGAGGATAAGCAGCTTCAAATGGGAGACAGGTCACATCACTCACTCTCAGTACAACCATAACCTAAAGAAGCATGGTTGCTAGGAGGTACACTGCAAAAACTCAAATCTTAGCACGTGTTATTGTCTTATTTCTAGTAAGAGATGTCTTATAAGGCTTGATCTAAGCCACATCCACATAGCAAGTCTAGAAATGTCTTCTTTTAAGACAATACACACCGAAAAATAAGACCTGAAATACTTGTAGTTTTTCTTATTCTATTGGTCTATTTGTTTTATTCAAACTTTTATTTTTGGCACATAATATCCTATCTAACAGCCATTTTATGGACCTGTCAGGCATTCGTGCTTAAATAAGTCCATATAAGACCCAGTTTAATAGAAATAAGACTGAAGGAAATCCTGACTAAGATTAAATTGTTTTGAAATGTGAGTTTTCTTTTCCTGTTTTAGGTAACACACAAACACTGCCTTGTCTTGGAGTAGAAAACCATAGTTGTTGTGACATTTCTGCAACACAGTGTGAGTTGTAAAAGACTCTGTACTCACGTTGGCATCCCTGAGGATTGTCAGCACTCAGACCAAAGTAGCCGGTCTTACACTTGTCACAGCGCGGCCCCTCAACATTTGCTTTGCAGCGGCACTGACCTCCCACCATGCCCAGGGAAGGGTCGGTGTGGCTGTCGCACATTCCTCCATTCTCTGAACCATCGGGGTCGCAGTCACAAGCTGTGTCAGGGAAGACCGGAGGAGGCAGGTTATGGTGGATTTAAGAGCATTCCCACGCTTAGATCACTTTGGTTAATATGTTGTGAAATTGTGCTCTCGCATGGAATTGTCATGTTGTGTTTAAATTGTGTTTTAGTTTTAATGTGATTAGACTAACAGGATCCTAACACCCCCGTTTTTAACATTCATCAACCCTTATCAAAGTTAATGTCATGTCTGTTTGTTGTATTTGCTCATTCTTACAAACAGCCTATGCTAAAAAATTTACACTTGCTGGGACTCTGGACTGCAAGGTCATTCTTAGGACAACAGCATGTAAATTAGAATCAAGAAATGTCTGTTTACTGACTAGCATTGACTGCACAATTTATACGACTGTGCTTGAAAAGGGTGCAGAGCTGTGGTGGGCATCGCCTCATGGAAAATGACCTTTTCTTTAAATTATGAAGTACATATGAACATCTTAACCCTTAGATGGGCTGAAACGTCTCAGATTCAGGATACCTGACAAAGTTAGAAATGATCGAGAGTTTCGGCAATTTTTTTTACTTTCTTGCAAAATGGGTATAATTAAACATGGTGCAAATTAGTTACAAACTTTGTCATTAAATAAAACTCTTTTATTCTAGTCAGTGAAGTTAAAGGGAATGTGGCAACTGACCTGGCAATATACTTTAGACTGGTGCAAAGGATTATACCAAAGGAAGGGTTTGTTGATTCATTTTTTTTCTTCTACTCAAACAAGAAGTGAAAGAGTTTTGTTACGGCTGTGTGTTTGTTTTGCATGTGTTTTTCCCCTTTTGTCTCTCCATAGCTGCCCAGGTGAAATCACTTGAGTGCCAATCAGACTCACCTGGTGCTGGGAGTCTAAAAGCCCAGAGCTGCCTGCAGTCTGGAGAGGCATTTGGTGGGGAACTGCTGCCCTGCTGCCTCTCATTTGTGTTGTGGGTTCTTTGTGTTTAGTTCGTAATTTTGTTATTTGGTCAGAATAAATCACTTGTTACACTTTTGAAGGTGTTTTGTTAATTTAATGGGTCAAAAGATGAGGATAGTTGTTAGCCCCATAGGGCCGCCTTCAGGTCAGTTTGAAAAAAAAAAACAAAAAAGAGGATAATTGATCGTGTTTTTACCAAAACCTAAACACTGTTTTAGAGAGTGATGGTTTTTGTTAAAGACCCACTCTGATGAAAATCATGTTTTTCATGTTGTCTACATGTTCGTATGGCATTTTTCTGATGCAACAGGACATATCATGATCACAGCTTTAAGAACACTGATAGCACTTAAAGTAGTATAAATAAATTATAATTGGAGTGGGACTTATAGGACTGACACAGGATCAGAGTCTCTTTGCGGAATGCATGGGACAAATAAATGAGAGAATTCTGCAGAGCTACAGCGTCTGGTTTCTGGTTTCAGAAACAGCATATGTCTTACCTAGACTGCAAAAATAATTGTATTGTAAAGCTACTGCAAAGCTTAGACATTAACATTTTTATAGAAACTTGAAGAAGTAGAGTCAAGTACAGTCACTGAGTCTATTTTTATGCCGAGAAGTGAACCAAAGTAAAGCCAGACTACATTATCTAACTTCCTTTTGAGGTTCCTGGTCCCTCATGCAGTAATGCCACTGCAGTGACATCACACACCTTTCCTCCAGATAATGCCTTCAGTTAGGTCTTCAGTTATTCTCAGATGATACTTCGATGTAAAACACAGCAAAACACACTCACCTATGCAGACCCGTGGGTCTCTGATGTCCTTAAAAGGGTCTTTGTAGTAGAAAGGTTTGCACGTCTCACAGTTGCGTCCCATCGTGTTGTGTTGACAGTCATCACACACTCCTCCGCTGACGTTTCCAGTGGCCAAATACACCGCCATGTCAAAGTGGCACATGCTGGAGTGGCTGTTACAGTTACACTCTGGTAAAAAAGGACACTTGTTTGAATGGGATAAGTCATTTCTAATGATTTTGTCTATCTTTCATCAGTGCTGTTTTTGTTGTCTGGCTGCTGCTAGCAATGCTGGTTTAAGGTGACTAAAACTCAAACTGAATAATTGATGAAATGGAACACTAAGATTGTTGAGCTACATCAAAAATTTTACAGGCTTAAGCACAAAACAAGGTCAACTACGCAAACAGAATTTACAATAAACACAGATGAGGATGTAACCTAGTGCAGCAGATAATATCACTTTGCTTTTTAAACTTTTGGATTACAAGTCTGTGACAATCTAATGCTTTCTCCTTTCTCCTCTGCACTCACTCTTGCAGGCGTTGGTGTTGCGTCCCTCAGCTGGTCTCCATGGCAGGTCATTGTAGAAGTCATCACATTGCTCACAGTTCAAACCCTTAGTGTGGTGGTTACAAACACACCTGCCGTGAACCTTTAAAAGAGAAATAAGGGTTAGATAAAGCAGTTTAAGCACAAATGAAAACCAAGACTCTAAATATTATATTTACCATTCCTTCTATATCATCCCTGATGCCATCGATGGGTGCACACTCAGAGGCGTGGCCGTAGCAGAAGCAGTTTCCACGTACGACGAGCTCATACATGGCGTAGTAATACTTTTCTTTGATTTCAGCTCGAGGGTCCAACAGGTTGTCCCCCAGTGTGTGAAGCTTTGTGAAGTTAACTCTCAAATTGGTGATCTTAAGCTGGTCTGATGAGGAGAGGACAAACAGAGAATAAGAGAGAAGGAAAAGAACACTGATATGTTTTGGGGGGTTTCTGTTATATATGCTGGTAGCCTGTTGACTGCTGGTATGGTACAAGTTGGTTTGTTTCATATACATTCATTACCCAAATGAATAAACACTCAGAACTTAAGCAGTTCTGCTCGAGCAAGAAGAGGAAGTTAACGCTGGTGAAGCAGAGCCAAGAATGAGGCAAAGGATTATGGGTGAACAACAGCTAATGATCTGTGATGGACTGAGGATTAGTTAGACCTCTGAGGTTTCGGGCAGCTTGTGATCACTCATGTAATTACTTGATAATTTTGTCCAACTGGTGAGATTTTTCAACACAGCATTAAAATCTTCCAATCAAACACAACAAACAGTGCAATCAACGTTATCACATGCGACACTAGACCAGATATCACCTATAAAATTAATTTAAGTGTATTTATGTTATGTTACAATCACTTCATTTATAACTCAGCTGGATCAGTATGAGCAAAATAATCAAAATGTCAAGTTTGTTCAATCCTGTCTCCAGTTTCAAGTACAAGACCAAGAGGGTCCAGAAATAATGGATGAAAAATAAAAGTGTGCCGTTGAAAAGGTTGCTCTCACATCCGGCCTCTGCGCTCTCGAACCAAAGTGGAAGAAAGATAACACCCCTCTAGAGAGGGATTCATCAATCTTTCCACTTTTTCCAATTTGCTGGAATAACTGTGGTCACAACATCCCCTTTAATATGGTCCAGCTGTTCAGCAGTAGTTCTCAACAACCCCCTCATCATCTGTACTCATCCTTGTATCTTTCCAAGGAAAATGATTCAGAAATCTCAAACCATGATGATTCACACAAAAAGAGGAAAACAGAGAAGACAGGCCTTTTCAAAAGTCAAGGATAACAGCTACTGTTATCTAAACTAATGCACAGTAAGTTATAAATTTCCCAAAAGTTTGTATGAATGGATTCCTCTGACAGACAACTCTTCTTTAAAAAGAAAAAAACAGAAGAAAAAAACGTGGACATCTTTATACTAATTCAATCTAAAAAAAAAAAACTACAGTTTGAATCATTCCCAGAATTTAAATTTCATTTCTATTTTTCTAACTGTGTATCTCTGAGTGGAATTTATTATGACTAAAAATAAGGTGTGTGACTATATTTGTCACAACAGGATGACAGGTCACAAAATTCACAACACATGGGAGACTAGAGTCCTTTAAATCTCAGCACTTTGTTCGGGTTTTCTTTTTAGACTGCTCTGTTTCTCTATTGTGATTCTATTTTATTTTTAACACCATGTTTGCTGGTAACCGCTGCTAGTTAAGCATTAGCCCATGTGTTTAACCACAAGGTGTAGACTTAGGTCTGGAATCTGTCTCTGGACATCAAGGGCTCTATTTTCGTGTCCGCCGGCGACGCGGCGGAGGGTGGCGGACCCTGCGCAGTGTTATTTTCATCTGGCAGAGCCCGGCCTACAGCCACTTTGGTATTTTCGTGGACTGAGGCGCATCGAGGTCCGCCAAGCTGGCCATGGTGGCGTGGCAGACGGAGGTGTTGACAGAATCAGCTGGCGGCAGCAGCAGCGCAGGCAGAGTGCAGCTGGTCTAGTGGTATTTTGGTAGACCTGCGACATATTGGCATACGTCACCGATGACTCACCGGCAGGTTTCCACAGTGTCAGGCACATTTCAGTGCAATAAATAATCAACAACAAATAATAATCTGAGTCAGCACATACATTTAGATCTAAATAGATATATTCTGATCTATATCTGATCTGATGAGCGCGTTTGGCACGCGTTTGGACACACAACCTGACCAAATCAACACAGCTGAAACCGCATTAAATTAAATTAAATATCTAGTAAATAGACACATATGATGAAGTTACCAAGATATTTAATTTGTCTCCCTCCTTTTCTTTCTTCCTCTTCATCTTATTTCTCGTGCTGAACAGACGATTTGTTTTAATGATCAGATGAGTTATTTACCTTAAGCCTACATACAAATATTATAATATTCAGTTTTGTGAGCCAAATGTATTTTATATGCCAACATCTATGAAAGAAAGAGCGAGGCCGAGCGTGATGCGTCATTTACACACAGATGGTTCCGATTTTAATAGCATTATTGGAATTTATGATGTGATCTCTGTGCACAACCCACCTTTGTTACGTGAGGTTTAAATATATGCAACTTTATGTGAGTGTATTTATTTGTGGAAAAGGGTGTTTGTCTTACCAGTGGGTCCAACAGTACACACACCAAATCCGTCTGTGCTTATATGAGAGAGTGTGAAGGACGCCCTCTGCAGCGTTTACAGCGACACTTGTTGGGGGGCTGCCTTCTGTCGCCATCATGTGGCATTACTGTCTTCAGACATCTCTTGATCTCTTTGACTACTGCACGTAGTAGTCAAAGAGATCAGATTCTTGGCTGTGTTAAATCCACTCCACACCCTCTCTCCTCCCTCCCTACGACTTACGCTGCTGGGAGGAGCTGAGTTAGGAAGGATACTAGGGGGGATACTTATGCCGGGCTGCACCGCTCACCAAAATACCAAATTATGCTTTGGAACGCCTTGTCGGCGCGGCGGACCTGACTTAGGCCGCACCTGTGCCACGTCTCTGGGGAGGCACGAAAATAAAGCCCCAAATCATTATAGTCTCCTCTCATGATGGGAATGTAACCTCTATAAAGAAGAGGGGCTTATATTTAGGCTTCATATTGTCTGTCTGATACCTCTGCAGTGGCTTTGCATAATATAAAGCTAAAAAAGTTTTCATTTTCCTCATTACAGTTTCAGTCTGAAATGCTTTATTTAGCTACTGCCTCTTTAAGGCCTCTCACTCGGGGGTGTGTCAAGAGTTTTTTGACTGGGGTGGGGTGGCCCAGCTGGGGCACTGATGAAAGAAGGGGGTGACAGGGGTACAGTGTTTGTGTGTAAGCATAACTCTTTAAAGATTTAAAAAGAAAATGTTTGTCCATATTCACAAAGGCATTCAAAGAGAACAAGTGCAACATTTCAAACAAAAAGAAAGCTAACCCTAGACTGTCAACACACCCTTCATATTTCTGCCTCTAACAAGGCCAGTGGCGATTGCTCTAAGACTGCAAGGGAAGCTCGACTTCCCTTAAAATGTCACCCCCCCAAAAAAAAAGAAAAAGTGGTGAAATACGTACTGCTGTGTGTACATTTCATTAACTAAATACGCACTAGAAAGCCTTCATCTTTTGTTCAGACACTGTGATAAGAAGCTGATAATTATAGGTAACCGGCATAACTTCGTTCTCATTCATCCTCGCAGCGCCTCAGCGCTTTAAACAGCCGGACGCTGGGCTTCTGCTGACTTCAATGTGGAAGCTAAAAGTGGGTTGTTCCAGCAGCGAAACTAGACGCTCATTGGATAAATGCTGGGCTTTGTCCCGCCCAATGGAAGCTAAGCTTCACTGGAGTTCTATGGCGAGAGGGCGGTCCCAACTTTCTCCCGGACTGCAAGCTTCTGCATCCATGATTGGATGAGCTGTCTGAGGCCAAATCCTTTTTTGATTGACAGCTAAACAAGCGAATCAGCGATCTTGAAGAATAAAACATCTACCAGAGCATTTTCCAAGTCATTCATTCCGTTGTTCTTAACTGCTCCGGAGACTTTACCGATCCTCAGCGACTTTTGTCTTTGTTAAAAACGACTGCCGTTGTGTTTGGCGACTCTGTTCTGTTACATACTAATAAACAAATACAATTATGATGTAGGCCAGAAAAATGAGCTTCCCCTCATTGAAAGACCAGCAGCCGCCACTGAACAAGGCATACCACTAGCCGTAGCTGACGATTTTGGTGAGGCATTAAATTCAAGAGGGGTCGATGCCCCCCAAGGGCCCACTTTCTTCAGACTAGCTAGCTCTCTGGAAGCCTCCTCCACTGCTTTAGTCACTGTCAGTGCATCAACCAGTGTTTCTCCTTCTAAAATGACAAATTATAAAGTTTGGCTCGATGTTTTGGACCCTGAATGTAAATTTGAATAAGGAATAACTGAAATAGCAACAGAGAACAGGGCAGGATGTCTTTATTTGGTGAATATTACATAACTTTATGGGAGATCCACCAATTGATGACATCACAAATTGAACAGATTGAAGACAATGGCTCCCATATTGCAGGGCTAAAAATTACCAGAAATGTGATCCAAAAGCACTAAAGCACTACATTTCTCCTCAGTTCTTCAACTGAGAGGAAGTTTTTGCTTCTTGAAGTTTAATCTTTTTCTCTAGAGAAAGGAGATTACCTGTGGAGGAATTATTAAAGGTTTAAGTCTAAAAGATTTTAGATTTTAATGTTTTTTTTTCCCCTGCATGCTACTTCTGAGGGTGTATCAGTTTTTTATTATGGATTAGTGAGGCAAGGACTAGAGCAGCAAATATGGTTAAGATCGGCCAATCAAAGTAGACTAGTATATACAGAGAAAAGAGTAGGCCAGCTAGGCTAACATCAGGGCATAAGAGCCACGTTCAAATGAGGCAGACCTTAATACAAAATATGAGCCCAGCAGAATCCCCCTGGATATTGACCGGTTGTCTTCACAGCAGCTAACACTAAATATGAATTGTTCAGCTGTGAGGGGTCGGGGGTCTTCACGCGGACCACTAACAGTGAGATATTTAGCAGCAGAACAAGACATCCTCTACTGCATCAGAAATCAAGCTTGGGTTTCTGGGAACAGCTCTCATGTCCTGCCAGTCTAAACATGAGGGTCAGCACAGTGAGGCTGTGTGGGAGTGAACAGCTGCTTTTAACATCGCTTCATGTCTTCCACACAGCGGGGTCGTGCTTCACACTCCAAAGAGACGGCCTGTTTCAGTCCGTAATGTGTCACAGCCAGATAACAAGAGCTGAGTGTGTCAGCTGGAGTTTGATTTATGGGGACAAATGTAGCTGCAGCTTCCAGACTTTAGAGATAAAATTACATCAGAATGGTAGAGCAGCTTTGGGGTATCAAACAATAAGAGAGAACTTATGAACGTTCATTCTAGACTTAAGCCTTTAGGTGGTTCTCATGACCAGGGAAGACACACTTACAGCTTCTTTGAGGTTCGCTTCACTTGAAAACATCCCACAGAAGTTGATCTTTTAAACTTCTTGAAGTTCGCATGACTTGTAATGAACTGTTATCATCTGCACTTTCATGTCCTCCTGTTAGTTGTCAATCTTCTTTCCTTCCCAGATGAAAAGAAAATAACGTCTGTATGAAAAATAAGTGTGCTGGTATCCGCAGTGATTCCCAAAAGGCGCTTTAATTTCTTTGTGCTATTTTGACATCTGCTTAATCACTGGGAACTCATTTCTAACTCTCTCTGAGTCCATATGCTGGGTACAAGGACAGGTAGGGCCCTTTCAAACAGCTGATGGACAGCAGTTTGATTTTGGTTTCAGTATGTGCTTTTGGCAGACAGCATTTGCTTATTTCTTTGTTAGGGCGTCCATTAACCTCAGGTCTGGCTGGCATGAGCGTTCTCCCATTCATAGTTCAAAAATGTGATGATAGCAGATTCCCAAAGTGACAAAACTAGCCAGAACTAATTGCCCTGTAACCTCAGTAGTCTGTGAGACATGATGTGGTGTAAGGAAACAAATTACTTTTAAATCGCAGAAAACTCTATCAGTCAGGATATGGGTTCAGTTTGTGTCAAAAAAAAAAAAAAAAACCCACAGTAGCTTTAATGTTTATGACAAGAACAGTTTCACCTCTGTTGTTCATTAACCTGTATTAAACTGAAGAACTACTGAATATAAACCTGCATAACTCTGTGTAGCCCTCTGCCTGCACAAAAACGCTGATCCTTCAAAATGGATTGCAAAATAACACATATGCAGGCAGTATTTAATAGCCTTTACTACAGAAGCTGTATGAACCCCAAAAAACAAATCCTAAAATAAAGAGGTGTAATAGCTGTCCAGCATTGCTCTAAACCTGGCCTCATGTTCAGCATCAGTCTCCTGTTAGAAATATGAAACAATGACAGACTTACTTTGGATGCTGGGGCTGTATGGGTCCTGAATCCTAATGGAAGGGTCCAACACTCTGTAGATCACCTAAGTCAGAACATAAGTAAACATACATGATAAAATAATGAAATATTAATCAAACAAACATCTACTTATAGAGCATGATGACTGACTGTATTTTTAGGTTGGCGTGCTCAGTGAAACTTCCACAAGAGTGAAGCCTTAAACATTAGGTCTCTGTTGCTTTGTCTGCTATCATTTTGTAAATATAATGCTGTGGCTTTCATCATGTGCTTTTTGATGTTGTGTAGTGCATCCCAAGATTCAACTCCTGACCCAAACCCAGCTCTGGATATGTAAAAGAGGCTAGAAAAAGTCCAAAGTTCCAACTCCTTCAGTCAGAGTCTCACCTCTCCCTCTGTTGACGGCTCGATGTCAGAGTAGCGTGACTCACAGATGACGTCATTGATGTTGCGTAAAGGACCCTGGGATACTCCAGGAAAGGTGGTGGAGCAGTCATGGGAGAAGTAGCGGTAGATCTGCCAGGTGCGACCAAAGTCTGCAGACCGTTCAATAAGCATGGCAGCTGGACGGAAAGTCTACAGCAGAGGGATGATGAAATACAATATTTACTTGAACTACCCCAGAGTACAAGATGAAGGGTGCTACTGTTTTTAGATCCTTACTAAAACAGGTCAACAAGTTTTTAAAAAAAAGCTGTGAATGCACCTTGAAGGTCATGATCAGGTGAGTAAAATGAAACTCCGCCTCCAGATCCAGCTGAATATGGACATCCGACTTTCCTGGAGGGGTAACAAAGAAAAAGTTATAATGAATAAGTTCAAATCTGTTTACCTCCTTCAGTTAATTATTCAATCATAGTGAGTGTTGAAGTAACTGCATTTTCAGCTTGATGTTTCAAGTCTTCGCAAAAGTAGGAGTCGGTGTGAGCCTGAAACCTTCAGAGAACATAATACTGTAAAGTGACTCTTCACTAATGGTCACTTGTGCAGCAAGTCAAGGGAATTTTCTCCAATTTAAGCTTCAAAGCGGCACCACATCCATTATTTTATGATATAACTCAACACTACGGCACACGATGACTTTAATCTGTTGACTTTAAGACAAACCACAAAAGAGCTCTTTCATACCCCATGAAGATGAAAAACAGATCTGAGGGAGAACATGTTTTTATGCCCTCTCAGTTACATGTTTATTCAAATGTATCTGCCTGCACACATCTAACTTAGTGTCCTTTGGTAGACGCTCAGAGGGAATGTAAGTGTGCATGTTTGTGGCACAGAGCCATCAGAGAGCACAGAGGAGATTTGGTAGAGTGTATTATTCTCTATCTTTAATGGTTTACTTTACTATAGTTATTATTATTATTTTCTTTTTTTAATTATAATCAGGGGTGTAGTGGGATGTTCCTTCTATGCCACTTAAGAGGATATTCCGGCGTAAAATTAAGCTAGGGTCAAACACACCGTAACACTGAGTTAAACACCTCCTCGAGAGATGAATGCTGCCGACCGCTTGCTAGTTACACCAACGATAGCAATACACAGCGGTTTACGTCACCACGTGCAAACCTCAACCAAAAAGCCACTCTATAGCCACAAATATTGCAAGAACAGCACCCAACTTCATCAACAGTACATAAACTGTAGGGTCCCAGCCATATGTACTTGTTTGTGGGGGAGCCCTGACGAGTTGATCAGTGCAGCGGATCATTTCCTTGAAGTAATAATCATCATAATAATCCCTTTGGTACTGCAGACGCAGTAATTCTTCTGCCTTAGCGTCTCAGTCTAATTGTATATCAACTTGTCAGGGCTCCCCCACAAACAAGCGGCTGCTGGAAGAGAGAGGGTGAGTTGTGTTTAGTCTCTTTGCCAAAGAAATCAGGCAAAGCTATAAAGATGTTTGATAGCTAGTACTACGGCTGGGACCCTACATGTTCTGTTGATGAAGTGAGGTGCTGTTCTGAGCATTATTTGTGGCTATAGAGTGTTTTTTCAGTAGGTTTGCGCATGGAGACATAGACCACTGTCTATTGCTATCATATGGTTGTTGCTGAAGTTGGTTAAACTAAAGAAGCAAGCAGTCAGCAACATTCATTTCTTGAGGGGGTGTCAACAAACTCTGTGTTATGGTGCGTTTGACCATAACTTCAACTTGGAACACTGGAATATCCCTTTAAGGTAAGTTATATAATGTAGCATTTCTATCTTAAACACAGATTGCTTAACTTGGTGATTGAAGTTTATTCATATTTGACTTCTTGTGCATTATAATGTGTTGACAAATTGAGGCTCATAATTGTAATGCATCTCAGGTCCTCTAAAGCCAGTGTACTGTCACCAGCAGGAGGGGTGAGCAAGGGCACATTTCAAACTAAAACCTGACTAATAAATACTGCTAAATATTCCTATTTCTATACAGTGTACCTTTAATGCAAAACTTGTTTTAGTGTGTAAGGAATCCTTTTGCAACAGCAAACACTCAGATCCATCCTCTACCTGGCTAAATGTACCAGAGGTTTAGAAGAAACTTATTTCAAACAAAGTGTGAACTCTGGATATTCAAGCCTCACTGACCGGGAAAGTTTGTTTAGCAGGTCAGACACATGTAAAAGTAATAGGAAAAGGCACATCCACAGAATGCACCTGTTCTGCATTCACTCCCAGTGCCTCATAATGCTGTCATGTATGAATGTAATGCTAGGAAACTCCTTTTCATTTTAATAAATGTGGACAATCAAACCACTGTAGTCCATATTTAATAGGCGTACTGTGCCGTCGCCATCATGGAAATGCCACAGAAATGCCTCGGAGGAGCAGTAGCAACCAGAAATAAAAATAGCAACGACACTTCCTGTCCCCCTTCTTCTTCTTCTTCTTCTGTTTCTCTCTGTCCTATTCTGGTCAGCACTGTCATAAACAGCTCTGCATTAAGTAACACAGCTCACAAACAGCTTCAATGAGCCTCCTGATTAACTGGTGTCTCTGCACAGAGCTCCACAGTCTCTCATTGTCGTTGTTCTTTAAAAGGGATCAGTTCAAATCAGTCCCTCTCCTTGTCCTCACTTCCAGCACTGCCTGAAATACTCACTCCACTTTCTCTTCAATTTTTCCATTAGAGCTTTTACTTTCCTCCTCTCCCTGTCATCACCCCTCTCCCTCTCTCTTTTAGGATGCCAGTTCAGGGCCTACTCTGTTATTAAGCCCATCTGTCGCTGGTCAGGGGTTGTTGGCCACAGCGTGTGTGTGCGTGAGTACTTGTGAGTGTGTTCATGTGTTAACGTAACTCTGTTTTTAAAGTTGTCTTCAGTGAACGCTTTCTTACAGATGGTGGTTTAAATATACTTCAAAGATCTTATTCTTTTTCTATGTTTTTTATCTCCTCCACATAACAAGCTTTCCCTTTAAGCACCTTCACTTTTTTCTATCCATCTGTCCATTAACCTATAAGTAGAGTCCATATTAAGTTCCTTGGCAGGTGACAGGATCTATTTAAAACAATCTGTATGAGCACGTCCTGAGAGCATCCTGGAGAGGTTTGTATCAGTTATTATGGTTTTAAGTGAAGGGTCAGTGAAAATAGGAGCTCCTATATTTAAGCAATCGTAAAATATTTAATAAGGGTGGGAATCACTAGTGGCCCCACGATACAATATTATCACCATACTGGGGCCACGTTTTGCGATTTCAAACATTGTGCAATACAATGAGTATTGCAATACAATATATTGTGATTTGTACAATTTTTTCAACTGCTCAGCAAATTCAGTATTTGCCTTTCCTTTATGTTTGTGTCATTTACACAGTATTTTATTTTCATGTAGCACTTCTTGCAAACCTCATGTGTCCATCTCATTTGTGCCCTGCTTGCACTCCTGATGTCCCTTGCCAGTTGCTGTTTGTTGTACTAACTTTTTCCTGCTCTATGATGTCACCTCTTACAACCTCACTTGAAAAACAGTTGATTTTATTATTCCGTTATCATAAAGTTCATACCAGCAATTCATTTGAAAAAATCCATACTTGGTGGATGAGACGATACGATATATTACAAGACAAAATATCGCGATACTATGCTGTATTGATTTTTTCTCTCACACACTGGATAGTCATGTTTTCAATCCAGTATTTTACAGTTTCTGCATGTTCGTTACATAGCACTGATTTATCTTTTTCATTCCATTAATATAATTACTTAGTTATATAAATATTATATATTTTTTAGGTATTCTTCAGTTGAGTTAAAAAATCAATTCTCAACCACAGAAGTAACATTAATGACAGCCTGATCACACTTGTCATTTCACATCAAGGGCTCTATTTTCGTGCCTCGCAGGAGATGTGGCGCAGGCGCGGCGTAAGTCAGGTCCGCCGCGCCGACAAGGCGTTCCCAAGCACAATTTGGTATTTTGGTGAGTGGATCAGATATAGATCAGAATATATCCATAGATCTAAATGTATGTGCTGACTCAGAATATTAGTTGTTGTTGATTATTTATTGCACTAAAATGTGCCTGACACTGTGGAAACCTGCCGGTGAGGCATCGGTGACGTATGCCGATATGCTGCCAGTCTACCAAAATACCACTAGACCAGCTGCGCTCTGCCTGTGCGGAAAACCGACCAAGTTTGAATCGGCAAGCTTTCAGCGCATTTTACACGCCAGCGGCGAGCACGAAAATGTCACTGTGCCAGCTGATTCTGTTGTCACCTCCCTCTGCCACTCCACCATGCCCAGCTTTGCGGACCTCGGTGTGCCTCAGTCTACAAAAATACCAAACTGGCTGTACACCGGGTGCCGCCAGACGAAAATACCACTGCGCAAAATAGAGCCCCAAACCTGTATTATTCACCTCTACCTGTTGACACTGTGGCACAAAGGTAAGTATCTGTTAGTAGTCTAAACTGGTAAAAAAAAACAGTGTTTGGGATGCTCTGTAGTTCAGATCAGGATAAAAATGCAGAAAATGCTTTCTAACATCTTACAAATTAGCACAAAGTATGACCCGCTGATCTTTGTTTGATCTTGGAGTGCTTCCCTATGACTTTTTATGTAAAGAAAAAATGTGCCTACTCAAAATCCTTATAAAAAAAGATGATAACTATGTCCTGGTGTAAGCCATTACCCCCAACAGTAGACCAATGTAAGTAGACCAAAAAGTGATGTATTAAGACATACACAATGGAAAAAATAACAGCAAAGCTCAATCTCGACATAGCCTTATTCAAGAAGAGATGGAATCCACTCATTTCTTACTTTGGGCTAAAATTACAGGACATCCATGTGATTCAGCATCATATGGGCACCTGCAGGCCTTCGACCCTTACAAGTAAAAGGGTGTGTTTTTTGTTTTCTGTTATATTGTTATTTTATGAGTTTCAATCACCATGGTAATTCTATTCAATCTTATTTGTACATACAGTAACTATCAATATTATAGTTATTTATCCACTGTTTTATTTTAACTTTTAGACCTCTGACACTGTCATAAGAACATGGAACCACCTTGCGGTTAAGTTCTCTGTTCATGCTGTTTCTGCTTTTGTTATTTTTTTACTCAGATATGGAACAAAAGAATTTAAAGCTTGTAATACGAAGAATTTTGTAAGTATGTTTGAATATGTAAAGCTTAAAACGACAATAAACACATTTGTTAAAAAAAAAAATGCAGAAAATACACCACTGTAAAATGTAAACATGCACACCATGATGCTGCATCAAAGACATCAACATAGAGCTTAATCAAAGATCAATTCTGCTCGTATCTGCCACCTACAGCATTGTGCTGGATAGTGCTACTACTATAGAAACTGAGCATTAACAAGACACATGTTCTGTGGTGTGTTTTAGTGTCTACACCTGCAGTGCCCACAGTAAGGTGGTGTGTAAATCACTGCTCACTGACTCTATATCTTTGTCAGTATTTCTCTTGTCATGTCTATGTCATGCATAACTTTGAATATAAGCGTTTGTTTGATTTATTTTGATAGGATGTGCTGGGCTCCTCACCATTCTCAGACTGCCACCAGGACTTCTTTCTGTGAGGTTTAAAGGTAGTGATGACGTTCTCTATCCTGTGATTGATGGTGTTGTACACTGGGTCATATGGCCGCCTGGAATCACATTCAAAGCACTTCTTCTCGTCCTGCAGCAGGAACAGAAAAAGTTGTGGTTAAAAACTTCACCAGTCAATGGAAAACCAAAAATCTCAGGAGGAACAAAAAGACAGAGTGGGGGCTGAGGGAAGTATAATTTTCCTAACATCAGTGTTCTGCTCAAACATGATGACTCACACACACTGACCTGCAGATGACTGACAATGCAGTATGGCTCTTTCCTCCTCATCCCACATGTGGAAGACGCCTTCAGGTTCTTCTCTCTTCCAACCAGCAGGTCCCCTGTTGCTGGGTAACAACTTCCATGGGCACAGCCATGGCCTTGGTCTAGATCCTGGCCGACAACAGCAGCCAGCACTGGAAGGGCGGCAGGACAGGAAATTAATGACAATGAACAGGAAAAAGCAGTGCAAAGTGACCTCATTCCTTAATTGAGAAACCATTCACAAGCTCGAGTTGACAAACAAAGTCAAGTAGAAATCAGTGCCCTTCTTCCCAACATCTAAAAGCTCTTATCATTCCTGAGGAGGAAACTTTCCAGGGTGGGAAATGAGACTGCTAGACAATCAAGATCTGAGCGTGCAGGGTTTGTCTTGTGTTTTTCTGTGGAAGCATAGTCCTGCTATAGTGACATGAACAGTCAATATCAATCAAATCCACACTGAGCTCTATCACTTTGGCACCAAGGCCTTGGACCGGTTGGCATGGAGAAATATGCAAATTTTTTGGGAGACACTTAATATTGTATGCTTAATGTTCAACCAGATTAAATATGTATATACAAAGTATGTTTAAAGTCCCACTCCGATCTTTTTTTTTTTTACTTTACTACTTTTACTACTACTACTCTCAGTGGTCTTTACATTGTGATTATGAAGTTTTTAGCCAAAATCGCATTACCTGTTCTATTTTCAAGGGCTTTTCTTCTGCAGAGCTCCAGTAGCTCAATAGCGATTCGCCTCTGAGTCGTGGACGGAGACAGTGTTTCTCTGCACACTCCTCCTCACACTGGCTTGCAGCCTAACATTGCCGGTGCAGCAGAAGTCGCAGATAACATAGGAGCTATCCAGTTCTCAGACACCAATGTCTTTGGGAACATGATGGACGCTAATGTCATAATTAACTTTCTTACGAGCATTGCAATCCGTTAACACACGTTTGTTCCGCAATTGTCCCCTCTATTTCTCAGAGTGTGACCTGCATAGGGGGGCTCTTGGGCGGAGCTTGGAATTGTGACATAAGAAATCTCACTGAGTCTGAACCTGCCATTTGGGTCTGCCAGAGATTCACAGTGATTTGAATGCAGAAATACTCTGAGATACTATTTTTCTCATGATATGTCCTGTAGCATCAGAAAATGAACATGTAAACAACAAAAAAAATATGATTTTCATCGGCGTGGGACTTAAAGGGCTTTTGATGTTATCAGATTTTCACCTCACGGTTATCTTGGCCATGACATAACAGTAAAAGGAAATGCAAACAAGGATGGAGAACACACATTACTTCATAAACTTAACCAGTACATGTAATCACCTTAAATGTCATGATCCATTTAAAAAAAAAACTTGTGATCTATTCACATCACCAGTCTTCTCACCAAAACTCCTCTGGAGCAGACACTGGTCCAGAAAAGATTATCATGCTTTTATTTTGATGTTTTTTTTTTTTTTTTTTTCTCAATCTGGTAGTTAAGCAGCAATTAGCTTCTCTGTGATCCTTTATATGAAATGCAGACCAGGAGAGGGAAAGGTTTGGTCTGGTTTACCCAGGATACCAATAGACACATTTTCGCCTTTATGGTATGTTTCTTAGTGCAGAAGAACAAGAAAATAAAAGATGTTATCAAAGCTGGTGGAAGAGTCGTGCTTGTATTTAAAAATAATGTTGAACTTGATTGAGAATCCAGTATTTAGAAGAAAACTCCAAGGAGAGCAACTACTCCAGTTTCTCTGAAGTAATGTTTTAACCAGAAGTCCTTACAGTAAGAGGATCTCTTTAAACTCAGATTGTGTAATTTGAAAAAAAGAAACCTTGAATATGCTTTAGCAGAAGGAGAGTTTCATGCTGCATTTCTGACTATATAAACAACAGGACATTGTATGATCCTTAGCATGCTGATTACTGCACCAGCTGTTGGGTTTGCACCAATGATACACAAGTACATCTGATGGTACACTTGGAGGTTTTGGAGATCTTGTTCAATTATTTAAGCTTATGTTGAAGGACGGTCCCATGATCCCAAATGTTTTAAAGTCAGAGCTTTAAGGGCCAAAGTCTAAGTCTAAGATAAATAAAGCTAAACTCAGTCCTGTTTGTACAAGACAAGTCTCAGATTGTAAGAAATGAAAACATATTTGGGTAAAACTTTGAAATTTGATTTGAAAGATCTCCATAAATGTGACTTATTAGATAACAGTTCTATGCATTGTCTATTTTTGCATATTTACTTAAATTTAGTATACCCACTTTTATAGCTTCTGTAACGATCAAGACAAGCACAGTGGAGACAGGCTTGTTGGAGGTCAGACAGACTGCAAGGGAAGGGTAATTCAAAAAAGGACACGCTACGTGGTTTTGCTCTGTTTAATTTAAGTGAGCCAATGAAAGCACACTATCAAAATTAATATTTACATAAAGCCAGATAAGGATACCCCCCCCTCTAGACCGCTACTGCTTGATCAAGAGCTGATTCAATGTTGAGACAACATCCAGTGAGAGGAGGGATTATCTCAAGGCACCCCCACATGTTAACAGGCTCTGCTCTCTGCAGGGGCCCCAAAATCTGACCTGACAAAGAGGCCCCAGCTTCAGGCCAAATCTGGGAACTAACCAATGCAGGTCATACAGAGGCCAACAAAGACCAGGAACAATTTGAAAGATAAAAAGCAAAAATAAATTGGTGACAGACAGTTCATGTTCATGGTTCAGTATTCTGAATGTGACAGAGAAGCTGCTTATGGAGGCATGGTGCGAAAGTTGAACTACTGGCCTCACTCATTGGTTTGGGGGTTATGATTTTTGAAGACCCCAGTTTGACATTGAGAAGTTGCCATTTTTCTTTATTAGCTTTATTACTGAAACTATAAATGGCCATGATTGGACAGGAGTGTAGATAACTTTGAGTTTGTTACTCCACTTAGCATAGGTGACCTCACAGCTGCTAGCCCAAGTTATATTACATCAATATAATCTAAACCTGTTTGTTTCTTCAGTATCTATTCCCTGACAGTTGTTTTTACCAGGGAGAAATATGGACCAAAACATGGTCCTTAAGGAGTCGACTCACTTTCGGAGCTAGCCTCTTGTGGTCATTAGAAGAACTGTGGTATTTTACTGCATTTTTTTGGACCACTAGCCTGCAGCTTGACAACACAGCACTACAGCCTTAGTGTTACTGTACAGTGGAGCCATGTGTGGGAGTTAAAATAAACCCTATAAACTTTCATGACAACCAGCAGCAGGAGCAACACGTTCTATTAAACACTTTCATGTGAATCTACTCTCCTCTAAGACTCTGGTTGGTCTGAGAAAACTGGTATGAGGAAAGTGGGGACCCACTGGGTTTTGCTGTCAATCCACGGTCTGTCCACAACAGGTGTTTCTAATCCTCCTCCCATACAGTCCACATGGTAACCTTTACAACACTACAAAACACTCCTACACTGTGGATGAAATTTAATGAGTTTTGGAAAGTTTCCAGAAAAAGACAGCAGAGCATCATTTCCTGCAATGTTTTTCTTAACAGTCTGACAAGGGACTTAATTCATTATTACACAAACTGTACACTTTACTGTGTCAGCCAGATAATATAAAAGATCTGTTGCTTAAAATGACCTCAAATGGAACTGATGCATGTGTTGGGTTAGGGTCAAATTAGCTTAAATCAGAGCAAAAGTGGTCCTGTCTGCAGTGGTGGACCACCTCGCTGCTGGTTTTCTAGTCAATTTATAAACAAATAGAAAATATATTAATATAGTCAAGTTAATCATACAGCCCCACTTTAGAAAAGAACCAATCCTGTAAGTCTTTGTTAGACTTTATTGTAGGTAGAAGGATTGTCTCTGGCGATTCGTGGTGGCTCACTCTTTACCTCCTGTATGTTGTTGCTCCATTGGTCTGTTCATCTGTTCTAGGTTAACCGTTGTTGTTTCTTTTGATCAAAAATTCATGTATATGTAATTTTGAAAATAATTACTGACACCTTTTACTTTAATTTTTTTTCAGCATTATTGTTTTTTCTAGTCACCACAGGACTGCAGCACTGTGGCAGCAGACAGTATCTAAGCTGAGGTAAGCAGTATATGTTGCTTTAAGACTCCGAGAGCTGTTTGGGAGCTGAAAGAACCAGTTCTTTCTAGGTCAACCCATTGAAACCAAGGTTGTTTACCTGAGAAAGAAGAAGGATCCAAACCCTGCTCTTACACGGTAAGACAGATCAAAGACAACTTGAGCAAGATCATACAGCTTTTGCAGTTTTTAAGTAATCTATGGATCTAAATTGACAAAATGTGTTTGGATTAGGTCTTTTGTTCATGTTGATGTAAACTTCTAGTCATTTGAAAACAGGTTTCCAGGGTAACTCATACTGCTTGACAAATTTTTTGATTTGTGCCTGAGGAGACAGCAATGTTGCCTCAATAGTAGGGCTAGGCGATATGGGCTCAAATCAATATATTGAGCAGTTCACCTCGATAATGATAAATGGGCAATAACTACTCCACAAGCTGCTCACCCCCTCCCACATTATCTTGGTCTACTTCAGCCGCCACTCCAGCCGCTACAACTCTTGAACCATCATTCATCTCCTCACCTGTCTCTCCCTCTTTATTACGGACTTGATGCGGTGGAGTCACGCCTCTGACGTTGGACAGCGTCTTAAAGGGACATGAGACTATAGCCTACCTACACACATCCAAAACTTATTTATTCATTCATTTATTTTTTGACACCTAACATAAATATATACATGGGCAAAATGACATCGGTTATTGTCGTAAATTTCTGTATCTGTAAATTTTCGGTTTATCGCCCAGCCCTACTAAATGGTGATATCCTTTCATGTGGGTCTTTACAGCATCAATTTTACATGTTCCCAAAGTTACATTCAGTTCACAATGACTGACATGCAAGCAGACATACAGGGAGGCTCATCGCAGGAACTGCTAGTGTTTTTGATGTTCAGTGCAAGTCTACTCTCACTGTTTAAAGACAGTTCATTATCACAGCCTGACACTGCTATGAGGCCAGATGCTGATAGGGACCCTGCTGGGAACAGTGCAGAGGAGGCTTTCACATGGACACTCTTACACAGAGATACACAATCTTGACTCCTCACTCCTGAGGAAACCAGTGTTTGCCTGGCGGCTGGACAAGTCTCAGGATGGTGCCAGCCAAGTGAGCAACGAGTAGATATGAAGTTAACACACTGCAGGTCACAAACACACTCCTATAGTAAAGAGGCACTTGTGTAAACCTCTGCACCTACACAAAAACATACAGTTATCTACCTCTGCACTTAAACACAATCATCCAGCTACTGCATTAAAAATCACAGATTTATCTGATGCTCCATTAACACCTGTTGACAATCTGAACTGGTTCACATTTGTCTTGAGGATGTCTGGCATGATGACCTGTGATAAATCAGATCACTGCAATACCTTACATCTGATAGAGGAAGAGAGTGTGAAAACACACAAACAGCAGGTTTGATGGGGGGCAGGAAAAAAAAAAAGAGGAGTGTGAAAGAGAGACAGAGTGCAGAGCTTTTGAGCAGACGGAGGAAGACCCATCCAGACACAACTTGATATCTATTCTGGTAACTCTTGGCACGCACTCAAAGGTCTGTCTGTGTGTGACTGTGTGTGACCGCACGTGTGTGTGTGTGTGTGTGTGTTTGTGTGTGTGTGTGTGTGTGTGTGTGCGTGTGTGTGTGTGTGTGTGTGTGTGTGTGTGTGTGTGTGTAAGATAGACTAAGAAGGAAGGATAAGCGTCTGCGAGTAGACGTCTGATGTGTCGTATAATCACTAGGTCTCTTGTCGTCTTTTATCTCTGCGTGTTTCTGTCTGTGTCTGTTTGTCTCCTGCACAGGCTTCAAACCTCGACTCACACATCATGTTAGGGTGACATCACACAGTCTGAATGAAATGAAAAAACTCAGTTGTTCAGATTTTACAAGATAACTTTTCTGACATTTTCATGAAAAGTTATGGGTGGAAAATTAAAATGTACTGAAATTTTCTGAATTTCAGGTCTAGTGTGCTATAACTTCCAGCACAGACATGGTAAGAATGAAGTTTGATATGATATTACAAAACCTTTTTTTCAATAAATGCAAAATCACCAACCTATTAAAATCATTGTGTTTCTGTGTACCTGGAGAGGGCCTTATTTAGCTACACAGAGCAGATCATCGTACACAAAGGTCACTGGTAAAATCCATGCTTTTGTATAAAGCACAAGGACATTACAGAACCATTAATTGTAAGAGGAAGAAGAGAAAGAAGGTAGAGGAGTTCCTTTTGGGCCATAAAATACTTGTTATAATTTTTTTTTTGATGAACTGGAAGATCACACTTAAAATTCATTACACCAGCTTCTTGTCCTTTGAGGCCACCATTTCTAAAGAAACTTACCAACAGGAGGGAGCTCAATATTTCCATTTCTACACAATGAAGAGATAACGCACCTCAGTCTATCCTTTGTTCTGCCTGTTAAAGGAAGTTCTTCCTCTCTACTGTAACTTGATAAATCCTGTAAAGTGTTTCACTCATGTGGTTGAAGATGGGATGAGAGTGGGTCTGATCTTAAGATTGCGTTCACTCTGATCCCGTCTTTACGTTGGGTCCTTGTAAGTAGAAAAGTAGAAGAAAGCAAAAAATCCTGAGGTAATTGTGCCATCTGCATTTGCTTGTGAGTACAAAGGGGCAGGTTGTGGACCTGCTGAGAAATCTTAAGTACAGTTCAGACCAATCTTCTGCTCTCTGATTGAGAAGTTCATCATGTAGCTTTGAGGACAGAGGTTATGTTGTGGTTGATTAGACATCAGAGATGTTTTTTTTTTTCTCTCCTGTTCTTTCCTCTACAGCCGTATATGGAGAGGCAGGGAAGAATGCAGGCGGACAGATGAGAGAAGCAAAGAGGGCTGCTGTGGTTCTGCTGGTGTGTGTGTGTGTGTGTGTGTGTGTGTGTGTGTGTGTGTGTGTGTGTGTGTGTGTGTGTGTGTGTGTGTGTGTGTGTGTGTGTGTGTGTGTTGGCCTCTACACTCACTGTAGACCTGAACCATATTGTGCACTGACTTCAGTTTGTTTGGCCGATTGTTACCAGAAAAAAGTCATAAATATTGGTGTGTATTTAAATCCCTGTCAGCAGACGGTTTCAATTCAGAGTCTGAGTTATCCTGAGATTTTACACCGAAAGGCTGAACAGAGGCAGCACTCGTGCTTCCTTGGATGTAAAGCAAGTGGCAGATTGCCCGCTGTTGTAAACCTATTCTGAGCTTACAGTTTAAAAAGGCATGATATCATTGTGCTCATGCCAAAGGACAGTGAAATCTGACTCGCAGCCAACAGGTCTTCCACATGAGGCAATGCTCTAACTGTCTGAGGAGGAGATACAGAATACACAGTGAAGTCTGCAGCTCATCAGAATTATATTCACACTAATAAATCTGATGCCCAACCTCCTCCTCCTCAAGTAAGCTTTGATGGCCTTGAATCCTGCCTTTGCTATCCTCTCTACTTTTAAGCAGCCATACAGCAAAAAGCAAAGAACACAAAAGTACATGATAAAGGGGGATTGCGTGATAAATAGTAGCGCTTTAACTTTGAATCCAAAATTCAATAGTAAAAAAGTTCAAGCAGTTCAGATTTACCATATACTAATATATGAGTGCATCAGGTTGTCTGAGGTGGTTTGCCATTTGATCCAGCAGAGGGCGCTCTCTGTGAAACCTGACCATTGCATGCATTCTTGACCTCAGCAAAGTAACACAGTTGCTGAGTCCGAATTGCCATGTAGTAGTCGAAGTAGTATCTAGCATGTCTGAATTGGCCACCGAAGCGAGTAGCATGCTACTTCAGATACTACTTCAGATAATAGACACGCCCACATTGTAGTATGGTCGCGGTGCATCCTACGGACATGCTACTGACCCAAAATGCACCACAGGTTTCTTCTTCGTCCTCTTAAAAGTTGTAGAAGCACATGTGATGCTAGCGCTACCAGCTGCTGCCTATTTAGATGCGTCGCGAACACCGACTGGCCACGGCAGCGCGCACCATGGTGGAGCAGCAGCAGCAGGCAGGACCGCAGCAGTACAGATGTATAGAAGTACAGTACAGAAGTCTCATGTACTTTCACACACTGTCCTAAAAAATGTGCGGTTGTATCTCTTTGTCATGTCATGGTGTCATATTTGCGCACGTAATCATTTTATGAGCAAACATGTGGCGACATCATGGAGGTAAAGCTCACTTATTCCATCATTAAACTGCACAGCTGCAGTAATCAGGCAGATCTCATTGAACAAACGATCACCACGTGAGTGAATGAAGGCTAAAAGTAATGGAAAAGCTACTTTGTGAATTTCTAAAGCAGTGCAGGAATATAATACAGCAGCATCCATCACTTGCACAATTACCATTCAAAGAGTCTAAAACTGTCTGCAAGGAAGCAGTACCTACTCTCTGCCTGCGGGGGTCATCTTTCCCCACCGCTCGTCTAGTGTGTCCGAATTGGGCCAACGTGTTTAGTATGTAGGAGTAGGATCTAGCAGTAGTATGTAGCAGTAGTATGTAGTATGCGAGTGGGCAATTCGGACGCAGCAAAGGATGTTTTTCAACAAAAAAAGGAGGAAGTGTTCAAAACATGGATGGCAAAATAAAAGACAAAGAAGAAGGCTGTATGTCAACATTGTACAAAGCATCTTTTTTACTCTTTGACAACAAATATGCAGGATCGACTGTGAGGTAGCAGGTGAGGCGCCACATTCATAACAATGTCAGAAGGTAATTTTGCAGATAAAGGAGAGCTGCTTTCAATCCTGATAAAAGCGACAGACAAATGTTGTTATGGTTTAAATAAAAGGCCATAAAAATTCTCTCTTATTGTCTGTAATTTGACACTACCTGAATTAAGGGTCTTTGATTTTGAGTCTTACTAGGCTGCTCTTGACATTGTTATTTTAACTGTTGTGTTCATAGACTGTATAGAATGGACGCCGTCTGCCTCCTCGCTGGGTGAAGCTACCATAAGAACAGCACCCTCCGGTGACGAGCTGCAGTATACATCATAAATCCCGCCTCCCCCAGCAATCCCCATGGAGCTGTGGACAAACTTTAGAAATTTATCACACAGTGTTACGCCCCACCTGAAGGCGACCCTATGGGGCTAACAACTATCCTCACCTTTCAACCCATTGAGTTAACAAAACACCTTGAAAAGTTCAACAAAAGAACAAATTAACTAAACACAAAGAACCCACAACACAAATGAGAGGCAGCAGGGCAGCAGTTCCCCCACCAATTGCCTCTACAGAGTGCAGGCAGCTCTGGGCTCTTAAACTCTCAGCACCTGGTGAGTCTGATAGGCACTCAGTGATTTCACCTGGGCAGCTATGGGAAGACAAAAGGGGAAAAGCGCACACACACAAACACACAACCGTAACACACAGAATATAATCCCCCCCCCCCCGTTATGTTGACAGGTAGTTATTGTAAGACTGGTTTGTGCTAGAGTCCTCTTTTTTTTCTGTACAGCTCCATTTAAAAAAGTTATTAGGGGGTTCATGTTTTCTATGATTAACACTTGATACAGCCTTTGGGCGTAGGAAGATTGTATAGCTCACCCGGGGGGTGTTTTAGCCGACTATCATCACAGCTACTCTTCCACCGAATGCGTACAACGTGGAGAACATTTTTTGGAAAGTAACAGCTCTAATCCCTGCTTTTATTTGCCACCATTTGAAAACAGCAGCATGTATTCAGTTTACAGGAAGAAATAGTGTCATGTCAATGAAAATCTACAGAGAATATGAGCCCCCCTCCATTTCTGTGGGTGGGGGTGCTTTAGGTGACATCAACCTGGCACATTCCACTAGGACCGGATGTGGAGACACAGTTTGCTGTCACATCAACGGTGTAAATAACGCAGTAAACGGAGACAAACAATCAAACAAACAGAGACAGTATAGCACACATGAACCCTCACAAACACATATTTGCTCAGACAGGAGAGGGAGAAAAAGTTAAACATAACACTCTGCCAAGAATATCATTATGACAGCACAGTCAGATCCAGCGTCAGCTGCTCTATTACAACCAGCAGACCAGAATAGCAGGATTCAGGAAAACTTATGAGCTACATACCTGACATGACTGATGGTGCTAGTAAAAGGCAGTACAGATATTTTTGCTCTCACCATCAGAGAAGGACTTTGAAACCTGGACAGAGAAAAGTCAACAGGCTTTTACTCCTCACTCCCCTTCGCTAATTAGTTTACATTCCCCCTCTCTGTCTCTACACCCTCTCTTTGCTCTGCACTTAGCTGGTGGATGGTCAGCTCCCACTGCCAAACATCCAGCTGTTTTCCTCTATCCTCCCCCACCTCTTTATTAGTCACAGCTCCCTGCAACCATCACTCTTCCCTTATAACGTCCTCTGCATGTAGGAGCCTCTGACTCCTCCAGTCTCTGCCCTCAATCAATCATCTCTCTTAATTTTGAGCAGCTCAAACCTCCCTTTGAAAATCAAGAGGTTGGCTTCTATGTTTTGTATCCTTAAAAGTATGAGAAGATGATGCACAGGGAAGGAGCAAAGGGTATAGGTCAAGGTGCAAGAGGACTATTTTGACTACAGCTCTGATTTAAACACGTATATGTTAATTCGACATCAAATGCAAGCAACATGACAACACTGAAAAAGTTGTGTTCACTCACAACAAGTTAGTGACAAGACTTGGAATTTTATTATTGAAAGTACAGTTTCAGGACCTGAGCTGTCTTGGAGAAATCTGAACAAAAGGGACAAGAGCAAGACAAACAATATAGCCCTCAAACAGTTAGGACTCTGAAGTAGAAATCTTCGCATGGGCTCAAAGTCCCCTTCCAGAAGCCATAGTCTGTGAACCCACTTCAGCATTGCATCCACAAATGCAATTCAAGACTCTAATATATGATTCTAAATTACCAATGACTTCTTTATGCCGAGGACATTTAAGATGGATTGAGGCAAAGTGGGAGAAATCATGGACAACGAATCCTCTTCCAAAAAAGAAAGAGACCACCAAGCTTATCAGCACACACCTCCAAAGTCAGCATCCCTGATAGCATGCGGATGTACAAGTGTCCACAGCATGAGTAGCTGCATCCACCTGGTGTGGTGCCTTTAACACTGACCCATATCGGCAGATTTTGTAGCAACATATGCTGCCATCCAGACAACTTGGTATCCAATTCCTCTCAGCTGTTCCTGAGTTTTCACTGACCCCCTCACTGGCTGTCTAACACACAGAGGCTTCAGTGAGCTTATCCAGACTGCAGACTCTTACTCAGGCTGTTACATTAACAAGGCATGGCACTGCGAACAGCTGGTCCCTCTGGAGACATTCACATTCCTGTGCCATCCTAGAGACGTCTGAATCACTCCATGTTGGAGAGGAAATGTGAAACATTTCGAGCAGCAGGTGGAGAGCGGAGCTGGACAGAAACTTGTTTGGAGCAACTTTTAACGAAGTGGAACAGCAGAAACATTGAGTACTCTCTGAGTGTTCTGCCTTTTGTCTGGTTAATTTCCTACAACTGCACATCTCTGGTTAACGATGACTGTGGTTCTAACAGAAATCCATGTGAAGCAGTGCTAATGAGGGATGCACTGACAGAGAAAATTCTAGCCAACGCCAATACTTGAACACAGTTTAGCTGACTGATCAATGTTTTTTCATCATCTCTCCATAATTATTTGGATCTCTTCAGCTTTGAGAATTAATTTATACAAGTTGTTGCAAGTAGTCCCCCCTCCACAAATGCCAGGAGGACATGTCTTACAAACATGTCTCATAGAAATGCCAACATTCTCTTTCACTTTTGATTATAAAAACATATTTTTTTTAACAGATGACTTCTGACACGAAAAAACTCTTCTCCAAATCAGCAGTGTGATACGCTAGTTAGTCAGCATGAATTGATTCGACACAGCAGATTAAGATGAGCTACTAGCATCGGTTCACAGCGCATTACTTGCAGATGGCAGATTCATCCTTTGAGACTGCTAAACACAGTTTTTAGGGATGCAATAAAAATTCACTTTGCAAGCTATTACATTTGACTTTACACTTAAGTCATATGCTTCCATTGCTTTTGATCCTTACATTTAATGCTGGTCTAAGTGGGGCAGTAAGGTTCAGGTTCTTACTTAACAATGGGATGAGGTAATATCTGGGGCTATGACAACAAATGAAGAGCATCTCAGAGCTATTCAAGACAGGCAACTTAAGCTGCACTGATTTCACATTTGTCATGCATCATTGTCACAATCACCTGACAAACACATCCTCTGAATAAGATGGTCTATTTGAGCTGCAAGATTCCCTGTCTCCACCATAGCTGTGCATGCCACTGCAGTCCTGCACTCATGCTGAACTTAAACTTTCAGCCTGAACACCTCCCCAACATACACCTGCACACTCTATTAGAAGTTCAGCAGTTTCATCCCATCTCAATTTCTGCCAGTAAAGTTTATCTACAGGCTAGTTAAACCCAGATTCAAACTGTGTTCTGCTGCTAAAATAAAGTTAAACACACTGTGAGTTTGACTGATTGACTGACTGTTAAGAGTGCAATGGTGTGTTGATGGTTTTTTTTTTTTTTTGGGATGGTGCCTTTAGATAAAACACCTAAAATCCAACCTGTTGACTAGTGGTGCAACGGATCACAACACTCACGGATCGGATCGTTCCTCGGATCAAGAGTCACGGATCGGATCATTTTTCGGATCAGCAAAAAGCAGTTTTGTCTGTATATTAAACACTTAAATGGTTGAATTAAAATATATAGAAGTAGTGCATACGGCATAATATCTTCTTTTCAACATAATTATTAATGAAAAACAACTTAAAGTGCAATATACAGGCATATCTCCTTCCTTTAAAATGTAACAATGAACCAAAAATGAAGTATGTGCGCGGTGGGATATTGTAACGTGGCTCAAGCACTTTCAGCATGTTTTTAAAGCCCTCATTTGCACAACTGAATATGGCCTCATGTCTGTAGCTATAAACACACCGATAGCGTTTGTGATAGCTTTAACCCGGTCGGATTGCGCAGGAAGAGGCTGCTTAAATGCTGCGGTGATGAGCAATTGCTGGCCAGCTTTCGTTTTACCTCAGGTGTTGTGACACAGAATGCACCCCTGCCGTAGAATGCACCCCCTGACGGGAGCGCGGTTTAAAGTACATAACGAGGCGAAATAATCCAAGTTTTTCTTACATTGGATGGATTCAAAAGCGTTTGCCTGTAATAATTTCATTCAGGCTATTCAAAGAAGCCAAAAACAACAGCCCTTGGAATATTGCTGTCCCGAAAATATAATGCTCTCTACCTGGACAGCTTTCTGTACAGTTTATACCCAAGTACACCTCTATATTTGCATTTTTGAGACACATAAAAAGAAAATGAAAGTTTGCTGCTCCATTTGACATGTTGTCATGATCTAATACTCGTGTTTCTTTAAATATGAGATCATTATCTCCACTTTAAGAAGCTAACGAGTGGAGGGGATGCAGGGGTGCGTTCTACGGCAGGGGTGCAGTCTACGGCACAACACCTGTCATTAAAACACCCGGGTGATGTCGCTTTCAAATGCGTGAACATGCTCGATGTGTTTCCACTGTCATATGGCTTTCTTATGCCACAGTGCCTACACACCTTCGCAGTTTTGTCCACTGACCTCTTTCCTTCCTCATCATAGTTGACAGGGAAGCCAATTTTTTTTTTTCAGAAATCGAACCGCGGGTAACGTGTGTGCCGAACCGATGACGTCGATCCGAACGGATCACGGATCAATGATGATCCGTTGCACCACTACTGTTGACTGTCTCAACTCTGCGCTAATGCAGAGAGAAGTCAGCAAAATTAATTATGAACACGATAATAATAATGCATCAGATTTCATATAGCGCTTTATCAGAGACCCTCAAAGCGCTTTACATTGGATACATCATTCATTCACTCACACAGTCACACTTTGGTGGTGGTAAACTACCTTAGTAGTCAGAGCTGCCATGGGGCAGACTGACGGAAATGTGGCTGCCATTTTGCGCCTACGGCCGACCACCACCACACAACACACTCACAATCATACACCAGTGGAGGACACACACTGGGAGCAAGGTGAGTTAAGTGTCTTGCCCAAGGACACAACGGAGAGACTTGGGAGAGGGGGGAGTCGAACCGCCAACCTTCCAGTTATTGGATGACCACTCTACCTCCTGAGCTATTGCCACCCCATAACATGAACTCCTGTCTATTTTGAACGATGAGTTATCTGTTAAAGGTGATGCTAGGTGGAGTGCTGGGGTTTCATTTCTATTTGGTTTAATATGTCACTAGCCAAAGAAAAAAAACAAGCCAGTGATTAAAACACTTCTCACTGTTAAGTGACTGCCGTGATGTCTGAGCCCAAAATATCCATTAATGAGAGGGACACATGGCCAGCAGATGTTGGGTGCAGCCTGTTGGTCAACAAGCTTGTCCATCCATTACTAAGCAGAGAGTGTCTAGTGATTAATGAGTTGTGTGTTTGCTTGGGGAGACATGGACCAGTGAGCAGAGTGCAGATGGTTTTTAGCTGTAGGTGCTAATCAGAGTCTCTCCTTTAGAAAATCTGGCTCTGCTTGGAGGATTCAGAAAAGTGCAGCACACGTGGGACATGTCATTAGTTGAGTCATGTAATTTGTGTGTTCAAATGTGTGTTTGTCTTCCTGCCATTATATGAGCCTGATGATAATCACACAATTAATCGTGTGTGCACTATTAGAATGAATTTCTGTTCTTTGACTGTGCAGTTGTGTTTTCTCTGACTGTAAAAGATTTCAAGTGCATTTGTGTTCTTCAATGTGCATGCTTGAATGTTTGCCAGTAATGTAATTTTGTTGTGTCTGACTTTTACATGTTGTAATTGCTTCCTGATGTGAGAGAAAGACCCTGATGTGGCTGACAGCAAAGGTCAGAGTCCTCTGAGCGCAATTAGGATAGCACAAGGGAGTACTGCATGCGTTTGTGTGTAAGGTCATATTTTCAACTTCTAACCTTTGAATTGAACTCATGATGACCTCGGCCTGGGTGACCAATAGCAACAAGAAAACTGTTAAATAGTTTTGGTGGGTCCTCACTTTTAGTATTAAGAGCCTCGGGTGAGGGGTGGGAACACAAAAGACATGGAAATGGAAATATTTCAACTGAGGTCTACTTTCGAGATTGTATCTTTTCTGTCTACTGTGTCATGCTAAATTTGCACTTCTTGCCTCCATTGTAGAAGTTAGGGAAACATGACAATTGTAAAACAGAGTATGGTTAAGCAAGCTGTACAAACATCCTGAGGCTTTCCAAATGAATTTTAGTTTTCTAAAGATAAGTTGACGTGCTTTTCAATAGTTCAGATCCAACACACACACAATAGCAGAGCTGTAGTGATAAAGTCAACTCAGGTACTAAATTTTAAGATAGGATTAACCTTTATTCATCCTACAGTGGGGAAATCTGCCGTGTTAACCGCAGCAAAGGATCAGCACAGCAAACATCGAAGAATAAGTACACTCATCACGCACACACAGTATACAGACAATTATAAAAGTTAACTTACACTTGACTTGGGACTTGTGAGCTGACTTTGGCTGTTTATTAAAAAGGGTCTCATGACTCAATCAGTCTGGAGCAAGAGCACATGTGTTGCCTTCATGTGTCATCTTGTTTGGTTACAGTTCCCACCGAGACGTCAAAAGAGGTGCCAAGAATTAGGAGTTTGCTTCAAAAGATTTTACAGGTCAGCAGACACCTGTCCTGGATGCTTTCAGAGAAGTCAATGAGTTACAAAAGTTACTTGGACTGTTGATAACATATTGTTACTAAGCTAACAGGGTGGCTGTGGCTGTGGCTGAGCAGTAAGTCTGTTGTCTCTGGCTCTGAAGGTCATGGATCCTGGACCTGCTGTAAACGCTGAAGTGTCCTTGGGCAAGACACTAGACCCCAAACTGCTTGATATCCAGGAGGTCCAGGCTACCGTTTTTGCTTGTGGTGCTAAAGGTTTGGGTAGAATATCATAGTGCTCTTTCCACCCTAGTCAAGAACATACTACTACAAGTAAAGCTGCTCATTTGAAATCCTGTCAAATTCCTCCTGCATTTTTTTTAGGACTTCTTACTCTAGTACCACTTAAATACAGCTGACCCTGAAAATGAGACAGCTGGCTGCTTTTTACAAACCTAGAGACTTTATTGGACTTGTAAGAGTACATAAAAAGAGGCTGTGTGTAATTACAGGTCTACAAGATAAAACAACCACACACTGTGGCTGGAGGTCAAGCAAATTTCTATGAAAACACATCTTGAATCAGAAAGTAATTATCACATTGATTATATTCTTCATTTTTTTCTTCCTATTTGTTTTATATTCCTTCCTCTCTGTCTTCCTCTCTTCCTTCCTTATTCCTCCTTCCATCCCCGCATGTTGTAGTATCTTGGTGTAATTGCAGCTTGTCTGCCATTAGATAATTAGAGGATAGGGATGTGTCTGAGAGTGTTTTTTAACAAGCTGTGAACACAGCCTGTTATTAGACTTGGCCTGTGGCCCAGGACAATGATTCACATACACAGCGTTTGATGTAAGAGAAGTATCACATAATCCTCTTTATTCTTATTTTATCAAACACATGACTCTATTTGGAAGGGCAGCATGGAGGGACTGTAATCAGAATATTAATATAACTTTGATCTGTGAATGTGTGTGTGTGTGTGTGTGTGTGTGTGTGTGTGTGTGTGTGTGTGTGTGTGTGTGTGTGTGTGTGTGTGTGCTGTGTTTATCATGTCCTTTCTTCTTGTTGTAAATGTTGTAGTTCTTCAAGACTAGATATATGATTGCGCTGAGTGTTATCACTCACTGACAGTTTTGAACCCAAAGGTGGTGACAGTTATTCAACCAAACTCTGACTGTTTAACCAACAGCGATAAAAAACAAACAACCAAACCCCTATGTTTTTTTTTTATCTCGTTTGTTTTGTTGGCTTGGGATAGAAAATTATTCAAAAAATGTATTAGATAATGGATCCAGGTTACTGCACCAGTGAATTAAATGTGGATCGGTACAAGGTATACCTAACTCCACAATTCCTACATGATCTCTCTGTTCATGTGGCTCCTGTTTTTGCTGGCCGAACTCTGCAACAGTGAACAGAGCACATGATGGCGACACATGGTCCAATGGTTCTTGTTGGTTCTTTGTGACTCTGAATGAATATCCTCTTCTGAGCCCATAAGGATACAAACTGGAAAAATGAAGCCCCCTTGTTGCCGCTGTATTTTTGTTGCTTTTGAACTAACTAATATTAAAGCTACTATATGGAGTTTTTGACTGGTTATGAAACAGGCTGAAATAAACAGTGGGAGATCTTTCTGACCTAAAGTGGCAAACAAGGTCATCAATGACAGAATTATTGAAAATTATTAAGCGTTAACTTTTAACCCTGTAACTGCTGTAACCTATTCTCAGATGACATGGCTTTCAGCACTCTAAAGAAACAGCCTTGAACGTACCTTTTCCAGAGCAAACATCAGCATAGAGTGACAAGTTTCATTGTTAAAAAGCATCTGTTATCAGAAAACACTTATTAGATACAAGCAGGACAAATCTAGTAAAGATTTAAGAGGAGAAGAATTTGACAAAGGAGAACTTTCTGATTTAGAGGCACCAAAACTAACAAAAACAGAAAAGTTCCCACTGGAGCTTTATTATTTAATGTGATATATTTTGCATGGGGTAACCCCCATTTTATGACTATGCATTTTTTCACTTGATTATCTATTGGCATTATGAGTGACTTGTGTCTGGCACATTATATGCCAATGTCAGCCAACGAGGTCAATATTTACACAGTTCCACAATGTTATCAGGACACTTTTGATCCTGTAATATCCTAAAATTGACAACATCCTTGCATCCCCAGTCCACATAGCTACAATGTGTTTGAAAACTATCAGGCCTGTTTATCTGCAAACTCTGAGCACATGGTACTTCACTCAGGATCTCCACTGTACCAACCACTCCATTGTTTTTAATGAGACCACCTCCACTTCCTATTCCTCCTCCCTGCTCCTTCATCCACCCCTTTTTAAATCCTCCGCCTCCTCCTTTCTTCCAGAGAAGCTCTTGGCAACTGGACAGGGAAACCTAACTCACCGTCCTTTCATAGGAACAAACCTGTTCCCTCTCCCTCTCTCTCCACCCCTTCTCTGTGTGCCTGAAGTCTTTCTTTCCTCTTTGTCCTGATTCTTTCACATCCACACCCCCTCCCCCTCTAATTTTTCAGCCTCCCTCTCTGTCTCTGGTGCTGGTGGTTAGTAGGCTTTAACGCACCATTGTTCTGGTATCCGCACATTTCCGGAGGCTGTGGCTTAGAAAGGCCTCGGGAGCACAATCTCTCACGCCCACTGCCTAATGCCAGCCCTCACCTGCCCACACACACACACACACACACACACATATATATAACACACACACACATACATACACATCATACACACACACATCTAAAGAGAACATCAGCAGCTTGACAAACCCTCATTCCTTTACAAACGTACTTCTAAGAAATGTGAATTACAGAGGATTAACAAGATCCTCTTTTATGTGAAGTTCCCCTTTCTTGCTACCTTCCATCCTCATTGCTCTCCTTCCTTCCTTCCTTCCTTCCTTCCTTCCTTCCTTCCTTCCTTCCTTCCTTCCTTGCAGGATAATTAGTTGTCTGTTCCTTCTTCAACACCCACACATCATAAGAAAATACTTCCTAAACTGACACTCAAAGAAGTTAAAACTTTGGTGCAACGTGTTTTGCACAATCTTAAATTTCTTCAGGACATCAGGACCTCCATCCACCCCCACCCTCACAGACAGCCCCAGAAAAAGAAAGTGAAAAGAAAAAGGAGGCAAGAAGACACTGCTGATTCCTTTGTTCCTCTGATCAGAGTCCTTTCACTCTCCTCTGCTCTCAAACACACACACAGCCACACACACTCCAATTAACCCCCGCCTCTGACCTTAGGGTTCGGATACGACCCTTGACCTTGTAGCTTCTGCTCATAGGGGTCAGGGCTGTGATTGACAGCTTCCTATCTCCAAACTGACAGTGTGTGAGGTGTCCGGACACACACCGCCGCACACCCTTGTTCACATTTCCGCTCTAAAAAAAAGTGATTTCCTCCCTGTCCCTCCTCTGACGTTAATCAATAATGCTCGATCAGGTCACAAACACAAATGCACTGACAACATTGAGAAGCTGTTGCAGGTGGTGGTCCTACTGGAGGAAGTTTTTACTCAGGTCAGTGGGGGAGGGGACAGTCATGAAAACAACTTAAAATATCTACTTATTTTACCCAAAATGAAGCTCTGAATGAAGAGTGACTTTTGAAGTGACGATCTAGCTATAAAATAAACACATACTGATTTCAGCATCCTACTGTCAGAGTGCCTTTTACAACATTGAAGTAAACAAGCACAGATGATAGATGGCTTCTTGTAGTGCAGCAGTGTTTTGATCTGGACAGCAGAGATCAGCTTGTATAAAGGTTAAACTGGCACATGACCACGCAACAAGGTGAATCCATGACCATCACAGCTAAACAGACAGGTGAATCTCTCAGTCAATGTCAGCCACACTTGGCAAATCACTCATCTCTGGTGTTCATCCCATGTTTAACCTTATTTCATGAACTTCATGATTTTCACTGTTTTGTAGGTGTTGTCTTAGTACTTAGTAACAATACTTAGAAAAATGCAGAAACAGAAACCTTCCCCAACTTTCATTGGTACCACTATTGCTAGGTCATTTCCCCCTGACAATCAAACAAACCTATTAAAACCTGGTATAAGCAAGTTTTTTTTTTTTTTCACAACTTCAAATAACCCCCCATCAAAAGTAATGTTAAGAAATATCACACAATATCCAGAAAACTTGCAATTTTGACCAATCATGATGACCTCTGCAGATTTGACAAACAGTTATTCCCTGAGTCCGTCTTTATGAACTGAATCAAACTCACTCGGCTTGATAAATGCTGTGTAGTTCCACCTCTGTGTGTCAGAGGACAGCTCATTAAAGCTCCAGTGAGGAGTTTTTTGATGTTTAGAAACAGACTGCGATTCATATTGATTCTATTGATTTAGAAGACACTACTAAACATGCAGAGGACTGCTTTATCCACAGGGGTTGTCAATGTTGGTTCAAAGTGAAAGTTCCTCACAGGACTTTTAAGTTAGATTGGAGTTAACCATGGATGTGTAATAGTGACACTGTAAATTTGCATTGCATCTGTAAATTAGACATTTTAGGCTGCAACGATGACAGAAAGAGCATTATGCTAAACTGAAAAAGACATTGGTGCTATTATTATATCCTTGTAGTTTTCAAGTAAAGAAACACAACATCGTGCTTGCAGTTTACAAAATTCACAAAGGGAGAGGTTTAAGCTCCACAAGGATGACATACCATCACTGGACTTTTATCAGGAGCTGCAGCTGCACTCAGTGACAGTGTCTAAGGAGACAACAGCAGGTGCTAATTGACCCTTGCTGAAGCACTAAAGCCCATTGTCTTCAGCACTCAGGGGCTATACAATACAATACAATACTGATGCCTTTTATTGGATTCAATTAATCAGAGAAAAACTTTGTTTCACTGATGGCACTGAGTACATCCACTTCAATAGAAGTGCTGGTGTCAGACAGCAATAAAACTAAATGCTTTAAGTTAAAGGAGTTGAAAAACTACAACACTTTTATCCGATGCAAACACATCCATACATATACATACAGCACTGGATGCATTCAAAGGGGTCTGAAGGTGGGTGTGGAGTGGGTGTCTCTATTTGCGGATTCAGCTGGGGCTGTTTTAGGAGGACCATAAACAGAGCGACACCACCCACAGAGAGAGACTGACAGACTGAGACAGTGAGACGGAGAGAGAGAGAGAGAGAGAGACAGGGATGACCCCAGAGACCCTAGAGGCCAACAATCCCATAGACCTTACATCCAGGAGGTCCAGGCTACTGTTTCTGCCTGTGACGCTAGAGGTTTTCTGCGCAGTGCTGGACTGGTCAATGGATTTGTAAAGATGTGGAATGAGAGATGCTCCATGTTAGTGACCCATACAGAACCAGTACACTTACATAAATACAGGCCTATCTGCTACAATGTACTGCGAATATTTCAAAAAACTTGACTTTTTCCTTAAGATGTAAAAGTTAGACACATGGAACTGCAAATTTAACATATGCAAATATCAGACACGCAAATAATAGCAATATCAAATACTGTGAATCCTAACACAGCAGCCTCTTATCAACAATGCAACATTAATTTGAGGTAAAACAAGTCTTTTTAGAGCCTTGCCACTTGCACAGACTCAAATTCAAGGACCCTTAACCCACTGACAAGACAATACCTGCTTTGGTAAACTCTAACCCTGTAAAAACCTCTGGGACCTGACCTCTTCAGCTTTAACAAGAACCCACGAGCTCCAAATTTTCCAGTGACTTGTCAAAGAAAGTCAAATGACCTGGAGACAGTCTTTATCTCTCATCTGTGCTCAGTGAGTCACATCAGAGGATTTATTAGGAGGCAGAAAACACGGATTGACTTGTACAGTCTACTCACCGCAGACAAGTATTAGCAGCGACGCCTCCATCTCTGAGCGCTCATCCACCCGTGGGGCTGCTGCAACCTGTGGCGGGCAACAAGTTGTTATGAAGCGACTGCTTTTGCAATTCAGAATCACTTTCTAAACAGACAGATACTGTCCTCTGTGCACTGACCACCGGTGTGTTGAAAACGGAACTTTTCTTGGACGGGACTCTCAAAGTAAAATGTTCTCAACAGCGCAGAGTTCATATGTCTGTGAGTCTCACTTCACCCTCCAATAGTTTAGTCAGAAAAGAAACAAACACCCACCGTGTGTCAGTGCTATCGCTCCAGGTGCTTGGTCGTTTGTTGTGTTCGTGTCCGGTGTCCCTCTCAGTCCACTTCTCGTGGAGGTGCCGGACAGATGCGGGTCTGGGTTCTGTTTGCCGTGAGGAGTCCTCAGCTCCTGCGTCTCTCTGCTGGAAACCCCGAGCTGGACTCCCGGAGTGGAGCGGAGCGTGGAGAGGAGGAGGAGGGGGTGCCGCTGTTGGGGTCGGTGTCGGGGGAATCCCCCGGTGGGCGTACAAGGTGGCCGGGAACTGCCACCTTTGTCCACAGGGGTCGCTAATTATCCGCTTGTGTGTTAATTCATGCAAAGTGGCGCGTCAAGCATGATGTTAACTTAATGGTCTCTCTGTCTTTCTTTCAGAGGTTATCTCCCTTCAGATTTTTTCCCCATTTCCCTGTACAGCACACTTAAAACAAAACCCTGACCTAATCACTGACAAATAACTTGAGTTTTTGTTTTGGATAGGAACTTTGCAAATGAGAGACATGTACAGTAAAATTATACTGCAAAGTCACAATAGACTCGTTTTATTTTGAAAAGCCAATATCACTACAGAAACTCAGAAAGCTCAAAAAGCATCTTTTACTAAGACTGCCATAACTACAGAGTGTTTAATTTAAAAGTGGAGAATACAATGGTCCTGAAAGTCAGCTGCTCAAATATATGAATACAAGGAAAAACAGATCACTCAAAACTAAAATGAAAATCTTACCCAAATTAAAAATGTTTAAAACATGGCAATAATTTCCATGTACCTGCCAATAATCAAAGCCTGCGCCATGTATTCCCCACTCCAAATTTAACCAGCAGTTTATTGATGAAATCTCCTTCTATCAGAAAAACACTAACAGCTGAAGTTTATGTAGTTTTTTTTATTGCATGAACTGTTTTTCTGTCTCATGAGATATTATTATTATTATTATTATTATTATTATTATTATTATTTTTTATATATAGTTGACATTCAGGGGCACTACGGCTGCAACCTTAAGGAAACATGCATAATTGGTGTATAATACAGTGTGAGATATAATAAACAGGCATGCCTGACAGGCTTTATACACAAAAATATTGTTGAATCATCCATGCAATTCAAAGTGTAACACTTTTAGGCATACCACAACTGCAAACCAAGCAGCTCCTCAGAGCAAACCCAGGACCACCAGATGACATTAAGATTGTGGATAATTTCATTAACATTTCCATACACTCATTTTATTTTATTTTATTCGATTTTGGCACACATGTAGCACCAAAATTCTGTGGAGACCCCATTTATGACTTCATCTGAGTAAAATTAACTAACAAGGAGGTAAACCATTTAAAAAACTATTATGCACAAAGAAACAACAGAATTTGTTCTCAGATCTTGCATTACAATTGTTTTCATAGACTTAAACTTTTGGATTTTTGACTCCCAAACTTGAACCCTCTGCAGGTTGTCCTCACAGACCCACTGCATGTTTTCCTTTGAGCCTCTCTCTCTCTCTCTGTGTCTGTGAGCAGGAATGCGCGCTCCCTGCTGGACGGATTAAATTCCCTTTGACTGAACCCGTGGCCGCGCTCTGACCGCAGATCCCCTGACTGTCTGATCAGTCTCACAGCATGAATGCCAACAGGTAGCCCAGACAATTTATATTGGGAGTCACATTTATGCACTCAGAGACACAAGTGATTTCTTCTCTACTAAAAGCCCATATTTGATCCTCTAAATGACTTATTTTGTAAAGAGTTTTCATGACACCTATACAAAATATATCTGGTTCAAACTTCTCTCATGGAGTCACTCTGATGGTTACAGGTGTGCTGATCTCTCACTGCAGGCTGTCTCCTCTTGAACAAAGCCTGCTGTAAATCTCTGTCATATTACACATTCCCTGTGCTGCTGGAGGACAGCCTCTCTTTGTTAGAGCCCAGGGTCCTGTGCCATAATCCAACAGAAAAAAGCAGAGCTCCTTCATATTGAGTATGAGTTAGCTTATCAGTACATGGAAAGTGAAGATTTCTGCTGAGAAAGAATCAAAAAAAGAAGGAGAGATGCCTGGCATCATGTAAAAATGATAAAAGTGGGTGAAGCGGTGGAGGAAAACAAAGTTTAGTACATCACTTACTTTAGGTAACAATATACTAATAATCCTATCAAATATTTTCTTGCACCTGTATTTGGAGTAACCTGCATAAAAAAGCTTATGGATTAAAGTAGGTCGGTAAAAAGTTCCAAACCTTTTTGGCCTTTGACCTCTCGCTGTGTCAAGCTGCGGTTTGCTCTTTGTAAATGAGTTATCAGCACTGTCACTTTGGTTTAACGTGTCCCTAAACCTCTCAGATAGCTTCACTGAAATGTCTATGGCCTTGATCAGCACATAACCAACAGTGGAAAAAATGACATTAGTCAAAACACAAGCAGAAAAGTAGAATCATGTAATCATACTGAATGAATCCGGCATTGAAAATTTATAAAACTGAGAAAGTGAATATTTGTTTACACAACAATGATTTGCCAATGCAAGTAACAATTTTTCCAGTCCCTTTGATCAGCAAAACCCATCAGGAATTTAAGGTCAATTGGACTTTTATTGAAGCTGGTCTGACAAAAAAAAAAAAAAAAAAACTTGCTCAGTTTGAAGTTTGTGCAGTGTTTTTAGACGCTTCGTTTCTTATTCTCTGTTTAATTTTCAGAAGACATTACATAAAGTGCTGTGACACAAATTAAATCTTTCAGAACTTTTTGAGACCCAAAACAAAAAAGTCAAGTAACACAATTGTGGATCATTTAACCATGTAACCCAAGATTAAAAGCTTACTTTGCACATGTCAGAAGTGCCTAAATTGCCTCATAGTTTGCCACTCATCTCAACCCCAAGTCTCCTTGAACATTCAGATTTTCTGCTCTTTCTGTCATTATTGGTTTGCCAGAATAGAAGAAAATACACTGCTGATAAGAGTTCAGTCATGCCTCAGTAAAAAAGTGCCATCTCAAATTCAAGGCCTCTCGAGGGTAGAAATGAGACTTTTTGTGATCTTGAATTCTTAATTTTAATTTAGTACTTTTTTAACTCTGCACACATCTCCTTTGATAATTTGCTGCTTCAATCCACAAAATTTTACATGCTTAGTATGTCTGTGCCATTTGGTACAGACTTTAAATCTACCATTACCTGCCTGCCTGCAGCCACAGAATATAACAATAAAAGACACAGGGGAAAGGAAAGAGAACAACAAAGTATGGAGAAGCTGGAATGTGGTGCTAAGAAAACAAAACCTTGAACTTCTCAGCAAAGTCTGGTCTCATTCCTGCAGTTGACCGGCAAAATGCCATACAACCAATTGTTTTGATTTTTCAGTCAGATGTGTTGTCATGTAAGGAATTACACAGGTGTAGCCATCTACAGAAACTTTGTGATTACACCTGTTTTTTCTCCTACATTTCAGAATATATATAGTGAAAGATTTCAGGACTGAGGACAAAGAGCACACACTGCTGCACTTGGTATAAGACGCCCTCTTGTGGCAAATAAATTTAACAACATCTATACTGTCACCGATCCACTACTTCCTCAACTTAAGGCTGTTCCTTTATTTCCTGTCTTACATTATCGGACAAACTGATTAAAACAGATGTGTCTGAGTAGTCACAATGATCAGTCACACCTGGATTAGAAGAAGAAATAAAGGAGCTACCTTAAGTTCAGGAATAAGTGGAGCTGTGCATAGAGCCCATTCACAGTCAGTAGTGTGCACGTTATCATACAAAAAAAGGACACGTAACTTGACAGTTTACACACAACTGTATCAGATTTATTTATCTCCAACATCCCACCTCAGAATAATTTTAACTTTAAACAATATGAACTTGTGTATTTGATCGATATTTGTTTTGTAATAAAAATAAGATTTAGATTTAATTAAAAAAATCAAACTTTCCAAAATTCTTTTGATAGGAATGTCATAATTTGGCAAAGTTACAGAAAACACTCTCAAAATCTTAAAACCACGTTTGGTCAAAATAATAAATTCCTGGTAACATAATCCAATATATTTCTTTTTTTATCATTTATGAAGAATTATTGAACTCAGAATAATATACAGAGAGACGTGTTCTCTCCACAGGTTGACCACCTGTTGTCATAGCTTAAAAGAATTTACAGTAGTTTGCTGATATCTAGGAGTGAAAATGTCATACAGTACATGAACAGGAAGGCATCTCAGTGATATAAAACTTCACAGGTAATGTGTCAAAAGTGATATCATGAATATATCTGTAAAATCATGGAGGTACCAAAGCAGCACATTATTTTCCAAGGTGTCCTCATCAGTCATGACTCTGGTCTGAACTACAGCAGCAGCATATTGTAAACAGCAGGTGGATCCTCCTCACTGACAGTTACTGTACTTCTGCACCTGGTCCCGGATCTCGTCCCGCACCACTGTGGCATTTTGTCTCAGCTGGTCCAGTTCTGTACGCTGCTTCTGCATCCGCTGTTCATTATTCCTGAACTTTTTCTCCAGTTCTGCAACAACACAGTGACAGAGGTTAACGTGGGTCACAATAGGCGACCATCAACAGCTGACTGCAGTTTGTATTAATACAAACAGGTGCATCTCAAATTTTTTAGTGTCCCAAAAAAGTTTATTCCCCCCCCATAATTTAGTCAAAAATGTGAAACTTCCATATAGTCTTGATTCATAACACAAAAAATGAAATATTTCAAACCTTTTTTGTTTTAATCTTGGTGATTATGGCTCCAGTCAGGAAAATTAAAACAAGTAAATATACTGTTAAAAATCAAAAGATACTGATACGAGTTTTATTACAGCAGCCAAAAAATATCAACATTTGGGCAGTTATATCATATTTTGACATTTGATTTCCAACCTGCACACAGTGCTAGAATAAAAAAAACACTGAACAAAGACCAACATTTGACTCATTAATAGGAATGAAATTCAGATTTAGATTTTTCCCACATATCACGAGCAAACATGATAAGATATTGACTCTGAATCATCATTCATGATCCAGTGGAAGTGTGTTGTGGTATATCTCTATCTGTGTCTTTTTTACTTCTTTAATCTTTTTGAAAAGCATCAGTCACACTGTCGATGTTGTGAAGCTCAGGGCCTAAATGCAATTCATGCAGTCTACAGTAATTTAAGTTCTAATGCTAAAAAATATATTTTAAAAAGTGAATTTAAAAGAACATGGGAAAATATTTACTTTATCTATAGGGTACATAGATTCAAAGATCAAAAATTCCTAATGTTGTAATTTGTAAGGGGATAACATGTGCTAAATATGATTTACATACAACATCAAATGGGTGGCATAATCGTTGCCTCCCCTTAACCACGCCCCCTTGTCAAAATGCTTAGTGGTGGCACAGCTTTTTGACTGTGCTATCCCTGTCTTTTGTAGAGCTGTGGAGTTGGACAATTTTCTCTACCTGCTTCATTTTTGTTTCAGTAAACTGAACCACTGAGTGCTGCTGTGGAGTTTTTTAAGTCACTGAGAGCTTAAAAATGAAGGCTTCATTCTGGGGAACCTACAAACAGTCTGCAGGTCATGATGGAAAACACATCCATGGACCAGGTGATAATACTGTGCTACCCTCTTCTCTCAGTCTTTGTGATAGAAGCATTAATGTGTCTTTATGATGGTTTTTTTTTTTTTTAAACTCACTAAATGTCGTTTTTTGCTGACCTATAAGTGAGGAAAGTAAGGAGCGTGGAGGCTGTGACAGCAGGTGGAGGAACGAGACACACATGAGGAGGGGGAAACATGACTTTAGGATGTAGGAGGTTAGACATGTTCATGAGAGAACTTCTTCATTCTCAGTTTTTGCCTCTTTATTAAACCATTGCTGTCCATCTTTATTTTATCTTCATGTCAACATCCTTTACACTCTCTCCTTCATTCACCTACAGACAGCTATAATGTGCTTAAGCAGGTTCAGAAGATTTGTGACTCAGACTCAGAGTCTTGCTTTAACATTTGAAATCTTCCTGTTTAAGATGAAAGTCCAAACATAACAACAGAGACATTTATGCCAGATATATCAAGAAAACCTCCATAATTAAATAAATGAGTCGGTTTACCTCCAAACAGTTCAATGTTAAAGCTCCTCAGAGAAAAAAAAGTCAACAGTTCAGCTTCCACTCACTCTTGAGTTGTTCCATCCCCTTGTTGGCTTTGTTGAGGAGGTCCTCTGCCTCCTTTTTGATGTCCTTGGCCCTCTGGTTGACGTTGATCACACCTCCAGACTCTCCGCCAAGAGAGTCCACCTTCATTAGCAGCTCACGGTACCGCTTCTCTGTGTCGTTCAGGCTCTAAAATATGACATACCATCGTCAGCTCTGATTTAATTTACATCTGATATCAAGAATATTTAACTCTTTCAGTGACAAAATCAGGACATCAGTTGACATACTCACCTGCTGCAGTGAGGTTGTCACCAGTGTGGCGTTTTCAGCCTTGGCTTTGGCCTCCTTCGCCATCAGCCTGTTCTGCTCTGTCTTATTCTTCAGAGCTTCAACACCCATGGAGAGATTTTGTAACCGCATCATGATATCCATCTGCTTATCCTCCAGCTGCCTCAGCCTGTCATCCACCTGACAGGGCGTCAACAAATAAATATAAGTCCGTACTTACAGTAAAGTTCTCTGTAGACAAACAGGCTATCCATTTCCTATAATACTGTACCTTGGCTGTAGCATCCTTGGTGCTGTTCAAATTGTTCTGGGCCTCCTTTAGTGCTTCTCTTGCTTTCTGTATGGCTTTCTCTGAACCATCCAGAGCCTGCTTGGTAATCTTGGCTGTATCCTTCACTTTTTCTGCTCTGGTCCTGTACAAAAACAGATAATGTCAATAGCCACGTTAACATGGGCAAAATTTCTTGATCCGGTTAAAAATTTGAGGGATCGGAAAATCTGAATCCACTGTTTATATGGGCGCAAAATCAAATAATCCGATCATGACGTATACATGCAAGTTTTATTCAGATTTGAAGCATTTGGACATGCACAGAGTTGTCTAATTTCGCTAAAACAACAACCGCAGAAGAAGAAAAGTTGTATCCACACCTGTGCTGTCAACAAACCAACAAACGCTGTAGTGCCTCAATCCATCCAATTCAGGATTTTTCCCTCTGCTAAATGTTGTCACTAGATGGCGCCCTTGCTTACTTATCTTACTGTTCTGTCAAAGATTGCACTGTGCTACAGATGTGACATCATTATGCTGTATGTACGCCTTGTTATGTTATCAGAAGAGCAGGCACGGCACCTGCAGTTGTGTTTTATGCCAGAGTGTAAATACTGAAACCTCCTGAAGTGGCCTCAATAAATAAAGAGTGAAGACCGAGTCAGGTAAGAGAGTCATGATCGGAGGAAGTGTTTACATGAACGCATTTCGGAATAACGATCAGCATAAACCATCCCTCTTGATCAGAATACAATTTCTTTCCGACTGAGCCGAATTGGATCTAAATTTTCTGATCAACATGTTAACATTGCACTTTTCTATTCCGTTAGGGCCTTTATTTTGGTTATTTATGCCCATGTAAACGCAGCTGGTGTTACATTCCTTTCATATCAGAAGTGTCTTTGAACGATAAATTAGTTGCAGCTTGCTTCAAATGAAAATAAACTGGGAATCTTTTTCCTCAGTGTGCTGTGACTATCTTTATCAGACGCAAACTCAGCAGCAGTGGTCACAAGCATCTAAACATTTCATGCAGAAATAATGAACTTGTTTTCTATGGTCTTGTTAGTTACTGTGTGCTTTAAAGAGGCATCAGTCTAACCAGCTTCAAACTCCACAAAGGAGTTAAATCACTGTACTCTAGTATCACTTACTTAGCATCTTTAGCTTTGTCCAGCAGCTCTTTGGCTTTGCTGATGTGCTGTGAGGTTTGGTTGACGATCGCCTCCACATTGGTGAGGTTTGAAAGGCTGTCCTTCATCTGCATGATCATTTTGTCCAGCGTGGTCCTGTTCACCGGCAGAGTGATGGACAACACCTGCAGAGCTACCTTCTCTATGCTCTCTGGATCTGCTCCCTCCTCTTATCAGCAGAAGGAGAAAAGTACAAGTTAGAAAACAACTTATCAGATATATCTTCATTCAGAGTAGATAACACCAGAAAAAACAGCATCCACATACCAGTGAGGAAGTCTCTGATCTTCTTAATGAAGTCTTTGAGCTTCTTGTTGTTGTTTTCAAAGTCGTCCTTCTTCTTCTGGGCTTTTTCCAGCGTGTTCATCGCCTGGTTCTTCACACCCTGGGTCAGAGCAGTTATATCCTGGAACTGGACGAATGAAACCAAAGATTAAGAGCAACTTTTTCATTTGCAGTCTCAAACAGATGAGGGCTAGTATAATGGGTAATGCGTCCGATACTGCTTTTTGAAAAACCTTCATCACCTTTCTGGCCACGTTCTGCAGCTCCTCGATGGCAGCGTTCAGGCTGTCTGTGAGGTCCCTGGCGTTGTTCAGAGCTGCTACTGAAGTGCTCACCGTCCCGTTGCATCCTTCACCACCACAAACTCTTTTGCCATGGTTGCAACCAGCACCCCCACACTGATTGTCTGTACAATTGCCATCAGTGCTGGAATTGCCATGACCACCACACACCTGCAGGAAACAACAACTGCCATTAATATCTCTACAACCACTAATATATCATGATCTGGTCAAAGTGGGAAATCAAAACAAATGAGAAAATCATCTAAGGGTTAACATAGTCCGCAGTTTTACATTCAACATTATGAGCAGACAGTATGAAGTCTTCATCCCTGCCTACCTTATGTATGAGGTGATGGACTTTTTTGTCCAGGTCGTGGGTTTTCTGCTGCAGCTCGTTCAAGGATTTATTCTGAGCAGCCAGATCTCGGAGGAACTTGTCTTTACTCTTGTCCAGCAGGTTTTGAGTGACAGCGCGAGTGTCTTTGGACTGTTCCACAGGACTGGAAGGACCGGACACTGAAGCTTTGCATTTCTGCTCAGCCTCCACAGACTGACGATAGTACTTCTTTACTTTCTCGTACTGATCTGTCATAAATAAGGGAAAGATTTTTCAAGTTGTGTAAATAATCCTTTTCTCAGTCTGTGTAAAGTCACTTCACCAGAGTGCCCCTTTAAAAATACAGGGTTTTACAGTGGGTGAGGCCTTCCAGGTGCATGAAGCTAAGCCCACAGTTTTCCAAAAATTGGGTCGCTGGAGCTCATTTCATTTAGAGGGATGGGCTTCAGAGAACTTATGGGTTTTGCCAGCAAAGTCTCTTCAACAGGGATGAATATTTATTAAAAGTAAATGAAAAGTCCATCATTTCAGGGGTCTTTTGAAAATCTCATTTTTTTAAGTCACATTTTTTAGACTTTGAATGCATGCTTGTGCTGTTCTTAAGGAAATCTAAATTTAAGCTCCTCACCTGCGAACCCTGAGGTGAGGTAGTCGTCCACTAGGCGCTGTTTGTGAGCCACAGTTGCGTTGACATCTCTCAGCTCTTTCTCTAGATCCCCAAGTATTTGTTTCAGTGCCTCTTCTTCTGCTACGGTTATGTTCAGCTCTCGAGCAACACTCATAAGACGCCCATCAGTCAGAGCGATCTCAGCCCTGGAACACAAAGGTCAGGTGATGTTAGATGTTGTCATTCAGGAACTATCCTAACACAGTGGTCCTCGAAAATACTGAGTGACTTCATCACCTGAGGTCATCAATGCTCTGACCAATCAACTGGTGGATCCTGTCTCTCTCCTCTGAACTGATCAGATCCTTCACCTGCTTCAGCTTCCTCTCTAGCTCTCTGATACGTGAGTCTCCGACTCCAGGCGTGATCCCGCTCTCCAGGATCTTCTGTATGACATACTGGATGTGGTCCAGGTCTCTTTTGAGCTGACACACCACATCGTCCCACAGCTGGAAGCACGGGTGACACTGGACGCAGCTGGGGAAGGTGCCAGTGAAGCCACGAGCACATTCGTCACAGCGCTTCCCGGCTGCTCCCTCCCTGCACTCACACGCCCCAGTTACCCTGTCACACTGAGCCATCTCTGAACCCAGGGGGTGGCAGTTACACTCTGAGGAGAGGTAGAGAGGAGGTGGGGATGGAGTACGGATGAAATAACATCATCATTTCTTTAAGAATTAAGTGGAAAAGGTTTAAAATTAAACAGTGAGACAGATTTATAACCACTTTTACCATTAACTTAAAGCCGAAGCTTTGCTGCCCTCAGCATAATTTCACTTACTCTGAGCACTACACTCAAAAGGGGTAAGCTGTTATAATTTATCGTCATAAGTTTAAAAGACCAAAACAGATTTTTGTATCAGAATGTAAACATGTTCAATTTTTGCTAATGACAAAAAGTCATTTTGAGGCTCTCATATGGTTTTCTTGGCTCTCAGAGGAAGCATTAAGAGGACTCTGGGATGTCCTGTTTTTCAGCCTTCTGTATTGGCTCCTTTTACCCACATCGTGCCTTACTCTACCTGCAGCAGACATTCAGTTCAAGTGTACCCCAAAGGAACAACTTATAAATGGTTCAGTGCAAAGAAACAGGGATATTTAGCGATTTCAAGCTATCACTCTATTTTGACAGCTCCCACTGGTGAAGCTCCATAAGCTAAGGTGACCTTTAAGGACAAGAGACTCCAGTGATGTTTGACATGTATGACCATCCATTTGTCAAGTTTTTCACCATCGACAAAGAAAAAACTGGTCTGAACTCAAATGCCATTAAAAACATCAATGAGATTCCTGTAGATGCAAGTTTGAACTTCGTCTCAAAGTCTTAGGGGGAATAAAGAACGAACTGGAACCTAGCTAATGAAATGGGAAGAACAGGTAAAAGGCTGGGGAGCTCAGAATAGAAAACTAACACTGTCCGAAATAGACAAAGAGAAAACTAATTACCATCTGGGGAGCTCCTGGTCTGAAAGCTTGTAATTTATTTTGTTTTTCTGGGAAATGGTTTTCATACATAATCAGGTCAAACACGGAACATACGAAAAAAAATCATCTGTTTGTCTTATTGATTTTTTAATCATTCTGTCCTTTTGATTTAATTTTTTTTAAATCTCTCCTTTCTTTAAAATTTTTGTATGTGTTTCTTTGCATCTGTAAAGCACTTTGAATTGCCTTGTGTATAAATAGGGCTATAAAGATAAAACTGCCTTGCCTTAAACTTTTGCATGTGTTACTACAGTGATTTTGCAAATCTGACACAACAATAAGATTCAGTTCTCATCAGAAAGTTTGCTGCTTACAGGCTTCATGAAATTATGTCCTATCTATAAAAAGAGCTGTGAGTTCTTTAGTGTCTAAATTGTTTTCAAAAGGTTGCATTATTCAAAAGTATTTGTAAAAACATGTGTTACCTCGACACTGCACTCTTGGGTCACCCCAGTGAAACTGCTCACACTCTGTGCACTGCCTCCCGCCAAACCCTGGACGACAGTGACACTGCCCCGTAAACTGGAAGACACATGAATTAAAAAACAATGATGATATTCAAAGTTTAAGAACACAAACTCATGGTTTCATGCTCAGTCTTTTGGAGGCCTTCATACGTCCCCACCATGTTGCAGTGAGTTCCCAGAGCGTGTTGAGGGTCGCAGTTGCAGGGCTCACAGCCTCCATCCTGACCGTAGTTCCAGTGGTTTGGAGCACACTGGTCGCAGTTATGACCCGCCACGTTCTCCCTACAGGGACACGCTCCGGTCTCTCTGTCACAGTGGCACTGTCCATCACTGCAAGCAGACTTAATGGTGCCAGATGACACACAGGTACAACCTGAGGAGAGAGGTATGGATTTAATACACAGAGAGAAGACAGCATCTGTCCGTCCACAGTATTGATGAAATGATTGCTATTAAATCACATTTTAGTAATAACATGTCTTTAAATTAACTAAAATGAGCCTCTTTAAGTCTAAAAACCGAGTCTGAGAGATAGTTGCGACTGAAAAATGAAAAAAATGTATTGAGCAAACTTTGATATCTGCCATTATCACTCACGCCTGCAGTCATGGGCCAAAGCATTTCCATAGTAACCATGCTGACACTGGGAACAGGACGGGCCATCTGTGTGGTACAAACACTTGAGGCATTGTCCGGTCCTGGGGTCACATGAACTGGGGTCTTGGGGGTCGATGTTACCGTTGCACTGACATGGGAGGCATTGCCCACCAGACTGCTGTGGGTTGCCATAGTAACCAGACGCACACTGGTCACAGCGGGGCTCTAAAGGACAGACAGAGAGAGTATGTCAACTAAAGAAAGCAAAAGTCTGTTTCAAATGTGTGTCAGTGCAGTGTGGTGGTTTACCCGCGTAGCCTGGTTTGCAGGTGCAGATGATCTGGTTGGAGGTGTGGTCAGCCTCACAAGAGTTCCCGTTAAAATGATCCGTGCCGGGGTTACCAGGGCAGGGGCAGGGCCGACAGTGCTCCCCTGAACCAAGCACAGGGTTTCCAAAGAACCCATTTACACAACTGGAAAAATATAGGGAGACATTAACCGTCAGTTTAGTGACAAAAGAGGAGGACTTAGATAAGACTGAGTGATGCTCACCGTTCACACAGGTGTCCTGCTGTGTAGTCCCTGCAGTCGCTACACTCCCCAGTTCGGGGGTCACAGAGGTCAGCATGGCCATTACACTGACAGGGGCTGCAGCTGGGGAAGCCCCACTGACCTGGCTGGCAGTCTGAACACTGACGCCCGGTGGCGCCCTGCCTGCACTGACACTGACCAGTCACAGAGTCACACTGGTTGCTCAGTGAGCCCTCAGGGTGACAGTCACAGGCTGGGTAAGAGAAGACATTACAAGGGTTAAGTGGTGTTTTTTTTTTTTTTTTTATTAATTAGCACAGGAATAATAATACTACAATTATGAATTACTGCAGTGATGTCATTTTCAGTCCAGATGTTCATAATGTTTGTCATCACATTTGCACACACTTTATTATCAGTGATTAGACTCAAACTATGAATATCAAAACAAGGTGCTTCAAAACTGTCACAAAAGGGGGCTGCAGTAACTTTAAAAAGCCACCACATGTTACTGTTCAACCAAGTCACAACAAATACACAAATGACTACAAATAGTAAACCAAATTGAATGCCAACTACCATCATCTCATAACCTTTTATTTCTGCTTTGTTTGACTGCAGATACCACTGTTTTTCTGCATCATGTGCTCTTTAGAGAAGCTTATGTATCAGCACATATCTGAAAACAAAACATATAAGCCCAAATGAATCCATAATGTTGGGCTTTATTTGGGACATATCGTATTACATATTATTAGGTGACATCCCGTACAGTGTGCAAAAATGGGAATATCGAGGAACATACCACAATGTGGCCCCAATATCAAACTTCTTGCAGTAAGTTGTCACCCTTAATATCTTCCAAGGAACTGAACTGACAAACAGATCGATTCCTTAGTCAGCTGTTGTGACCAAATGTTTTTAAAATGGTATGTTCGAAAGACAAAAGAACTCATGGCTGATTTTAGAAGGATTTAGGAAGAGGACACCCCTGTGACGATGAAGGGTCAGCAGATTGAGATTTTCCAGTTTTATAAGTATCTAGGCATCTTTCTGGATAGTGAACCTAACTGGTAAATGAACACTGAGGTCTTATTCAAAAAAGCACAGTCGAGACTATTTTTCTTCAGAAAACTTTGATCCGTTGAAATTAGCAGGAAGCTTCGGCGTGTCTTTTATACATCTATCTTGGCTGGTGTACTCATTTCTGCTGTGCTTTGCTGGGGGGGATATTTGTGCTGATGATAAAAACAGGATCAATAAATTGATCAAAAAGGCTGGGCTGTTGATTGGCATTACCCTGGACTGTCTTGAGGTCATCTTCAAGAAGAAAACAAGAACCAAACTAAAGGCAGTCCTCATTATTTCGGTGATCTGCTGGTGATGCCTCAGTGAGCAGTTCCACGTGATCTGCTGGTGATGCCTCAGTGAGCAGTTCTACTGATTTTTTAATGACCATTCACACTAAAACTGCCACCCTAAGCTCTGAATGATGCATCAAATGTATTTATATTCTGGTCTTATTTATTTTCTTGTTGTGTATTATAAATGGACTGTCTGTGTTGTTCGTGTGGGTTGATGAGGTTGCAAAATGAGTTCACCCACTGAGGATCAATAAAGCTTTCTAATCCAATCTAATACAGTGGTCAGATATTAGATAGATAAACTCCCCTGTTCACCCTTCCTATTGGGAAAGTGACTGTGACCTTCAAGGACAAAAAGCTCCCATGATGCATGATACATAATCCTCATTGTTTTGTTTTTACCGATAAAGTTGTTCATCAAAACAAGTTATTTGTTGCACAAAAACACTTTGAACAGTTACACATTTATTTATTTATAAAATTTTCCATTTCTGCCAAATCTTTTCAGCTAAATACCCAGAAATTCTACAAACTGTCCCTTTAATCTCATCCTAGGAGGTGTAAAAGTGTGAATATTCGACAGACTTCATATAAAGGACTCACCTGTACAGCCGTTGACTCCAAAGCCGTAGGTTCCAGGTGCACACCGGTCACAGCGTTGACCCATCACATTGGGTTTACAGTGACACTGACCGCCCACCTTATCACACTCACCACTGAGGGAGCCCTGAGGGTCGCATTGACAGGCTGCAAACAAAACATGCAGATAAAAAATTAAAAGGAAAATATCAGACACTCTCAATCATTTGAAGAGTTGTACCGTAAAACTGTGTAGATCTGTCATTTTTGGCATCTTTCAGAGGACTTACGTAGAGCTCCATCATGAATGATGGCTGAAATACTGCAGATAAGTTTGGAGCACATCTCGGCCAGGGCAGGCATCGGTGTGATCATGAAAGAATCCACACACATGTAGCGAATCATCTCCTCTCGACGCTGCTCTGTCTCTGGTTCGGTACCTTGGAAACCAGGAAGCTCGGTGTACTTGGGGATCAGGACCAGCTATGGAGGAGAAAACATTTAACCATTTTTTTTTGCATTATTTTAACAAGACTTTATGATGACTACGTATTGAGACAGTGGTCTGCCTAACTACAAAGTCTGTTCCATGAATTTATTATATATATTTAAAGAACTCCAAACTCTTCATAATCTCATTACATTTACAGTTTACCACCACTAGGGGGAGGCCTCACAGTCTTTGAAACCATAAGCGCACCCCTGTGGGATAGAGCCATAAAAAACCCAGACTACAGATTACAGCAACAGTGAAGTATTTAAGACCCCTGAAACTCTTTGAACAGACTTAAAGGTGAGTAATGATGGTGGTCTGCTGAAAGTCCACACTCACCGAGTCTACAAGAATGAAGGCGGTAAGATGTCTGTGTGAGACTCCATGGCGTTGGAACCGGATTGACACGATGTAACGATTACTGGGCTCGAAGCAGAATGGCCGTGGCATCTGGATGTACCTGGAAAAAAAAACAACAACACAGTCACACAAACTTATTATTTTCAAAAAGTGGGTCTGAACAATAAATGACTAAATCAAATTGACAAACCTGAATTGATGGATGATATTTAACACATACTAAACAGCATATCTTAGCTCAGTAAAGAATACTTCAAACATGTGTCTGTTTATTGTTCATTTTTGGATTTGACTTCCTGTAGGGCCTGACTTGTTGTCTGTTTCTAAAGCCCCCAATGCTCTGCAGGGGCTCCTCTCTACCTGTGTTTGGTTCCTGACCCTGCCTCTGTGTTTTGGGCTCACTTTGCTAATTGGTTTTGGCTGAGGAACCAACCAGAGAAGAGGACAGAAGGAAGCTACGGTCTGCTGAGAGAGCTGGATCCGGGCAGGGCCTGACCTCTGAGTTCCAGATGATTTAAAACTCCTCTTCATCAGGCTGAAACTTGATGGTCTTGGTGTGAGTCTTTCCTGTTTTTTTCTTAACATCTTATCCTGCTACCTTGAACAGTGTTCAGGGATAAAAAGCACTTAATTGACCCTGAATGAGATAATCTGTCTGATGTGTAAGACAAAACTCCTAACTTAAGAATACACACAAATCTACACAAACAATTGCTCTGTGATGGGGCTGTATGAAAACAGTTAGCTGTAATATGCGAGTCCTTATACTATGGGCAATGATGTACATCTTATCACTTATTTTGTCCTGTACATGGCAACGGATCTCCTCCTGCTTGATAACAGTCAAATACATACATTGGTCATTGTGAATATTTGTAGACAACATATGAAGAAAGGCAGCTTATCAATATGCTTTCAATCATCTGGCCTGACACTGACACCTTGCAGTTGTAAAATATAGATATTGTCAGTCTTGTTGCTTGAGTATTAAATTTAACCTGTCCCACAACCAGGTTTTAACTCCTCACTGGGACTTGAAAGCCTTAAACCCGAGCCTGATATCTCTGCCTATATGTTTGGTTTGCTTCATTGCTAAGGATATTTTGCAAACAAATTAATTTTCTTTAGCTCTAGTGTAGGGCTGGGCGATAAAACGATGATGATATACATCGAAAATTAATTTCCCTCAATATCAATATAAAACATGGTCAATATGCGTTTCGATAGTCGGCATTCTGCCATGTTTTGGTAGACTATACAAATAGCCAATGAAAAGGGGGAGTTTCTCTGGGTCCGCTTCACACTGAACCAATCACGTGCTAAGTAAGAACCAAGTAGCAAACAACTGCGTAGTAGCAGGCTGCAGCTACACGCAACCATAGCACTTTAACACGTGACGCCAACAGCACTGAAGCAGTGCCATACGGCAGAGCATGCGCAATGCAAAAGGTTACAAACCCTGAACGGAGTAAGGAGCCCATGGTGCCTGTGCAGCTGAAACAGCCCACCATTCAGTCCTCTTTCTCTGTCTCTTCGACAAAACGTTGAAGAGACACAAAGACGTCACAGATGCAGTAGCTTATTGTACTGCAAAAGACATGCTACCAATAATCACTGTTAAATTTCATTTTTTATATATCGATATATATCGATATCAACTGATATGAAAAAAATATACAGTGATAAACCTTTTCCCATATCGCCCAGCCCTACTCTAGAGCAACAACCATTTGATAGGTTTTTCTTTCCAACCAAAGTTTTTAGCTCAGAAAATAATCAATAGCTAAGCTAAATCATAGTTGAGTACAGTACATGCTACTTGATGAGAATTTATTTCAGAACAGAAATAGACCTAACTTAATGCTAGTATTAACATCCAAACATGTTGAAAATGAAGATTCTACGGAGAATATGTTAAAATTATGTGATGTATAGCTTTCATTTACATATGAACAAGGTTATAGCATGCAAATCCCTTAATGCTGAGGAACAAGTAAAGCTTAAACTAACAAGATTTTTATTAGTTTTGTTGGAAGGAGCCCATGTCGGGTCTGTTAAAGTTGGACATACTGCACAGCTTTAGAGCCAGACTGTCTGTGAGCTGGAGTGTTCTTCTCATATCACTGTGCATAAATCTCACAAAGGCTTCCAGGAATGTTTGCCCTGTTATCAGTAAATCAATAGTAAAGCATACCACAGGGTACAGTGAAATAAGAATACAAACACAAGTCTAACTCATACAGGCCGAGGCATGTCCAAGTGACAACATTTCAACAATGCAATGCCTCCTGAAAGACATAAGACAACAAAATCCTAACATTACCTGGGAGACTGGAACCAATCCTTCAGTGAGTTAAACAAACTGCCCGATACAAAAGACCCTCTGGGACACAAAAACACACTTGTGCAAATAGAAAAAAAAGTTCTGGTACCTGTTTCTGTGTGGCAGAGTCACTGTGAAGAGCTGCTCAGTTGGTAGAAGGTTTCCACATCGAAGACTGGATGGCAGATTTACTGATGTGATGCTCACAATGGCCTCCCAGTCCTCTGTGGACTGAAGACACATGGGCAAAAACACTCAACTTAGTTGAAAGACATTCAAATAGAATAAGAAAGAGTTTAAATCAACTACTCCTGAGACAGTCACATACCTCCGGTTCGTAGCGGATCATGATGTTGTAATCCATGGCGAAGGGGATGTTGTCAATAGTGAACACCAGGCCAGCGCCATCTTTGACTCGGGCAAAACCTGGTCCAGTCCATGAGACCATGTGGCTGGGAGTGTGTTCTCTATACACGATCCTCACGTCCGGCTAAGAAAATCACAGACATAACAGTAACACTGTAACTCGACATCTTTCACCAGTCACAACAGGACCCATAAAAAAAGATTTACATTTAACTTCAAATGGTTGAAAGTCAAACAATATATATATATATATATATATATATAAGCACTTTTTAAAAATCCACATAGGGGTATGTTTAACCAATGTGTTGCATTACCTGTTTTTTAACAACACTCTAATTTGGGGGGGAAGTGAAATGAAATGTTGTCACTTCCTTGCTTGATAAAAGACTTATGTAGCTCATGAGTTTGGAGGTCTGCTTTAGTGTATTTTTCAGTACACCAAAGTCTTTATTATTTAAGTCTTTGATAACTCAGGACTGCAGGCAGACCAGTTAAGCGCCTGGACTCTACTAATGCTGAGCCATGTAAATGAAGGATAGTGATGATGATGTGGTGTACAAAGTTTTGGAGTCATTTTTAGGACTCAGATGACAAATAGCAAAAGAATAATGTAAAACAAAACAACTCAAGATGTCATTAGTGTTTTGGACTTCATACAGAGAGTGTGTCTATTCTAATATCACCAAATGTGTGGTCTATATTTAAAAAGTTTCAGTGGTGGGTTTGCCAAATTAAATGTAAAAATAATAGGACTTTATACTCTTAAATGTTGGTAGTTTCAGACTTAGATTTTGCATATAACTAAACCACATAATTTGTCCTGCAGCAGAGGTTTTCCTGTAAATCGGTTCAATTTCATACCAATGTGATTACAGTCTGGGCCCCACTTGAAGTCAAATCCTTTGGTTTTGCTTTGTCCTAGTTTCAGCACTCTGAATTAAATACTGGACGCTGAATACAGCTCTACAAATTCACAGCTCGACCTTCAGCCTTACTTGTTTGAAATGATGTGATTAACTTGACGCCTTCGTATTTAATTAGCTTAAGTAGCGTCAAACTGCCTAGTGGTGCATACAGCACATGACCACAAACCTTTGGAGGCCCTCAGGAAGTTTTTGCTCTGTGTGTGTAGATCAGCTATTATTACTGTTACTGTTAGAAGATTGGTTTGATTTGAATAAGAACATAAAACCTACATTTCTTTTTACAGTATTCATGCTCAGTTTACTTGGTGGCTCTGGCTTTTACAGGGCACCTTCCCACCCTACATACACTCGGCCAATGATGGACTTATGATCTGCACTGGTGGTCGGCTAGTCCAAAATGGTCCCAAGAAATCTGAGGGGTTACACAGTACGATCAAAGGGACAGAGAAACTCTGCAAATCTGCTGATGTCCTGTAGATATTCGATGATTTAATCTTCAAAGCATCCATAAGTAGCTGAAATCCTTTAATTATATCAAGATTTAAAACTCCTCATATGCAAAGACTAGATATCTTCACATTTTAAAGCCTTTAATGATCCTCAAATGGATTTTTGAGCTCCTAAGTTATTGAACTGGCACACAGAGTAAGGGGTCACATGACCGAAAGTTATGGCTAGAGTCAGAGAACTTATTGGTCAATGACTGAATGTAGTCAGTGTTTGTATTTGCTTACACATGATAGATGTGTCTTTCCAAACCACAAATCAAAATTAGTAGCTTACTGTTTGTTGAAGCTGGCGGATGCGTCTCAGGGCTGCCCGGTGTTGCTGTGAGTTGGTGATGCGACGGTGACGCCGGTGTCTCCTCAGCTGGTTGCTGAGGTGCTGCACACAGTCAGTCTCTGCCTGAGGACGAACTTTGCCCTGCAATGAGGGGAGGAGGAGATGATTCATTTTCATCTATCACTAACAAAGCTTACGGTCTGGATCATTTTGACTTGAAGATTACATTTCAGCAACCGACTGTACCAACCAGACTAAATTTACTAGTGCTGCTCTGAGGAACTCCAACTGATTCAGGCGCCCTCTGTGGACAAAGAGGGACATTTCAACCTTTCTTGCTTTTCTTTGGTTAAATGCATAGGTGTTTTTCTGAAATTTCTAAGATGCAACTTGCACTAAGTCCTTTGCCAAGTTAAAAAGTTGTCATCAATGTTAATTTTTGATTTGATTCACAAACAGCTAACAAATCCTGACAAGAGCTTTATTAAAAGTGTGGGACAGCAATACTAGCAATAGAAACAGTGCTGTGACATCATCTCGAGTGTTTTTACCAAACTTTAGAACTCTGCATTCAGGTGGCTTTGATATCTTCTTCTTCTTATTATTTCTGTAACAGTTCCCAACGGTGATAACCAATAGTGAGTGTATTGCTCTTTTCCCTCCTTATTGGTCATATCCTCGGCCCACAGCAATGCTGACGTAGTTGGCTGCTCAGTTTTACAAGCTCTCCAACCTCATACATTACATATGCAGCTTCATAGGGCAACACTTTGAACCTGCAGGGGCTCATTTTGCAAAGCTTTCTCATTTGAAAGATGAAAATGACAAGACAGAGCAGAAAGAGCCGTGCTGTGCTCAAATTGCAGAGCGTGACAGTGAGAAACAAAGAATGTGAGGTTGAGAGTGTGTTTTTCTCGGGGTGCTGCGCGACAGTAATTAGTTGTGACAGGTTGGTATCTGTGCTACTGTCTGCTGTTTTTATGGGTCACTTCAGCTGTAGAGTCTGAATTCTGTGCTGTAATGCAGGACTTTTCCCGAGTCCTGCATACTCTCTGTTTCTTTATGTCCTTCAGCACTCATCTCCACAAAACCTGCAAAAAAACAACAGCCTCATTTGACAAAGGCATAAGCTCTTCTTGCTTGGTGTTTTGCACTGGTGCTTTTTTCTCATAATATCCTGAAGTCAAGCATTCCTTTTTTTTCACCACATTTCTGCTGCAGAGATGTTGTAAGAGTGGACTGTCTGAACTCGCCTGAAGGCCTGAATGGGGAGGAGGGGGAGGGGGCTGAAGGTCTGCTTTGAGTGGAGAGGATGGAGGTGTGTGGAGGACAGAGAGTGAGAGACACAGTGAAGAATGTGAGAGAGAGAGAGAGAGGAGATGATGGAGAGATGATGTAGGGGAGGAGGAGGGTAAGATGAGTCATGGTGGCTGTTTCCTTGTGAGAGGTGGGACACTGGTAACTTAAAAGCTTAAAGGTGACTATAAACAGTCCTTGTGGTGTTAACCTGAATATCTCTTTACTTTCTTTATAATCTGAAGGCCTTGCTTTGTGTCAGGTCCTTGTAAAAGTAAAAAAATAAAAAAAACAGATTGTTGTCTGTATTTTGGTGTCCAACTCATTATTACCCTAAATAAACTAGCCCACACAACTGCGGTTTGACTTGACTGAATCACAGTCATGTACTCACATGCAGTGCAGAATCACCAGGGGAGTGTCCAGTAGCATCTTCAGCCTCATATTTGTAGTAGTCCAGTGGAGCACAGAAGTACCCAGGCTGAACCTCTGAACACTGTCGACCAATCAGATGCCTCCTGCAGTCACATTGGCCGTTCTCCATCATGCACCTGAAGAGATGAACATAGCAAACTTGAACTGCTGACTGATCCTGAATTTGCCCTTTTATGGTCTTTCTTCTGTTTGATTATTTCACAGCCTTTCTGTTCCTGGAAAAACTTTAAGTCAAAAACCTGATTTAAGATTTGCTAAAATACAAAAATAGGCAGCACTTTGAAACATCTTTACCTGTTGTTAAAGGCTCCGCCAAAGTCACAGTCACATGGTCTGCAGCCCGCCAGGTCATTACTGAGCCCCCAATATTCAGGCTACAGGAAGGAAAAATTACATCAAAACAGTGTTAACCTTTGTTACTGAACATTTCACTGAACTGTCTTTGCTGTACTCTCCCCCATTAATGCCACCAACATTATTCATTTGCTTTTTATTGTCTGTTGAGATAAAATTAAAACAGGTTTCATACTTGGAAAAGGTCTAAACGATATAAAGTTGCACAGGAGGATTTTACTGTCGGTCTAGTTCTGTGTTTTGGATTGCTTTGGTCTTTTTGTAGGCTTAGCATGGAGAGTCAAAAATGCTGATAGCCAATCATGACATCAATCTTAGTTGAACAAAAAAAAAGGATCAACTAACCAGACACTGGTTGCAGTAGCGTCCAGTGACATATCTTTTGCAGGAGCAGTCCCCACTGATCTGGTCACATGGAGCTCCCATCATGATGATACCACGAGGGTCACAGTTGCAAGCTGAAGGAGACACACACACACACACACAAACGGAGAATAAGACAGGGGTTCATGTCCTATGTACAGATCTTAAATAGAGACTAAAACAACAGACATCTATTTTTAACCCTTTTCAAACACAAAACATTTTACGTGACAGATCCACACACACAAACAGATATATACATACGCTGACAGCCAAGCGGGTCATTCTGACTCAGCCCATAATACCCCTCCTTGCAGTCGTCACACCGTGTGCCTTTGACATTTGCTTTGCAGCGACACTGTCCTGAGATCATCCCCATGTCCAGGTCGGTGTGACTGTCACAAACTCCCCCCTCCAGAGAGCCGACTGGGTCACAATCACAGGCTGAAGGTCAGAGGTCGTATGGAGAACATGAGAGAGATACAGAGAATGAGTGGCTTTAATAAAAACAGAAGAGGAGAGGAATGAGGAAAGTATTTTGAAAACTTCACACATGCGTAAGATCCTTTTACCAATGTGTATAACAAGGGCCGGGACTTTAACTCATCAATTGCGATTAATTAATTACAGTAATATTGTCTCGTGAAAAATATTAACGCATATTAATCACACCTACAGTATTTTTGCACCGCGTAACATTTCTCAATGGACGAGTATCAGGTAAACCACTTATAATGGCGCACCCCAATGTGAGTAAGTGCAGCAGTGATTCCAGTCCCACCCAGCGCATGGAAAAATGAACAGAGTCGCGAGTGGATGTGCTTTGATTGGCTCCGGTGTGGATGGGCATTTTTGGGTTTTTTTTGTGTCACCTGTTGCAGCTAGCCTGGAAGCTAACGCTACTCTGACTCTGAGTACAGCGACCCACACTCGACCCACACTCTACCAGATGAGCTAAAATGAGTAAGTCCACGTCAAACAAATTAACAAACTCTCTGGCTCACTGGATTAATGCAATTAATTGCCAATAATTAATCACAAAGCCTCTGAATAATTCGATAAAAATTTTTTATTCGAGTCCAAGCCCTACTTATGTTTGATACAAAATGTCAGAGAGGCTAAAACAGGGTGCTTCAAGAGGAAAAACTAGTGCCAATACTCCTCCTATTTACATTTTGGCCTATGCATCATGTCGTAAATCATTATCATGTTCCAAACCAACAGTTGGTAGAAGTTACCAGAAGCTGATGCAGGTCTTCACAACACAACATACATTTAGTTTTAAGGATAAAGGCCATTTTCCCTAACTTTATACCAGTATTGAGTCACGCTTATACAAAAAAACAGAGAAACCAGGTTATTACTTCTACCCACAAGAATACATGTTCTGACATGACAGGATCAGTGATTTCTGATTCTGTATTAGTCGTGTCTAGAAATGTTCAGATCAAAAGAGAAATTGACTCACCGACACAGACTCGTGGGTCTCTGATATCCCGAAGAGGGTCCTGATAGTAGAAGGGTTTGCACATCTCACAGTTGCGTCCCATGGTGTTATGTAGACAGTCGTCACACACTCCTCCGCTGATGTTCCCAGTGGCCAAATACACCGCCATGTCAAAGTGGCACTGGCTTGAGTGACCGTTACAATTACACTCTGAGGGGAAACGGGTCATAAAGAAATTTTAAAAAACTGCAGCACAAATTTTGCTTTGACTATAAGAGGTACAAAAAATAAAACTTCTTCGATAGAGTTACATATAAAGCAACAAGAGAAAATAATGAGGCTATTTTTGAACTCTTCATTCCATCTGTATTTTTCCAAACAGTTCATATACAGGTTGGATAAGCTTATAAGTTACTGGCAGGTGGAAAGCCTAGGTTCACATTTGATAATATCACAATCTGTTAGCATACAAGCCTCTTGGTTTAGCCCTTGTATTCCTAACTCTACTGCCGGTGACAGCAGCTGAACTTCATGTCATTGTGAGTTAGAAAGTGTGTTATTGTGTGCAGCAAAGGTCTCATAAAACTTTGCTTAAACATTCCCGAGCCATCATAACAACTCTGCAGCTCGCAACAGGAAGCAATAAAAACTGACAGTGCATTATGTGCATTTCTTAGCTCTTAACCAAACTTCATGAAACATTACCTGTGCGTGCATGTCAGTGTGTCTTTGAGTGTGTGAGCCAACCTCTGCAGGTGTGTGGATTCTCTGCCTCTGCTGGTCTCCACGGCAGGTCATTGTGGAAATCTCTGCAGCGCTCACAGTTCAGACCCTCTGTATTATGTTTGCACACACAGCGACCGTGGATCTGACCAATCACGATGCAGAAATATGACACACACAAAAGCAATGCGAGTGAATCACAGTAACACTTCATTGAAATTAGTTTCTCGTTAGCTGCAGAGGCATTGTGGTGATGATTACAGATTACAAGAAGCAACACAGACAACGTATTATTGAGTATGTCCTGCTGCTCACCATGCTGTTCTCCCGAGCATCCACCCCTGGCACTGGTGCACACTCTGAGGCATGTCCATAACAGAAGCAGCTGCCTCTGACCACCAGCTCATAAATAGCGTAGTAATATTTCTGCAGGACGTCGAAGCGTCTGTCCAGCAGGTCGTCTCCCAGAGTGTTCAGCTTAGTGAAGTTGATTCGCAGGTTGGTGATCCGCAAAAGTTCTTTAAAAGATTAAAACTGATTTATAAGGACATGTGAACCTCAAAACATACTTTCTTTTAGACACACAAACATTTTTCTTTGGTGTCCGGAGTGGAAGTATACAGTAGCCCAAATTTTCATTGAAAGCAGCATTGTTTTTGTTTCTCCAAGGAAATGCACTTCATTTAGCCTAAACTTGAGAGCTATAGATTGAGAGTTTAATGAAAAGTTCTGAAGTATAATATTGGCAGGAGGGTGCCAAGTTTTTTTTACTGTAGCTCAGTTTTAAGATGGAGATATGAAACCTTTTCAGGTAAGTCTGACAGCTCAGTATTTGTCTCTGCACAATATCATGGTGTTGTTCAGTGTATCAATCTGGGCTCTTGGATAGGAGCTGTTAAAAGTCTTCACTGACCTTGAATATCAAAGCTGTAGGGGTCTTTCACATGAATAGCAGGATCCAACACTTTATAGATCACCTTGAAAAAAGAACAGAAAGAGAGATCGATGATTGGTTGATTTTATCACTGAAAATCAATGACTTAATTCGTCAGTAATGTCATCACGTGTTTTTCCTATGCTGTGAGCAGACACAACATTAGCTTCAGAGCTGAGATTCTAAAAGGTGAGCCATCCTGCATCCTTACTATCGCCTTAAAGGAAAACTAAGTTTGGTCAAATTCACTGCAACACTCTAGTGTCCTAAATTTATAACGTTTTTTTAATGGTAAATAAGAACACCCCCCCCCCCCACACACACACACACACAAGTACTTTTATTTCTGATCCTTCTTACCTCTCCGTTAGTTGAGGGTTCGATGTCAGAGTAGCGCTCTTCACAGATGACATCGTTGATGTGGTTCAGGCCATTGGCAGGGATCCCTGGAAAGCTCCTAGTGCAGTTTGAGGCAAAATAACGATAGGGGCGCCATGTGCGGCCAAAATCAGCCGAACGCTCGATAATCATGGCTGCAGGTCTGAAAGTCTGAAGCGGAACCATGCAATTAAAAAGTGACAGAAACCTCTTCACATACCCTACTTACAACTTTGTTTCAGTGACTTTATTTTCAGCCTAGGTGGGTTTATTGGATTTCATCTATGAAAATGTGGGTGACATACATTGGAAATGTTCTCCAGTAGCTTAAAGGGACACCTCCTCAAGACATGAATGTTGCTGACTGCTTGCTTCTCAGTTATACCAACTTTAGTAACAACCACATGATAGCAATACACAGCGGTTTACGTCTCCACGCGCAAACCTCAACCAAAAAGCCACTCTATAGTCACAAATAATGCTTAGAACAGCACCTAACTTCATCAACAGTACATATAGGGTCCCAGCCATAGTACTAGCCATCAAACATCTTTTTAGCCTGCCTGGTTCCTTTAGCAAAGATACTAAACACAACTCACCCACTATCCTCCAGCAGCTGCTTGTTTGTGGGGGGAGCCCTAACGAGTCGATCACCAAGTGCAGCGGATCATTTTCATCAAGTAATAATCATCATAATAATCACGTTGCACTGCAGATGTGGTAGTTCTTCTATCTTGGCATCTCGGTCAAGAGATGCATTTCCATGAAGAAATTATCATAAATGTTCTTCCTTGAGCTGCAGAACTCCGCTGCACTCAGTGATCGGCTCCCAGAATATCCCTTTAAAGAGTACAGTCTTATAGAGGCCCTCGACATAAGCTTCTCATTAGAAACTACAAGGCCCTCACTACCTCTTTTACAGCCTCTGGTCTGTGCTATTTACCCCCAGTAGACAGTGATCCTAAACCTCTTGGGATACAGCCATCAAATAATCTGAGTGCACACAACAAACATACACTTACACAAGTATGCACCCTGACATGTTTCAGCACATGCAGTGTGGAAAAATCCTTTTGAAGCAGGAAATCCACAAACACAAACAAACACACAGGCTCCCACATACCTTGAACTTCATGATGAGATGTGTGAAGTGGAATTCGGCCTCTAGGTTCAGTCTGATGCTCACATTCTCCTCTCCTGTGGGTGAAATATCTGTCACTCATCATTGTTACATCCCAGTGCCACCTTCTTCTTCATGTGATCTTTCCCATCCCTCTATTTGAAAGTCTTCAAACATCTCTATTTTGGATAAAGGTCTTTTTGAAGGTGCACTTTTATTTTCCAATCATGATATCAATCTAGGGAACTGCTGATAAGATTTGCAGAATAATGCAGTTTAACGTTGATTCGGATAAACTCTGTAACAAACAGCACAGCCAAATGTATCTTTCTATTTCATGAATTGAAAAAACACTAAAACTTGTTACTGGCTGAGGCGACCATGTTTATTAAACCACTTTCTTACTTTCTTTTATATAACTCTCTAAATATACTAAGTGACATTTCACAGACCATCTAATATAATGATCTTTTCTTCAAACCTTATAAAAACCATGGAAAATCTTAACCTGTATCATAACTGAGTATATTATCCAGGTCTATGGCACAAACTGCTACAGAACTTTTTCTTTATAAATGGAATCTTAATTTGCTAGAAAATTTCAGTGACAGAAACAAATCCTGCATCCTGTAACCATAGAAACAAAGACTTTGAGTTGTAGCCCATCACTGTGAGCAGGTACAGACGACATCCCTCTAATGCAGTTGGACAGCACTGATGCACTAAAAGTGGATCTATCTACAGAGCTCGGGATCTCAATGACACTAACACTGGTTACACAGTTGGCCATTACAAACAAATAGAAACTAACTGTTCGTTAGCTGCTTTTGAAGAACCCTGCTTTCATGTGTATGTATGCAGTTTGCAAATAAACACAAATGGCTGACAAAGCACCCCACATTGGCAGCCGAGTTAAAACAGGTTAGCATTTTACAACTTAAAATTTAGCATGAAAACTTTTAATAATCAAATTTTATCGCATGGCCGTCTGGATATTCTGCTGATCACCCATGTGCAATTTATTACCAACTTTCCTCATGAAAGTATGTCATCTATGATCCAAGCATCACATCTTTAGGTTGGAAAATCAGAAAGAATCACATATTTGTTAAAACATTTACTTTGTTTTTTTGTCTACTCTAATCATTACAGATGGCAGAGAGAAATCCAAAAGTCCTTTGTGGTAATATTTGGCTGAGCCAAAAACATTTCTGGCTTCATTTAGTAAAGGAAATTTTCATTTAAGTTCAGCAAATAGTTCCGCATCTATTAGTAATGTCATTCTTTTTGTATTTCAATTGTATGAATCAAATGTAAAATAAATAAGTAAATTAATAAAAATACAATTATGGAATATTGGCTTTGTATTTCAGCCATCAATGAACCTGTCCTTTCATTATCAGCATCAGGATAAGTATTGGCGTCGGTATTGGCTGTCAATAAATCAGTCTGTATTTGAACTGGGGAAATCATAGAAACACTATTGTTAAATCATGAACACATAAATGATATAGAATACCGATATGGGTAACTGGATCCCTGACTCATTTGCCAGTCAGGTCTTTAGTTTGTAGGTGAGTCAGTGAGCTGAGCTGTTATAATGACCTTGTCTGAGTTACTGTTTCAAATGCAAATAAACAACGACTTTCACCCACCGTTGACAGACTGCCACCAGGTGTTGTCTCCATTACTGTCCATGAGGTAGATCACGTTCTGAATGCGGTGGCTGTTCCTGTGGCGGTACGGGTCATAGGGATACTGGGAGTTACACTCGAAGCACTTGTCAGACTCCTGTCAAGGTAGGAAAAAAGCACATCTTTACATGATGAAGAAATACATTTTGATAAAACAATATTCATAATAGTGAGAGGATTAAAACTCAGTTGGTGGGCTGAGTCTTTAATTGTAGGTATATCTTAAGTTTTCTACTATAAAAATCAGAATAAAGAAGCTGTGTAATAGACGGCCTGTATATGTTTCAACAATGAAAACAACTATCATTTAAGGTTTCTGCTGTAATTGTTGAGTTCACTCTGCCCACAGATGTTGTGCCCTGTCTGGGCTTCAGAGTCTGTGAACCCCCTGTGGATGAGCTGTTTCCTGAGATCAGAGCTTTAATTTCTCAAACTTGAAATAATGTGGGGAATGTGCTGCTGTGTGCCAACACCGGTGTGAACAGAACAAAAGACAGGAGGGGGATGGATGTGAGAGTTTGTTTGGACACAAATCTAAAACCATGATCCTCAAATATGTTCCTTTATACATGCATTTTTTGTGTGTGTGTTGGGTACATTTAATTCACTTTGAGACTATTCAATGTGTTTTGTATGTTATTTACAGTAAAATATTATCTACCATGCAATGTATGTGCACAATTGTGTAGCGCATGACAATATTTGATGTACAATGTTTGTTATTTGTGGTACTGTATTAAAATTATTCAAAATGCAACACACATTGACCTGAAAATATATGCTTTTGGTACAATATGATGTTAACAGGGTCAATATGCAACAGGCAAGGGCTCTCCAGAGAGGCTTACTCTGCCAAAGAGAAAAACGGAAAGAAGTTCAGACATGACTCTGCAGTGGAAATCACTGCATAAGATAAAAATTGTCCCTGCATTCCAAACTTATGTTAAAATTGTACCATGTGTTGTGTTTAACTGGGTTTTTGTTTGTTTGCATTTTGATCCGGCATTGGTCACCTTGCTAGTGGATCATACTGGTGGATTTCTGCTGTTGACATAAGCAGTATGTCAACAACAGGTTCCCTGCCAATTCTGATCCACCGCTCAGCTCTTCCATTAAGGCCTCAGTTTAAACCATGACTCAGCTCATGCATAAAGGAGGCAGCTTAATTGTCTCACTATCACCTCAGAAGCAGTTTTTTTTAGATGCATGTGAAGTTTATTGGAAGTCTTTTTGGGCAAGAGGCTTGGTGTCAATAGAGCAGTTTTTTGTTTTTTTCCACATTTTTTAGTGGTTATGAGAGGGAATTGATTGATTGAGGGTGCCACTGCTTTATTGATGTTTGTAAGGTAGGTCAGATTAGTCTAGATGGGTTGATTGTTTTTAATTTAATATGTTGACTCAGTCCAGGTAGAGTCCTCAAACAGGAGGAAAAAAAAGTTCTGTTTTAAACATTTGTTGACCTAGTGCTACCCGCTGCCCTCGCCCCTTTTATGGTGTTTTTCTGCCTCCCTCATTCCTCTGTTTTGTTGTTAATTGCTCTGTTCTTCACAGTTGATTTTGTACAGTAAGTAACTTGCCCTACCTTAAAAGCATTGGCACGTTATCCTGCTTCCCTTCATCCCTAGACACTCTTTGGGTTGTAACACCATGTAAAAAGGAGATCATATATAAAGAAACATCAGCAATAAAAAATAAAATAGTGTTCATGGATCTGAAGGGTTACGCTAAAGGATGCGGAAAAGCACTGATCTGAATGAAAGGGCAGGTTCACCACAGGCTAAAGATGGTAACAAGCTGACATTCATGAGGCTGCAGAGAAGAAGAAAAAAGAGAGGCTGAAGTCAGAGGGCATGGGAAAGATACAGGGAGGGGATACAACAATGTGGGAACCCAGGCCAAGAGCAAGTGCCTCAATGAAGGGGTGATCCAGAAAGTTTTAAAGGATGGAAGGAGAAAGGAAGGTGTAGGTGAGAGAGGTGGGTATGCAGTGAAGAGGGGTCTCACTCAACACAGCAGAGGCATTGGACAAAGAAAGGGGGGCCAACACAGAACAGGGGGACCGTTTGAGAGTAGGGGGCCATTATGAGGGGAGCAGAGAAAGGGTGCTGAAGAGGCAGATGAGGGTGAGCTGGCACAGATGAGGAGCAGATTCCAGGGCAGTGTTTCTTAATTAGGTTGTTGTCAGGGGTGATTAAGCTGCTAAAAACAACACGGCTGCTAAAGAGATTGAAAAAGGATGTTTAAAGTGTGCAGGAAGCTTTGTGTGGATAAGTGAGGATGCGAAAGGATGTTGGTGACCACAGGATGGCGCGTACAAACTTCTTGTTTTACGGATAACTGAGTTTTGTTTTTTGTTTTTTATTATATAATGACCAGATTCCTTTACCTTCTTTACCTTATCAGATCAAATCTGCCTGGATCCTAATCCACTGTCACACTGTTTAAGGAAATTGTTTAATGTAAAAACAGGAGTTAATAAGGTTTTATTGATCCAATTCTTTATTTATGATTCCCCTATGCATAGATACATTTCTATGGGAAAAACTGAGGGAGAAACTCTGCCAACAACACAAAATTTACTATTCATGAGTCACCTTCCTTGGTTGTCACTTGGGCTGTCGGCATCACATCAGGCATGTGGAACTAAGTGGAGGGCACTCACAAGGGAACCATGAAGCATTTAGGCACATTACATGAGTGATTTAAGCTACTGGATCAGATCTAGAACCGGTTAGCAATACCCAAAAGAAAAGTAAGTAGTAAAAGTTAAAAAAAATAAAGGAAGATCGACAGCAAAATACGAGCCCTAACAGTAACAGTAAAAACAAAAACAATCAGCTCTGCTCTGAGGATTAAAGTAGACAGTTCTTGTATAAATAGTGTTAAATATAAGAGACGATAACTGTCTCCTTTCATTCATCTTTTCTTTAAGGCTTACTGTAAAGCTTCAGTCTGAACTTGTGTGGCTTTAGGACTGGCCCTCCCTCCTTTGAGCGCTTATTTATCTCCCATTAGTCAGGCCTGTTGAGCTCAGCTATAAGGCATTCTGCTCCAACAATACACTGATGTAAGCCCGATGTTGATTTGAAAACACGTCTTTGTCACACTGGGATGGTGGCTTTGAAAAGAAAACCCCCACCAGCCCCTCTTTCATCCAGGTTTCACCTCCATAATGACTCTAAATCTAATATTTCACTGCAGTACTTTGGTCACTTGCCATTTTCATGCCATTCTTCTAATGCTGTACTGTCACCATGGCAACATAGAGCCTAAACTCAGTGGCTGATTTTGCTGATTCCTCAAAACTGACGGAACTAATCAGCTCAAGGTTTAAGGCTATAGCACTAGCAGCTCAACGAGTCTGCAGGAAAACAAGGTTTTAGACTTTTTCACTTTCTTAAGTCCAAAAAATAAACCAAGAAAACAATCTGAGCATGAGCAGCTCAACATTTTAAACACCTGCTTTTCCTCAAAATCACAAAACAGCAGGATCTCAGACAGAACTGTCTTGTAAACTCGTCATTTCCCTCCCCTGTTTTCCAGTTGCTTTCTTTTTTACTGTTTCTTTCCTGCAATGTGAGCTTGTCCAAAGCCGGTCTTGATTCAGCTCCACCAGGTGGGTCTAATGCCCAAACTAGAGCCCTGTTAACAGGTCCTCAACATAACTGACTTGGCAGCAGCTCCCTTAATGCACTGCTTCTTCAAGTGCATAGAAACAATGAAATCTGATCTCATGAGGAACAAAACAGAACCTCAAAGAACCTTTTGTCAAACACAGGTGATTGATGAGCTTGTGGACGTTTAAAGGCCAAGAGACAAATGTTAAGGGCCTCCAAAGTAGCTCCTGACAGACCTACAACTGTCTGCACCTGGATTTATGCTACGACAGGCTGTCACCGTATCCTGCCTCTTTCTGTAGACGACCTCTCACCCATCAGTGGGTGTCAATCATTTGGACCTGGAAGTTGACACAATTGGATTTCCCTGGCCTGAGGCAAAAAGAGCACAGGTACATACATGCATGTAGGTGTGGTAAAACAGATGTAGTGAGCGGGTGCAACACAGGTGACTGTCAACATGATCCTGGACATGTTGGGATTTGCGTTCAGAATGGACTAACGGAAACAGGATAGCTGATTTTGGTCTTGCATCACACAAGCATAAAAAATGACTTCCTGTTTCTATTTGTGTCCAAGCCTGCACTTTAACATAGGGCTGCATGATTTTGTCAAAAAAAAAAAAAAAAGACTTCTCTGAAAAATCAATTTTTAATCTTCAATTTCAATTTTTTTATTCAGCTACAACTTCACCAAACTTCACTTCAAAAACAAAAAGGTTTTCTATCATCTCTCAGAACGAAACTACTGAAAACAATCAAGTGCATATGCCAAGCCAGTAAGTGGCGCTGTAACAGCTGTCAGACTCCCCAAAAGAAACCTCAGTGTGCAATAGACCATATTTGTATGTATATGCTGTACACATGTATATTAGTTTCTTTATCCTTCAATTTCTCTTGTGTTTTTGTATCTATGCTGCTGTAATTTTTGGAATTCCCCCTGTGGGACTAATTAAGGTATATCTTATCTATAACGCTACTGAGGAAATGTACTAAAGACAGAAGAAGAGTACAGAGCAGAAAGGGGGAGCCTACGGTGGCCTAGGGGAGCGATGATATGGCGATTTTGGTTTTCTTAACGGTCATAGTTAAATAATCCCATTACGATTTAAAATTGATTAATCATGCAGCTCTACTTTGACACCATTATATACTCTCAGCTTTTAATTCTTATTTGAATAATTTCCACCAGATTTATAAAAGAAAGTTAAAAAAGTAAGGTTATGAGAGTTTCAGTGGGTGGGAAAGTGAGTAGAGGGAGTCTTTCTGTTTGGCTAAGGTGTGGCTGATGTGTGTGTGTCTACACCTGGGCCCTGATACAGGAAGGCTGTACTAGGGTTGGGGGCACTTGCTCATGGAAACAGGGTGAAAAACAAACAGACGGATGAACAATAAAATGATGGAAGAGTGGAGACAGAAGGATGAAGGAGAATGATTGTGTAAAAGGGAGGACAAACAAACCATCCCTTTTTCCCCTGCATTGATTACAGGGTGGCATGTTATCGTAAAGAAGGTGTGGCAGGGTGAAGACAGACACAGCAGGCAGGTGGGAGAGTCAAAACCAGTGTTTGATCACTTTTAAAGAAAGGCTTAATTGTAGATATAAATCAAAACCTGTAACCAACAACTATCATGGCACAATTCTTCATTGTCCCAGAGCTCTTTTTTTTGCATCTGAGGCTGCAGCCAGTTCAGTTTGTGTTCTACTTTATACAGTATATTCAAATGCACTCTGACCTGGAGATGGCTGACAATGCAGTAATGCTCCGGTCCATCCAGGCCACAAGTAGAGCTGGCGGTGAGGTTGACTGCTCGTCCAATCAAAAGGTTTCCTGTTGCAGGGTAACAGCTTCCTTCCGTGCAGCCATGAGGGCCTGATGGGAGCTCCTGGCCAAACACGCCGAGAGCTGGAAGTGAAGGAGCAACACAGAGAAGACTGAAGTTATTCAAACTATAATACTTGAAAATTGTATTTGACTTTCACAGCCGCTTCAAGATGTGATGATCGAGACACCCAGCTAAGGTCAGCTTTTCCCGTGCAGGAGGCTACAGACTTCATTGTGTAAAGGAGAGTGTAAAGCTGTTTGGGAGGAGCCCTGAACTTGTGTTTTGGGCTCAGCAGAGTGAAACGATAGTACTTACAGTTTTTTTAAATGCTAAAAAATTTCTAAAATAGCTTGGTAGGGGTTATACAACTATCATACAAACCAGAAATGTAGCTGATGCAACAGATGTAAACCTCTAGTTGCAAAAAGTCACAGCAGTGTGTAAAATGTTTATAAAAACAGATTCTGCTGGTTACTAATGATTTAAAACCTATGTTGATTGAAAATGGTGCAACACACAGCATTCTGTAACAGGAAATTTGTAGGGAAACGAAAATACTAAAAAAGCTGTGTAACACAGACATTATTAAGCAGATCCTTCTCCTAAAATCACAGCCCAAAACAGACATAACAATGGCTCGGTACTGACCTTTTCAACATTAAATGTAAAGTATTCATCCGGTCAGATACCAAGATATTAATACTGAGAGACTCTTTCTATACAATTATGTTTACAGATTGTAATGTGTGCCTCTGCTGATGGGAAATAATTTATTTTCAGTCAGAAAGTTTGGAGTGCTTTTTGTAACAGCGCTACAGTGTTGTAGAGGCAAGAGGGATGAACCATAGACTGTATATACTATGGACAACTTGGTTCCGCCTTCTGTCAATATACGAATTTGAAGCCGAATTGCTCTCAGTATTTCCAGGATTTTCTCCACTTCCTGAAACCACCACTTGTGCAGTAGCGTTGTACACACTTGGCAGGAGAGTCACTGCGATGACTGACAGCTCAAACAGCGTATTCGCCGGGTGAGCTACACAATCCTAGTACGCTCATAGACTGTATCAGGTGTCAATCATAGAAAGCATGGACCCCCTAATAACTTTTAAAAATGGAGCTGCACAGAAAAAAGAAGACTTGCGCACAAACCAGTCTTACAATAACTACAAGTCGACATCACAGTCACGGGGGGGATTATAATCTGTGTAGTTAATTTCTAAAGCTGTCCACATCTCCATAGGGTTTGCTGGAGGAGCGAGGAGGCAGATGGCGTCCATTCAATATACAGTATAGTCTATGGGCTGAACACAAGGTACTCAGACTTAGACATGCACACACACAGCACTGTTCCACCCTGCCTGCTCCACCAGCTCACCATGATCCCATCTGGCCTCTGTAATGCCTCTATTACCACCTTCAATACAGGCACAGTGCTAGGATGACAGCTTTCTTGCCTTTGTGGAGCAGCATGTTGCCATCATTAAAAGGTTAATACAGCATAATCTAAGAAACTAATGATAGAATGCAGTGTAAGTATAGAAAAAGTAAATGTCTAAATTTGAAAGAATGAAAGAGTGAAGATCACGAAACTAAGTCATGATTGACAATGACAAAGAAATTAACACAAAATCTGTTAACCGAGTTGTTGAGGAAGTGAAAAACTGAGGCTTCCTAATGAGCAGGCTGCTGAGTGACGGGGGATGAGAGATGTTGACAGTGATATCTGAGGTCTTTTCGTCCTGATGATCTTTTGAAAACATCAGGGCAGCAACATGTTGAGGCATGGTAGGGAAGGGATGGATGGTTTTACAGGATCACAAACATCTTCCTAAATCAACATACAGTATATCTGCAGGGGCGCTGCCAGGGACTCAGAGTCCTCTGAGATAGAATGACACGAAGCCCCACAACTGCATCAACAGACCACAACTACCCCAAAAATATTGTGTTGTGCAGACTGGTGCAGAAGACTCATTCAGTCGATGTTACCCAACAAAACAAGACGACAATTGAAAAAGGATTTGCGCTGTATGATGTTTTTGATGACAGTACATCTTAAATAATTACAATTAAAAACTTTGCAATAAAAGCTTTTACAGTTAGCCAGTTTAACTAGAGAGCACCACAGCTCTGCCGGTCTCTCAGTACACAAATAATGCCAATGTCTTCACTCGAGTCAAAGATTAAACTCAGGCAGATTGTCTGAATTCCTGTGAAGCATTAACAATACCCCGCTCACCTTGATAATCATTTTACTGATAAACCTGCCAGAAAATACACCACACAGTCAGTAATGTTATTCATTTTTCATACTTTAGATAGCAAGAGTAAAGATGGATTACAGAAAAACGAGACAGCTATTTACACAAATTTAAAAGGCAGGTGAAGGCATGTTGAGAGTCTACAGGAGGAGCTGCACATACATGGGTTACAAAGCAAACCTGTGGACTGTAGATTAAGATCAAACACACCCTAACCAAACATAAAACTCAAGACCAAGTTACGAAACTAAAACTAAAGTGTTATTGACGGACACAAGACTGCAAAAGAAAGGATTTCCTGAATAAACCCTAAAGAAAAATCTGAATATGACACTATGAATAAAACTGAAATCTGCATGTGAAGCCCATATTAAAAGAAAATAGTGTGCTGTAGTCCCACCCTTTCAAGAGTACAGAAACATAAGACTGACTCAGACCTGCTGGATTTGACCTGACCTCACTTTACAGCCATGATACAATGGGTTCACTCTCTGGTCAAAAGCTCCACCTTTGAGAGACAGCAAAGACTCACAGTGGTAATAACCCTTTATGGTGAACTCATACAGTCCCAGCAGCTGGCAATCAGTACACACACTCAAGCAGGAGTTCACTGTAATGGAGGGGATTCTGACAGAAACTATCCAATGCTTATGAAGTTAACTATCACCAGGTCAGTCTGCAATAACCTGCTAGTATGCACCAAATAGGTAACACTGTACATCAAGTCAGGAAGAGTCATAGAGTAAAAAAAGTATTCATTATTAATTAATCATGCATCATGGCAAAATGAGGGAAAGTACAACTTCTTGGGTCTTAAAAATTACAACCTCACTGGTTTTATCACACTGTGCAGACAGTAAGTATAATTCACTCACAGATTTAATTAATAACTCAGGTTATGTTTTGAAATAGACCACATATGCAGGAATGTCACTTGAACATGGTGAGCCATTCATGATAGATCTCTATCAGACGGCTTTCTTAGGAACAGTGGTGCTGGGAATTACAGGACAGAGCTATCATATAGACACACACTCATCTGACATCTGAGAGGTACTGTATTTGAGAAGTTAATCTCGCTCTGTGTGTAGGCTGTCAAAAACATATCCTTTACTGGATTTGCACCAGTTGAAACTAGCATGCAGAACACCAGAGCTGCACATCAGCTCATTAACTTTACAACATTTTCGAATTAAGACCGTTTTTTTTTTACATGCAATATGCAAAAAAAAATAAAAAAGGTTGTGTGGAAGAAAGTTGTGCAGGGACCCACCAGGAGCCTGTCAAAAAAGAAAAACTGCTTGTGCAATAGTTTCTGCAGCTTTGATAAGATTGTAATTTTGAAGGGTTTTATTAGTGACTACAATTTTTTGCATTTTAAAAATAGATCTATTAATTACAGCATGTATGTTGCGGATTAACTGGGATCATTTGGATTAATAATTTAGGTACAAAAACATCAGATATTCACCACAAGTGAAAAGGGGATGTTAAAGTGCTCAGGCAGGAGAAATCTTGCTCTCATTTTGGTATTCACAAGGCCGCCCAGGGTGGGATTACTTAACACAGAAACATACTTTTATTCTTTGAGTTATTTTATGACATTTTTTTCAGGATAAGCACAGACAGCAAGAGGAAATCAGAACACAAGGAAAAGTCTGCCTCACTGTGAAATGCAGTCTGACATTCAGAGGGGAAAACACTGGCTCTCAATCGAACAGCTGAGGAAGCTGAGGTATTACAGTGAAGCCATGCAGCAAAAAGCTGCAGACAGCAGGTAATAGTCTTTAGTTTAGCCTCATGTGGGTCAGTGCTTTTTTGACAGCAGCTGATGGGCACCTCAAATCCTCACTGCTGTGTGTGTCACATTTTGGTTGGTGTCAACCAGAAGCTGATCCCCTTGCATTGGTGTACATCCTAAGAAAGAGACGTTGACAGCTACAGTATGGTAGAGTGTGCACTGCCAGAAAACAAGAAGCTGTGTTCACACAGTAAGAGAGTTAGTTCAAAAGTCAAATAATACACATCAAAATGAACCAGTTCATGTTTAGAGTTTTTTTTTAATCATGAATTGAACTAATGCTCCAAAAGTCCAAATCAAATTATTCAGCTGTGCCTAAATCCTTTATTAGAAGAACCTAATCTCCAATCACAGTGATTTCCTAAACTAGGTGTACGGACGAATTCCACAGCAGAAAGAGATTCATTTTAAAAACCACAAAAATTCCAATTTCCTTGTGTTTACCAATTATTGCGATGACATTTTTTTCCACATACCCTTAAATATAAGGACTTTGGGCTGAAAAAAGCACTGAATAAACTCAAAAGTAAATTATTCTTGGATCTCAGAGAGTTGCGATACAGTACAATACAGGTTTCAGCTTTCCTGCTGATCTGTTCATAAAACAGCTCCAAATGTTGAAGAGAGCTAGCTTCACCGGGGTTCACCTACTACATCTGATGAATGCCTGAGGCAAGTGGCCTCAGGTGTTGTAAACTTGACTTCAGCTGCTGTAACATACATCTCTCAGATGCATGCAACTCTCAGCAGCTCATGAGACATTTTGAATCCTTCTGGACAGTAAGCAGCATTCACTAACATCATCATTTATAAGTTGCAAAATGAGCAGCTCATCTCATCATTCACTAGAATATGAACACATTTAATGAACACACTTCTTTTAGCGTGTTCACACACAACACTGATAGTAAGTGTCAGTCATTCTTGTCTCTTTAATGGCATATTTCTTTATGATTGAAGAATTTGATGAGGTTCTGTAGCCAGGACAGGCTCTTTTTTGCATTTATTCTGTCTTTATTTAAAGGAATATTTCTGAACTACATCTAGACAGCAGTCGGCCTATCAAACTGTCAATATTTCAACATAATCATCATCATATCGGCCCTCACAAGGCTGATCTTCCCAAATGAGAAACACATTTCACAGCATATCAGATCAAGACTAATTAATGTTTGATGTGAGCACTGTTATAATGTCTAAATTAATGCAGTTTAGTCATAATATTGTTAACATTTATCCTGTATCATTTTTCCTTTATTACTTAGTTCAGATAGTGGGGCAGAACTCCAAAAGTCCTTTGTTCTGATGTTTTACGGAGCCACCTATTTTTATGTCTTTATTTATTCACTAAGACATTAAGAAATATTGTTTCTCATTTGTTTGCATCATTATGTTCAAAAGAAACCAGTAATGTCAGCAATATATTGGCCTTCCTGCTCTGTCATTATCATTACTAGCCACTTAAAACTGATATAAGTCGACCACTAATGTGAACCTGGTGAAAGTCTCTGGAGACAAACTTTTAAAAAGTGCCTTAAAGACACAGAAAGATGAAACCGAGCTGTGAAAAGGGAAGCATGGCAGCGGTGCAGGAGTGTGACTTGATGTAAAGCCACTTGCACAGGTGCTGTTTGACAGCAGCTATAGTTTACCCCTGTGTGATTACAGTGTAGCGCGTGGCGCGGAGATGCACAGAGGGGGAGAGTCCCAGGTAATGACACCCTGAGGCGTCTCACTCTTGTATACAGAAGAGTGGCAGGAATGCAGGGACAAGGAGGAAAATGTTATTCATTAGAGGAAACATTCCAGGTGTCAGAGTTGAGCAACAATATGAGGGCTGCTGCAGAAAGGAGGGAACAGGACCTGCTCACACACTTTCTACTCCAGTTCACTGGGCTTCATGGTCACATGGGACAGAAGATTTTTTTTTCCTTTTTAAACCCATGCATGCTCCTGTGTTGAGTTACTTTTACAGCATTCCTATTGGGAGTGAAGAGGAGGAGGAGGAGGAGGAGGAAGGAATGTAAACAGCAGTACTGAAGGTGTTCACATACAGTAATCAGGCTCTGAGAACCAGGGCTTATTTTGCTCCGTGTCCATCTTTAGTGATAAGCAGGTTTTCACAGCGATCAGTGTCAGGCATTTAACATCACTTTACACTGTCTCTTTAATGCAGTTTTATGGAGATTACGAAATTTTACTCTTACAGGTGTCATTCATTTATTTGCCTGGCCAAATGTGCTAATTTTTGTTGTTATTTCTCACAAACTACATAGTTAGTTACCTTAGAAACATTAACCCTGCATGTTTCTATGTGCTGGGTAGAGACTTTAGCAGTTGGTTATGTCAATAATTTTTTAGGGCAGGTTAGAAACATGTGATTCAATTATAGTTTATGACAAATTTTCTTGAAACGTGTTTTTAAAATCTTGACTAAATTTACAATAAGTGAGCTAACCATAGACTGTTACACCATGGACAACTTGGCTCCGCCTTCCGTCATTATACGAATTTGAAGTCGAATTGCTCTCAGTATTTCCGGGAGTTCTCCACTTCCTGGAACCACCACTGGCGCAGGAGCATTTTACGCATTTGGTGGTAGAGTCCCTGACAGTCACTGTGATGACACTCAGCTGACAAACAGCATATCCCCAGGTTGAGCTACGTAATCTTCATATGCCCATAGGCTGTATCAAGTGTCAATCATAGAAAACACGAACCCCCTTAAACTAAAAAAAAATGGAGCTGCACCAAAAAAAGAGGACTTGAGCACAAACCAGTCTTACAGTAACTACATGTCTGCATGGCAACCAGGGGGGAGAAATTAATTTCTAAAGTTTGTCCACAGCTCCATAGGGACTATTGGAGGAGGCAGAGTTCATGACCTATACTGCAGCCCGTCACCAGAGGGTGCTGTTCTCACGATGGCTTCACCTAGCAAGGAGGCAGATGGCGTCCATTCAGTCTATGGAGTTAACGCTCCCTGTAAAAGTGTAAAACTTTTGCTTATTGCATCCTCAATGACACTTAGTACAACACTGTCCTCGGAAAAACTTTAATCTTGTTTATTTTTCTGCTTGTAGTTCTCGGCATGACAATTTTGGACGAGGCCACGAGACAGACATAGGCATGAAGTCTAAACAAGAGTTATCTTAAACCCTCTGTACTGTGTCGAACGTACATGCATGTTGATAGAGACAACCTGGTTGGATACTTGTGCCAGAAATCTTAAGTGTAAATAAAGAGTACTTGTTACATTCACACAGATATGTGCTGCAGTGCCCCCACTCATGAGAGAAAACTGGCTTATTAGCTTGAAAAGCTTTCCAAAGTTCCCATTATGTGCATTCTCTCTCATATACAAGTGAAAACATACACATGCTTATATGCAACCAAGCAATATCGTTTTTCTGTTTTTTTTAACAATCCTCAATAATCCTCCTTTTGAATGATTAATAAGGTTACACTGCTGTCTTATATGGAGTTGTACTCATGGATGCAACATAAATCTGTGCACTGACATAACTCTATCAGTGGCCTGTGTATGTTTTTAAAGATACGGCAGAAGGAAGGAAGTTGAATATGGCAGCTTGAGCCTGGTCTGAGATGTATTAATCAGTTTGATTCATGCAAAACACAGAAGTGATTGTGGGAATCAACATAAGCTCTTTTTTTTATCAACAAAGAGCTGCTTTTCCTAGTCCAATCAATTCCAGTTGTTTTTTGCATTGAGCTAAATAATCAGTTTTAGGTTTTCTACCACTTACATGACCACTTTTATATGTCCAGATTAGATTAAAAATATTACAAAGTGAAAAACAAAATGAAGCAGTCATTTCTAGAAAACAGAATTCACTGGACTGGACTTTCACCAGTTTAATGAGACAAGTATGAGTGAGTAAAATGAAATGAGCATCAATCAGAAAAGTAATGTATGTAAACTAATAAAAGGAACTTTGGTAAAACCTTTTTAACTATTGAGGTTTTCAATTGTAGATTACATGTTCCTAGAAATGGACTCATAGTTTTCACTGATCTCTTTGCAGTTTTTATGTTTTATTCCAGGACAAAAGGCAAGTGAAGCTGATTGATACTGAGGGATAAATATAGTCCAAGTTAATAATTGACCTGCAGTCTGACCCAGATACCTGTGTGCATGTGAGATGGGAGAGGCCGGTATTATCTTCTATTCAAGAGTTAAAATCACAGCTAGGTCTCCAAGGAAACTCAAAAACAGTGACAAAGGTAAATCTAGCCAACTCCACAAAGCACAAAGTGTTTTTTTTGTGTGCGTGCGTGCGTGCGTGCGTGCGTGCGTGCGTGTGTGTGTGTGTGTTGGGGGGGGTTCAAAAATGCCCCTCAGTCACCAATTAACCCTGTAAGAGCTAACTCTGCCTCAGACCAGCACTGCTGTCAGTGGCCTATTATTTACTACACATTCCTCAAATACCCCAGATTCTCACCAAGTTTTCAATCCGAAAGTTGATCCAGTAACCTGGACTTAAACCTGAATTAATGACAGCAGGAGCTTTGACACTGTGAGGTGATCCAACCCCAAAACAGCTAGTATAGAGAGGAGCAGAAAACTCTTAAACCACAATTTAACAATGTGTCATTAGCATGAATCTTTTTCTATACTGGACGTGCAACTAAGTCAAGTTCCTTATGTTACCATTTCAGGTGCACCTGCTGATAAAGAAGTGCTACTGTCACTGCCCTGAACTCCCCCATATACTGTGAGTGAATGAATGAATGTTGCAGAGATGTCACTGCTCTTGCAAATCTTGAACTCAGAAATTTGCACATATCTGGAGATGTGTGACTCATGCAAAGGCTACAACGTTCTGATAGAGTATCTGCTGGAGCAACTCCTCAAATATATCATCAGACAGAGTTCTCTTTTAGGATCCGTGTTGGCACCAGCATAAGCTGTTTCTCCTGTCATACACACCTTAACACAGTGAAACAAACATAATAAACATAATAACAAATCTTCAAGATTTATGTCATACTTAAAGCTCCAGTAGGGAGTTTTTCCATGTTTAGGGAATGAACTGAAAATCATATTAGCACCTTTTTAGGATATGTTAAAACAAACAAATATATTAGTGGAAGGATTAAGGATTTGTTATCTTGTCAGTTTTCATGACTCCAACTAGTGCGAGGGGGCAGTGTTGCCAACTCCTCAGGAAGAAAAGTTGCTAGTGGCCGTTAGATAAGTAACTAACCACTACTTTAAAGAAGGTAAAAAAAACAACCTTTTTTTCACGTCTGAACACTGCCTGAGATTCAAATGTTAGAAAGCTTACCAACAGGCATAAAAGGAGATAGATACAAAAATACAATGATGAAATATACTACATTTCTGCCTGACAGTGACAACACAAACTTTGGTCATTATGTCATATTTTCACTCAGGATCATTAGAAATGTTAAGCTGAGGCTAAGAGAAGTGGCTACGAAGCCCAAGCAAAGCACTCCATCCACTTCACTTTACAGCCAGCTCATTATCTTGAAGTGAGAGAGACAGCTGACTTTTACGACTCGAAAAGAAAAGCGATCATTGGTTTTTAGCGCCCACTGTGAACCACTTGAACCCAGTCTGAAAGTCAGGTAGGTCTTCTTCACATTCACTTGATATTCTCTTATAGTGTCACTTCCATGCATCAAAACACTAAGACTGATCCCCTGAATGTAAACACCTTTGTGGAAAATCCACCCTCAGCTTGGCCTCAAAAGGGCGGTAATCATAAGCCATAAATAATCTCAGACAGGTGGAGACAGCAGCGGAAAGGGTGTGTTTAATTTTTTAATCATGGTAATTATAAGAGTTTCAATCACGTTTACGGAAAAACTGGCACATAATGTATCTGCAGTGAGACAAACTAAACCGCACACCATTGTTTTTAATCTGTTTGACTCGATAAGGGAAAGTCCTCGCGCACGTTTATTCCTGTATTGTTATTTCTGTAGTCCACTCACCCAGCAGGAGGAGGCTCAGGTACACGGCCATGATGGACATCAGGATGCCTGGATCCACAAGCAGCAGACTGTCTCTCTGGCTGTAACGAAAAAAATATATATATTTAAGAGTGGGACAAAAAAAACAATGATCACGACAAGTGGTCTGGGTTTCATATGAAGGATTTGTTCGTGCAGGTCTCATGTTGAAGACAAACACAAAAGCTCAAGCTCTTCTGATTTTCATGTTGTTCAGTGTTTCTAACTAATCCACACTTGTGATTTGAAGAAAGTCTCAGTTGGAAAGCATTTTTCACACTCAGCCTGGCAACAAGAAGTCCACGCAGCCCAGCAGTCCTGCTGTCAAAGGCGGAAACACTGAGGAGGGACCCCGCGACATCTCACACCCTGTGTATCAAAGCTCAGTGGATTTACATGTGTATTAAGTTGTTCCCTGCATTCACCAATGAGGGATTTTTTTCTTGACATTTCAATTTCACTGCCACAGAGCAGCCTGAATTAACATTTGACTTCTGTGTCATCACCATTACAATGCCGTCTAACATTTCTTCTCCTTGATTTCAGAAAACATTCAACCGCTGATTTTATCTACAGCAATTTTTTACTCTGTTACAGTCCTGATGTAATGACCCCTTTTTGTTCACACTTTGTTCTAAGTTAAGTTTTCTTGTTGCAACTTGAATGTGAATTCACAGGAGCAAAATAATACAATGCCAATCCTCAAACAGTCACATTTTAAAACACAAGCAACATCAGTGTGAAAAGACGGAAACAAGGATGTTCCTTATCTAGAACACTGGTCAAGAGGTAACCCAACACAGCCTACATACAACGATCTCCATTTTTTAGATCAAAACACTGCCAAACCATGCCAATCACTGAGAAGCTCGCCATCATCTATGCTTCTTCACACCTGGGTAGTAGAGCATTGTAGTTTTATGAAAGTAACCTTATGGTTGATTATGTGACAGGGGCTACAATCAAAGACTCAGCTTATGGCCCACAATCTAGGCCCACAATAATAGAAATATTTATTTTAATTCTGGTCTTGAATTGCAGTTGTGACAGTGTTCAATCGTTGAGAAGACTTTGGGTGGAAACAGCAAATCGTGGTGAAAGAAAAGAAGGAGAATTTGACAGATTGAAAAAAAAAAAACGTAATAGGCTACTTTAAAGGCCCTGAAGAAAGCAGGTAAGAACAATACTCAAAGCTACATGAACTGTAAAATTCTGAATGGAGCATTTTAGTCCAAATTCAACGTCAAGAATTGATGCTTGTACAAAATGTTTTCTCATTTTATTAAAGGGCACAGTGTGTAAAAATGGTAACATTCAAAAATATATGGTTGTCAGATTCAAGATGTTAAAATCATTTGAAATGCTCCTGTGCTCACTCCTTCATCTGCCAGGCAACAGTGGCTTTTGAGGACAAAAAACTGTTGTGATGCACCATTCGCTATTATTCAATCATGTCTGTCAATGAAAATTTCCTATACACATAACTTTAACCACTCTTCCCCTGTTTTGTCTGTCAAATGGTGCGGTTTGAGCAGTAATAATAAACTTGTAAGCTTCTAGTTTGCCCATCCTGTGCTCACACAGGACCGGTTCCTATGTGGGTATAAAAGGTTCATTCAAAGTTAAAGCTATTATGATAATTTTTTACTGGTTATAAAACAGACTAAAACTGGAAAGCAAACAAGACCACCAGCCACGACATGAACATTGATTTCACAGACCTCAAGTTCCTCACAGGAGTTTTAATCTAGTTCTCTTTACCACAGCAGTAATCTACACTGTGTGAAAGGGATGATATTTTCAACAGAAAATATTATTTATACATGTACACAACAAGTTGAACAAAAAGATAAGAGGCAGCACCTTGTCCAAAATCAGCGCTCCAGTTTTATATTCGGGTGATTATACACTAATTTGAACATAAACACAGACTATTTTACAGACTGATAGACAGACAATATAAAACAATTATTTGATAGTAGAGTCAAGCAACTTTTATGAAAGTTATTAAGCTCTGCAAACAACTGAGAAGCATTAAGATTGGTAGTCAATATCATAAACTGGCTGTTGTTATTGAATGGGTACACACATTTTTACTTTTCAACTGAACTTGACATTTCCCCACACACTGTTCACTCAGGAACAGTCAAACCACCTGCTGCTTGTTAAACTACTACACCACTGTTACACTTTAACGGCTTCACAGTTAAACAAGTTTACAGTTAAGCCACAGGCGAACCTGCAGAGGTGGTGACAGCACAAGGTCACATTTTAATACCAAATCTTCACCACGAGACTATTTCACCAAAAAACACAGTGTTGTGTTAGACAGAGCCTCAGCTGATTTTATGAACATTCTAGTCAAATATTCAACAAGTCAAGTACACAAGAGAGTTAATGATTCCAGCTTCATACTCACACAGCCACAGGTCACCCCTCGCTTCTCTGAACTGCGTGGTCAGATTTGTTAACTCCCAAATGCAGAGTGTGTATGTGTGCAGGTTCCCGTATCTGTGTGCAAATGTGCAGGCCCTAGACCCCAATGTGTATATTTACGCATGCATGCACATGTGTGGTGTGTATGTGCACCGGAGTATGTAAAACAAACTTGAAAGCACAACTGATGGCAGCGATGTAAAAACAGAGGGAAACGCCGCTGGCCAATAGCAAAGCAGAATGTGTCAGGGACCCCCCTCACTCAGTCCTCTCCTCCCTCCACTTCGCCCAAGCTCTCTCCCTCCGTCACTGGGGCACTGGGGTGAATGGACATCTATTCTTATTCTAATTCCTCTGTCACTCTGTGGGCCACTGGCTCAAAGAGGGGAATGGTCTCCAGGCTTTTGGAATGCACCACCCCTTTCTTCTGGACACTAGGGGAAAGTGAGCGGTGAGAGAGGCAGAGAGGAGGTCAGAGAGAGAGAGAGGGAGAGAGGAAGAGACAGAGTTAAAAGAAAGAGAGATTTAAAGAGGATGAAAGTTGTAGAAAACCCACTGGAAAACAAATGAGGATAGAGGGATAAAGAAGCGACACCGACAAGGACGAGGAGATGTTTTTGCTTTCTGGGTTAAGTTAGGCCAAGCGCTTGAGTGCAGTACCACCACTGTCCACTGCACCAAACTAGCACTGACATTTAAGAGGAATCATCAGAGTTAGTCTGAAGATTTCAAAACATTTTTGAACAATTTGCTACTATAAACTGCAACCCTGCTGAAATGGGCAAGTTAGAAAGTCACAGAAAAGGTACAATCTTAAACAGAAAGCACAGACAACAGGCCTAAGTTATGTGGAGGTTTCACTTCAGTATTTTTTCAAGTTACTTTAGGCTTGTCAACACCAGTGAGATTAAAAAAGATGTGACAAGCGGTCAAAGCATTGAACAGGGCAATGGGGGTCGATCAAACGCAAATGCTAGCTGTGCAGTTAGATCACAGTTGGTCTGGGATCTGTTCAGGCCATAAACAACAGTTGATGCATGATGAGACCCACAGATCTAGAAAAAACCTCATCATCCATACTATAGCTTCTCAATGATGGCAAAACTCATAATCATGATTATCTTAATTGATAGTGATATTGCAATTATTTAAACCTATTACCCTTGTCACATGCATGTATGCTACTTAAAACCTCTTTAAAAACAAAAATTGAAATTCCTCAAAATGAAAAAAAAACAAAACAAAACTATAAGTCGTAAAAATAAATGGTTTGGCCTGTTTTTTATTTATTTATTTATTTTTTTGTTTAAGAGATTTGGCTTCATTTTGGTGATTATACCTACTAAATTAGATAACAAAATTAGCTTGTAGTAAAGTATATTTTCACTGTCATAAATTAATTGATGGAATAAAGCTCTCAATGCTAACATTTTTATCACAAGCTGCGAATCAAAAAAAATCATTGTCATTTTGAGCTTTTAAAAGTTTGAAGACTTTATAATATCAAGACTTGAGCTTTTATTTTAATCTTAGAAGAAGCCATTACTGACCCACTCCAATAAAAATCATGTATTTCTTGTTGTCTTAATGTTCATATGGAATTTTTCTGATGCTACAGGACATATCATGAGAAAAATAAGTGCAAAATTGCATTTTTGAGTATATCTGCATTTAAATCACTGTGAGCCTCTGGCAGACCCAAATGGCAGGCTCAGGTACAGTGAGATTTCCTACGTCACAAAACCAAGCTCCACCCCCGGAGCCCTGCTGAGTAGATCGCTAAACAAGTATAAGTGTTAGCAGATTGTAACGCTCGTAAGAAAGCTGATTATGATATTTACTTTCATTATGTCTCCAAAGACATTAGTGTCTCAGAGCTGAATAGCTCCTGTGTTACCTGCCACTTCTGCTGCACCAGCAATGTCAGGCTACAAGCTAGTGAAGGGCTAGCTCTCAACAACAGGGGTGGTGCATCCATTTTTTGGATTTAAAGGATCCAAAAAATGGACCAAACCATGAATTTTGTGATCTTTTGCACCCAAAACAAATGCACAAAGTTCATGATGGTTTCTTCTCTTGTCAATCTTTCTGCAGGTAGGAGTCATCTTTTAATACTTGGGTTTGTGTAGGTTAGAAAAATATGAACACATATTTTATCAGCATTACTAGAAAAGCACTAGGAGAGTGCAGACCTCCGCCAAGCAGCTCATGTCCCCCCTTAAACAAGACCGGACCGGGATTCGAAGTGCTAACCACTACACCACTGTGCCACCTATCTGCACCCCTGTGCCACCCATTAGTTATCTTTCAGCATTGAAAATTCCAACAACACCCTTACTTTTGTGTGTTCTGGATCACAGTATCCAGAATTTTGTCCGGATCACCACCAAAATTTAAGGGGATCCTCCTAGGGCTGAGACGCACCTCTGGTGAAAATTCAGGTCAATCCGTCTGTTACTTTCTCCGTAAAGTTGGTAACAGACAAACAAACCAACGCTACCGAAAACATAACCTCCTTGGAGGGGGTAATAAATGTCCCTTCATTTAGCCAACAAGTGTTTTGTACTTTGACTCTATGTTAAGATGTTTTATTTAATTCACAGAAGTTTTACTTCATTTACAAATCCCTTGGTTACTTTAAATTTCTTTTCTAAAATGAGAAAGCCAGGTTTGACAGAGCAAAGTGCATATTTATGTGTCTTTGGATGTAATGCTGTGCTCATGTGGGGGTTGTAAGCATGAATGTGTGTGATTCAGGCTGCACAAAAAAAAAAAATAAGAAAAACTAAAAGAGAGAACAAAGCAGCTTCCACATTCACAGCCCTCTGGTGATGTAACCTTTGAACTCTGCACAAGAGGGGGATGTAGGGGCTCAACATGTTATGCAGCAACCACGAGGAGGACGCCAGAGCTTCTGGTACAAATTCTACAGAAACATTCAACATATGAAATGTTTAAAAACCTTAACTTGAAGAGTTTTCCATCACTGCACTTTGACTTTAACTTCTTCCTCTGAGGAAACTTTATGTTACAGACACAAACATGTTTTAATGATGCTGTTATAGATATGCAGCCATCCAGATCAGACAGTAGTGTCATCTAAAAGTCAAACAAATAACAGAAATCCAAAGTCAAACTGTACCTGGTCGGCCTAAACCTTGAGCAAAGACTGAGATGCAAAGACAAATGCGCACAGTCACTACAACAAGATAAGAGAAACCCTGCAGAAAGTTCATTGCCACCCCCATAACTTATGTCAAGCAGTCAGACAAATCTGGAGACACTAGTCCAAACAACCTCAGACTCCCGTATCCTTGAACCCAAGAAGATAAGCCCAACCCTGTGTGTGTCTTAGTGTGTGTACACATCAAACAAAAGGCCTCAGAGCGAGCAACCAAGGACAACGATGATACGGTGCAACTTGAGTCACTGTTTTCAAAGTACTGTAAAATAAGAGCGGGATAGATGAGCTCAGAGAGGAAGTTAATTTAACAGCAGTTTAAGATCAAACAAAGAAGACGACAATCTGAGCTGCCATTCCACCTGTGTCTCTATCACAGTTTATGTCCCACCTGCTTTTGCTCTCTATACACCAAAGCCTCTATGTGTCTGGTGCTAACATTCCTCGCATTATAGCATAGTCTGTATATACTATGGACAACTAGGTTCCACCTTCCATCATGATACAAATTTGAGGCCGTATTGCTCTCAGTATTTCCGGGATTTTCTCCTCTTCCTGATACCACCACTTGCGCTGTAGCTTTGTACGTTCGGTGAGGGAGTCACTGTGATGATGCTCGGCTCAAACAGTGTATCCCCCAGGTGAGCTATGCAATCTTTGTATACACATAGGCTGTATCAAGTGTCAATCATAGAAAACATGAACCCCCTCAAAACTGAAAAAAAAAAAATGGAGCTGCACTGAAAAAAAGAGGACTTGAGCACAAACCAGTCTTACAGTAACTACATGTCAACATCAAGGGGGGGGGGGGTTATATTCTGTGTAATTAATTTCTAAAGTTTGTCTACAGCTCCATGAGGACCTATACTACAGCCTGTCACCAGAGGGCAATGTTCTCGGAGAGGCTTCACCCAGTGAGGAGGCAGACGATGTCCATTCTATATACAATCTATGCATTATAGCTAGAGTAATAGTAATGGCTCGATATATCTTGCATTGCATTTTGATGTATTTTCCTGTATTTACATTTCTTGAAAATAGCCAACCTTTTTTTCCTATCACAAGGCACATTGATTTCATCCAGAGCTCCAGTGAGGAGCTGCCTTTTTATTGGATACAAACACAAAGAAGACTATCACAGTTTTATACCGTAATTTTTTAATGCTGTAAATCAATGCAAAGAGGTAGATGTCAGGCAAGCAACCAAATCTGACACAAACTAAAAGTTTCCTGCATGAGCTTTAAAGTTAAAATCAATCATTTACTTTATAAATTGTATCCAAACAAGAATTAAAACATAGAAATATAATTTTTTTTTCACGAAATAGGTTCATTGTGAGAGGTCACTTTCAGAAAGCAAGCTTATGAGACAGACGACATGAGGATTTTTTTTAAGTACAACTGACAGTGAGAGTGTCAGACATTATGAAGGAAATATCAGGCAGTCATCTGGACAATCACCTGCAGGTATAACACTGATAAAAAGTGTCCAAAGTAACACTGGCCTTTTAAAAAATTAAAGAATTATCTGCTTGACTTCATGGAAAGACCACACAAGTGCTGTGTCTGGAACAAAGTTTGTTTAACCAGCATGTAAGGCATAAAAAATAAAACCATTAAAACAACTTCCTAATCCTCTGCAGACATTACCAAATCATCACAGGTGGGGATGAACACAATCTCATAATGCTGTCTGAATAGATTTGCTCTGCTGATTCATTCATCTGACAGGAAAAGACTGATTCCCTATCAAAGAGAGATAATGGCTCAGATCTTGAATACAGCTGTCCTGAAACCAGACACAGTAAACCAGTAAGGTTTGCTTACTCAGTCTTTGTTGCAGATCACCTGTGTACAGTTTGGTGACCACACCACAGATTTTCCTTTGCTGGTGCAAATGGGTTGCTTAACTTTATGATCCAAATTCTACTGCAACACCTCAACATATCATGAGCAAAGCCAATCTTACTACATCCTGGAACTTCAGCTTTCATTGTTTCTGGCTGATGGCTTCTTGCATTGTCTATTCTTCTATAAAACACACAGATGGTTGTTTAATGTTTACCAAAGAGTCTAGTTGTGCCCGTTCAAAGGAAGTGTTTCTTTACCACTGTTGTCAGATGTTACCAGATGCTTGACCATGATAGTTTTCTCTTAGTCCCTATTTAAATCTACACATGCTCTTTAAACTGTCCTTGGATGACTTGTGTTGTGACTGTGGAATGTAGAAAGAAAACAGACCCATCAACCAATCAGTTGGTTTACTAGAGATGCTTCCATGGGACCTGCAGTTGCAAGCCCTGACAATGGAGCTAAACCAATACTGTTTATTTTCAATGACATACTATAGGTATGGTTTATTTTGAAAATATGTTTTCCACATCTTGCAACATAAAAAATCTAAAATACCGATAACAGTGTATGGTATGATTTACGAAAAGGTGTCAACAGAGAGCTTGAAAAGCAGAGTGGTCAGACTCAATAGTTTACTCTGCTCTCTGTCTGCAGGACATGCACAGGAGCATCACGGCTTAGCAGACAATTTATGCACCACGATTCGTTGAAAAATACTAATACTGTGTAATATTTATACACTCATTTACAAGGTTGTTAGTGTAAGAAAACAGCTTCCTAAGTCTCGTTGTATATGGTTAAAGTGGTGCAAAATGGGCTCACAATCCAGGCAAAAAATGGTCTACTTTTACTCCAGCTTAAAAATGATCATTAGTGGTCATCTTTTTCTATACAATCCAAAGTAATCAGTCTAAAAATTTAACATTGGTTGGGCTCTACCTTGTGCTGTTTTCTGTCTATATTGTGCTTTCTTTAATCCAATATCAACAATCCAAATCCACTTGGCCGTTCAGGGTCTTGAAGTGACTCATTCTAGGAGTCAATCTTTAACTAACCTCAGGACACACCCTGGACTTCCACATAGAGCTCACGTGAGGGCATGATCAGACAATGGCCTTTGGGATGATTAAAGTCAAAGCAGACAAACAAGCCACGCAATCGCCGCACTCGTGTTTGGACTAGAAAGTCAGGGAATGAGCGGGTGAGAGGTGCAAATGAACTCTGCAACTTTGAGATTGTGGCTCGGGGTTTGAGAAGACAAGCCTGGCAGGAGAAAACATACGAGGCCACAAATCAGACATGCAAACAATGAAAATATGACACTAATAGAGTCTTCCTGACAGTGTGACCCAATTTACAACCTGCTATCACACTTAACTGACACAAATTCACTCCTGTCTCTTCACAAGACAAAGTCATTTTCTATAATTATCGGTCTTTTTTATGCCGCTTCACTACTGAGCTTTGAGCCTCGCTCCAGGCAACAACTGTAGAAAATGAAAGTACAGCAACTTGCACCTGACGCTGCACATATCATCTTTATTATACAGCAGGGAAGTTTAGTATCCAGACAGGAAGGAAATTACTGTTTGACACTCATCCTGCCATTTCCAAAACATCTCTTACCAGCTTTTGCAGGTAGTGAGAAATGAACTGAAAGTCATCATTAGGAAGCAAAGGTAAAAACCACAAGAGCCACCCTCACACAGATGGGAACACATTTCTTTTAACAGTTACTGTATGAAACCTTGTGTGATTTTCTGCACGATTTAAAGGTCTCTTGAGTTTGGTAACTTTAATGCTAAGGAAACTCCTATTGTTTACTATTCATTAGTACCAGACACTCTGTGTTTGCCACGTGTCTTATCTTACAGCTTAAATTCAAATGACTGCAGGCTTCAAACACAGACAATACTTCACTGATAATTAACAGCTAGTTTTTTTAAGATCCCACACTGACAAATGAACTGTGGTAGGTCTCAGCCTGAGGCCCTGTGAGGGTGTCTGTGAGTGTAGCTGCTTCTCTGGTTCATGTAGGTACAGCAGTGCTAAGTTCAAAAGGATCACTGAAGGTAACCTGGATGAAAAGGTGTGTGAGTGTCTGTAATACCTGCACTCTCAGCCACATGCTGGTCTCATGGTTTGGTAACAATTGAGACAATCATTATACAGGCATAATGTCAAGTACTCAAACGACCTCTCCAGGAAATTATCAATATGCAGCAGTGAAACACAGTGAAAACAACAGATTTTATGTACATTTTTATCTGCAAATTTAAAAAATGAGAATAGAAATTAATTATCTAAAAACAGAGCGCAGCAGTCTTTTCCGTAGTGTGAATGACCTTGTCATTGTTCACAGTATAAAGTTGTATAAGCGCAAAACTGCTGAAAATCCTCCACATTTTCAGTTCAGACACTTTCCTGTCTGCCTCCTGGTGAAACTTAAACAAGAAGTTGGGATGAACTGCTGAAAACAAAGCAGGGGGGGCTTCTTTAAAATGTCCCACTTACAAGTTGACAAAAAAAAACAAGCAGAGTGACAGAGTGAACAAAAACGACCAAGGTTGAAGACGGTATTCATTTATGAGAAAAGAAGTGATAAGACATCTGCATATCAAAAGAAAAACCTTCACCGCAGGTCTCAGTTGCTTTGTCTGCCATCACACTGTTGACATTACATCGCATGATTTTTAAGTCGTGACATTGGTGGCTTGATTGGCAGCTCTTGCATGAGCCATTGGGCAAGAAACTGAACCCTGAATTGCTTATCCACTGCATATGAATGGTGTCACTTAATGTAGACATTTTATGCAGTGTTAGCGTGTGGCAGTGTGTGTGAATAGGTACATGTGAAGTGTTGTGTTAAAGTGCTTAGGAGAGGTGGGAGGACCAGAAAAGAGCACAGTCTATTTATATGCACCCCTCACATTATGGTGACCTTGAAACCCTGAATCAGGTCGGTTAGTTTAATTCATATTAACTATGGGTTACTCAGCAATTATAACTAGTAGTTTAGATTAGTTTCCCTCACTTTGACATGTATTCTATTTAAATGATCTAGTTAGGAGGCTTTCATGTTCAACAATTTGGCTACGTTAGCATGTTCATGACAATGGGTTTGACAACCTAAAAACCAGAGGAGCAATCAACACTTGGGAAAACTTCCTGTGATGGGCGGGATTCTTGCAAATGTTCTCAGTTAACACAAACTGCATTTTCCTGTTTTGAATGATGTCATGTTTCCAGTATAAAATTCTGAGTGCACATTTGTTGCTGTGTATGTGCAGATTGGAGATTGGACAACAACACTCCTAAAACAGCAAAGATTTCTCATGGAGATCAACAAAGACAGTTCATCACACCAGATTGGAAAGAGGGAAAAAAAAGACTCTTGCTTTGTGTCAGCAAGCATGAGTCACTGCTTTTCAGGAAGGCTGCAAGGGAACTGCAGCATAGTTTGATTGCAATTATATTCCAAGTTTACAGCCACTCATTACACAAAGAGGTCAACCATCCGAGTCACTGAGAAAGAGAGACAATACGATGTACAAACCCAAGTATGTCCCAAAGAGTGGCAGCAGTATTTGCTGCCAGACCTCCACAATTTGCTTCCAAACTTAGGTTCCGGTTCCATGAGGCTGGTGGAGTAAAAGACAAACCGCGAAGAGGGCGTCGAAGAGAGACAACAACCCAAGAAGACCAGTTCCCCACCTTTGCCTCACTGACGGACAATAAAGCTTTTTCCAGAGATTTGCAGGCAAGACCGCAGACAGACCTCTGATCAGATGGTGAGGAACAAACTGCACATGGCCAGTCTCTGCAATAGCCCGAATTTTTTTTATTGTATTATTTTATTTTAATTAATTAATTATTTAATTAAACAATTTTAAAACTTTTTTTTTTTTTTTTTTTTGGGGGGGGGGGGGGGGGGGGACACTAACCACATGTTTCACTGTGTTGGTCATTCCACAGAAGCACCACCCTTACACCGTCTACCACATTGTAAAGGTGACTAATCAGGCTTTCCAGTGATTATATGATACAACACCCATTAGTGTTATTAAAGGAGAAAAATAAGAAGTGTAGAATAGAAATAGGTTATTGCATATTCGATAAGACAAACAGAAAGGTCTTAATTCAATGTAGCATATGACAACAAACCAACATCTTTAAAAGGACATTAAAAAGATGCAGTCTCACATCCTTGGGTCTGAGAAATATTACTTTAAATAACTGCATAACTTGAACACAAGACAAACAGAGCCAAAAGAGACAGGCCTGAAAAGGACATGTAGCTGTAATCAGTCCCTCTTGTCATTGTGCGACAAACAAGGAGTTGATTTACATCAGGGGAAATGATAATGAGTCTGAGCCTGCACAGGCCCTGACAGAAGCTCAGATATCAAAGCCCCACCGATAGAGCTCAAGGTGGCCGACAGCAGTGAGATGTCTCCAGAGAGGCCTCCTGATCTATAGATTATCTGAGCACTGAGGCACACACGCCACAACTAAACCACATGAACATCCTCTCTCTCTGAGAAAAACACTCTTACCTGACCTCCACAATTGTCGTCTTACTCAGTCTATTGCACCAGTGGGACTTCAGGTAATGATGTGGGTTTGCATTGCAACATTTAATCAACTTTTAGAGTCGACAGAATGGCTTACTAAAGAATATACTGGAGACATACACTACAGGCCAAAAGTTTGGAAGCAAGGCCATTACAGGCCGAACAGTTGGGAGTAACTTAAAGTTTTTGGTCACAATGCTTTTTTTAAAATCCAGCATGAGTTTTATGTATTTTGAGATGTATTTACTCCATGATCAGATGTTGCTTTCATGGAAATGCACCATTTTACTCAATTTACCTTTAGATATACATTGATGTTAACAGACCATTGCTAAATATATTTTAGCAAAAGATAATAAGGCCTAGTTTTAGGGTTGAAAACATTTGCAAGAGTCACAACTTCAGTGCAAAAGCAAAAAAACAAATCACAGTTGGATTATTCACTTCAACTTTTTGGCTTTTGAGAGTCTGAAAACAAAAATCCTAATAAATCTCAACTGCATTCAAACTAGGGTTGGGTATCATTTGATTTTGAACGATTCCGATTCCAATTTCGATTCCTCATTTCGATTCCGATTCCTATCGATTCTCTAATTCGATTCTTTTAAAAGGCTGGATATCAAAAAGAAAAAAGAAAAAAAAAGCATGGTTTGAATGAGGGTGCTAACCGGGGCTCTTCTTTTTGGATGAAATTTCTGAACTTCTCCATGAATTTTTAAATCCTATTAACATTTTAGGAACTTTACTATGAATTTCTCACAGAGCTATTTTCAACCAGTATATAAATATCATTTTTTGTTTTCAGGTCGTTTGTCTATGAAAAAGTACAAGGGCTAACGTTAGGTGGATATTTAAGTTTACTCACCGTACACAGTTCAATTTGTTTACCGCTTCAAAGTTAGCAGAGGACAGAAGTAATTTATTGTTTCACTTATCTGATCCTGACTGGTTAGCGGAAGACAGGTGTTGTGCTGTAGAATGCACCCCTGCCGTAGAATGCCTCCCCTCCACTGATTAGCTTCTTAAAGTGGAAGAAATATGATCTCATATTTAATAAAACACGGGTATTAGATCATGAAAACGTGTCAAATGGAGCAGTAAACTTTCGTTTTGTTTGTATGTGTCTCAAAAATGCACACATAAAGGTGTACTTGGGTATATAAACTGTACAGTAAGCTGTTAATGTAGAGAACATTATATTTTCCGGACAGTAAATATTCCGAATCAGAGGGCTATTGTTTTCGGCATATCGGAATAGCCTGAATGAAATCATTAAAGGCACACGCTTTAGATTCCGTCCAACGGTAAGAAAAACTTGGATTGTTTCGCCTTGTTGTGTACTCTCAACCGCGCTCCCGTCAGGGGTGCATTCTACGACACAACACCGGCGAAGCGCGTCAAAGACGAGCACTCGGGTATTTCTCCTCCATGAATCCTGAGGTGTTTAATCATGTTGGTCGTTTACCCTCCTTTGCATGATATAACTGTATTGCTAATGTTGCATTGAGATAAGAGTTCATTCTTCCTGCTAAAGTTAGCCAAACTTTTGACCAACGAAGAAGAAGCTGCCGAACACCAACGAGGACGGAGCGTATGAGACGAAGTCACACAGAGAGAGGAGAGAGACAGAGAGAGATTGTAACCCACAGCGGCTGCATTGCTGTGGGTTACAATGTACTTTCACTCTCGGTCTCTCTCCTCTCTCTGTGTGGCTTTGTCTCATACGCTCCGTCCTCGTTGGTGTTAAGCGGCTTCTTCTTCGTTGATTTTCGGCGGCTATTTCTTCCGGTCGGCGGACTCTGGCATCGAAACTTGGAATCGAAATTTTAATATTTGAACGATACCGGAAGAATCGAAGTTTTAGTCCCGATTCCCATCGATTCTCGATTCTCGATTCCCAACCCTAATTCAAACTACCGCAAAAATAGCTGAAAGAAGCAACTGAGCATTGTCACCAGTAAGAGAGATCGGCGAAAGACAGCACCACAAATAAGGGAGAAAATCAACATGACAAGGTCGAAACCCATATCTCTGACAACCGTGAAATGACGTTCGAGAAAGGCTGGTCTGAAGGGTCGTGTATCTGCAAAAACACACTACTTCGTCCACAGAACAAGAAAAAGAGTGGGCAAAAGCTCACAAAAATTGGACTTATGATGACTAGAAACAAGTTTGCACTGTTTGGTTCAAAACGCAGAGTCTATGTCCGCAGACAAACTGGTGAACGTCTGAAAGCACCATGTGTTACACCCACAATTCAGCATGGAGGTGGTAGTTCCATGGTATGGGGATGTTTTGCAGGTGATAGAGTAGAAGATTTGTTTGAAGAAAAGGGTATCATGAAGAAGGAACAGCACCACTCCATCTTCCAGCACCATGCTGCTCCATCCGGACTAAGACTTGTGGCTCATAAGTTTGTTTTGCAGCAAGACAATAACCCTAAGCACTCTGCCAAGCTCTGTCAGGGTTACCTAGACAAAAAAGAAGAGGAAGGTGTTCTTCAAAAGATGGTTTGGCCCCCTCAGTCTCCAGACCTTTCTCCAATTGAGCTTGTGCAGGATGAATTGGATCGATCGGTCAGAAAAACATGTCCCACGAATTAGCAGTCTCTTTTTAATGAACTTAAGAAAGCCTGGAATGCAATCCCTGGAACATACCTTAAAAAACTTGTGGAACGAATGCCTGGTATATGCCAAGCTGTTGTTAAAGCCAGAGGAGGTTACTTTAAAGAAAGCAAAGTCTAAGCAACAATAACTCAAATTCCTAATAATTACAGTCAAAATATCTTCTGATAAGTTACTCTTTACACATGTGTTGCAAATATGAAACTATGATCTTTTTTTGTACAAATCTGATCTTGCTTCCAAAATTTTGGCCTGTAGTGTACGTATACAGCAGTCGGTCAGTTGACGGGCCTGTGTGCACTAACAGCGTTTTATGCCCTGGCAGCACCAACAGCCTCGGCTTAAAAGCACTTTTTAGTGTTACAAAAGTTTCCTCTTGGAACTAATGCTTTCTTTGGTGGTGACTGCTCAGTCTGTCTAAATACACTTTGTAGATTAAGTTGAGCCACAACCATATCAGAAATTCACTGATATGGTGGTCCACACTGATGTGCGCAGCGGTGTCCTAAAAGTTGAACTATTTTGAGAGCTCTGTCAGAACAACAGCAGATAACAGCTGTCATTAAATGATGCTGAAATCTAAAACACTGGACAACAATGACTTTGTCATGAAAACAGTAGGTGGACATAGGCCCCAATGCTCTCACTATGGACCTATAACAGAAATATCCATCGTTTAATACATATTGAGGAGTTCACTTCAAATTCTGTTTTATTTAGTAATCAGGGGAACTACTTCTGGAAAATTATATCAACTTTGATCAAAATAACCCCACACAGGTTGATTATCATAAGACCTTTTATAGTGTATAAGTTTAATCTCTTTCACTGGCTTTCAGTCCCAGGTAAAAATACTTTATTCTGAATTTGTTCCATTAAACAGACCAGGAGATGTTTTGAGACATACTGTTCATGCAGTCTTGTGCAGTCCTTAGAAGACAACATATTCCTTTGCACACAACATAAGCTATCAACACCCGTTCACTGGTTGATCTAATCTCAGTTAATAAAGAGGTAAAACAGGCAACAGCAAGTGTCCCCGCTTTTGGTCCACATGGCCAGTTGGGGTCTGAGCGCCCCGTGTATCCTCTTAACCTTCAGGTTAGAGTTGATCTCAGCGGCAGGGCGAGAGGCCAGGTTCTTGAGCTGATTAAAGTTAGACTAAGCCTTCAAGGACCATGGGAACCTGTGCCTCCAAACACAGTTCTAAATACCCTGACAAGCTGGTGACAAGAAATAAATGCTAATTAGTCCTCTTTTCAGTAAGTGCTTTTTATTTTTTAATCAAAAAGCTCTTTCATAAAAACAAATGCAGGTCCCTTCTCTATGAACACCCCTAACCCAAAAAATCAAAGCAGCATCCAGAACAGGTGAGTGTGTCTATGTTTCTGGTGTAGGTCCAATGGCATGGATCTAAGAAGCAGCAAACTTTTGTCAAAAGTTCCTGCCTTTTTGAGAAAAAAAAAAAAAAACCTTCATGCAATCTCAGTTTGTAAATCTGAGCCGAGCACTCCATCAGCTTGCTGCTGGTTAATCTGGTAGGAATGTGTGCGACAGTGTCAGGATTTCTGCTCTTGGGCATGAGTGACCCAGTGGAGAGTGCAGAACTATACACACACTTGCAGCCTACAAGCACTGCAAGACAACAGATTCCTGAGTTTCCTCTTCACATGTTCAGGCAGCTTTCAAACCCTTGTCTTTGATTTGGTCCCAAATGCATGTTTGGCCAAAAGATTACATCATATTTTTTAAAGTTTACAGTCAGCTATAATTAACTGTCTGTGTTTGATTTGCACTTTGGTAAACTCCATTCTGGATGACATCACAAAATCCACCTGAATACACACCTTTTACTGGGCCCCCAGGTGTGCACTTGAAAACGTTTCTCCACATTTAGACGGTATCAAAAAATAAAAACACCTTAGGTGGAGACAGTCTTTGAGATTCATTTCCCATATCAAATTTGTTGTTTAAGGCTCAAAATAAATATCAGATACTGTATCTTACAGAAGAAAACTGGAAATATAGTGAAAACCTGTACAGTCTACAAGGACTGTGTTAGTATGTGATTAGCCTGGCTGGCCAAATAAGGAGGAAATTAAAACAACAACAACAAGACTTTACCCAAATACAGCAACTAGTGCTCACAAAATACAAAAACATAAGCCTACATTAAACACCAAATACATTTTACAAACCACAAAACAAATATACAAAATATTTTATAAAAGGTTAAATCCAAAAAGTCCCACAATTTTTAGAAATATCGTATTTTTTTATTTTTGTTTCACAAGAGAAACAAAAATATACCTTGTAACACATAAAAATAATCCGAAATGTATGAAAACATTTCATAAAACACAAAAAAGTAGTTGTAACATTCAATCTTACTGAAACCGTTTTGCAATTTTAAAAAATATATTACATAAGGAACTACTGCAGTGTGTTAAAGGTTTTTTTTTTCTTGCCATGGAACATTCATAGTCAAAGGTTTTTAGTAATTTTTTAAGCATTTAATAAGTGTGTGCAGTAGACCTTCAGGGTCTCCATACTTTTCACTGATAACTATACTAGGCTACTTACAACAAGCTCAGTAGTTAAGTTTGGAGCTATCTCTTTAATAAAAAAAGGACTTTCAGATGGAGGAAACTGGTTGTTGCTCAGTATCAATTGGGCTAGAGTTGCACATGTGGTCTGAGACGGTAGGTTAGCCTAATAGTCCTGAAGATAAATACTGCCAGAATAAGGGCATGACTGTGTGAGAAAGTGGAGCCCTAATGAGAATTTTTAGATGTTAATGCACTGAAGTTGTGCTGTAGGAGAATTACCGTCTCAGAACTTTAATGCTGAGGGACGTGAGCACAACATCAGCATAAACTTATTGCCCCTATCGGAATATTACGGTAATTAAAGTCAGTGTGGAACAGTGACTCGCGCTGTTTGAGTTCACTGGGGCGTGCGTGTGAGAGTCACGTTAGGATAGACGGAAGAAAAAGATGGAGCACTCACCTGCTAGGTTGTTTCCTGCGACCCCTCAGTCCTTTTCCCCACAAACACTCTCACTCAAACTTTCTCTCTCACGCACACTCACACACGCAGTCCCACACCGCCTGAATGAGCTCCGTCTCAGTCTGCAGCGGTAGTAGATAAAGCACAGAGCCGGACAGAAGGAGGTGGGGCCACAAGTGTCACCGGCCGCGAACTGTGCTATCCCGGGAAAACAGGAGCAGGTACAGTGGTAGTGCACCTCCGCAGTGCTGGACCCCACCCAGAGCTGTCAGGCCAAGCCCACTGTGCAAGGTGAAGATTACACGGAAAAAACACTATGCAGGAAAAGTTATGACTTTACTGTCCTCTGTTTTGAAAGAAGAATTTGTGATTGATGGCATACTTCAACTTTATATCAAAATTGTATTGATGTAAGTTATGATTGATAAAAACTCAGTCACAGATAGCCATGTGTCTTTTTATAGGATGTCCTTTGAATGCAACTTTGTCATGTCTGAGCTTTTTTTTTTTTTTTTTTTTTAACAGTTCAATACAGTTCTTGTGGAGCTTTCTTCTGTCCTCAAAAAAATCCAAACAACATATTCACAATAAATGACACATTTGACAGTCAACAGTCAGCAGGATGCTTTAAGTTGACTGAAATGTAAATTATCCTAACTTAAATAGATTTGACAAAAGTTGACGAGTAAGAGCTCCCTATGCTAACCCCGCCTCCCTCATGTTAAAGGGATATTCCGGCGTAAAATTAAGTTAGGGTCAAACACCATAACACCGAGTTAGACCCCTCCTTGAGAGAAGAATGTTGCTGACTGCTTGCTTCTCTAGTTATACCAACTTTCATAACCACCGAATGATAGCAATACACAGTGGTCTGAGGAGCCATAAACAAACCTCAAACAAAAAGCCACTCTATAGCCTCAAATCATGCTCAGAACAGCACCTAACTTCATCAACAGTACATATAGGGTCCCAGTCATAGTACTAGCCACCAAACATCTTTTTTAGCTTTGCCTGATCTCTTTAGCAAAGAGACTAAACACAACTCACCTACTCTCTTCCAGCAGCTGCTTGTTTGTAGTAAGACTGGGCCAGTCCATTACGGACTACAGCAGGGTGATGCAGCTCAAGGATGAACATTTATGATCATTTCTTCATGGAAATGCAATCAGACCGAGACGCTAATGCAGAGGAACTACTGCGTCTGGTGTGCAAAATGATTAATATGGTGATTATTACTTCAAGGAAATGATAAAGAAATCATAAATGTTCTTCCTTGAGCTGCATCACCCCACAGCAGTCTGTAATGGACTGGCCTGAGGTCTCCCAACAAACAAATGGCTGCTGGAAGAGAGTAGGTGAGTTGTGTTCTTATAATAATATAACAAAAGTTAGTGCCCCAGTTTAGCCACAGTTTGTTAAATTACTTAGTCACGCAGAGTCATTGATATTATTGCTTAAGTATAGCAGAAGGAGATTTTTGTGGTCAGTTACCACCACTTTACGAGGACAAGTTGATATAAATGACAGTGTTAGGGGTTACCACATTGTTCATAGTCAAACACAGACAGAAAGTTCCTCACAGGAGCTTTAATGTCCAATGCAGCTGTAAAGCCTGAGGCTCTGTAATCTTCTGTAAGTCAGATTCCCACAAAGTTGGTCATGAAGACACAAAAAAATGTTTTGGCCTTTTATATCCTTCCTATTTTGGAAGGATGAAGGGAAAATACAGTCAGAGAAAGAACTGATCACTGATTGCATCTGGACACAAACAAACAAACAAAGCTTGCTGAATTGTAACACCATTGTTTGAATAATAGCAGATTTGGCTCAAAAATAATCAATAGTTGTTCTGACCGACGATCATCAAGTGCTTTAAAATCGAAGGTTTGCAAATCAGAGGGTACCAGACATTTAACCTTAGCATCCCCAAGTGCCCTTCTTGTTGTTTGGGGGATGCAGTTTGCAAATCTCCATTTTTGACCCATTTTCCTGATTCTCACATGAAAATTGCTGAATAAACATCATCAGTGGAAAATTAGGTAAATAGGAAACTATTCTGGGTCTTTGGTGATGCATGTAGGAAAGATAGTGGGATGGCTCATCACTGACAGGATTTGTACCTAGGAGTTATCAAGAGATGATGACAATCTCCGTCCACAAGCTCATTATGTGGTGCCAGCCAAGTCAACTGATACACATCAAACAACCCCGAGCAGCAGTCGCCTGATACGACAACAGTTTCCTCTGCAAAGGGGGATGTTCAGGTCTAATATGATGTGATTATTGGGGAAGTGAAAAATGTAGTACGCTGCTTGCTCGTGAATTGTTCACTAGAGATGAAAAAAAGGAGGACTCTCAAAACAGTGATGTGGTGTCTCTGTCATAAAGTTGAGTGAAGGAATTGTGAAGAAAAAGAGACATCCAACAAGAGGAGCAGTAAAACTCATGTCAGGATTCAACACAGGTAGTACAAGGTAAAGCCCAGGAATGGCTGGAATCCATAATTATCAACACTTATGTGTGGCAGCATTATCCTGTAATACAAACACACAAAACCAGCAAGTTCATGTAGTATGCTGCAGGTTGTAATTGACTGTGAGCTTATTACACAGTCTGGCTATGCACCAAGGACAGTGATCAGTAAAGTGCATCAGAGAGAGACAAAAGAAACCCAAAAATACAGACAGCTACGGAGACTTTTGATCAGCTCAAAAGGGCAAAATCAAAGAAATCAGGAGCTCTTTACAGGCATCAAAAAAAAAGAAAAAGAGACAATAGTATGATACTACATGAGAGAAAAGAGAAGTGAGAAAGCTACCAGCAGTGGAGGCTGTAATTTTTCCAGAGCTTGGGAAAACACCTGGAGGAGGTGGTGTTTAACCTGATTGCTACACACTGCCAAGAAAGCGAAAATGAACAGTTGAAAAGCACATTTACCCTCTTCTTTTCATTCTACGCGGGCTTTGGCGTAATTTGCACTATGTGTGTATGTGTGCATGCATGCACTGTTCTTGTTTAATCAATCAATACATTTTTATATGCATCAAATCACAACAGTCGCTTTTCAAAAGAGGCAGTCTGGACCACACATTGTTTGATATATTACAAAGACCAAACATTAAGATGGATAAGATTTGATCCACCACATCCAACATGAGTGAAGCACTTAGCAATATTTAGCAAGTTACAGTGGCAAGGAAAAACTTTACTCTTTTAATTGCAGGACCTGACTCAAAACTCATGAACAACATTTGAGGGAGTGGCAGCTCTTTTATAAAGCCATTTTGTGGTTTAAAATGTTTTTGCTAACTGGCTGCAGTTGCATCTTCTCACTTCTTAAGTTTCTAGCTATCACCTGACTTGATGTTTAGGCGTCAGTATCACCCACACTGAACAATTTACACTGTTTCATCTAACTTCAGATGAGAGTTTTGGTAAACTTTTAAATCATCCTATGGCTGACTGTGTGGAAATTTTAGACTCTGTGAACATGTTGACAAAACGTTTAACTCAATTGAACACCACACCTGTTAACACAGATATTTAGCACTCCAGCCTTTATAACCCCTCACTTTGATGAGCACAAATATGCATTTTGAACATGATCACAGTCTGCCCTCTAGTGGCAGATCTAGAGAACTGCCCACTCACGAACGCTTCAGTGGGATCACTTGAAACTTTGGACAATTTATTAAAAATGTACAAAAACAACAAAATAATTGAATCCTTTTTTTAATCCACCAGATACTAAAGTTTCCTGGTGTAGTAGTAAAATGCTGTGGTATCTTTGTCAATAGTCTTTGGTGACTCATCTATAAAATACTGAACAAGCTAGGCTTGGAGAGTATGAGGTGTGTGGTAATCAACAGTTATTTAGACATTATTACATTATAAATAGTTTCAGCAAATTGATCACACCTACATATTTTACATTTAGTGCTGCCCAGTCAGTACTTTTGATCTATGTCATTTAACAGCATTGAAGAGTTCAAATAGATAAGGAGAGATAATTCATATTTTATCTCAACTTTTTGTAAACATATGGCATAACTTGTGGAAAAGCGAGCTACAAATCGCAAAGGTACCCTACAACCATTAACCTTCTAAGGAAGAGGAGTTTTGTTTAATGTCTCCACATGATGGTGCTGTGTTAGGAGGAATTTCACTGAGGAGTTTCTTCCTTTGAATGAACAGGTTCACTCTGAGCACTTCGCTTCCTCCCACAGTCCAAAGACACACTGGTTCTGTTATTTGGTGACTCTAATTTGTCCTTCGGAGTGCATGTGCTTGATGGGTGTCTTTGTATATGTCTGCCTTGTTATGGACTGTCCAGGGGGTACCCCAGCTGTGTCCCCCTCAAACCTTTATGGCAACAAATGGTATATAGATAGATAACTGGTTATAAAAAAATAACAGCTTGAAAAAGTTCCTGTACTTTTGTATTATGACAGTTAAATAGTTAGAAGTGAGGACCAGTGAGCTACAACTACAGAGCTCCCCCAAGAGATTCATGTTTTTGGTGCCATTTACCCTTCCATCTCTGATCAAGATTATGGAAAAAACAACTAGGCTTGTTTTTTATGATGTTTGGTTGAAGGCTGTCGCATGTGTTAAAGGAAGAAACCATTATGTTTCCAAATAGATCCTGGTCTGACTTACAAATGTGCAGTGTGAGCAAATCCACAGACGTTTCTTAAATGAATTGAAGCTGGAGCTGAGCTGTAGCAGAGGTCTGCAGTCTTGGTGCACCCCTTTAGTGAATAAATGTCAATAAATAAAAACAACTAGGTTTGAACTTTTCCTATGAACACACTAACCACTGGCTTTTATTCTAACACCTTTCTGATGAACTTGAGTCTATTTAAAAGTCACTTGTTTGCTGATTCAAAACATGACTCAAACAGTTCTTATATAGCATGGAGAATTAAATCATATAAGACAACAAGGACACTAACCCTCTTTCATTTTATTACCAGAGTAAACAATGAAATACACATTGCACTTTGCAACGACATTCCTTCTGTCCATTGGTTGACCTGAATTGTTGTGCATATGCCCTTTTCTTCCCAATCTCATGCCCCTGCTCCAGAGTTCAGCTATTGGGGGAATACAACAAGGTCACATTAGCTAAAGAGACCACCATATGGAGGACCAGGGACACCCTGCAAAGTCATGGCTAGTTAGCAACGGGTCACTGCAGCTGAAAGCCTCCAGGTTACGGCAGTGATTTACTAAATGGTTCATCGAAATGGTGCATTCAGAGGCTAAAGACATAATGTGGCACAGAGAGGGTTCATGTCTCTGTTACACGACCTTTACTGACTGAACTGCTAGTTTAAGAGTGCAAGACACAGAGCCTGCAGCTGTGTGAGTCTATACACAGACACTGTGGTCTATGATGTGAGGACAAACATTCACAGGTTTACAGTAAAACTGGCAGCATGCTGAATATTTAATTACTATGATAGCATACTAACATTTAAAAATAAGCTCTTTTCAATGGAGACCATATGAAGCCTACAAATGGAGGGACAGCATACTTACGAGCAGGCATGCTAAAAGGGCAATGGAGTCACATGCTGATACCTTACTGATAATAATACTGATAATAATGAAATACTTATGTCAGCATCCCTCTTCATCTTTTTAGGGAAAGAAAAAGGTTGAAGAACTAGTTTAACTCAGCGATTAAACTGCACAGCCCATGTACAGTGTAAGTACTAATGCTTAACATCAGTGTTACGGTTTACGTAGTGAACCTACTAAGTCAGGACTTTAAATAAATACAACAACCATCCTGGCATTTGACTGAAAGTCTCAAAGTCTCTTGATTCAAACAAATCATGAATTAATTTGCCAAGACTCTGAAAAACAAAATTGATGACTAGTCTTATACTGGTCTTAATTATCTTGTGTGCACAATATTCTTTTGTTGTGGCATGAGATCCTTATTTTGTGGGCACAAGATAAAACTTAGTAGTTTGTTGGAACTTGAGGGGGTCTATAGGATATCATCCGTCTCTTAAGTGTAATGATTTTACTTTAAGGCCTCACTTTAGTTCTTAAGGTGCTCAGTGAGCGTTTCATTCGGCTGCAAAGTAGATTTAAAATACCATGATCAAATGGCACGTGGCCACACAGCACTTCAGTGAAGGTGGCCAATCATCGAACGGCATTTGAGGCTCAATCAAGCACATGGCCGTTTAACTACATTTTTGCGTCGTAGACATGTTTAAGATGAGTTGATGACTGACACCCTCACTAAAACAACAGCCACTTTTTGTTTGTAGATTTCTGCGTAAAGGGGAGACACAGCCTCAGGGAGGAGGCTTACAGTAACCATCGCACAGACTGAAAGAGCTGTTTGAGCAGTGTTGCCCTTTAAATACGACGTAACGTGACGCAGATGCTTTCATCCATATACCCTCGTGCCTGTCCTCACGATGCAGCCAGCCAGCTCACCTCCTGCCTCCCCCTGGCCCAGCCCCCTTTGCTCCTCTCCTCTCCTCTCCTCCCCTCCTCCCCGGGTGTGTAAGCCACGATCACTGCTCCATCCAGCGGAGCTCTGGGCGAAGAAAACGCAGAGGAACAACTAAAAACAAGCGATGGAGCCACTAGAAGACTAACAGAGCGACGGGGAAGGGGGCCCAGGTAAGCGAGGCCTGGTCTTGTCATTGACAGCGCCAGTGTCATTGGCCGCGGCAGAGCTGTCATTTTGCAGAGGATGCGCCTTTGGAGTGGAGAGTGTTGTGTGCATCAGATACTACAAATAATACATGAATGGAGTAACCGTGTAGGGAATTTGTGAAGCGTGCTGGTTATTTACAGCCCCCTGTTTCTGCAGGCTGAAGCTAAGGCTAAGTCAGAGGCTGTGTGTTTATTTTGGTGCAGCTGATGGAGGGATGCTGCGCAGTGCGCACCGGCAGATGTTTATACGCCGTGTCATCGTGTGCGCCCATTATTTGAGCGTGTAACTCTTCAGGGCCTTTGTGCGTCATATATTTGTTGACAAATGGCACCAGCGTCATAAAAGGGTAGCTACTTAGCATTTTAGGCAAAGGGGAGAAAGTACACTGTGTTATGGACCCAAAGTAAGTGACATCAGTCGTGACAGGATGCTTGGCGCTGCAGAATGACCTTGCAGCCAGGGGCGCCATCAGGGATTTTCAGCCCAATTAAACAGTTTATGTTGGGCTCGACCATCATCACCATGTGCCTCACCAACTCTGTAATTTCTGACCTCTCTGGTATCTGTAACCAGAACCCAATGTACCCAAATGACCCAACACATGCAGGCATCACAGTCTCGTTTTGTCCAGCACCTTGGGTCCAATATTTACTGCAGTGAGCCATAGAAATATCACAGGGTGCACTCATGCTCTTAATATTCTTGATAACATCAGTGATAAAATTAAAGAAAGAAATTGCAACAAAAAGTTAATATGAATGTGACTTAAATAAACAGAGGGGTAAGTCAGTTTGGAGGCTTTCTTGATGTAAATAAAAAAAGGATATCAAGTTTAAATATTTCAAGAATGGTCAGGCTCTAATATTTCATTTGCATTGACTGTCACAGTCACAGGCTTACAGAAACTATCAAACTCTACTCTTCATACTACAGCTCTGCTTACAGCATCTATGTGAAGATAATGCTTTGGATCTGTTTTTTTAAATGCTGCAAATACACAGTCTTTATGAAACAAAGGTTGGATCAAATTGGCTTCTACCACAAGTTATTTCAACCCTAGTGACCTGTTTATTCATTTGACGTCACAGCTCACAGTGAGAGTCAAACAAAAACTGGACTCAAGAATGTTTTACTCCTGTCTTTACAATGTCTTTAAAGCATTAGACAGCAGATAAGTCACTCTGTATATAATCTCACTGTACAGAACAACTGATTGCATGCCCAACAACTTTGACTATGTATCGCTTCCCTGTGCAAAGCATTCTGGGATATGAAGTATGCAGACCTGTCTAGCAGCTCCACTTTTATCGTCTTTCCTTGAGTATGTTAAAACTATGCAGGTAAAGAGAACAATGATGGACTGTTTGGAAAATTAAGCAGGTTTCATAGAAAAAAGGACTAAATTCAGAGGGACCAGTGGAGGTCGGCAGCACATCTCAGGGCAAATTTGTCCCCATTGTTTGATTAATCCATTTGTAATTGTTTAGTTTTAAGTGGTTTCTTTGTGTATTATGTGTCTTTCATAGTCCTATTGGCTCTGTAACCTCCAGACTTGTTTGGTAATCCCTCAGTGCATTTTAGTTGCAATTTATTTATGAAGCTAAAAACAGTCTGCTGTTTCTAAAATTGGAACCACACAGAAAAGTTCAGCTCTGGTCACTTGTTCTTGCTGCAGCTATTTAAGTGAGACTATGTGGACCAATAACAAATATAACCATCAAATCAGTGCTTCCACTTCTTTGAAAGTGTTAATATCATCGTTTCATGTCTCATTGTTTAGCCTTTAATTCTATGGGAATAAACTGTCCATGTTTACTGAATGCTGCTCTCCCCTCCTTCTTATTTGGACTGCAGTTGTGCTGAGCACATGAGTTGCTCTTACTGCCCATAAAGAACAGCACACATTTATGTCAAAGGGGTTTAAGCCTGTATCAGCATGAGAAACACTTTAATCCCAGTTGTTTGCACTTAACATTCAAGAAAGATTGTGTTAATAAAGCTGAGTGGCTGTGAGGGAAAGAACATATTTATCAGATGATGAATTCATCATGTTATCTCATTCTCACGTAAATGTGTTGATTTGAATTTACATGTTTTTCCACATTATGTTTAAGAAAATGTATGCTTTAATGTAATTAAATGGCCTCTTGGACTCAGCAGATGCAAGCTCTGCACACGTAGCTGCAACACAAATCCCATTTTTTTTTTATGAGAGAAATTGTTAAAATGCTCAATCACTAGTTTGATGGCAGTTTCTTATTTATATAGCCAGAAAAAAATGGACTCTATATAGGCCTTCGTGTGTGGCTCTGTTGTGGTCACAAAAACCATTGAGTAAAATATTTGGCCAGCTTTTATCAGACTGCTAGTCAATGTGATATTAGACAATGATAAAACACTAGCTGGACTGTAATTTACAAGTGATTAGAGTGGACGTTTGTGTCCAAAGCTCTCTGGATTTCTGTGGTAATAACAAAGGAATCAGTGAGTCTGCGAGCAGGTGAAGCCTCCCCATTGTGTAAGTGTGAGGTATGAAGTACTTCATCTTGTTCTCTGATCAATGTTGCTGCGTATTCACACTGCAGAACTACTCTGATAAGCTTATGTAGGAGCACAGACTCTGCTCAGCCTCTCTGGTGCTCTTCTGTCACTCTTGTTTTCACTTTATTGAGAGTTGCAAAAACAATCAATCAATCAAATTTTATTTATACAGCACCAAATCACGACAGTAATTATCCCAAGATGCTTTCCAAAAAAAAAAAAAAAAGGAGCAGGTCTAGACCATGCTAATTTTTTGATGAATTACCAAGACAGGACAGATTTGACCCATCTCATCTAACATGACTGACAGTGGCAAGGAAAAACTTTCTTTTAACAGGCAGAAAGCTTGAGTGGGACCTAGACCTAAACACACTTTGAAATGGTACCAAATCTGACATTTGACCAGCTAGAGCACACCCACTAAGACACATATTTAGAAATCCAAATAAAATCAATTGATTACCTCACATCACCTTTAAGTTTACCTTGCACCCAGCTTCTAAACAAGTGGCATTTAATGCATTTTTTGCCTAATAAAACCACTAATATAATCCTTGATGCAGTGAGATATGTAGGTTGTTCAGATGTGGTGAAAATGCAATGCTACTCATTTCATGTGTGCATTACAAACACCATAAGTGTGCAGGATTTTGTTTGTGTTTGTGGAAACATGCATATGGATTTAATTGCAATGCAAACAAACACAAAACAACACATGAGCATCTGAGAGGAGCAGGAACAAGAGTTAAACTCAGCAAAATAACACCACCACCAATATTTCAACCTGTTGCATTTGCTCATTGTATCCCTCAGATAATCAAACTGACTTTGTAGAGGAAGGCTGACAGGGTAGAGTATTTTATATACTTGGATTAGTGATTTCTGAGTGTCTGCAAAAAGCTGCAAAAGCGTGAAACAAAACAATGTGCTGACTCATGCTATGAGGGTCCATGAATGTGCCTGCATCCCTGCAACCTGTGAGTAGCTGTTTCCTAAAGTTTTAACCATTTTGTAAGAAGCTGCTGGATGTATGACAGAGAGATAACAGTGCATATGTCAGTGCAGCAGTATCATCTTGAATGAGGCCTGATGTATAAAGACAGTGAAAGCGATTCATGTGGGCAGACTCGAGTCTCCTCCCACACAGTAATACCATGATTGTAGCTATTGATTTCCTGTTTGTGTCGATGCTCTTTGCTCGTCTTGCTTCTGTGAAAAATAGTTCACACAGACTATTAGCAGGATCACTTAGACTGCAGCACTCTGGCACGTTTTTTAATTGCTGCTGCTGGCCTCACTAATGACAAACTCACAGTGAAATATATATTTAGGGCTTTTGACCTGATTAAGATGATGAGTTTGCCCATCATCTCAGATAAGGGAGCAGAATGGATTATATCACATCAAGTCAGACCCTGTACATTTTACTCAGAACATCAGACAAATCGTGTCAAAACCAAACAGTGACCAAATATAGGGTTAAAATCAAATTAAGGTGTAAGAAAGTTGAAAAGAAGTCCTTATTACTAATACTAAATGCCTGAAGTTTAAGTTTTTTTTTTAAGATTTGGGAAAATTGCAATGTCAGGCTCTCCCCTCTCCTCCTCCTCCTTTTCTGTGTTGCGTTACTTTAAAGTCTAGTAAGGACTGTGATGTAGCTTTTTTTGCTGTGTGCTGCTGGATCCTAGCCTAGCCTGTCAGCATCTGCTGCAGCACTGTGGTGACTCTGCAGGACCAGCCTGATCTGTACACGCTGTGAAAACCGAAGTGTTGTTTTCATCCTGTGTTCACTGGGTAGAAATGTAATACATTTTCAGAGTAGGGTTGACTCTTCTGAAGCACAACCACGCTTCACACTGGTATGATTCAGTTTTTGGACTCTATGCCTGTATTTCCCTGTAAAAAGGAGACCTTGTTGTTTATGATTGTGTTATGATGTGTGGATTTATACTGTCACCAATTTGATTGATTGATTCACAGCCAGGACAGCCTTCAATGCAGTGACTAAATGTACCAGCATGCATTGCTGTTCCTTCTTTGTGACAAAATGCAAAGAACACATAACAACTTCATATTTTTCAGAGGATTGAAAGAGCCCACCAGACCCATCAAACTCAGTTAACCAGTTAAGATTCACAACAGTACGCCTCTTTTCTCCCTCAAGTGATTATCTTAATCAAAGGAAGATTTAAGCCTCACTTTCCAGTTCAAATCCACAATGAAAATCACTGAAACAGTGGGACTGAATGGGCAACTGTTGCTCTAATGCAGCCAGCTCCATCTGGCATCTCTGTGTTGTAAAATACTACAAAACACAGAGCCAGCCAGACCAGACACTACTTTTTTGGAGGCTGTTTCATCCACTGCATGGGAGTCAGTGGTAAAAGTAGAGGAGGTGGATTCAGAACCACTGGGTTCTTCTTTTTGCTGATGGGTAAAGGATACCCTCAGCATTCGATATGTGTGTATATTGTCCCAAAAATGAAGTAATTGAGTTCAGACTACTGAAACTAGACATTTAAAACGCTGTAAACAGGTGAGTGAACCTGGAGCCACACTGAATTACACTCATCATAGCCAGATAACTTATCAAGATAGTGTTGGATTTTATGCCGTATACATCTCCCTCAATCAGGCTAAAAATGGCTTTTGCATTTTGTGTGTGCTTAAATGTGTGTCTTGGTTTGTGGGAAGGCTTGACATCAATCCAACGCAGAGATTGTGCACATTGGCTCAAAAAAATGTCCGGAAGGCTGAATAAGTTTACCTCTTTCTCATCAGTTAAACATGCACTTTCAGAGGCTCCCCTCCTGTCTGCAAATAAAGTCCCCTCCTAAAACTTTGTTAAAGAAAAGTTTGCTGCCTTCTGGTCTAAGTGCCGCCCAAGGCCACTGCAATTATTTTTTTCTTTTCAAAGAATAATGTTACTTTCCAGCACAGCACTCATATGAAGAGTGTAGCCTTTTCATATACCTCTTTAAGAGTATACTCTTATAGAGAATACTTTTAAAAAGCTAAGCAGTACAAGCCAAGTATACAAATATGTATTACTATTGAAATACTTGCATACCAAAAGGTAATTTTAATTACAATCCAGAGTCAGCGTGCAGATAGCCGAGTGGATTTAAGTGTGCCCAATGTTGGGGGCTGTGGTCACAGGATTTGATTCCTGTCCTGACCATGTCATGCTGTATTAAATTAGTAAACTTTGTAGTACACTAAAAGTACATGGTAGTATACTTGATAAAGTTATATTTACACTCAAGCATACTTAATAAAATTATCTTTAAGTACACTACTTTTTGCTGAGGGATACCTCTTTTCCTGTACAACAGCCACTCCTAGATCTAAACAGTGGATCGTTAGCTTTAAAAACTCTGTAAAGGCCCATTCACACTAAGCAATCTGTACACATTTCACCCTCAATGTCTGGTTTTCTCCTCCATTTTCAAATATATCCTATCCACAGCAAAACCCAGAAGGATTGAAAATGCTCAGATAAGTATGCCAGACCAGAGGGTGGCAAAAACTAATAACCAAAGGCTGTAGGAAGACTCTGTGAGCATTTCTTTATATACAAACATAGAGATATTATGATGACAGCTAGATTTCCCTGCAAACGTAACTAAACTGAGTACCAAGCAGACATTTATCGGCAGTCATACTCCAAATTAACAACAATTTCCATGCCTAAGTTGAGATAGTGACATCAGCGTCTTTTAAGCTTTTGTTTCTGTCCACATGAGCACACTGACAACAGAGCTTTTTAAAAGCTCCACTTTTGAATGTGTTTTTGGAAACTATTTTAATTTACTCAGTTTGTATGAGAGCAAACGGCCAAAACGCAGAGAAAAAGCAACAGTTTTAAAAATACCTAAATACATGTGGACTGGGCCTAATAATTTATGGCATTATGTGGTGATGATGACGAATCTACAAGAGGTAACCTAGTTAGGCAAGGAGCAATGTGGGTGCAAACCAGCGAAGGACTTGAGCAGAGACTAACCAAGTACATAAATACTTCTCTTTACTCTTAATACTTATTGGTCTTGATATCTCTCAAGGTTTTCTGAAGTATAAGTGAAAGTAACAAAAGTAAGTAGTAAAAAAAATGTGTTTTTTATTGTTTTGTACTGGATGCTAGCTTAAGCACACTGACTCAGCACATTTTTAACTCCACACATTAAAAAATGAGCAAAAACACAAAGGGAAAGATCATGCACAAAGTCGGTTAAATACATAACACTGATCCATGATTCATTGTCTCTTTCTGATCTGGGTCCAAACACCAGACTGGCACTATGCTAAAAAAAGCCCCAGAGGCACTTAGGATGAGCAACAGTGGGCACATGAACACATGCAGGCCTACATATACATCCTCAGGGTTGATTGGGTTTTCTGGATTAACAGCAGTGACTCAGTGTTGGCTCCAGCAGCTGTCTGTAAACCTGTGTTTGCCAGCATTTGCTTGTTTCTCATATGGGAATGCACAAGGTGTTCACGGATACTCTTGAGCTTAGCTGATGTGAGTCATGCTTTCCCACTCACGCACACCTTCCCGAACCTGTCTTGATCGTTGGGGTACAAGTTGTGAGTTGCTTTTTGACTGCAATTTTGTCTCTCTTTTGTGTTTTTGCATCTTTCATTCAAGTACACACATACACCCCTGCACTAAACATTTGACTAAAGCTCGTATCATTGCAAACGGCAAGGACGGAGAAACTGCAGCATTTCCTCTGCTGCAGACACGAGGGAATTAACAAAGGGTGTGTGTGTGTGTGTGTGTGTGTGTGTGTGTGTGTGCACGTGCGCGGCAATGTCCCTTCAAACTTTTGTGTGTCATTTTAGCACACTGAACAAAATAGTGCACCACCTCCTCTTTTCATCTTATTAGCACCCCCTCCTCTATGTCTCTCCCCTACTTACCCCCCTTTAACCCCTTATCTCCCCTCCCTACCTAGTCTGTGTTTCTGTCATGTCAGCACTGACGCTGCTTGCTGATGACCTCACTCAGGATGCGTATGGCTGGTGAAAGTGTTACATAACAGGCCTAGCTTCATAAATCCTGCATGATGTGCTGTCATGTGGTTTGATCTGTAGTGACGGTGGATAGAAGTGGAGAAGATGCCGCCTGCTCCGTGAGATTTGAATATTGTCATCCCAGTTCAGGGAACGACAAAGTTACACAATACAGAAAGAGCCTTTATGTCAGGATTTTTTTAGCTGTGCAAAGAGAATTGTGTGTGATCCAGGAAAAAAAATAACAGGAGATTTTATTCAGTCTTTGTATTTGCATACATTTCTTCTTATTATTATTATTTTTTTCAATATGTGAAAGGTATTATTCTGTTTCCTCTCCTGAAGCTTTAATTGCAGAGTGCATAAAAAAACAGAACAAAGGGGGAATTAGTATGAAAAAAACAAGCTATTCCCCTACAAAACCCTCAGCAAAATCAACACGAGCAAAAATAAAAATAATCCATTATTATTGTAACATGATCATTCCAGATGGTCACCTCTGTTACTGGTCAGCGTGTGATTTGTGTGTTTCGTGCAAAAAACCTTGTGCCTTAAGCAAGAACGAGGATTAAGGATGAGGTTATTAAGTACAGACTTATTGTGTGATGGAAAAAAGGGGCAAATTCAGAGGTAAAGCATGAGACAGAGGGATTTTTTTTTTTTTAATAAAAACTGGATTCTGCATCAGACTAACAGGAATACTGACAGTATAATTTAAGGTAAAGAAGCCGGAGTTTTTAACAATTAATTTTCCAAATGAATCCCTGATGTCTTTGTGAGCATCTCTACACAATTATTCAGGCCTAAAATCAAGTGAATACGATACTGATTATGGCAAAGCAGGTTGGCTGATATTTAGTGCTGATATTCACTGTTTTTTTCTTTTCTCTTTTTTGTTAATTTGTCAATTTTTTGCAATTGAGAAAGCAAGTACTGTAACAAATTGAAAAAAAATTGCTGAAATTTAGTGAATATTTATTCACATTAATGTGAATGGAAAACTACTCAGAACTTTTGAACCTAAACTTGTTGAGAATGAACAATAACTCAAGTGAATAGATATTGAAGGTTAAAATAAAACAGAATCATTATTTAATACACAGTAAAATCTAATATAAATGGTTTTCTTAGCCAGTACTATATTTTCAATGCATTCTTAATGGATCAATGGAAAGATATGTTGCTAAACAAGGCCCGCATTTCTGTCAATCCTAAATATTACAATACAATACAATACTTAAACACGTCAATGACTATTTGTGGTTTAATATTCTGTTAATAAATGGATAGATATTTAACAAATATGATGGTGATATCGGCCTTGTCAGGATCAAACATTTTGCTTAACAAAACTCACAAAACAGGATAATCCAGCAAGATAATCTGAATATTAGTCCTGTTCAGACTTGTGTCAGAAGAGAGGATTCAGGACAAAAAATCAGTGTGATAATCCTGCATTGTGCTCCCCACTTTAGGACCACATCAAGTAAAAAAGAGAGTTTTGAGGAAAAAAGTGATACATTTACAAGAATTAATTCATAAATTTAAAAGATTAAAGGTGTTACCTAACTAACCATTTTCTTGACTACACTATCATTCTTAACTTGGAATCAGTGCTTATCTTCGTAGGCTGAGTGGTGGAGCTCCCTGGTCGTTGGCGTTTCCCTTTAAGACGAAGACTGTGAATGTGATGCAGCATGTTCCCACAGACACACACACTCACAAAGACACAGCTCCCATCTGACCATTCTTTTGAGACCACTCCAAGCAATGATGCTGCAAAATTACCAAAAAGAAACTGCAGAAAGACTAAATAAAAGCTCATGCAAGAGTGAGCTCTGTGTTACACACAGGATGTGAATAAATAACCTGTTATTGAAGTGAGGCAGATGAGCGAGAAGAAAATATCATTTCTATTACTCCAGCTGTATCCTCATTTTACAGACAGTAGGAGGAGAGAGGACAGATTTTTGGAGTCAGTCAGGGTTGGCGGAGGTTCAAACACAGCATGCAGGAAGGTGACCTTAAACTGAAGCGTGCATTCATACGCACGCACAAATCTGCCCCTAAAGAGCTTATGAACAGTGTAAAAATTCATTATTGACATCATTAATCCTCCTCTTCCCCTCAGTTTACTCCTCCCTTCTTTCCACCTTTGTGAGGTCACTGACAGGGATGATTATTAAAGGTTGATGAGACACTCTGTCCTCATCTCACCGCATCCACACCGCCACGTGTGTGTGTGTTTGCGTGTGAGAGAAGAGAGTACTCCAGGAGGCTCATGGGAGCTCTCACACATGTGGAGAAGTACACTGTACTGAACACACTGATGTCTGTCCTTATGTTAAGATGCAGTTGCAAATGTCAACTCCCCTCTCTCTGGTACTTGGCCTGAGATAAGACAGGTGAGTGATGATTGGTTCATTCTCCTTGATGCTCAGGCTCTGATTGGCTGCCTCAACTTGATGTTCGGTCTTTGCCAGCCAAGTGTCAGCTTGATTCTGCAGCACCATGTTGAGTGCTGAGGCATCAGGAGCCAAACACACACTGTCAGCAAAGCCAGTGTGTGATAATGACCTTAATAAACCCCTGTTTTTGTCACTTTCTCAGGCTGTCACCGCTCTGTTGACCTCTCACTCTTCTCTTGGTTGTCTGGTTGTGTCTGTTTTTTTCCCTCCAGGCTCTCAGTGTTGAGCTGAAGGAGACAGAGAAACTGAGGACAGAAGGAGCTTGAGGAGCTTCAGCAAGAGGCTGTCTGGCCCCATGTCTGCCCCTGCACCAGCCAATAGGAGGACTGGGTTGGGCTCACGTCGGTAGGTAGTTCAAGAGGCTCTGTTACCAGTGTTTCTGTATTGTCCTTTACATTTGAGAGTGGGGTATTTAAAAGAAAACCTTCATTTAGGAAGTGTGAAAGGAGCAGGGCCTCTTTTTAACAAGCATCTCAGTATTAAGTGTCCCATAACTGCGGAGGTAATGCCAGTCTGACTTTTCAAATTAAAAGTATTACATATTCATGATATGAGTTTATTTCTGTCTTTGCTGGTATTTATTTTTTAATGTTAGAACTTGTGCAGGGTCCAGAGAAAAATGATACTTCTGATAGTGAGTAGTGTCGGTTTCAACCACTATTGCATTAATAATAAGCCACATTTTTATAGCTATTTGTGTCCTCAGTACTTGACAGATTCATTTCTTTTCCATGAGCTGCATCTTATTGATCAGACTGAGAAGACAGATAAGGTTACACCTCAGGAATACCTACATTGTCCTGGGCAGTGAAAGAGAGGATGCTCCAAATGGAAAATCCAAGAAGCTACATTTCCAGTTCAAAACAAAATTTGGAGGCTGTGATAAAAACTGATTTTGATGGTTTGTAAAAAGGGAACAAAGAAGACCAGTTTCTGGAGTTCTTGAAGTGAAATGTTCCTTCATACTTGTCTCATGAAGAATTTCAGTCTCTTTTGACCTGTTCTATTTTTTTCTGACATGATGCACTAAATGCTTTAAGATTTCAGACATGTCTGGACTGCAGACTAGTTGAGCTCCTGGACTCCTCTACTACAGAGCCATGCTATTTTAGTATGTGCAGATTGCAGCAGGTCTTCCTGAGGATGGCAGCACATGTTGCTCCTAAACCTATTAATATTCTTCAGGATTGACGGCACCTTCCAAGATGTGCAACCCACCCATGCTATGAACATCTGTACATCCCCATATCTTCATGGATGCTGGCCTTTGAACTACACACGAATAACTAGCAAGGTGTAATATTCGGCATCCATGATTTCCCAAAAGAACTTCAAAATTTAACCAAGCCACCAGCACTTTGATATCGTGTTTACACATGGTCCTGACATTTCAATTATGCCACTGTCGACTTTCTAAAACCTCTAAACTCTAAAATCCAGTCTCTCTCCTCCTAAAAGTTTGCAGTCTTAGTTTAGGTTGAAGCACAAACCCAAGGAGGGATTCTGAGAAGCTTGATAAATACAGGCCCAGATACCAGCTGTACAAGTAGGAGTCCTGGAGGATGGGCTCTGATGCCACAGCTGTTTTAATACTTTCTTTTCTTTGCTTTTGTTGAGGCTGTCTGCTGGGTTCTTCTGTAGTTTAGTTTTGTTACTACTTGACTGTGAAACTCTGACAAAATCTCACTGGCAATAGTGCACTTTGTTTGTAAAAGGGTTTGTTTTATTTTGTTTATGTGTACAGCATTACTGCTCCTTGTTTTTAACACTTTCTGAGCATAATTTCATTTAATTGTTCCAGATGTTATATGTCTACACCACCTTTCAATCAAGGACATGTTACAAACAGTTTGAATTGATTTGGGGTTGCCAGGTTAGTCTTGAGACTCTGGCCGGTGTAGAAAGGGGAATCCTCCACAATAACAGAAGAGTTTACAGATGACTGTTTTCCTATCAGCCTTATATTAATTAGGGAAAGTGTAATCTGAAAATTAAGGACTTGTTGGGGGTTATTTTTGTTAAATTTATCCATGTCCAATGATCGTTTTTGCTAAAAGCAGCTAATTGAGGTTATCCTAACTTTGATCAGAAGGTCCTATGTGTGTGAAAATGCACTGTAGGCTTGTGGCATCAGATTTTTCAGCTGTAATGCAAAATAATCAAGTCTTGCCAAGTGTTTACATCAAATTTGTAACAAGAAATGTCTCATTAGATTTGACAAAAAAACACATGGACACAAACACCCAAAAACCACATTTTTTCCCTACCATCAGCCTGCTTATTCCACTGTATGGCTTATATCAGCCACAGATATGGCGGTGTGGATGCAGGCCAATAAAAGGTCCCATGGTAAATAGTTCTCAGGGAACACTTGTGGGTTTTTAAAGAAGTTTGATGGTGTGTTTGTCCAAAAAACAGCAGAAAAAGACCTTATTTCTGGCCTCTGATGGAAAGTAGACTTGTGCACTTTGAATTAGAATGGTGTGCTTCATGTTGTACCCCAGATTCAGACACAAGTTCAAAATTGCAAAACTCTTGTTCTAGAATGCAGGAACTATTGTAAAATTCAGATCAGTAAGTAATAGAAAATGTTTTCATGTTTCAAATTAACAATGTGAGAGTTTTCTAAACCTGGCAACCCAAAAGCTCCAATTCATATTTTAAAGCCCTGAAATTATGGATGTACATCCTGAACCTGTTATAAAAGGGTTTCATGTTAGATGGTGGTACCTTGAACCCTTCCCCAGCTCCCCTTTGTCCTCTCCTTCTCTATTGCGGTCAAGGGGGGTGGTGTCACCATGGAACCCCAGTTTGTGTTTGTAGTATTCAGTCAGCTCTAATGATCCTAGTGGAGGAGCTCGGATAGTATTGACAAGATGATGGACTTAAACAGACTTGATGCCGTCTCCTTGGCTAAAAAACAGCGAGTTTACTAAACCTGAGCACAGTTTATTGAGTGTGTTAACGTGTTTTTCTCTTACAGCAAATGGACTGCCTTGCCTGCTTTAAAAGATAAGATTGGGCGATTTAGGTTTTATGGTCTGTTGGGTGTAGTGATGACTTTTTTCACATCTAATATTCTCAAGTCATCTTGCCACAGTCGGATCCAAAAGTTGTAGGTGCTGTTGAGCTACAGCAGGTTAAATCTGCAGCTGTGGTGTCTTCCTCTCTCCTGTCTTTTCCTCAGATTCAACCCTCTGAAGGCGCTGCAGCCAAAACGACGCTTGCAGCAGATGCTTGCGTCCTCGCCCGTCCCGGTGCCGAAGCCGGCGTCAGGGTCTGGGTCGGGGACGGCTGCATCAGGGGCCACAGCGCCAGTGGCTGTTCCTGTGCCCGCGCCCCCTGCGTGAGAATCATTTCAATTAACAGTCTGAGATAGCATGCTCTGTAGCTGTAGCTCCAGCATGCACCAAAGCCACTGAAACAGCACACAGGCAAAAGTTATGCCACCTGTTTCACTGAGACATGGTTTTCCCTCCATTTTACATTGAAAGTTTGCCAAACCTTTCCCCAACCATAGTTTTGCAAGCTGGGTAAGACCCTGATCATGCATATGGCACAAAATGAGGTTTTAGCTATGAAGAACATATTTACGAAGCATCTTCACAAGTATTTTTGTGTGTAACAGAAAAGCCAAAACTTAAGATGCTTGCAGCAGATACTTGTCCTTTTTGTCAGCTACAAGCATGCTAACAAACAAGGCTAGTCTGAATTTATAAGACCTCCTTTAATTTCTTTAAGGCTAGCTCTGCTTAGGATGAGGCCAACCTGGTCCCATAAAAATTCATGGATATGGCTCAAAGTGTTTTAAGTTAAAAGTTGCTCTTAGTATAACTCCATTTGCACACTGCCTCATCAAGTGGAGAAATCCAAAGCTTGACATGCCAACTTAACTTTAATTGGCCGATCAATTTCTCCAGGTTGGGTTTAGTAAACAGTCAGTATCTGCAGTTCCTCCCTGCCTACCTAATTTATAGAGGGTGAAACATGAAGTGTTAATTCAGAGGTTGAAGTCTCATGCTACGTTCCAGTTACCTCAGAAGTCAGATGTTGGAGCTGGGAATGGCATTACAACCGAGTTGACAGCATTTCAGTAAACAAGTCGGAAATCAAAGATGGACGCCTAGTGTTAGCCATTGTTAGCTGTCGATAGCCATTGTCAGTTGTTGTTGTTAGGGGTTGTCAGCTGTTGTTAGTTGTTGTTGTTAGCTATACCAGTTGTAAACAACCCATAACACAGTATTTTACTCTTACAAACTCCATAGCACCGTGTTCACAGTTAGATGTTGGGCAGTACGACATATACCACTTCTTTAATTTCACAAAAACAAAACAGAAGCGCTAATAAATAATACATTACGAGAGCTTTCACTGTTACTCTTTACTGTTGACGCTCTTGTTGATGCCATCTTGGATTATGACATCATCAAGTTGGGGTTAGTGAGGATTGTCCGACTTTCTGAGTCAGAAATCTGATGTCAGGGGGGAGTCCTAGATAAATTTCCAACTCGGAGCTCGAAAATCCCAACTTCCAAGTACAACTGGAATGCATCATCAGTCCCTTTATAAATAACATGAAAACAACACCTAACACAGATCCTAACTTGAGCTCTCAGCGTCCTTCAAACAAAAGCATACTTACCATCACGTCACAGTATTTTTAAGTCTATAGACACTCTGGAAGGCAAAAGAGAAACCCTGATCTATGTAGGGCTGTGGAGGCACACTGTGATCACAAGCTGTCCCCGGTGTAACACAGCTGCTCAATCAACAGCACCACGAGTCTCCTCTTTTACACTCACTAACCAATTTACAACCAGGAGGCTAATGAGACATCGAAGAAGGAAGTCCTGAACAGTTTCAAGCCCAACCACACTGTGGTAAATCTGGTGAAAGGCAACATGAATAGTTCTTAACTGACTGAAACTGATAAAGATGCCTTCTCCAACAAGTCTGATTATTTCACTGCAGTAATTTTTAATGTTTAAAATGCTAGGGACGGGCGGGCTGGGGGGGTGAGTGTCAGACCAGATGATTGACAGCAGGTTGAAGAAACAGCTTTTTGAATTTTTACACAGCACAACACTCACAGTGAGCGATACATTTCAGCTTTTAGGGACAACAGGATCAGGTTTTTGTCTGAAAACACAACTTTTACATGTAAGGAACTAAAGGTAGAAGGTATCACTTTGTCCATATGGGGGACCAATACCAACATAAACCAAAATTTCCTCACAGCAGCTTTAACACCCACAGACAACCAGTTAAGGCTCAGGCTCTGAACAGTTTCCTCAGACATATACTGAATTTTGTCACCACACAAGTCAACTTAAGTTACTCAGTTGGACTTACAAATAGTCGCATGCACACACTACAAGGAGCCAGCAAATTTCCAAAATGGTATATTAAACAGTTTACTGCAAGCAGAACAAATTAGAGATGTTAAAGTGGCTTGTAGGCCTGCTATGGCAGTATGATCAGGATAAAGTCAGTTATTTAACAGATCAATTAAAGGATGCTGAAATAAATAGATCATGATGAAGTTCAGTCTTGTTTACAGTGACAGAGTAGAGAGAGAAGCTCAAAATCTGGCAACTTAAATAAACAGCCAAACTGGAAGTCATTGGAAGTGCATGCCAAGTCACCTAGCAGGTGTTCAAACATAGAGGCATGCAAGCTACGTCTAAACAGCAGTTTTTTTGACCAGACACATTAGAAAGACTCAAAGTATTTGCACAACTTCACCATTCACTACTTCACCCTCTCAAATCAGCCCCTGACTCATGGGCAACACTCAACTTCTACAGCCCACCTCCACCAGACAGTTAACCACCTCTCACAGTCTAGACAACACTGATGGGATGTTGGATGGTTCACTCAGCCCCTCTCCAGGCTCACTGCTTCAGCTTCCCTCTGCCTGTCTCTGTTCAGTTCCCACCTTTGTCATATATTGATCTCTTGGGAACCACTGAGTAGTGATCAATATCTGGCCTTCTCCCTTACTGAATCACACAGGACATGTAAACTCTGCAAAAGTCTTGGAGTTGCAAAAGAAAAGAAGGTTTTAGACCAACATGTAAGATGAAGGCTTTGTTTGGTACAGTCAATTTGCTTCATTTTTTTCAGGTTGGTAGTGTGGGAAAAAGGTGAGAACCCAGATGCAGATAATCAAAAATGACTGGTGCCATGCAGTATGAAGCACAAAACAAGGCTGCAATGTCTGTCAAATGAAGGGTATGCAAACATCTTTGGAGCACAAAAAGCTGCAGGATAAATTTAACAGGTCTGAAAAACAACAAGAAACAAATAGACAAAGATGCCTTTGAGTCACAGCTGAAAGAAAACAGAAGAGCTCAAACGAATTTAGAAGCTCTCCTCAAAATCTCATTAAGCAAGATTTTCCTTTACAGTGTCAAGTCCACAGTAAAACCAAGAGCTTTCATGAACCAACAAGCATCAGCATGGTAATCTGTTTGATATTAACTCAGCGAGGGAGGACCCGAAAGCAGAGTGTCAGATGTGTTTGATTCAAAGAAAAAGACTCACCGTAATTGAGTCTGTGGGAAGCAGGAAGGAGTCAAAGATCTGGAGAAACAGTGTGTAAAAACTACAATAAAGAGGTTCACACCACAAACAAGCTTTGAAGATGAAGTGGGATTTCTAACACTGAGTAAACGGAGGCGACAAAGGTAATCAGGCAAAGGAAAGGTGGGCGACAAAATGAAAGAGGAAGTACACAACAAGAAAATACACAAAATATAATTAAGACTAGACAGATGTTTTCTCAGTGGTTAATGCCAGAGCTTTACATGGTAAAAAAAAAAAAAAAAAAAAAAAAAAAAAAAGAGGGGTAAAATACTGTCCTTATTCAGGTGTATATTGTGCAGCCAGTGTCCCTAAGTCATCAGTTATTGACAGACTCAGTCTAAGTAGTTAAAAAAGATTTTTTCAGTATACCTTTATTGAAAAAAGAAAAAGAAAAAACTAGTTCAGCGTCAGTTAAGTTGGCTTTGGAGAGAGGAAGAGATCTTTACATAGTGTGTTTGGAGAGGACAGGAAAGGGTAAGAAGTCCTGGTACCCAAAAGGGGTTACATCCAGAAGTGAGGTATTCTGCACACTGGGGCGTCGCAGCTCTCTTAAAGCACCAGTTAGCTCTGTTGAATGACTGAGCTGAGTGTGAGGATGATTTGAAAAATCACAGCTTGACTTGTTCAACAGAGAGCCTGAAGAAAAAACAGTTTTTCAATATGTGAAAGTTTAATTGCAAAGTCAGAACATTCTTTTTTTTTTTTTTTTTTGAGACAAAGCCTAAAATTTTAAATACTGCATTTGATCAGTTAATGATACCGATTTTTAATCTCAAAGAACCCATCAATAAAGATATATATAAAAACAACATTTAACCAGCAAATCTGAACTTTGCATTCTGTATAAGTTTTGACAATGAAGAGGGAGTCATGCATCTTTGTATTAGTATGTTAAGATATAGCAATTAGTTTTTAACACTAAACACATGGATTATCTCCTTGGAAGCACATAAAGACGGTTTGACTTTCACTTTCATTTGATGATAATTTTAGGAGATCAGTCCATATATGACCAAAGATGTGAAGTAATTTCATGTTACCTTTTTTAAACAACAGCTAAATAAAATACACTGAGCTACATGCAACTCTGAAATCCTCATGTCCTGTGTGAAATCCCTCCTTGGCTGCTCAGACTTACCCTGCTTGTCTCTTCCTCCTCCCTTTGCAGAGACCGGTGATGGAGCAACAGCGATGTCCTGTTAAAGTGACAGGTCATTGCTGCTTCACTCACTGTCATTGAAGATTCAACGTTGTTGTCTTTTGTTATCAACAAGCAGTGTCTTAGATCACCCTTCTTCCTAGAACAAATGACTTCAACTCTCTGTGTGTACATAACCATTGATTTCCTCAACAGGATAGAGGCAGAGGGAAAGATAAAAACATACGGTTGTTTGGGGTTTTTGTAAATATGGTCTCAAAGGTGATTTTTATTTTTTTTTTTAAATGCGTCAATTGTCTGATGTTTATTGTTTTTTTAAGAATAGTTTGGCTTGGTGAAAATGGAGTTAGTTGTGGTTTTTGGAAAGAGTGGGAGTAAGGTCAATGGAAAGCATCAATCAGACAGTTTGCTTAGCTTAGCATAAAGACCAGGAGTAGGGGGCCTCAATTAAAAAAACTCTAAATCTACCTGACAGCACATCAAAAGCAAAAAATCAAACAGAAAAATTCACAAATGTCCACTTCTCATATGTTGTTGTGACACTCTTGCTTCTCCAATAGTTGAACGGCCTCTTGGCTGGACATTAACCCCAGACTTCCAGCCTTTGTGCTGAGCTAAGCTAACTGGCTTTTGGATCTTGCTTTACACTTAGCAGACCATGATTAGACTGGTGTATTTCATTTCATTAAACTCTCAGCATTTTGAGTTGGATGTTCCATCAATGTGCTTTGATTGTGTTGAATGAAGTTGTCTTCAGTTGGCTATATCATTGGCCGAGGGGCAGTGAGTGACTTTTATTATAGTTAGCCACAAGTGGAGGCTAGTATACGGAAAAAAGGCAGACATCTTTGTGGTGCAGACTGGCAAGAACACTGGTTAGCCCAAGAGGTTTGATTGGTCCATACTGACAAAGACTGGACGGGTGAATGGATGCTTGAACAGTGTCCTCTGATTTTAGCTGTTTGATTGAGCTTTTACTTGTGAAAGATATGTTACTGTCCTCTTAGACCTATATGTTTGTACAGATGTGTCAGTGGTTGATTTCACAGAACAAGAAAAGGTGTGTTTGAGGTGAATTCTCTAGATTCTGAGACACTCCTTCATAAATGCTGATCAGCGATGCTAGACCCACTGTCTTTCAGGATTTGTGTTGATAGAAGTTGAGCGCTAGATTGTGATCTGTGCCAGCAAACGCCTCATGTGAATGTAGATGTTTGATGCAGGAAGCTGAAGAGAGCAGCAACTGTTAAAGGCGTGCTTCCTGTCATAATGCTTTTAGGAAGCCATCTCTCTCAGGCACCTTTAGTGTTTGAGTGCTTGTTGATATTGAGCTTCCACCTGCCCTTAAGCTAGGCTCTGGATGACTCAGGTGAATCCTAAGACATGCTTTGTCTCATACAGTTTGGTCTCACCTTAATAATACATTGTGCATCCATGTGTAGCATGCACAGAGTATCATTCTGGTGTTGCCCTGTAGTGTTTTCTGTAATTTAACACTCTGTTGTCTCTGCCTGGTCAGGTTTGACTACTGCAGGTTCATAGAACTAGACTACGTCCCCATGGAGACAGGCTATATGGTGTCAATGCGGCCCACAAAAGGCTTGACATCAACAAAGTCACCAACCAAAGGATACACTTCCACCAAGTCTCCAGATCGCCACAGCCGCTCCACAAACTCCCCCTCAACCCCTAGCTCCCGGTCCGTTCTGGGTTCCTCCTCTCTCCTCCTGAACAGTGTGAACTATCCAGAGCATGGGGATGATGAGACCATTTGCATTGTTGTAAATGTTTCATGTTCCATTAATAACCACATTAACCCTGTGACCAGTTTCCTCTCATGCCATGCTAACTGTGGGAAGCTCAAATGTTACTGTAGGGTCCTGCTGCTGTATCCCAGGTTGCTAAATGTAGAACACACAGAATTATAACAACCTCTGTCATATTAACACCTCTTGACTTATCAGGAACTGAAATAAAAACAGACACTTTTGTAGAGAAGATAACAATCATGACTTCTGTTGAACTTCAGGGTCAACATACCTGTCTTATTCTGTCATGTAAGACAATGAAGTTGACCCAGAAGTGGTGAAATGCTAATGCTAATTTTAGCTGCAGAATCTTTGCTGTCTAATGTAAATTTAATTGAATGAGGCAGTAAAATCATAATAGTTGATCAGATATAGTATAGATATATAATCCAAATCTTCAACACAGCAGAAACTTTCTTTGTTGTTGAAGAATTGAGCTTCCCAATTCGACTTTGACAACACCAAAGTTTTATTTTTCCATGCTGTAACATTGAACCATAAAGTCATTTCACCTTCTACGTCCTCCAGATACCCAATACTTTTCACCAAACTCATGCACCTACCAACTCTTTTTTTTTTTAAGAGGAATGCTTTGTGCAGTGGTCCACTTTGTTTTGAGTTTTTGGTTTTCACCTTCTCATTTTGAAAATGTAGCATTGCTGTAGACCACCAAAGCCATGTCTTGTTTCTGAGACAGAATTACAAACTGTCATCAATGACTTTGGCCTCAGTATTTGTATCTGTGTTTGCGTATTCTGAGCATTTCTGTGTCGTGTTGGCATGTTGATGGACTTGGGTTGATATTGATTTGTCAGATTTGTGGTCTTGTAACGTGTTGTGATGGTTTTGATCAACAGCTCACTGAATTCACAGTCACCTCTTTGCCTGCACTGTGGTTTGATGGTGTGTCCAGGAACAGATTAACCTGTATCTTCTCACTCTGAACCAGGCGGACACCTGCCCCGCCCAGTAACAGAGATCCCTATGGCAACACCTCCCTTAGCAGCAGCAGCAACTCAGGCTCATGTAAAGGCAGCGACTGCAGCCCAACCAAAGGGTAAGGGGGGAGGATCTGGAGAGAAGGTTATCTCATCCAGTGGTAGTCTTAATTTTTTGCCACTTTAAACAATTGAAATGGATCCTTAAATTAAATCAGTTTTGTTGGACTACAATCATGCCGACACTAACTGCTGTGAGAAGAAGCTTTAAATACAGACTGATCAAACTTCAAAATTTCTAACTCATGCTGACTAAAACACACATTTAACTTTCCAATAAAACAGCAAACACCCCTTGCGTCAGTGCAGCCCACAGCAGAACAGGTTCAAGAGCTGGTTAAAAGGGATATTCCAGCGTGAATTTAAGTTATGGTCAAGCACACCGTAACACGAGTTAGACACCCCCCCGAGAGATGAATGTTGCCGACTGCTTGCTTCTCTATTTATACCAACTTTAGTAATGACTGCATGATAGCAATACACAGCAGTCTATGTCTCCACGAGCAAACCTCAACCAAAAAGTCACTCTTTAGCCACAAATAATGCTCAGAACAGCACCTAACTTCATCAACAGTACATATAGGTTCCCAACCATAGTACTAGCCATCAAACATCTTTTTATCTTTGCCTGATTTCTGTAGCAAAGTGACCAAACACAACTCACCTACTCTCCTCCAGCAGCCGCTTGTTTGTGGGGGAGCCCCAACGAGTCGATCACCGAGTACAGCGGAAAATTTATGATTATTATTTTATTTAAATGCAATCAGACCGAGATGCTAAGGCAAAAGAACTACTGTGTCTGCAGTGCACATAAAGGATACACAAAAACTCTGATTGCATTTCCATGAAATATTAAATGTTTTTCCTTGAGCTGCAAAACTTCACTGCACTCGGTGGTCGACTCGTCAGGGCTCCCCCACAAACAAGCGACTGCTAGAGGAGAGTAGGTGAGTTGTCTTTAAACAATTCTATTCATTGAAAAGTCATGTCAGAGCACCATCGATCCATCTTGTCCCATAATAACACACATGTTTTTTAGGTCCTGTGTTAATGTAACTGACAATGCATCAAGTGTGAACATAATGTTGTAAACACACCTCTAAAGTGTAACAATTACAAGAACTTGAAGATAATCTGATTTTTTTTTGGTCCTAGACGTCATAAAAAGTACATGTCATGTACAGAAAACCATGGTATCCGCCCCCCTCCCCCAGAGCAGTACCTCACACCTCTCCAACAGAAGGAGGTGTGTATACGACACCTGCGGGCCAAGCTAAAGGAAACTATCACCACCCTGCAAGATAGGTGAGACAGAGATGATGAATAGAAGCCAGGAAGTTCACACACACTTTGACTCACTTTCCCTGTTCACTTCCTGCTCTACCTTTTCTCTCTCCCATTTTCACTCCCTCAGGGACACAGAGATCGATGAGCTGAGGGGCCAGCTTTACAGGATGCAGGAGGACTGGGTTGAGGAGGAATGTCACCGTGTCGAGGCTCAGCTTGCCCTGAAAGAGGCGCGTCAAGAGATCCAGCAGCTCAAGCAGGCTGTGGACACCGTCCGTGCCCGGCTCAGTGAAGCTGGGGGGCTAAGTGGGGATGTAGGGGTCCAGAAGTACTTTCAGGACATCAACACTCAAAACCACAAACTTGAGAACCTTTTGCTCAACATGGAGCTAGCCCAGGCAGGATTAGCCAAAGAGGGGGAAGCAATGCAGGGCCATCGGATCCGTGTTGGCGGTTCAGCACCAGCGTCCGTATCAGGGGAAAGTCCAGGTGGAGTTTCCAAACCTTCAGTAGGGGGAAGGGGGTCTTGCTCTTGTGATGGTTCCCCAGCTCGTTCTTTGACAAGGAGCTCCACCTACACTAAACTGAGCGATCAAGCACTGGCAGACAGGAACGGCAATGGTCAAGACTTTCCTTGTCTTTCAGGTGATGGTACCCAGGACAGCGGCATCGTGTGTGGGGAGAGCAGCGTCCCCAGCCGGGCCGACCTGCTGCTAGAGGCTGCTTTCCTCTCTGAGGAAACGGCATCGTTACTCAACTCATACACTCAGACCTTCTCCCACTCTCTGCCCATCTCCCTGCCCCACTCCATGCCTAACTCTCTGCCTCACACTTTCTCCCACACCTTACCTCACTCTTTCCCACACAACTTGTCCCACTCTGTGCCCCACGCTATGCCACACTCAGCTACCTATGACAATGTGTGCACAGGTGAGCGAATGGCACCGTTTCGCTGTGGCCTGAGTGGAATGGGCTGTATTAGCCATCCATGCCTCTCCCACCACCACCTCTACCTGCACCCCCTGCGGGAAACGGGCATCCAGACAGAAAGTTGTCCCATCCCTGCTACTGCAGGTTACCCCTCTGATCTGGACACCATCGCAGAGCAACGCACTTTCCGCTCCCAGGCTTGCAGCCCCACCTCCACCTGGATGTCAGACGAGGGGGAGGAGGAGCTGGACTCTATTACCACCACGACTTCTGTGACCACGGCAACAGTCATGAGTACGGCTACAGAGCCAATCCCGGTCTCCAGAACACCATCAGTCCCACTTTTGCCTCGGTCTGCAACTGTAGCATGTTCCTTGGAAAATCCCCTGTGTATGGAGAAAGATGAAGAAGAGGAAGAAGAGGAAGAAGAAAAGCAGGAGAACGAGAAGAGAGAAAAGGAAGCTCCTACAGCAGAGATCGAGGAGAAAACAACTGTGATCAGGATGGAAGAAGAAAGTCAAACCAGCTTAGAGGGAAGGAATGAGGGGGAAGCTGAACATGCAATAGTGAATGTTGCTCCAGTCAAAAGGTGCGACTCATCAGAGACATCTGAAGGCACACAGGGTGAGCTCAGGTTTGGAGGATGCTGTGGAGAGGGCAGGGTGAGTGGGACAACAATAGGAAGCATTACATCAGAAGAAAAGCAGCAAGAAGTTGGTCTGCAAGCAGGATCATCCCAGGTAGAAACAACAGAGCCCAGTCCCAGTCCTCCAGGGTTATCCCCAAGTGTAGAACAGACTCCTCACACCTCTCAGCCCCGGAGCTCCACTTCCCACATGGAGATAGCTGGTGTCACTGTGGTGGAGGTCCATGATGAGGACAACGATGAAGATGAGAAAAAAGAAGATAACACAACAGGGGGCGCTGCAGCAGAAGGAGGTGATCCACCCGATGATGGGACGATACAGAAAAGCTACTGGAGCCGACACTTCTTGGTCGATCTGCTGGCAGTGGCCATCCCTGTGGTCCCCACAGTGGCCTGGCTGTGCCGTGGTCCGGTCCGCGGTGGACAGCCAATGTATCATATAGGGTCGCTGCTTCGAGGCTGTTGCACTGTGGCGCTGCACTCACTGCGCAGAGGAGGTGGGTTAAGGCATTACCCTGCAGGTGGGGGAGACCTCGGTGGATCACTTATATAGGTTGATACAGAGTCTGTCAGGCACTTCTCTGATCCTAAAGAGTGACCACAGATGAGTGGGTCCAGGTCTTCAGGCTGTTGGAAAATACTTGCAGGGTAAAGTGAGGAGAAAAAGAAATCCTCTTGTCTTGCTTTCCCGTCAAGGTTCAAAGCTGAGAGGAGTATCCGGGACAGAAAGTGCGGACTCGTGGTAAAAATCCCTGGCTGGTAAACTCTGTTCTGTTCGGTCCTGCTTCTTCTTCGTGTCTTTCACCCTCTGCTCCTTGCTGTTGCTTTTAAGATGTCTGCTAACATGACTGACTTGTGCAAAACTGAATGATCTGATTGAAATGAATGATCTTCTGGATGCTTGGATGTTTATTGCTGATTGTTTAGTTTTTAAATGCAGGGAAATGTTCATGTTCATTGATCTTTGGCTTAATTCTGACATGTAAAAAAGATCTTGTGTTGTCAAATGTCAACATAAAAGTACAATATGTATGTTTGTATAACACTATGTATAACCAAATGGTCCTGTTGTCTGCAGAAGTTAAGATAATCTGCTTATTGACAAGTAACCTAGGGAAAATCTGCTTTTACCCACAATGTGAATGGAGACAGTTCACATTGAGGTTGAGTCTTTGACGTCTTCAAGACTAAAACATTACATTAAATTGTAAAAGAAATGAACAGATCTGATTGTAACACAAAGACTGAGACACAAAACTGCACCTACAGTAGCCTTTATAACTATCTTATTGAATCTAACCATTCTTAAGTAATCGCTCTATAAACTAAAAAGAGAGCTCAGTGTTGGAGCTGTTTCCACATTTAACATTTCTCAGTCACCCTTTCTTTGCTGCCTTGATTCATGTATTGCTAGAATAAACAAAAACACATACAAATAATCATGAGAGAAAATACAGAAATTAAGGCTCAGGGTTTCTGTGCCTGATTAAACATTTCAAAGGTACAGTCCTGAGGCCTACATTTTAAAGCTGAGTTAGTTAAACTAAATGTTATATTCATTTGGCACAAGTAGCATTTGAAGGAAATCTCTTTAAATAAGTAATTTGTTCTCGTTAAAGTGAGGCTGTGTGAGGTACGACCTGCAAAGGATCCTGGTTGGTTGGAGAACTGACAAGGGAGCAAGGCTGTCAGCTCCTGCATCTGGAGTCAACACAATCAGATCATTTCAATAAGAACCTTTTCCAGCTCTTTACTTTGCTGAGGCCCACTTGTTTTTAGAACTCCCTGACACAACACAACTTTGAGAAACTTCAACTCATCCCTAAAGTACACCTAACTGTAAGTTTAAATCATGAGTGCTTGATTTTAACAACAAAAACCTTTGTGTTTTTGTACGATTCAAAAATAATATGCAAAGCCAATTTGCAGGCTTCAAGAGAGACAACAGTGAAACCATAGACTGTATATAGAATGGACATCATCTGTCCCCTCACTGGGTGAAGCCGTCGTAAGAACAGCACCCTCTGGTGACAGGTTGCAGTATAGGTCATAAATCCCGCCTCCTACAGCAGTCCCTATGGAGCTGTAGACAAACTGTAGAAATGTATTAAACAGAATATACATTTTTCTCCCCACTGGTTGCGATTGACATGTAGTTACTGTCAGACTGGTTTGTGCTCAAGTCCTCTTTTTTCTGTGCAGCTCCATTTTAAAAAGTTATTAGGGGGTTCATGTTTTCTATGATTGGCACTTGATACAGCCTATGGGAGAACAAAGAGTTTGTAGCTCACCCGGGGGATACACTGTTTAAGCTGAGCATCATCACAGCAATTTTTGGCGACTCTCCCGCCAAATGCGTACACCACTACTGCGCAACTGGTGGTTCCAGGAAGTAGAGAAAATCCTGGAAACACCGAGAGTAATTTGGCTTCAAATTATTTTAATGACGGAACACGGAACCAAGTTGTTCATAGTATATACAGTCTATGCGTGCAGTCAAGCAATTAATTATTTTGAGAGTGACTTAAAATTTGCAGCACAACAAGACCCCTATATAAGCTAAAGTTTAGAGAAGATAAGACTCATCTAAAGAGAAGAAACTTCTGTGCTATCTGGAGAGTTAAGGAGATTCCCGACCCACTGAAAGCCAGTGTTTCCTTCAGTTTTTAGAGGTCAAATCTAGATAAATGCAGTTGAGGTTTGTTAAGTAGAGTTTGCTGTCATCTCTGTTTTTTTTTTTTTGTTTTTTTTTGGTTAATACCAAAAATTACACTAAATTAGTGTACTGGGCAAATTTCAAGTTGACTCGTACATCAAAGCTCTGCGGGCAGAGAGACATGGGAAATGTGTCACATCTTTAAAAAGTGCAAAAACAGGTATGCTTTCTGGCAGCAAAGCAAAGCGCTGAAAAATGTTCTAACAGAGTGCACACTTTATTATTAAGGTGAGAAAGTACTCTGCCTACTCTAGCCTAGCTTCCTTCCAAGTGCTCCAGTTGCAGCCAACTTGATCAATCCACTTGCTTGTCACAAACACCTCATGTCACTGTCTGCTTCAAAACAACCTTTTAAAGTTTCTCTTTAACTGATCATTTCAACAGGAAAGTGGTGGAACAGTCAGACACTTGTTTGTAGATACTCACTGGCTCAGTCTGACACTTTGTTGTAGATCTGGAAAAGGTGAGTTGTGCTGAGTCTGTGCTTTGTGCTGTATATTTCTGCTAACTTAATGCTCTTGTGGTATAGTTAACTGTCACTCTTGTGGTGTGTATTTCAAGTCCACCGTGCAAGAGTTAGTCACTGTAAAGATCTCTTTTATTTGAGTAGGGAATCATTCTGCAAAGTGTTGTTTATAGACATGGAGAATTCAAGTTAGCAAATCAAGTTATCTGGCATTTAGATCAGGGTAGTTAATTCTTTCTTTGAAAGTGTTTTTATTGGAGGACTTCAATGCAAGGGGCATCTTGTTTGGTCTGATGATCTTGTTCAGATGTTGAACTTCATGTGCAATAAAAGCAAATAAGCAGCCGGCGACTATAAAATGAAAATCTGTCTGAGTGTGAGAGCCAAAGTTGGATACAGAAAAACCAAACACAACCAAATGAAATACTGTGATGCCTACTGAGTTGTTGAGTTCTACAATGAAGAAATAAGAAGCATGATTTTCTTTGTTTGAATGATTGGTTGACATTTTTGCACTATTGTTCACTTTATGAATTTTAAGGAAGTACTTGAAGTTAAGATTGTACATTCACTAAGTTGTGGCTGATTGTTTTGTTTGTCTCGGTAAATTTGTCGGCACTTACGCAGGAACAGCAGATCCTGAAGAACTCTACAATATATGACATATTTCCGTGTAAAGCCATTCCTCCATGGTGAGAGCTATCAAGAGCGATCAATCTCAGATCTTTACATTTGACCTCATTTGAGAATGTACCAGCAGACCTTAAACAAAAAATAATGGATCGAGTCTCAATAACAGGCTGAGAATGGGCAGTTTCTGCCGTGTGGTCAAACGATACAACCGTCTGTCAGTGATGATCTCTGTCTACATTTGGTTGTCAATTCAGTGATCACCAAAAGCAGCACCCGTAGAGGCTGCAGAGAAGTAAGCAGATGAGACTCACAGAGCTGTTTATTCTCAACCGTCGTGTCCCCTTGTCCTGACTGAACGATCCGCTAATCTGAGGTGTATCAGGAGGCTGAGATTAGTTCATGTTCTGCCTAAAGCCATATTACCTATTACCTACCATATTAGGGAACAGGTGTAAGAATGTGGGAGGCAGCCTCCTCCTCTCAATGTATGGAAGTCATGTGATTGATCAAGTGTATCAGCATCATCATTTGATTTCAGTCAGTCAATCAAACACTTTTCCAACAGGCCAGAGAACTCAACACAGTGAAAGTGATAGTGAGGAGTACAGAATTTCTAGGGTAGCAACAATCATCTTAACCCCCTTACTTTAGCTCTATGCCCACCACCCTACACTCAAACTACATAGTGTGGTCATGTATGCTAGTGGATGAGTTTATTACTTAACCGTAGGGGATCCTATGATTGCCTGATTTAGCACCCCTGAAACCCTGAAAGATACTCTTTAAAACATATGAAGATCTGGGGCCTCAGAGATTCTCTTGTGCAAACAAATATGAGTAAACAAGAAAATAACTCATGTAAACAAGATAATAACTTTGTCCAAAACACTGTAGTGTATAATCCTGTTTGGACTACATTCTGCTCTCGTGTGCACCAGAGAACCTTTAATGTGCACAAGTGAACAGAAATTTTCAGTTATTTGCACAGTCCTTTGTTTTATGAGTTTTTCACTTGTGTCTTGAGACTTATCAGGGTGTGACTGAGGTAATTATTGACAATTTTAATTGATTTTCCTCTAATTAATCTTCACCATACTGCACTTTATTGTAATCTAATCCAGGATTATTGTAATGCCAAGGAGGCGATTATTCTGAGTGTCCTTTGCTGACAGAAGGGGGTGGATGGTGGTGAGTTTTTTTCTTTTGGTCAATATTTGAATTTGTATCGTCCTCATGCTTTAATCCTTGTCTGTGTATGTGTTTCATAGCCAATGTGATAAAATCTATGTATACAGAGATTAAACTAAGTCCTTAAACATCCTTACATGTAGGACATCCAATGCCTTGTATAGGAGCTCAGCTGACATCATTGCTGTATACAGATAATGTCATGTAAATTAACTATTTTAATGGCAATAGTAGTGTGTACAGTCAAAACATCAGTAGGCTTTTTCTCCATTCACACTCCCACCACTGTATAAAGACCTAAAGACCGTATATTAAACAGCATGGAGGAAACCACTCTGTTGTCTTCTTTTGTGTTTGTCTCAGTTATTCAGCCTGCAAATTCAAAAAAGTTTGTATGGAAGCGTTTGGCATTCTAAAAAAAGCTCTGCTTTTAAGAGTAATTTTCTTTTCTTTTCTGTTTTTCGGATTGATTTTTGTTTTGCTTTTCAGGCTAATTGTTTTTCCTATTCTCCGGGATCATGATCATTTAAAAACAGACACTTTCATTCCCCTCTGCTTGATTTATTAGAAGCAAACATGGCCCATTTTTTTAGTTTAATCAAGTTTTACTTTCTTTTGGGTTTGAGACACTGGGAGGTACTCCTTTCTTTAAGTCAGATAGATGGAATTGGAATTATCTGGTTGTATGAGATTCTCGCAGGAGTTTAAAATCTTGCTTAGTCATGATTAAAAAATGTCCAAAAAACAGAAAGATTAAAAAAAATAAAAGTACAAAAAAACAAAATAAAAATTTGTCCAAAAAACAGAAAGAGGGGAAAAAAATACAAGCCCAAAAAAAAGTAGTCAGAAAAACAGAAAGAAGGAAAGTGTCTGAAAAACAGCAAAGAAAAAAAAAAGTACTCAAGAACCCAGTTCCCCTTTTTTGTTGTAAGTGAATGCAATACGCTTCCTTAAGTTTGGACATTGTGTTGTGTCACCTCTCCTTTTACCAACACTCTGAGGGTATTTGCTGACTAAGGAGACCAGTTTCCACAGGTTTGAGAAGGGGGTATCATCTGCTCAGGAGATCAGGGTCTACTTTTCCTATTTTTAATGTCATGATGCTGAAGGCAGGCCGGTTTAGCTCTTGGACTCTTACTCCAAAGCCATCCCAGTCTTACATGTGCAGACTGTGGTCTGGTTTTGTCTTACAGAGATATGGAAGGTCTTCCCTGAACAAGGCATTATATGGATGTTGCACCAAAACCTGTGTATTCTGTTTGGTGTTTATTGTGCCTCCACTGATATCCATATATACCATCATGCATGCTGGCAGTTTTGAGCTTCACCTGAGTCCATCTTTAACAGGTTTTGGCCCAGAGAAATCACCAGCTGGATCATGGTTATATTTGGTTTGTTCTTTGCAGAGAAATATGAAACTAACAGTGTTCGCAGACAGTGGTTCACAGATGAGATTTTGAGCCCATGCAGTGATTTCCACTACAGTCATGTCTGCTTTTATTGCAGTGACACCCAAGGACCCAAAATCACAGCCACCCAGGGCTGCTGTTCTTGGCTTTGTCTGTCCTGTACAGAGACTACTCCAGATTCTCCGACCCTTTACTGATGTACATGTAGATTTTAACTTCTCTACTGTGGATCTTTCCTCTAATATCATTGTTCATCTATTCACTCACTGAGTCTCTGACAAGAGTGTTGAACCTCTGTCCACATAACTTCTCACAGACTCAGCCAATCTGGGTGGCTTTTCAAAACCAGACTCTCACTAACCTGTTGTGAATTCACCTTATAATATGGGAATTGTTCTCCCAGATGTTTTGGCAGAATCACTTAAATGTTTAAGGGTTTTGCTCTCCCTGTTGTGACTTTTTGAAAACATATTCGTGGCATCAAATTTAAAATGAGTATAATTATCTCACGCAGCAATCACAGTTTTGGTCAAACATTTAAAGGGATATTCTGGCGTAAATTTAAGTTATGGTCAAACACACCGTAACACTGAGTTAGACATCCCCTTGAGAGATTAATGTTGCTGACCGCTTGCTTCTCTAGTTACACCTACTTCAGTAACGACTGCAGATAGCAATAGAGAGCCATGCGCTCAACCAAAACGCCACTCTATAGCCACAAATAATGCTTAGAACAGCACCTAACTTCATCAACAGTACATATAGGGTCCCAGCCATAGTACTAGCCATCAAACATCTTAATAGCTTTGCCTGGTTTCTGTAGCAAAGAGACTAAACACAGCTCACCCACTCTCCTCCAGACGCCACTTGTTTGTGGGGGAGCCCCAACGAGTCGATCACCAAGTGCAGCGGAGTTTCGCAGGTCAAGGAAGAAAATTTATGATTATTACTTCATAGAAATGCAATCATACCAAGACGCTTACGCAGAACTACTGGGTCTGCAGTGCAGAAGCATTATTATGATGATTATTACTTCATAGAAATGATCCGCTGCACTCGGTGATCGACTCGTCAGGGCTTCCCCACAAACAAGCGGCTGCTGGAGGAGAGCAGGTGAGTTGTGTTTAGTCTCTTTGCTAAAGAAATCAGGCAAAGCTAAAAAGATGTTTGATGGCTAGTACTATGGCTGGGACCCTATATGTACTGTTGATGAAGTTAGGTGCTGTTCTAAGCATTATTTGTGGCTATAGAGTGGCTTTTTGGTTGAGGTTTGCACTTGGACAGATAGACCCCTGTGTATTGCCAGCTGCGGTGGTTATTAAAGTTGGTATAACTAGAGAAGCAAGCAGTCAGCAACATTCATCTCTCGAGGGGGTGTCTAACAATAACTCAAACCTACGCAGGAATATCCCCTTAATGTTTGAGTGTCCCATTATTGCTACAGTATTTCTGAATTGTCACATTTTTCTTTCCTCTTATCAATGTATTATTCTGTTCAGTTTAATTACACCACAATTGGATATTTTAAAAAAAAAGAATGGCATCAAGGTGTATAGCATGTTAGTTTCGTTGAGGTGAAGAGAGCACAAAGTTTATGTGAACAGACAGACTGTTTATTCGTTTTACAATATTATCTTGGTCACATTCGTATATAAACTTTTAGATTTTTCTAGCATTTTCTTACAGAATGACAGTGATGTGTATCAGATTGCATACCTAGAAAATTAAAGAGATACATGCATACAAACATGAACAGCATTAGAGGAGCAACTTTACATAACAAGCACAAGTTCACAACTGTGAGCCTTGCTTTCATTGTGCTCCTCGGTATAGGAAGGAATATTACAGAGGGAGAGGGGCGTCCTCTCAGCAACACTTAGCAGAGGAGCATCAGTTTGTTGGTTAAACCTGATGAGGAATTTGAACTCTGACATGAGCACAGGATTTTCAGCATCAAATTTATGCCGTTTTCTAAAGCTAACATGTTTGTTTTCAAGAGTTCTCTCATTGACATGAGGCACCACAAACACAGCAATAAAAAACAGAACACCACTGTTGAAATGGAAACAGGAAAGACAACCCTTAAAAAGGTAGTGGAAAGTGCACTTAGTGGGTCTGTCCAGCACATATCCCGTTTGAACAAATGCCAACAATTCCCTCGAAATTACTTGAAACACTAGACCATTGGCGACAACAATTTTAACTACACTTCAGACAGCTACTGCACTGTGGTCCTGCTTCCTTTTGCTTTTCACCATCTCATAGTTCTTACTGGACAGGACTCAATCCCAGCTGCATAGCGCAACAAACGTCTACTGCTGCCCCTTTCCCTACACCTCCCCTGGAATGTACCAACAAATTCAACCCTCAGTGTCTCATCAGGAGATTTACCTGCAGAAACAGGAAAAACGTGGTTCAATGATATGCCACTATTTCATGGAGAAGTTGTAACCTCCATTACATGTTAGAATCCAGGGACCATAAATGTTAGGGATCAACAAAAAGACTAAAAGACTTGTTTGTTTTTTTCACCGATTAACACGATAGAAACTTAAAACAATAATGCTAAAATGTGTTAGTTTTACTGGCCCCGTAAAAACAACTGTACACAGAAATCTAAAAACAGGTCAGCCTTTTTTTTTTTACACTTGAGGCCTTGGGTATGAACTCAGCTCAGATTTTTATGTACAAACATGAAGGGGCCAAGTGCAGGGACAGGAGCACAGTCGTTATCTAAGGAGTAGTGCTCTGATAACTGACCGTTGGCTTTTACAGCTTTCAACAAGATGAAATATCATGATTCGTCTCTCCACAATGAGGAGGAAGCTCTGGAGTTATGATAGTGTGCATGGCTTTAAGAAAAAAAAACATAATGTTTGTACTGTCCTTGAGTTCAGATACAAAACAAGGATAAAAATGTAATACTAAGCACAGAAGGTTAACATATAAAAAGTTCTGGACATGTCAACGAAGGTAAGGAAAGGCAAGAAAAGAAAAGATGTTCAGCAACTCAAGAATAGAAAAAAAGGCATCTTAAAAATGTTAAAGATGAGAAAATGGAGGGGAAGATGATTGTGATGCAAGAGGTGGTTTGGTATGAATACAGAAAGAGAGAGAGCGAGACAGAGAGGGGGAATGAGTAAAAAGAGAACAAGAGTTTGAAAGAGAAAGAGAGAGAGAGAAAGAGAGAGAGAAAGATAACTCTGTATCTTAGACATCCTGACAGTTTACAGCCCTCCTCCTTGTCTTCACACCTCTGGGACAGAGTGATCCATGGCTGACCGCAGGAGACCAGTGGACATCCTGAAAAAAAAAACCAAAAAAAAAACAATCACACTGGTGAGTGTGTCTGCAGATATGATCATGTAATACGAAGAAACTGTAATTCAAAGTCAGCAACAGAGAGGAGAGAGGGATGCTGCAAGGGTGTTTACGATCTGAACCAGCCAGACAGTAACATGAAAATAGTGGGGAATAAAAAAGGTTCAGAAACAGGAAGTGCATCCTTTAGGACATTTTCAACTGTCTGACATTTCTCTCGTATTTATGATTAAAAACTAGCAGTAAAAACTGCATCCGAAATCAGGGGAGACTGTGATGGTCTATACCAGAATACACGACTGTATTTGGACTGACTGGTGTGAAGTCTTACTAGATAAACTGACATTAACTTGGTTTATCAATAAATAAGTAAAGTGATGATGAAACACAGAAGAACCACTGCTCATATGCTGTGTAGACAAGATGTAGCCCAAAGCTCTGTACGTAGCAGTCAGGATGTCAAAGCAAGGCTTATTTACTATATTGCACAGTGTAGCAATGAAGAAGTGCTTCATATGAGAACAACATATAAAAATACATCATGACAAAGGGCAGGAGACACACGTATAGTAGTTTTGAAAATCCATAAAAATAGACCATTACAAATGAAAACAGAGGAAATAAAAACAACAAACAAAGAGGGTTGAATTTTTCATTTTCCAAGAGTTCACTGTATCTGCACTGGCTGATCAGCAGATCGATGAAAAAAACTGTGAGTCCTACCTCTTAATCATGTGCTCGTAGATGAACTTGGGCATGATGGTGATGGTCATGGCGGTTGGAGAGGTGGTCAGAATGTCCTTAATCTGAGAGTCCTGCAGTTTTCAAAAAGAAGCAGTTAAAAGAGTGAAAATGAAAAAACGATGAAAATGTATGTTAAAAGAAAAACTCAAACATCCGGACTAAAAACATGTCAGGTCAAAGGCCTCATTTTAACAAAGGATCAAACTGAAAATCTAACACCGGGCTAGAAGAAAACTATGAACACATTACTGACACAGTCTAAACACCTGTTGACTTAACATCTGAACAGACCTGAAGACGGTAAATGCTGCACTTACTGAAAAATGCTTTCTGATCCAATCTTACACTACACTCTGCCAGTATGCAAGCAGCTATCCAACACAAAATTCACATTAGCCACCAAATATCACAAAAGTATCACAGTAAACATATTTCCTTGAATACAGGTCAGACCCAGTAATAACAATTTTATCTAATAATATGAAGAAGAATTTTTTTATACCTTGAGTCCAATCACGTTTTGTCCGTTGATTTCACAGATGTAATGCTCAGTCAGCAGTCCGTTGCGAGCAGCAGACCCATCCTTAACCAGGGATGTAACTTTGCCAGACTTGTAGACGAAGCCCACATGACCTGAGCTGTCTTTGTGCATGGTGATGGTGCGCTGAAATGGTCTGGAGAGACACGGGTGATAAAGACAGGATTAGAAATCCACAGATAAGCAGCCAGCATCAAAAATTACTTCTGCGTACACAGACAGAAATGGATCCTCAGAATCAGAAAACATAAAGAAAAAAAAGTAATTTTATAAGGTTCTAAAACTTCAATCTAAAATGACATCCCAAAGGTAAAGTCAAGATCACTCAAACTGCCAGCAGAGGGCGCCAAACATTTCTACTTCTAATGAGAACCATGACACTTCGATAAACAAACACATTTCTAAAAATGTGTTATTATTTTCCCTACAGTTCAAATCTGTGAGGTTTACATTTATAAGCAATCATTCAAACAACTTATCTAATAAAACCTCTTTTTCTTGAGGTAAATTAAACAGCTGGAAAGATGAATTAGGAAACACTCCTTATTGCTGTGATCTACATCTACGGTAAGTCTGCCTCACCTGTCCCTGACAATGAGCTCGATGCGGGTCTCGGCAGCCGCCTTCAAAGCCTTGTGGGCCTTGTCAATGCTCCAACCAGCACAGTTCTGCCCATTGATCTGAAGAACCTGGTCACCAAAACGAAGGCCGGCCAGGGCTGCAGGGGAGTTAGCCTGCACCAGCTGGATAAATACACCCTAAGACAGGAAAGAGGAAACAGATAGACTATCCTGAATGAGTCCAAGGAACAGAGGAAGAGGCAACAGAGCCACTGTTAGGGGAGCTTGAAACAAAGGAGCAACCCTAAAGAGGAAAATGACTGTAAACTTGAGAAAACACAGAAACTTTTGGATCTGAATCATGTTTCCCTTCTATGCAGTTAAAAAAAATGTGTCCAGTAACGTGTAATTTGGGACCCATTCAGAAGAGCATCCCATAATTTATTTAAACGATTATAATCAATAAGCAGAGTTTTTCAGCCTGATTAGCTGATAGGCATAAGAGAAAATCGATCATGTGGATTGTGAGAAGGTGGAGTTTCTGGGAACCTCCATTTCAAACAGCCCAGCTGGTTTCAAGTTTTAGTTTCTCTGTTTGACTGTTTCTGTAGTCGAATACGATTTTGTTCAGAGACTTGCTCCCAAAAAGAAAAATGTGCCAGTCTTTAGCAGGTGTTAATTTCAGACCCTGGGCAACTTGGCACCCTGTGTACCTGTGCATACCACTGCCCTATTAAAAGTAATTTACCAGAGATTAAACACAGACAGAGCTCTGTTTGCTGCTCTAATCTACAAACTAAAGCTACCTACAGACCAGCTCCTGAGTGTGCTTTTGATTGATTTCAACTCCATGTGAATGAAGGCCTTTATTGTGAAATGACCTAAGTATAATTAATACCAGGTACATGACTAAATAATAGAAACAAAGATTAATAAGTATGTTTCTCCTCATTACCACTTCCCTCACCTTGACTAAAAAGGAAAAGTGTCAAGACAGTGAAGTATTGATTCAGGATTTAAAAACCTGGTTTAACCTGGATACAGATGTCTGATCGGATAACTAAATCAGTGTGGGCACAAAAAGCTCAGGGTCAAACTAAAATGAACTGACTAAAAACTAGACCAAAATGTTTTGAACCTTTAATCCGCTAAAACTTGACTGAAACTATGAAAATATGACTTCAATTTAGGAGTATTGTCTTGTCAGTATACCTCATACTGATAAGCATTGTAATTGTTGTCTGGTGTGTTTGTGGTGCCTTATGTAAATGTAAGAATTTTTGAAAACAAACATGTTAGCTTTAGAAAACTGCATCGATTTGATGCTGAAAGCTGAAAACCTTTCTGACCTGCAGGGGCGGGGCACTAACAAAAAGTCAGCTCTGTGTTCAAAATACTTGAGTTGAGGGGAATTTCCTCATTTTTTGACAAACTGTGATTGCTGAACTTTAAACTCGGCCTTTAATAAACCTTATTAATGTCAATATTAAGATAAGAAAACAACAGATCACAAGATGTTCCATACACCAAGAGAAACAGCTGAACATGATTGTTTACATCGAGTGAGGCAGACTCTGACCCAGATCTTCCTGATCTTGTCTCAAAAATAGAAAAAGTGGGTGTGGGTTTCCTGTGTCACTGGTTTGTTGTCAAAGGGCCGTTAATGAAAGTCAGTCTGGGCTGAATAATTCATGTGGAAACTGTTTTGTGGTTCTGACTCACGTTGTCTATGGCCCTGAGCCGCAGTCCCACTTTCCCGTCCTGGTCCTTGCAGAGAATGATCTCCCGCAGCCCAGGACGGATCTCCGCCCTCTGAATGCCCATGTCTGCCCCCGTCACGGGCCGCACCATGGCTCCATATGCAGAGCTGGAGGGCAGAGCCACTTGCTGAGGAGGAAAGGGAAGCAAAAAAAAACAGATGAAGAGAGAAACAGATGAAGACTGAGAGGAGTACTAAATTACGGGGGCTTCAAGCCTTTAAAGATCAACATTAGAAAACACCGTGTTGGAGGTGAAGATATCAGCTAATGGCAGAGAACACAGATCGTTACATGCCAGCTGACTAAGCTAGGGAGCTGAGAGAGTCTTGACATCCGTAGAACACACACACACACACACACACACACACACACACACACACACACACACACACACACACACACACACACACACACACACACACACACACACACACAGAGAGGGGGAGTGAAGAGCTCACACTCTCCCACACACAGCTCCAGGCCTGTGGTGAGTCACTCAGTGATGTGGATATCCAGGAACAGAGTGCTGTTGTGATTTCTCTTTCCACTAAAATCAGGTTTTGAATTTCTGACGGCTGATGGTTTGAATCGAGAGGCTTTAATGTGATCATGGTTGAAGCCTTTCTTGTGTTTTTGTTCAATTTTACAAAACAACTTTTCTGGAACTAATCGACGAGTTCAACCAAACTTTTCTACTGTTTAAGGAGACAGCAGTATGAGACCTCTCTGTGTCTCTAGAGGGAGCTGTGTTTAGTCAGATAACTGTCCTGGAGTGATGTCAACTAAGTCAGCGTTGGCTGACACAGAGGATTCAAACTTTGAAGTTAGATGGGTAAACTCTGGAGCTCTGTAACCTGCCTCTCTCAATCCTGACTCCAACAATGTCATGGGAGTGTCATCCTGAAACTCTGGTGTTTTTCTTTTTATTTAATCACGCATCCTCACTTCAAGTTGTTTTCCTGCACTGACACACTTTCCAACACTTACACTGTCAGCCACAGGCACCAGTGCCAGGTTCCTCTGGACTTCATCACTGTTGAGAGCCAGACCCATGTAGTCTCCCAGCTCCTCCAGGTTTGGGTACAAGCCTGAAGGAAGAGGAGAGAAGTGACAGAAGGACAAAGAGAGGGGATTGGAAGGAGGACACAAAGAAGTGGAGAGAAAGAGTGCAAAGAGAAAGTAAATTACAGTACTTCATCTCAGTTCTCTATTTCAAACCGACATATATAAAATGATCAATTTGATCATGTTTTTGGACCCACAGATATACAAACAGAAGCAATGGTTTAAGTGAATCTCATTCTTTCCTTCACCTTATATTTTATTCATGCTGTCCATCACATGGGTTTAGGCCTCCATTGGAGGAATGCTAATAATGAGCACTCTGTGTTGCAGTGCAGCAAAACTTTCCTGGCATCAGTATTCAATCCCCTGTTATGATAGAAAGCCTGTGACAGGAGCCTGGCCCTGCCTTTGCAGCAGACGACTGCATTAGTCTCAGCAAAGGTGAAAGAAAGGGCATGTGAGGAAGGTGACGAAGAGACAGAAACCAAGCTGAATTAAAGCAAGCGGTTACAATGTAGAATACATGGGAACAGCAGGTATTCACCATTTACAAAGCTTATTTAATTTTTCTTCAAACCACTTCTAACAGTAGCACTGTTTATTGAACAAGTTTAACTCTTCATCAGCGCTGGTGTATGCGCCTGTATAATAGGGCTGTCAAAATTGCTCCAAAATGACGTTCGAATGTTCGTTCTAAAACTAACACATAGGTACCTACATATTTGAATATCTAGCTTATACAGCTTGCATGTAACTTTATCTCACTCTGCATTTTTTCCGTCTACCATGTCTGTGCAAAGTCCAAAGAATTTCCAAACGGAGCTTCCAAAGTTTGTTGGAGTCCAGACCACTCACTCTGAATTTAGCTCTGAACATCCCTCCATCTCCCTCTACATGTGCCACAGACGGTTTTTGTCGAGTCTTACAGCAGGTGCAGCTCCTGTGACCCATCGTTAGAGTGCGCTCACTCGCAAAGCAGCCGCTGTTTTTTTTTCTTTTCGTTTTTTCCCCGCAGTTTTCCCACTGTTTGTTTAATATTTGAGTATTAATTTTTACATTCAAATCTCATTTTTTTAAATATTCAAATATATAAAATTTAGAATATTCGTTGACAACCCTACTTTTAACCTTGCCAGCAGCACGCATCTAGGAGTTGCAGTCAGTCACTAAACCACAGCGATCCAAACTGGAGTTTTCGAACAAATAAAACGGGTAAATTGGTGTCCAATTTTCTGCAAACATATTTCCTGCATCCAAAGCTTATACATTATTGGATTTTTCTGAAATACATTTGGAGTAAATTTGGTTTGGGAATTCATGTTCCTCTCAGGTTCTCTGGACAGCACAATTTTTTCTGACATAATCCTGATTGCATAGTTATTTGATATATGGGCAGATACTTACTAAAGTACTTATGTTTTTAGCAGCTCTCAACTGTGTGTTCAGTGCTGAAAGAGAACTTTTTTTGCATGCCAACATGTACATTTGTCTCATTGTCACTGTGAGCCCTCTGATGTTTAGATGCCAACTGTTGTTCTTTGCTTTGTTTCAGTTTTGTGACATGTTTAAAGCATAGACTGTAGATACTATGGACAACTTGGCTCCGCCTTCCACCATTATTGAGCCGAATTGCTCTTGGTATTTTCTCCACTTCTCCACAAAATTTCATATTCTGTGTTATTAATTTCTAAAGTTTGTCCACAGCTCCATAGGGATTGCTGGAAGAGGCATGATTTATGGCCTATACTGCAGCCTGTCACCAGAGGGTGCTGTTCTCATGGTGGCTTCATCCAGTGAGGAGGCAGACGGCGTCCATTCTATATACAGTCTATGGTTTAAAGCCTCTGCCCACTTAGAACAGTTTCAACAGGAACCTTAGCTATTTTAAACTTCTAGCTGTAAAAAAAAGTTACTAAGAACAAGAAAAAATGCACATACCGCTAACAAAAAAACACTGCTTTGCTGTATATCTTTTGCTTTATTACACAATAACTCGTGTATTGTGATGATAATCAAATGGGCAGGTTCTTGATGACATGCAGCGCTCTATACTTTTTAGGTATATGAAAAAGGAAGTGGTGTGAGCAAATAGGTCAGACACTGACAAAAGTCAAACACAACAGCTTAACAGATCTTTATCACCTTGATGATTTTTATCCTTACTTAATCAATAAAATCTTGAACTTGAGATTTTCTTTGTTTTAGCAACATTACTTACACCAAGTGCAGTCAAGTCTTGAGTAAACATGTCATTGACTATAATCACATACATGCACTCCTGTGTACACAGAAATCACTGTGTGCATAGCTACAGGGTGATAGTGCTTGACATGGTGCAGACACTCTAACCTCTAAGTATTGGTGTTTCATGATTGCTGAAAACAGAGAACATCCAGCCAGTGCAGTTCTCTATTCAGAACTTAGGGGAGATTTCTTCACTCTTTTTTTATTCAGTTATCTCCTAATTTCTGCTACAGCTACCAAGATGAAGGAAAAACATCTGATCTTGGCTTGATAAAGTGGTCTGCTATTTTTATTCAAATCAGCTGTACTGCACTGGGCTTATCCCTGACCTAAGCCATTCCTCCCCTAAAATCTACACTGAGCAACAGTGTTAAAGAGACAGTCCCTAAACATAAGTCCCTGTTTCTGTATATCGGGTCCATTGTCCTCTTTTAATGCCCCAAGAAAAAAAACTCAGACAATAATCAGTCTGTATATTAGACTGAATGTATCACTCGTTTATTCTTTTGAACTGTTGCGTATCTCTAAAAATCGGATGCAGACTGTGTAATATTTGTTCCTCTCTTTCTTTTAAGGTGTTTGTGTTCCCCATGAAGTCTTTGAGATTCAAACTTCACAAGATTTTAAAAGGGAACTGAAGCGCTACTGGTGTGGTTCTTTAGTTCATGGAAAACTGAAAAGCACAATTACCCAGCAAAATGTAGTTACAAACTGTAACTGCATTTAAGAATAATATCAATTAATTTGTGAACAAAATGGACAATAGCAATGTCTACAAACTGCCTAGTACTGTACTTCATGACCCCAACATTTGGTGTATAATAGGGGTGGGAATCACCACTGGCCCTATGATACCATATTATCACGATACTTGGGCCATGATACCATATTATTGGGATTTTCAACATTTTACAATACACTGAGTATTGCTGTACAATATATTGCGATCTATACAATTTTTTCAGCAGTTTAGCTAATTTAGCATTTGTCTGTCCTTTATGTTTGTATAATTTACACTGCATTTTATTTTCATGTAGCACTTCTTGCAAACCCTATGTGTCAGGTCCATCTCATTTGTGCCCTGCTTGCATTCCTAATGTCTTTCCCCAGGTGCTGCTATATTTGTTGCACTAACTTTCTCCTGCTCTATGATGTCACCTCTGCCAACCTCATGAGACAAACAGTTGATTTTATTTTTCCATTATCATAGATTTGACTCCATATTAACAATTAATTTGAAAATTAATTACAATATAATAAGACAAAATATCTCCATATTTCTTTTCCCACCCCTAGAGTATGAGATGCACTTTTGATGAACTTTTTTGTCTTTGAAAAAGTGGTAAAGTATCAGATGCTTAAAGGGGTTGTTTATTGTGTTACAGTACCCTTGGTAAACACAGGGTTTAAAGAAATATGTGGCAACTTCATAATGCTAGGAACCAAGCAAGCAGTGCCATTTCAGCTTTTCTCCATCGGTAAGTCATAATCATGCAATTAAAGACAACTGAATTATAATATTAGGAACCTGGACCTTGCTCTGTGCTGGTTTGATCAAAAATACTTCTAGCTCCTGGGTGGAATTTGCTGTTAGGGTCATGTTTGGCTGCCCCTGTTGACAAGGCAGCCTTTGCTTACCTTGTCTAAATACTGAAGTCGTGCCTTTTGACAATAAATCTCATCCTGATGTCTTTTGAAAGTCAATTGTCATTTATTATGAACATTTTATGTAGAAACTGTAAAAACAGGGCTGTTTCTTCAGCTGCTCGGCTGACACCTAACACCTTGCACCAGATTCAAGCGTGAAAAATGACAATATACAAATTGTCAGTCTTGTCTTGGTCTTACCCTGATCCGTGCCTTAGAGCTAGCAAGGTTACAGTAAGCTGAGCTCAACTACTGCACCAGGACCAGGATGGTGAACCCAGCTGGTACTAGAGAGAAAGACACAGCTGCATATAACCTGCATGTTGCACATAGAAATCACAGATTAGAATGAATCTTCTGTGTTTTCTTACTGGGAATTCATCAAAACCATCCTGTTGCTTGCAGAGACTGCCAATGTACATCATTAGTGCATCGAGCGGGCCTATCATCTAGTGCTGATGTCAATCAAGTCTTTCACAGTTAACTCTCTCTATGTTCCCATTCCCCACACCAGGGGGACAAACTCCTCTCATCTCTCATTTTGCTCACCCCTACACCTCCTGGGTCTCTCCCTCCCTCCTTTCATCTCAACTCCTCCTCTCTCTTTCTCCCATCAGGCCCAGTCCCAGCACAACTGCCAGAGCTAGTCTCCATGGTGACACACAGCTAGCTCTGCCGAGGTAAAACAAAAGCCCAAAAGCCCACAGGATTTGAATCCAAACAGAGAAAAGAGAAACTGAATAAGTGGGAGAATGAAAACAGGGGGAGAAGTGAGTGAAAATAGGCTGAAAGTTGCGCTCTGTAGACTCCAATGGCCCCTTTTTCCATGATTAACTCTTTTCTTACTTCTCACTCTGGCTTACTGCCGAGTTCATGTTTTCTTTGACACAAACTCTGGAAAACATAAACCTCTGAGTAGAGAAACAATCAGGGAAAGAGAATCAGAGACATGAACACAGAGTGAAGGAGAGATACAGCACAGCTGGTGTTGGGCTTCCATTTATTCTTGTAATAGTCCTACCATTATTACAACTCTTCCCATCCCATTTCCCTTACTCAATCTATTTTGGTCCCACACCAATACTTAAGACTTGGGGGAAAAAGGAAAGTAAACAAGGGTGAGGAGACAAAATAAGAAGTAAAGCTAGCACGACATTAAAAATGGATCTGCTCCTGTTGCTACTGAGAGGAAGAGGTTTGTAACACAACAAAAGGATGAAATGTTCTCTTCAAATCTTGTAAAAGGTACATGTGAGACTCACCTGATGCTGCTGGCATCCCGGTAGCTGCAGGCTGAGGCTGGTAGGCTCCCTCTGAGATAGCTGGCATGCTGGTTGCAGTGTGGGCATACTGCGCCTGAGCCTAAAAAGCATCAGACATACCAGTCAAACACAATATCTACATGATAAGGCTTTTCTGTAGAAGCTAAATGATACGAGAGAATAGTCACACTCAAACCCTGATTGAATTGGTTTATTAAAACATTATTATCTCGTGATTTGGATACTTGTGGTTTCTAAAAATAAGCTAAGGAACTGAGAGACACTTATTAAAGAAGAATGGTCTGAATGAAACTTGCAAAGGGGACAATAAAGTGATACAGTTCTTGACCCAAACACTGCATCCTACATCCCCCGGGACTGCTCTTCTTGAATTCATCGGCATGTCTTCTTTCAAAGACTCTTAGTTTAAAGCCCGGTCTAAGGCCACATCCAAATGTATATTCAAATTTATGAAAACAAGGCTTTTTGTTTATCTTTCTGGCCTTACATCCCCATGTAGACAGAATCTACGGTCACTAACACAGAGGTTTATGTGGTAAACATGCATGATAAATCAAAGATGGTGGACTACTGGTTTGTTTATGTCGGTTGATATGCCGGCTCAAGAGCCTGTAGCTGATTATAAAAAATAGATAAATAAAATGCTAAAAACACAGCGGGCAGCTTTGAACGGAAGAGGATAGAGCCACTGGAGAAAAAAAAAAAAAAAAGGTCTGATGTTTTTTTGTTTTTTTTATTATTGTTCTGAGGAAAAAAGACAGAAATCTGAGAGTTAACACAGAATTCTGACTTAAATCTCAGAATTCTGACTTTTTTTCTCAGAATAATAATTTAAAAAAATATATTGGACTTTTTTTTCCCCAGTGGTGCTTATCCTCTACCATAGCTTTGTCAGTGTGACAGAGTGTTTTTAAGTTTGCCACTCTGTGCATTATTTGCCACTCTGTCTATTTTTGAACTGTTTATATTTGCTGCTGTCAAGAAGATCCTCGGTAAGCATTTGCACAATGGTCCCAACAATGTTTGATATGACAAACTGATTACACATCACCTGTTTCTGTGTCGTCATGGAGACAGAGAAATATCCATGAGCTCTTGTGGTGTGGACAGGATATTTATAATCAGAGATAAAATAATTTGTTTCTAAAACAAACCTTTATGCAGACGCTGCCCAACATTCAAGATGACTGTTTCAAAAGCACAAGTAACATTTTAGTCCACGTTTATGCTTAGTCAGGATATCGAGACAAGTTACCGGAAGAACATTTCTTCAATCTGTGGTGAGTCAAGTTTTAACTGGAATTTCAGCAGATATTACACAGAATGGTTTTGAGTGTAATTCCAATCCCTGTGGTTTTGTCTCTACTTTCTTGGTTCCTGCACTTTGGAGATTTGAGTCATTTCTCCGTTTTGCAAACCCTTGCTTCTTCAAAACATTACCCAGTAAGCCAAACCACTTTGCGTATTAAGACAAAAAGTGGCAAAAATGGTGCTGCCTTCAACAGACTGCAAAGCTGATTATCTACAAATAGAGGTCTCTGTCTATATCTTCTCTGCTTGACACACTTACCTTCATAACCTTGTCGACCTTAAGGTCCTCGAGAGATGGATACAGGGACATCCTGCAGAGAAAACACAAAGAGCAGCGAGTGAGAAAAAACACATCACATCTAACCAGCAGCTAAGACAACTTCACTATGACCTTGATTCTACCGAGATGTGGACTATGGAGCACGCTGCCCAACAGAGAAGAGACCAATACTGACGGAACGCGCTCAACAAAGATCCTGTGGGTGCTGAGCTTTAGAGTGGATCAATGTGGTGTAATATGACAGTGTGATTTGGCATGAATGTTAGCTTGGATGATAACAGTAACAATCCAGTCCAACTTTGCTTAGAGGTCAGCAGTAAAAGCTCCACATCAGCTGAATGCTTGACTTCTATTAGAAGATTTGACTTCCAAATCAAGCCAGCGTACAAACCTATCATGAACATCAGCATGTCAGTGTAAACTCAGCTGTGGAGTTCAGACTGCTGTTAAAATAGTGCTTTAATAACTGCGTGAAAATACTGTTAAATAATTGGTATTGCAAAACTGACTGACTGATAAATGCCATATCTGAACAACTCTACTAGACTGTTTTGGAAAGTAATGGTCGTCTATGGATAATTCGTTTCCTGGAAAGAAGTCAAATTAATGCCCCAATCCTAATCTCCACTTAAAAGCTTGAGCAACAAACGTGCATGACCTTAAAAGATATTAGACCTGCAGTGCGAGACTGCACAAGTCCACAAGGGCTGAAACTGATCAACTGGATGTAAACAAACACAGAGAAAAGTTAGCATCTTGGATTGGGATACAACCAACCCACCACGGCAATACACGACCATCATGGGTATGTGGACACTCAGAGAACCAAACACTGGTGGAGATAGCTTTGCTAATGTTGGCAACACTCTGTCAGTTAAATTGACATTGTTTACCGGTGAACCTGTCTTTAGCCTCACTGAATAAATTGTGCTCAACTCACTGACTGTTTGCTGAGTATTTTTAACCTTCAAGCTAGTCTGTTAGAAGGGATTTAAATCTCTACAACCAAACTACTGTAAAGCTATTACTCTCAGTACGAGGTGAGCGCTGACTGACATAGACAAATCTACAAAATGTTCAGCGAATGAAAAATACTGAGTAACAAGGTGATGTTACTTGCATGCAAACTGTCTTGGAGGTGTCTTCTATTGCAGATATTTAGCAGAGCGTCTATGAACAATTAGAAAACCCTGATGATAAGAGCACTATAAAAATACTCATTTTAGCTTACAGAGAGAGTAGAGCTCTATGTTTTGGCCCTGCCTCCCCTATTGTGTTCAAACAGTAGAGCAGTGTTACTCCACTATGCTGAGGGTGTCACCTCACACGCTGTTGGAGGCAGGCCATCCAGCTGTGCCAAAAGCTCAGATGAACCAATAAGAAGAGACTAATGCTATGACGTCATTACTTAAGCAAGTCTCCCGTTATCTCACAAGGTCCCGTTTTGAACAGTTTTCATCAATCTTGTGCAATTATTAGAGCATTCATTTATCTCATGATTTGAAACACATCTAATATGTAGGGATGCACGATATTTATCAGACCAATAAAATATCGGCCGATATGGGGGGAAATTACGTCATTTTTTATCGGTCCGATAGGTGCATTTTTCCGATAGAAAGATCCGATATATTAATGAAATTACGAGTAACGCTTGCAGGCGGAGTAGCCGCCCGTCCGAGACGCGCTGGTCACGTCGTCTATCAAGCCTTACTCGCAGGTCCCAAGCCTGACCCCGTCACTGCCTGACAGATAATAAAATGTCTTCACCAGCATGGTCGTTTCTCTCAGTGGCAGAAGATGACAACAGCATTGCTATATGCAAAACCTGTTCAGCGAGGATTCCAAGAGGAGGAATGAAGACGTCAAGTTTTAACACAACAAATCTGATAGCTCATCTGAAAAGTCGCCATCGCGGCGGAGCAGTATTAAAGGACTATGAGACAGCCGCCGAAGCTGCTAGCGGTACTAAAGCTAAGACAACAACACTATGGAGGATCGATGTCCCCATTCAGCAGGCGTTTAAGAACTGCAAAAGCTTCTCAAGAGACAGCGAAAAGGCTAAAGCCATTAACGACAAAGTGATGGAGTTCATAGCGGTCGACGACCAGCCTTTTTCCGTCGTTGAGAACCCGGGTTTACGTAAGTTAATAGCACACTTGGAGCCACGTTACACTCTCCCAAGCCGCCGCTTCTTCTCGGATGTGTCTCTTCCTGCACTCTATGATATTGTCGCCACATACATTCACAACCTGATCGACAAGAACGGACTACACGTGAGTTTTACCACAGACATATGGACGTCAGATGTTAGTCCGGTCAGCATGCTAAGCCTAACGGCTCATAATAGCTCCTTTACAGTTTACAGTTCTGTTGAACAGTTCAGGGGATCAAATGAAGTTCTGCTTTTTGCTCTGTTATTGTTATTTATAGCAAATGACCACATTTGAAGAGCCAAAAACTTTTGTTTGTTGTTCTAGATAGGCCAGAGCAACAAAAATATCAGTTTTCAATCGCTGCATCCTGCACAAACTGCAGATTATATGAAGATTATAATAAATGTAAAAATATGAATTTATCGGTTATCGGTATCGGTATCGGCCATGAGAAGAAGAAAATTATCGGTTATCGGTATCGGTTGAAATTTTTCATATCGTGCATCACTACTAATATGGACACCAAACTTTGTAACTTTGCAGTTTTTTGTTGTAGATGTGGAAAAGCATGATACCACCCCTTTAAAAGTGCAGCCTTAGAAATATGTGCTGGGAAAACAATAATTACAGACATTTTTCTAGCTATGATAACCATCACACTCTTACCAGCATTGCACTGTTGTTTCTCTTCAACTTGCTCTTTTTGCCTGCTGTCATTGGCAGCCATTCGTGCTGTACAAACTCCTGTTTCACACCAGCAAAGAAGAACTAATTTCAAGTTTGAACTGTTGATATCTTGGTGCTTATCAATTGGTAGTAAGGACTCACATACTTCCCTATACTCCGTTCAGCACTTAAGGGTATCAGAAGCCTTTTCCAAACAAACACTTGTAAATCTTCCACTAAATAAAGCACAAACAGTATTGGCAATGGTACTCCAGAGACAGAACAGCAGCAGATACTGCGCACACAAATGAGATAATGGACAAACACACACAGAGTCAGTATGAGAACATCACCATGAACATAATGACTACAATCATTGTGATGTGTGTCATGACTTTGTGACATCAGAGTCACATTACTGCTCCCTGGCACGACATCTCTCTTATCTCACATTCAGTGATTTTGACTTATCGCTTCAAATAATAAAACTCTAAATGATGTGGGATGAGTACAAAGAGCATGTAGGCTGAAATAGTATAAGGAGTAGGAAAACAATGAGATCATTTTCAATTGTATTCATCAGTTCTTCTTAACAAGATTAAGTAGAAACAGATCTCATGATGAAGCATGGGTTTTTTTGGAGTTTGAACAAATATCATAATTAACATGCTGAAGCCTTGTTTGAGGAACAGGCTACAAAAGGAGATAATACCTAAGTAAACATAGGTGGAAGAAAAAAACAAAAGGACACCAAAGCACATACGGAGCAAGGTTAAATTTGCTCTGTGCCAGGTGATGCAGTGAACCATCATAACAATGGTTTGTTATGTAAAACTATCTAGACCAAGAAGAAGAAATTACAAAGGCATAAAAACCAAACAAGCCTGACACAGAAAGAAGAAATGATCGATTACAGTCTGTCAGCTGACTGTCACACAAACTGGAGGTTACAACAGAGCAGGTCAGGCTTTAAGTAGCACAATGACCAGTGATGTACCCAAGTATGTTGAGCTCTTTTACCACATGTGTGTTGATTTATAGTAACCATAAAACTTTGTATCATAGCCTGGGCTTTTTTTATGTAATCATATTGCCTTTATTTGGGACAGGCAGAAAAAGGTAGACAAGCTTCTAACTGTTTTTAACAAAACTTTAGCCCATTGAAGATGGAGCCATCGATATTTCAGTCTTTACTTCCATCTTCCAAGCTAACACAAGCAGTAAAAATACTTAATTCACAAATATGTAAAATATAATAGAGTGCATAGTTTGGGTATGTAAAGAAACGCATAAATATGAGCACTTTGTTATTGTTTTTTTTTTATTATTATTATTTTTATGGGTTATTTGTTGGCACGTATGTCTAATGGGAATTATTTCAATGTGGACTTGTTATACAAAACCCAATTCCATTAAAGTTGGGAAATTGTGATAAACGTAAATAAAAACAGAATACAATGATTTGCAAATCCTTTTCAACCTATATTCAACTGAATACACTACAAAGACAAGATATTTAATGTTCAAACTCATAAACCTTTTTTTTTTTTTTTTTTTGCAAATAATAATTAACTTTAGAATTTGATGGCAGCAACACATGCCAAAGAAGCTGGGAAAGGTGGCAAAAAATACTGAGAAATTTGAGGAATGCTCATCAAACACCTATTTGGAACATCCCACGGTTGAGCAGGCTAATTGGGAACAGGTGGGTGCCATGATTGGGTATAAAAGCAGCTTCCCCAAAATTCTCAGTCATTCACAAGCAAGGATGGGGCGAGGTTCACCACTTTGTGAACAACTGCGTGAGCAAATAGTCGAACAGTTTAAGAACAACGTTTCTCAAAGTACAATTGCAAGGAATTTAGGGATTTCAACATCTACGGTCCATAATATCATCAAAAGGTTCAGAGAATCTGGAGAAATCACTGCACATAAGCAGCATGGCTGGAAACCAACATTAAATGCCTGTGACCTTCGATCCAGGCAGCACTGTATCAAAAACCGACATCAATGTGTAAAGGATATTACCGCATGGGCTCAGGAACATTTATCAACAACATCCAGAAATGCCGCCAGCTTCTCTTGGCCTGAGCTCATCTAAGATGGACTAATGCAAAGTGGAAAAGTGTTCTGTGGTCTGATGAGTCCACATTTCAAATTGTTTTTTGAAATAGTGGACGTCGTGTCCTCCAGGCCAAAGAGGAAAAGAACCATCCAGACTGTTATCGACATAAAGTTCAAAAGCCAGAGTCTGTGATGGTATAGGGGTGCATTATTGCCCAAGGCATGGGTAACTTACACATCTGTGAAGGCAACATTAATGCTGAAAGGTACATACAGGTTTTGGAGCAACATATGCTGCCATCCACGCAACGTCTTTTTCATGGACGCCCTTCCTGCTTATTTCAGCAAGACAATGCCAAGCCATATTCTGCACGTGTTACAACAGCATGACTTCGTAGTAAAAGAGTGCGGGTACTTGACTGGCCTGCCTGCAGTCCAGACCTGTCTCCCATTGAAAATGAGCGGCTCATAATGAAGCATAAAATATGACAACGGAGACCCCGGACTATTAAACCACTGAATCTGTACATCAAGCAAGAATGGGAAAGAATTCCACCTTCAAAGCTTCAACAATTAGTCTCCTCAGTTCCCAAATGTTTATTGTGTGTTGTTAAAAGGAGAGGTGATGTAACACAGTCATAAACATGCCCCTGTCCCAACTACTTTGGCACGGGTTGCAGCCATGAAATTCTGAGTTAATTATTTGCAAAAAAAAAAAAAAAAAGGTTTATGAGTTTAAACATTAAATATTTTGTTTTTGTAGTGTATTCAATTGAATATAGGTTGAAAAGGATTTGCAAATCATTGTATTGTTTTTATTTACGTGTATCACAATTTCCAAACTTCAATGGAATTGGGTTTTGTACATGTATGCTTTAGAGTTGTGTTTATTCTGCATACATTTTTATTCTGCATACATTTTTTTATTTTTTATTTACACATGCAAAAACTTTAAAAAAAGAATGGGGGAAACACAGAAAAGAGAGGTACTGAAGTTACAATGGTTCAATTTTATCTTTGATGCGAAGACAGCATTGTTTTTGTTCTTATCTGCTTGGATTATTTGTAAACAATTGCGTTGTTTTGGTTATAGCTCTGAAAATAAAAAGAAAATAGCAAAAAAAAAAAAAAACCTTCATTCACACCAGCTTGTGTGAGACGTTGTGCTGATTAATGACGTACTTGTGCGCTGTAGATTCCTTCATGCAATTGTTCCAGCTGATCATCAGCACCCAACCCTAACTCCCCAGTCTACTTTTCCAAATCACTGTCAGACAGAGAAAGAAGTTTCGCTTTGTTTCCTCTCATTCTCTTAAAATCCACTAGGGAAGTGACTTCCTACCACTTCTGTTGCGTAAACGTCAGCCTGACAGCATTCAAGCTCCCTGTTTTCTCTATGCCAGTGGGGCGATTAGCGGATGATGTTTGTTGTGTTTCAGGGCATTTCAAATTAGAGGCAACTTGATAAACAATTGTGTTTTAACTGCAACAAACCTATTTTCAATTAGGGATTGAACCTTTGTGTAAATTTTAATTCTATATCAATTACATGTCTATTTATTGTTGTTTGTTTGATCTATACAATGTCAGAACATTGAAAGTTGCAAACACAAGTCCTGAAAATAGACTAGAAAGACCTATCCAATGGTAAAAGTTTGCTTTTTTTTTGCCTGCAATAAGTGACCTGGATGTTAATGAAGTTTCTATTTTTACTGAACATCAATATTCCACTCACTCTTGCATAAGCCCACACCTCTCTTCCTTGGTCTTATCTTCTATAACTGACTCAGCTACCTGGATATAAAAGAACCCCATGTGCTTATTATCAACACATCTTCAAAGTTACATGACATGAACTTTGACATGCATTTGAAAATCTGTGAGAATCACTTGAACAGAGGAAGCACTGATTTCTCACCCATTCTCCGAACCACACTGTGACAGTTGTGTGTCACAATCACAAGACTCATGATCACACCCTAGATAAAAAAAATGACAATGAAACAAACTGACTTTATGACTAACAAACAAAGTACATAGAGCTTAGAGCAACGGTAAATCATAAACACAATATACAACATGTAGTTAATGAACTCAATTCAAATTCACAGACTCTTCTTCACATGGCAACATTTCCACAGAATACTAATATCAGACAGTACTACACTGTGCCAAATAGACCCATCATAAAAAGTCTACTCAAACAAAAAAGTAAAAGGAGTCACTGATTGGTCTCATGTTAATGCTGTGTACACAGACAAGCAGGATGTGTGAGCAAACATTTGTGAGTGAAGGGAAGAGCCCCCAAAATAATCAACCCATTCAAACCACAATCACATCACTGCAAAATCTAACACTTCCAGCTACTCCAGCCACTACTCTATTCAGTTATTCTGAGTCCTCCCAGACAAGTGGATCATTGTGTCAGTGGACACAGAGAGCCATTTTAATACCTTCTTGTGTTTACTTTTCAGCTGTGTTTGTTTGCTCGCTTTATATTCCTCCCTCATTTGAGCTATGAGAGCCACGACACTGACCTCTGTTTTTACATGAACATTCAATGTGGCATTTTAAAAAACAATTCCACTAAAAAAGACGATACTGTTCAAACTTGCGCACTGAAAAAAGTGAACATGTAACAGACAAGTGTGAAGGTAAGGAAAAAGTTACAGCCACATAGAAATGAAAGTCTCCTTTTAAACTGTAAGACATTTTTTTCAATGTATAATCAGAGGTGGACAACGGCAAAGTAAAGGTATTTTAGTACTGAAGAACTTTTTTGAAGTATCTGTACTTTACTTGAGTATTATCTTGGAGGGAAACTTATCCCTTTTACCTCACATTTGAAAGAGAGAGATTGCACTTTTGACTCTATATGAATGTTTTTGCTGGCCACTTCTGCTTCCAAAGTCTGCTGATCAATTTCCTTTTCTGAAATCTGTGTTTGTGTAGTTCTGTGTGTGGTTATTGCACATGTCGTATCCATGGTTGAATGTACATCAAATACAAAGCAAACGTTTCTCAGATCAGATCGTTTGTTTGGAGGTGGTAATGAGGAATATGGCAGAGGGAGGAAGGATGCTCTACTTAAGCACCCATGCACATATTTTAAGCCCATGTTTGGGACATTTAAAATGAAAAATGATTCATCTCTTTTTAAATGTTTCCTCACAAACAACACAAAATGTCACCGTCCAGCCTGAGAAGGTATGCTAACATTTGTGTTAGTCCATATTAACACTTAAAAAAAAAAACGGTCTGTGCTTGTAGTGACCTAGTTGCTGTTTTTATTAAATGGTTGGTTGACCCTTTTATTGTTGCTATTTTTGGAGCTGCAATCTGTAGCATATGAGTTAAAAAATGTAAATAATGATTTCTGCACATAAACAATGAGGGATATACACTCCTGACTGCACTCATGCATGATGGAAATAATTATTTTTCAGATTTTTTTTTTAAAGTAGGTTCAATAAATAAGTTTTTTCTACATAAAGTTCTTTCGTACTTGAACTAAGACCTCCATTAAAATAATATGTGTGCAGGGGTATTTATACTTTTGTCTAAAGTAACAGAGTAGTGCTCTTTGTCCATCACTGTCTATAATCATCTTTGTTTTTTCTTTGTGCTGTCCACATTTTCAGTTCTTACTATTATTGAGGATTCTGGGGGGTCCATCGCTGTTTGGGGAACAGAGATAAAGTGAATGCAGGGCTTGAATTATGAGCAATGTGCACTCAGGTTATCCTTATAATAATAAATAATACATTTTATTTGAAGCGCCTTTCACGTCACACAAGGACACTTTACAGAACATATAAAAACAATAATAAAACACTATTAACAATTAAAATCATTAATCATCAAACAGTTAAAAATCAACAAAGCAACATTAAACATGAACAACAGCAAAGGAATAAATAAAGAAATTAATAATACCAATTGAAATTTAATTTAAAAAAGTGGGTTAGGGGTGGTGGGAGGGATAGGCCAGTTTAAACAGGTGTGTTTTGAGTTTGGACTTGAAGAGGGGGAGGGAGTCTATGTTGCGGATGTATGATGGTAAAGAGTTCCAGAGTCGGGGGGCAGAGCGACTGAAAGCTCTGCCCCCCATAGTGCTGAGGTGAACAGGGGGCACAGAGAGGTGGAGAGAGGAAGAGGAACGGAGGTGGCGTGCTGGAGTGGCGATGTGGAGGAGGTCAGATAGGTAAGGAGGGGCGAGGTTATACAGGTTATTTTATAACTAAAAAGATACACATAAAGATACATCCCCAGGTTACTTATACACCTTCCAGAACTGTTAGAAATATCGTAAGATACACATCCAGATTTTGAAAAATTGTGACATTTTCCTTGAAGCAGTTTTCCTACCTGCTTGTTTCTGTACCAGACAAAGACTTGTCAATGCTTTCTATGTGAATAAAATGGTTTAATAACACGGACACTCCTTGACCCCATCTTGTGTTTCAGTTCAGGAGTTGTCTTCAATGCTAAATCTTGTTTTTAAGGCCACAGTTGCAAGTCAGGCTCTATCTTAATGTAAGGCTAGCAGGGCTGAGACCTGAGTCAGTGAGTTTGGAGCCTGGACTAAACCACTTTCCTGATGAACAATTGATTTCTCTCTAAACTTCACATGCCAAGTGAGATAGATTTTGGCTGTTTATAAAACTAGGCAGAGCTTTCGTTTAAAGCAAGTTGTCCAGGAAGAAGCTTTACATCTCTGTTGTGTTCGTTGCTACTCAGCGCTGAAAAGCATGTAGCCAGCAAACCAAAAGCTTTGGTGGTGGAAACTGGAGAGGAAGAAGAGGGCTAACTTCAGTTAGCTTGAACTAATCGGTTATCCGAAAGAATGTGGTCTTCTTGGCAGCTTATTTTGGGCTATTGACATGGCTGGGAAAGAGACACAGAGAGTGGGAGGGAGGAGGAGGAGGGCTGACCACGGTGAAAAGGAACAGAGCTCTGGACTGACCCACACCCTATTTACTGTAATCCTTAAATCGACTACATTTATTAGTTGTGGTATTAGTTGGAATATTATTCTTTGAACAATCATGGATGATTGAATCTTACTCCAAAGATATATTTATGTTAACCTCAGCGCTGTGCTTTCTAATCGAGCGCCATGAGCCGCTTTATTCACGCTGTAACAACAGAGGAGATACATATGGCTCAGGGATAATACAGAGGGCTTCACTAACCACTGCTTCATTAGAATGGGTTAGGCGTCTCCTGCAATAGTCCACCTGAGGCATATGTCTGTGTCTATTTTTCTTTTACTCGGAAACAAAGATGTAGTTCAATCATATGGTCTAGTTACGATATGGGATATTGTAAATCAACGTTAGCTAACGTTACGGCACCTGACTGCACGATCATAAAAAATTAACCAACCGTTCTTGGCTGGTTTTAGCATAGGGGAAACATTTAAAACACGACCAGGCTGAAAGGTGAGTCTATAAAAACAAAACTTCTCTTTTTTGGATTCAACCATCAGCACGTCTTATTTGTTCCATCATGATAGACAGGGAGGCAAACAGCTAGCCGTTACGTTAGCTTGTTTGGTAAACGAAACCTCCGTGTAACAGACAACGTTTCCGCTAGGTATGATACAACGGTCCGGTAGAGACAGTCTTACCTTAAATGACTTCGATGTAAAACCAGCTCAAACACTTCGTTATGTCAGGCGAAAGCAGGCTCTCTTATTTTGTGTATTTTTATACTGGCTACGTCGCTCTTGCTCCTCGTCGTGGACACAGCACTGAAGGGGATTTCTGGAAAGTGATCTCACTGCTAGCTTCCTGGTCGTACATCCCACGTCAATCAATGTTGACGCTACAAGCCACGCCCCCTAACGGTCCCGTGACCAATGTACATACAGTCAGTGTTTGAGATTTATTTTGGGTAGGAAGAAGTAGAAGGATCTGGTTGTTTATTTTGACCCCATCAAAGCTGAAGTTACGTAATAGTTGAGGAGCAACTTTTACCAGGGCTGCACTTCCTTAAATTCACGGTTAAGAAAAGTAGCCAAACATTAAGGACTTCATTGGTTATAACAGAGCCGGCCCAAGCCTCAATGGAGTCCCAAGCAAAATTTGGTTTTATTATTTTGAAATTATTAGATTAAATTTTTGATGATATTCTTTCTGCCAATTATATTGATTGTTGATCATTCACACACCTACTAATGTATAAATTTAATGCGCCTGACATGTCTTCACACATTTAAGGGGGTGGCCCAGGTAATAACATAAAAAATACCAATGCAACCATACAAATAATACCAATGAATGACTGATGAATGATGTTCAGGGTGCCGCATATTTTTTTCAATCTCCAAATGTTACACATTCAGGATGCTCAGTGCACATTGCACAGCAGGAGACACATAACGGTAGCGGGGCTTTTTTATTGACAGTAAGAATCATATATTTTATCATACAGAAAGCATCACTCATTCATGCAATAATTTAGCAAAAAAATAAATAAATAAATCATAATAACAATAATAATAATAATAATAATAATAATAATAGTTATTATTATTATTATTATTATTATTGATTGCTCTTGGGGGCCTCCTACTGGCCGTGGGGCCTTAAGCAGGTGCTTAGTTCACTTATGCCTTGGGCCGGCTCTGGGTTATAATGAGTAAAAATGGCTTAACGAGGCAAACAACATTGTATAAGTACGCTTCTTGATACAAGATGTCATCCTCATTTCAAGGAAATTATCAAGACATTTTTGGCTTGAAATATCTTGAAATAAGATTAGACTTGGTCTGTCATGCCAAGAGGCTTACTCTGAGATTAAAGAAATATTTGACTAGAATTGAGACAAATTCACTGTCAGATTTGAGTATTTTGCTGTGTAGACAAAACATGCGGCTGTAAATAAGCTTGCCTGTTTTTAAAAATTTCCATATTTAGTATTTGACACTTTGTAAATGGAAGTAAATACTTCCATCAGAAGAAATACTAAATACAAATTTAAAAAAAATATTCAAAAAGGTAGAAATAAATCAAGGTACTGAATAATAGAATTGAGAGTTAATCTAATTATTTACTTTAATAAACTGACCTGCTCTGAGGTTTGAGCCTCCGAGCAGGGGTGTTGCCAGAAATTCTGGGCTATGTGAAAAGATACCACGTGGGCCCCAACCCCAGCATCACAGCCAAAGCCAACCCTGCACAACTGCAGCACTCACACCGCCATTACACTTCAGAGCCAATAGAAGGCAAGCACGTTGCAGTTATTTGTGAGAAGGACCGCTTCTGGTAGGCTGACTGAAAGTTAGGATTGAGCTAGCATTACCAATATGGTGACCACTGCTGATAGGCTTTAAAACTCGGCTTCACAAACTAATGGGCAACGTCACAGACGCTACATCCATGTATACACATTAGCAGGGATTATCAGATGACATAACAACATGTGATATATACTTGCTATTGACCTGGTTTTATTAAGTAGCCTTACACACCATCTACATTGCTGCTGCTGTAGCATTTTCAGCCCTTGATCACAGCATTAACATAAGTGAAATCTCCATCAGTGCAGTCTTATGTGTTGTTGACATCCCACAATCATGGCAGTTGTATACAGCCTGAGCTTTATGGCCTGCCCTCTGGAGGTATCCTCCAAAAACACACACAGTGAATAGTTGAGTATATTCACAATAACACTTGTGGAACAGTCAGATGCTTACATAAAAGCAATGCACACAGAAAACACACCTTTGGTCTTCTAGGTGGATATAAAGAAGTAGGCTACACACTCTCCCTCTGTTGCTGTAAACTAAACTTTCTTGACATATTAGCAAGTTATTACAGCCACTTTATTCTATTTAAAATCAACAAAATATATATTTTAAAAAAATTGTGAAAAGGTGAGTTCAGCAGCAGTTTAGATAAAACATTTATGAATGATCAAATACTGTATATGCACATTTCAGACATTTGAACTACTTCAAGCATTTAGCAGGTTTTCACTTCATTTTTATGATGATTGCTTGGTTTTAATCAGTCCTCATGAATTTTTCATGTTTTAATCCTACCACAGATTGGACCACTTGATCTCATTGAACTTTCAAACTCATCAAAGCTTTTGGCTTTGATATCTTTTCACATGTCATTAAGGCTCAGGCATAATGTGGATTGTACAATAATAGTCAAGAATTCCTGATAAAAGTTGTTTATGAGGCAATCTTCATACAAAAGTTCACACTTTCTTCTCTCATCCTAACAAATTATTGTGAATCATCTCCCTTCACACTGACAATACTGCTACAGTCCTGCCTCAAAAAAAAAAAAAACCTGCCCAGGACTTCTTCCTCTACTGGCGCTCTGGGTAGTCAGTCACATTCCCCTCTCCACCAAACACCCATGCTTCCAAGTTCATTCACTGTAAAATAAGTCCAACATGGTGAATGGAAAATGCCGTCACCAGTGGACTTTGGGGCTGTGACTCATCTTAGCAACGAGTAAATAATGAGCTCGCCGCAATTTTACAACAGTGAAGCTTTTAATGTAATGCCAAAATGGAAACTTTCATAACAGCAGCTGAACCTCTCAAAGGAAAAATGTGTCACTTACCTGACTTTAAAGCATTTTTAGATGTAATCCACTCATATATTTACTGAGCATGAATCTCCATAATGGCAGAGAGCTGGAGTTCCACTCCTCCCACCGGACCGGCTCTGATGTACCTACTTTCTATCCAGTACATATAACAACTTTAGGCACTAAATAAGTCAAGCAGTAAACTATGTTTCATCATATAAAGTAATAATTGCTCCTTACTTTCCCCTGAGTGATGGTGTCACAGTTTTGTAGGAACAGCTCATGAAAAAGTCAGTACGGTCATCACCTCTCAACAAACAGTATTCCCATAAAATCCTTGATTTCTACATTTCATACAACTACAGAAGAGGATTCAGGTCAGTAAAAGAACAAAAAAAAGATCTTTTTTCATTTCAAATTTCCCAGAATTCTGGGGCTAAACTCTAATTGCTCTGAATATTTTAACCAAATTGTAACTTTAAACATGGGCAGGTGTTAAAGTTAAAATTTAATCTAAGAATTATAACAAAAAAAAAAAGTCAGAATTCACATTTTTTTCTTTGATTCTCATGTTAACTTCAGAAACTCCAAAAAGGTCAGACCCCCAGGTCTACACAATATTTTCATCAGTGAATAAAAGCTTCAAAAGTTCATTGTGATTACCAAAGGAAATGAAAAATGCCACCGTTCATAGCGTCTGGTTAGCAAGGTGATGATTGATCCTGCAAACACAACAGTTTACATCACCTGCCAGCAAGCTCTCATTCATCAGCTCTAGGAAGTATTTTGAAGTATTTGTAAAGCTTGTAAAGCAAAGGTAATGCAAGGAAATGCAAACAACACTCCTTTCTCACAGACGGTTTTATTGTGTATCTCAAGTACCATAGTCCTGAAGCACCAAGGTCCTGAAAAGTAAAAACAAAAAGAGCAACAGCACTCATGAAAACTTGTTTGCAGCCTCTGTTTCACTCAGAAACATCACAGTGAGCACACACAGATGAAAAATGGGCAGGAGATCATTGAATTCACCGCTACTGACGGTGATGCCTGCAGTTCTGCAGGTACTAATGATGCAATTTGTTGGGTATGGGTGTCAGTACAGGTCAAAATTAGTTTGAAAATACTGGCAAATCTGCATCAAAGCTAACAACGTGCACCCCTACTTCAAGCCTGAATTTGACCGTTTTATAAAAAACTAGAATAAAACATGGGTGCAACAAATCAATGATAAGATACCAAAACTTTTGAACTGATTTTTTTTTTTCTCTATGCTTGACCAGTAGGTTACATGGCAATGCATTACAGCTGTAAATGTTCAATTAACTGCTCTAATTTGTACCAATGAAAGGAGTTGTAACTAGTCAAGACATAATTTTGCTAGCTTTTCCTAGAGATTGTCTAAATATTTGGAAAAAGAGTTTTGAGAATTGGCATCTGCTGCAGGAGGATTTGGGTCTTCTTACATGTTTTTTAGAAGTAGACTGAAGGTGTTGGGTGAAGAGGCATCAGGCTGTAGATGCTTGGACTGAAGACTTTCTATTATGTGATCTAGGATATGTCCACGTGTGTTTGAAATTGTTATGAGATGTACTTTACGTCTGTAACTTTGTTAGGATGTGCTGCTGCTGATCTCAGCCAGAACACTCTTGACAGGAACATTTTTTTAACCTCTGTGAGGCCTCTTCTGGTTACATAAAGTTTAAATAAATAAAAAGTCACATTTGAAGAGTTTCAGGAGTCAGCATCTTTCAAAAACCAAAACCGCGACCCTGTTAAAAACAAAGATTTATAGCATTAAACACATTTAGCCTTGGTCAGACATGTTTGAACTGTGGTAATAAAAAACAAAAGACAAACTTAAGTGGGTATTTGGAGAGCACTTGCTTTATTTTAAATATGTCATCATTGGTTTAGCCTGCATACAGTAACGTATCAGCAAATTACTACACAGTACAAAGGTGGACTGCTGCCACACCAGTTTGCAGCTTTGCCAGTATGTAACATCAACAGCCATGGTCAATGTCTGACAGCCAGGCCAGCATATTCCTTCATTTAAACTCCATTTAAAACTATTTCTTTGAGATACAAAATCACCGGGACACCTGAGTGTCAGGGTGTGATCTACCACAGCACGGACTTAGTTAGGCAGTGTGGTACTTTACTGACACTATAGCAAAACAAAACAACAAAAAGTCATCATAGATTATACATCAGCTTTGTTGACTCTCAGAGATAGAAAGTTGGCATCTGAAAATACATGATTGTAGTTGTTACACAAAATAAGGTTGGGGGAAGGTCACAATTTGATTGATTCCTCTGCCCCCCTTTTTACTAATTTTCAAGCACTTTCCATATTTTTCAGAGAAAGAAAAAGCTCCAATTGCTGTGTGTAAACACAAATCCTGTCTTTGCACTGTTTGACTGTATGGCTTTAAATGGCGTTTAAAGACTCTGCGAGAAAAAGAACAAAATAAACACAAATCATTGCTAAGCTTTCAACATGTACATACTAGGGTTTCCATCGGGCCGGGAGCATGCAGACAGTGCAAGGTAGTAACCATGTGTTTGGTTAGATTACTTAGGCACACATTAGAACTATCTGTAACTGTGATTGGTTCTTCTTTTGAGCCAATTACTTCTGTCCAGCTCGCACTTCTTTTTACAGTTGAAATGAAAAAGGAAACACAGCGCTTCTACAGCTAACCCACTTCCTGTGTAACACCATTAAGGCCTTCCATGACTTGATGTTTCACAACAGGAAGCCACTAAATGTAACACTAAATCCTCATCTCTAAAACAGAAACTCATTTCATAGGTTATGATTTGAAGCCTTATAGGGATACAAATATGTGCTTTTCATTTTCTTTTCTACACTTTTTTGTTTCTGAAATATAACAAGCACCAAGTCTCAAAAATCATAATGTTAGTACACATGGATTCATAAGAGATAAATGTCCCTGCTAGTGGTTTCATTGGCATTTTGTACTTTTCAGCAAAACCATGCACAACCAACACTCCAAAAAACACAAATAAAAAGGAAGTAAAGAGAGAAGTAAAGAGCAATTAAAAAAAAACTCAAGATTAAGAACATGGAGGTTTGTAAGGTTATGGCCCATAGTCTTAGAGGAAGAATATGATGGAAAAATATAATTCACTCAGTCACAGAGACAAAATAACACAAACTGTCATAGTCTGATGAAATAAGTAGTGGAACTATAGACTCAAGCCTCTTATAGAATCAAGTGCAGACTCTCCTAGCTTCTCTCCAGGTCACCCAGGTAGGAAGTCACCTGTGGAGACAAAAAGGAGGAAAATGCTGGATTTAGCAAAAATCACTGTCAACTACAAGCTGCCTACCTAAAGCCAATGAATGTTTGAATTATTATCTGTGCTTGAATTTTTTTGGATAATCATTTATCCTGTACACTGGTCTACAAATCACTGAATGGTCTTGAATGTCTTACTTACTTCTTCTTATATTAAATTTTATCTTGTATTTTTTTTCTGCTGTAACGTGTGAATTTCCCAATTTGGGATCAATAAAGTCTATCTGTCTGTCTGTCTGTCTGTCTGTCTGTCTGTCTGTCTATCTATCTATCTATCTATCTATCTATCTATCTATCTGTCTGTCTGTCTGTCTATCTATCTATGTCAGAGCTGCTGATTGGTTATGAAGCTTTTAGACCCCTCAGGTCGTCAGGGGCAGGTCTACTCATTGTCCCCAGGGTCAGAACCAAGCAGGGTGAAGCTGCATTTCACTTCTATGGCCCTCACCTGTGGAACAAACTCCCTAAACACCTTAGATGTGCACAAACTGTCAGCTCATTTAAATCAGGCCTGGAAACATTACTGTTTACTGCAGCTTTCCTATAGCCTCATTTCCTTTAACTTCCACTTTGCTGTTGTGTCAATTTCAAGTGTTTTAATGATTTTAAATTACATTTATTTTTTTTATTGATTTTAAGATGTCTGATTTTAAATTGTTATATGTCTTTTTGATTTTGAATTGTTTAATCTCTCTTTTTTAATTTCTTATTGCCTTGAATATGAATGGTGCCATACAAATAAACTTGCCTTGCCTTGCCTAGGAAGCAGGGGCTTGTCTAGAACTTTTTAAGTGGGGTGGACCAACTAACACTGACTTATCTCAGGCTGGCATAGAGTCTGTGAGCACACACATATTCAAATAATAACATCTATTTACCATTTCTGTCCCTAATTGAAAATGAAATTGAAATTGAAAAGTAAGACAACTAATACATTTTACCTCCAAACTGCAGAATTTCTAGAGGTGTTGGCTTCATACAAGCAGTCTACAGTACAAGAGTATAATTTGACTGGAATTTCATGATATGAGTTTAATAGGTTAAAACTGAAGGACGATAAAAACAAATGTAAGATCTTAAGATAATTCAGTGTAGTTAATTTATGTCACATGAACTATTATGGAGAGAAGTGAATGCAATGAAAAGATGACCTTTTGTTGTTTTAAAAGAACTTCAATTTTGATCAACTGGAGAAAGAGAGAGAGGGAGAGAGAGAGAGGGAGAGAGAGAGAGAGAGAGAGAGAGAGAGAGAGAGAGAGAGAGAGAGAGAGAGTTGACTGCAGTTGGTCTCGCTGACTATCATATGAGGAGGCAAGTATCTCTGTTATTCTTTTAGCACCAATTTTCTAAGTGCAGATTAATCTTGCGAGTTGTGGACCTCAGCAGCATCAAACTGTCTCATTCTTAATTAGACCTCCAACATTTTCTGTTCCATTAGCATGGAGACTAATGTCATAGTGTACTCTAAAGTTAATGCATAGTACCGCTAATGAGCACAAACAGATAATGGCTCAATGCTGCTTGTTCAAAAACAATGGGTTGACTTCATCACAAACATCAGCATGAGTGAAAAGTATAATCCTGCATTCAAACCTCAACGTACACATTCTTCCCTTTTCAATAAGTAGTTTATTAACTTCTACTTTTAAATTTGTTTTTATGGTAACTGTGGCTATGTGGGTCACTTCTTGAAGTTGAAAAGTTGTGTGATCACAGATGAATCCCTAATAATTACTCACAGGATTATTGTACTATTTTGAAATTGTTGAGCTATTTGCACGCTCAGAATCTACCCACTCATGCTCCTGTTGCAAATCAACCTAATTAGTTTAGAAATCTTCCTCCGGGTGATTTCATTTAGCATGACACAATTTTTCCAGTGTTGTTTTTGTCAACATTTTACGAAGCACCCAAACTTTTTTTGCTAGTGGGGTTGTTTCAACAATGGAAATAAATTGCATTACAAAGTCCTGCTTCAAACAAAAGAGACATCCAATCATAGAGTCAGCTTTAAGATGGCATGAGGGGGTGGAGCCTATCCGCTGTCACTGGGTGAAAGGCTCAGCACAGTGTGGACAGGTCGCCAGAATCACAAAGCTTACATATAGAGACAGACAACCATTCAAGCATATAGTTAATGCAAAGTACACAATTAACCTGATAAGCATGTTTTTGGAATGTAGAAAGCTGATTGTGTACATTTAGGAAATATACATCTGTCATTTATGGTAGAACAATATGATTTATTGGCCTGTTTCATGTCTGGTTCTAAAACAAACTGATGGCCATCATAAGAGTAATGGCTAAATTCCATTATAGGACAATCTTTGCATTATTTACCACATGAAAAAGGTAGGTATCTATATTTGTATTGACCAACATGGGTTTAAAAACATCAGCATGTCAGATCTCAGTAAAAATCCAATATCATACATCCTTGTAGAAAAGCGCAATGTAAGAGCAGCAGTGATCATAAGGACTGGTTTACTTCTCTTTCTAGCTGTGCAAGATGACATAATGCCATAATGCAGACACTAGAAAAGGGGCTGAGTCAACATTTACTGTAAACAACGGAGGGGAAGTACAATGCCATGAAACCCAAGACATGACAAGGTGAGCCTGCTGTCCTGTAAATACGTGTCTAAAGATCATTTTCCTGTTTCAAGGTAGGTTCCAGTACAGCATATGAAGTAAAAGGAACACACATCATTTCAGTATGCCAGATTGAAGCTTTTTATCAGCTGAACTCCATCACATGTAACTTTTGAACAGTTTTTATCCACTGGTCACCTTATGTTCACGCGGTGAGAAAAGGTTTATTCAAATAAACCAAGGTTAGGTTTTTGAAAAGGCTCCTGCTTGAAATGGAGGCAACATCCTGTGAGATGCCATCCCTATAAGTCTCCATTCATTGCCTTAAGGGTACAATCGCAGAACTACTATATGCTTAGAAATGGACTGGCAGCGTGAAAGCCTGGGTCATATGAGTACAGCAATAGATGACGTTTGTATTCAACTAATTGATGAATTCAGTGACCTCTCTTTCAAAAGGCAAGGAAACTCTAATCAAATCTTTCATGTTAAACGTCTGTAGGTTTGCAATTGTACAGTCAAAGAGAACCACAATAATACGCTTTCCTAAAACAGCTGACCCAGAACTATACAAATGAAGACTCATGTTACTTTTTCAACTGAACTATATCATGTACCTAACAAGAAAGCTAGCTAGCTAACCAGCATCTCAAAAAGCTAATTAGCAATATGACTGACCAGTACTTATCTTTACAGTAGGGGTGGGAATCACTACTATACGATATTATCATGATACAATATTATTGTGATTTTAAACATTTTGCGATACATTGAGTATTGCGATACCATATTCTGCGGTTTGTACAATTTTTTCAATTGTTTAGCTTTTTTAGCATTTGACCCCTTTTTGACACATGACACCTGAGACTACAGACAATTGAATTTCCCTTTGGAGATAAATAAAGAATAAGAATAAAATAAAGTTGGTGACAGTTTCTATGCCAATATCAGGACTACATAAAGGAGGTTTCAACAAACAAACAAACAAACAAACAAACAAACAAACAAACAAACAAACAAACACAACACAACAGTAAACTGGCAACTGAAACAAGCTGCTGAGAGTATTCAGCAACAAAAGTACACAACATAAATGTTATCCCTCACAGTGAGTAATCCAAACTATTACCTGCTGAGTTCATACAACATCCAGACTTTTCCTATACTTTTTACTGGGGCTGCCACAGCGAGGGAATTTCTTCTGCAGTGATTCAGGGTGGATAAAACCTGGGCTAAGTGTTATTATAGCACTGTTCTGTTATCTGTTAAAAGTTGATAATCAGTGTTACTTTTTAAAACAAATTATTACAATAGACAATCATTAAAAATTAAAAATTATTAAAACCTGTTACTTCCATTCACTTTTTCCCACATTTTCAAGTGACTTGACTGCACTGCTGTTGACTTAGCTCGTAAAACTGGTTCTGGGTGTTTGGGAGCAGAAAGGGAGGGTTCCTGCTGAGCCAAATGATCCAGATCTCAGAATTTCTGTTTCTAGCAGCACTCACACTTAAGTTGCTGACCAGAGAAAGAGCCTAGATTTGAACTAATCTGCTAGTCTAAATGAATATAATGAGTTTCATTTAAAAATGTTCACTGGACATGGACAGTGGAGGCGACACAACAGCTCTACATTTTACGACAGGTCAGACTGAAAAAAGTCAAGGATGAAAAGTTCAGCTGTATGCCCGCTCAAGTGCAGCCCACCAGGCTAATGTTGGGAGGTTTTGGGGTCCTGTGCATGTATGAAAAAAAGTCTTAGCTTCACAGTTCACTTTGTTTCTGGCTTGGCTCTGCCATAAGTTACAAAAGGGAAATCAAACACTACAAAAATAACCCAGAAGAAACAACTGGGCAGTTATTGTGATTTTCAGGTATGCATGTACTCATCATCTTTATACATTTGTTGTTATTGTGAGCTGCAGTGCTCAAACTGACAGAATACTTACACAAAACAAAAAAGTCCTTGAACGTGTCTCATTCCAAACCGAGCAGCTCTACGTCAAAGATGAGGGTGGCGTTTGGAGGAATGATGCCTGGGTGGCCTTTGTTTCCATAAGCGTAGTCAGGTGAGCAGGTCAGCTTGGCCCTTTGACCAACACTCATCTGGAGGAAGGAGAAGACAGATGATGCAACCAGAGGAGGGACACAGGAGTCATTTAAAACTGCTAATCAAGACAGAATAGAGATCATTAGACCATAATGCACTCTCTGCACTCTACGTTGGATAATAAAGCACAGGGGAGTGAAAACATCCCACTTACCATTAAAGCCTCATTATCCGGGTCAAGGGCCTTAAGTGTTTAAAACTAAGTTTGTGCCAATTTAACTTGTAATTTTATGACACTTTTTATTTGGCTGTGTGCAGAAATGAGCTGAATACCATTTGAAAAGCTACCAAATAAGACCAATTCATTGCTGACTTTCAAGATTTTACAAACATCAACACTGAATCACCAATTTAAAGCAGCATGAGAGTCAAATCCCTCATCAAATAGGCACTGGGAAAGATTGGCAATAGTCAGGATACTTGGTCAGGCTAGGCTTTTATTGTCAGCTTCAGACTGTCATGACATGGGATACCTGTATATAAAATACTCAAAAAAGCATCTTATTACAGGTATTATGACACAAATGCAATATCAAATGTCATTTTTTCAGTGCTGAGGCTGGGCCACCCCAGGCAAAAAAGTCTGACACGCCCCTGCTTGTTAGCGAGTACTTGCCCCAAGCTTACTATTCTTGATAACGAATGAACAGACAGCTCTGTTGATGAATCAGAGGGACTGCAGTAAAAGACAGGGACTCAAACTGCAGGTAAAACTGAAGACAACATCTCAAGGATGTATGTCCATGTAGAGTGTTGCTCTCTCTATAATTAAGTCCCTGTGGACTGCCCAACAGCAATCCCTCTCTCCGACCAGCCGTCACTAACCGAATAATAGGTTAATCCATCTAGGTCATCAAAAAAGAGGGCATTTTCTTTGACAGAGGTAACAGTGTCCTAAACATGTGTTTGTCCTCATTGTCTACAGAAATATGAACAAATTAATATCTGAGAAACTGCTGCATACCTTACACCTGTTTCAGACGGAATATTAACGGCGAGTGAGTGAACAAAAAGTTGGCTTTGGATTGTAAATCTTTTAGACAAAGATCAGAAGCAAGCCCTTTGACCATAACCAACATAATGTGTGACAATTAAGAGAAACTTCTCCTGGTAAGAGGTCTGACTAAAACACACACCCTGTGACAGAGATCAATCTGTCTTGGAGCCATAAAAAACGGTGAAGCTTGGAATGAGTTTAAACCAACAAAGTTATGATTTATCGCTTGTCATTTCTAATTGATGGTCAATCTTTTGAACATTTCTGAGATATTGATCACTGATGTTCTTATAAATTCTGAACTTGGAGAACATCAAGTTTTAACTGCCATCAATCCACAAGACCTGTACAGAGGCAGCAGCACCATTCACCAGCCGCCTCATCAGCACTTACACCAGGATGATTAAATATAGAGGTGCGTCTGTTCTGCATTTGCTCGTTGATAATGGCAATCTAAACTACTGTTATGGTGTTTTATTTCTTCAGTTTGACTCACTTGATTGAAGCCTTATTCTGTCTGTGCCAGTGACACTGTATCATGTCAAGTTCACCCTTTTCTGTCTGTATAAATGAGTTCAATGAGCTGTATTAGTGTCTGTTACAAGACAAACATGGTTCAAAAGACTGACTTACGTAACTATTACCGCACCAGGAATACCTACCTGCACCACACCCTCCTCCCAGCCTCGGATCACCTCCTGTTTCCCAATCTTGAATCTGAAAGGCTTATCCCTATCACGAGATGAGTCGAACTTACGTCCGTCTGTCAGGGAGCCTGCAAACAAGAACAACAGAGAGAGAAAGTGAAGAAACAAGGACTTTTTTATGTTGGCAAAATCCCCAGAGAATATTTGTATCACTGAGGGGGACCCTTGTATATCGTCTGTCTAAGTCTGGATTTTTAACATGGGAAGTGTCCTAGTTTCCATATGTAGCCTGAGTAGCATTGACCAGTCTGTGTGGAGAGCAAAAGCATGTAGACTGCACACAACTGTAATGACAGCCCAGCTCACAGCAGCTGCTTAGTGAGGGTGGCTAATTTTCTCCAAAACTATTCTTGATCAGGGTGCAGAGATGGCCGGGGGGGTCAGCGCACCCCACATATGGGTACACCAGTCCCTGCGAATCTGGCCCCGACCATGTGCTGCATGTCCTCCCCCCTCTCTTGCCATGACCCAAAATTTCACCCTGTCCTATCAATAAAAAGGCAAAAACCACCCCAAATAATAATAATAATGATAATAATGATAATAATAATAATAATAATAATAATAATAATAATAATAATAATAATAATAATAATAATAATAACAAACTACTCTATATAAAACATTTTTGCTGGAGCAACATATCTGCTCAACACTGTCACACAAGTCAATTTGCATTTAGATAGCTATTACAATGCATCAGATTGCTGAGACCTCCATTCAACAGTTAAGCATTTTAAAAGTTCTTCTCTTCCTCTCTTAGGGAAAGATCTGACAATGTTTGCACTTTCCCACCTTACAAACCTGCACTGTTATTTTTGCTGACTTATGATCAGTCAATTGAAAATAAGTCACATTTAAATAGGTTTCCTTCTCAAGTTCAAACAGCTAAAATAAACCAAAACAAAACATGACTGCATCAACTTTTGAGCTGAGACCTATAATAATTCAAAGAGAAGAATGGGCGCTGGTCAAGTTGACATTAACGATGCACGGAAAAGGAAATCTTGGCCGAAATTATTTTTAATAACCCCTGGCAACACCCGCATTACAGAAATGTGGGCATCCGTTCCCAGAAGCAGCAGACAATAATTAACTTTAAGTCCTGGGTTTGGTCATGCAGTGAAGGGCAGATACTGTGCTTTTTCAATTCTTTAACAACAACTGGTTTTATTTCTATATTTGATAAATATGATGTAAAAAAAATTGGTTTCTTTAAAATACTTAAAAAGCAACTTGTGAAGGCAGGTAGTAAAATAGTTATCCTCCTCAACTCTTTTAATATTTTTACCTTTTCTAACATGTTCTGCATTAAGGCGAAGTTGGCAAAGGTGTAAAATACGATGTAAAAAATACTATCTTCTTCTAAAAGAAAGAAAGACAAAACAGGTGAGTCAGTTTCATGGATGTTAAGTTCATAATCAACAGGACGGAGCCAGGGAAAGATCCCTGTGGCGCACCAGCTGTAAATCCCAGGGATCCAAACAAGTCTCTCCCACTCTCACACACTGAGTTCCTGACTATTTTTTTTTTTTTACTTTTAAAATTTTGACATAGAACTCCTCCCATTGTTCAAACTAGTTTCCCAATCCTTTGTTGACGGCTAAGTTGTGATAAGCTCTTAAGTAGGACGAGACGAAAGGATGTAGAATTTTTGGGATTAAGATTATTATCATTAATACTACTACTACTACTACTACTACTACTACTACTACTACTAATAATAATAATAATAATAATAATTATATTAGTAGAAAGTTTTAACCCCTGAACTTCTGGCTTGTGAACAGACTGTTTAACACTCCATTCCTTTACATTTTGTGTTTCTAACTCAAGCTAATGGTCAGCACTTGCTTTAACAGGTCAAATATGATCTGTTTTGAAAAGGGTTGAATCTAACTAATGCTTGGGTTGTTTTTCAGAATAAAGAATAAAGGAAATACAGGGATTCCAGAACCCAGGACCAAAGAAAATGCAGAGTGAGTATTAGTGTGACAATTAGGAAAAACACTTACACCAGGACATAGAATACCACCCCTGCATGACTATATATACATGCATTACTGTTATTAGCCCTGGCAAGGCATTGCGTGTGATGGTTTGTTGTGAAGTCAGTGTGCATGTTCTGTGGGAGAAGGTGCAACATCGCACTTATTGTTGGGCACATCAGGGGGCGGCTGCCAAAACGCAGCCTCTGATGCAGGCAGTGGTGTGGGTGTCTGGTCCTCTTCTGGACATTCAGAAAGCTCACAAATTAAAATTTCTGTGGGAGCTGAATGGTCCTATCAAAGTAACAAAGCCAATACACAGAATTTCCTATAACTACCAAACAACGCAGTGTTGACTTTTTCACACACCAGCCATTTCCTGCAAGCCGAGAGCAGCATATCCATGTTTTGATCTTCGCTCGGATGTCTACATTTAAAAAGGCTTGTGTAATGGAATATCCTGTTTCAAGTCACATCTCAAGGCTGCTTTGTAGGCTGACAGGAAGAGGGACCGCCCAGAGAGAAAACCCTGCAGTTTGAGTGAGAGGGAAAAAGAAAGGAAAAAAAGATGCAGGCTCATGTCTAAAAAAAAAAAAAAAAAAAAATCTTCACTGTGCACGGCCCAAATCGGGTCTTACTTCAAGTTACGTAATCTTGAAGCAAAGAGGCTTGTATTACAGGGTGAGTTATGTCTGTCTTACCAGGCAGAAAGACTGAGAGCAGCAATGCCAAACGAAGAACAGGTGCAAACAAATTTGCAGTCTAGCAATGCTGTGAGGCGAACCCATCTGATATCCAGCTTTGCTGCAGATTCTACGTGGTTTATTGTTTGCACTGGTTTAAAGTTGGAGCTTCTTTTGGCACATTTGTAGCCGTGCTCAGCAGCCTGGCTGTGAATGGCAACAACATCTGTCTGTCATCCACCATCACAGACCAGAAATAAATACCCCAAAAACAAACTTCCAGACTGGTTGCCATGATATCTAGTTCTAACCTTTATATTCCCCAGAGGATAAATCCAGATGGCGATTCCTTATTTAATTTTTCTTTTTACAGTGGGTTAAATTTTGCGACGCTGAGTCAGGGGTTTTTTAAACTACTGGATGTACTGCAGTGAAATTTGAAACATTGAAGATGAACTGTATTCACTGAAGAAATCCTTTGACTTTTCCTGCAGCACTGACATTAGGTTCAAAATAACCAAACAGAGCAAGACTCTACTGTGACCGCTGATTTTTGTTTTTTAAATCATTTATAAAATATTATTTTCCTAACCCACTGAGCAAACACATATATATAACTACTCTCACTAACTACCTTATACTGACATTAGCATTGAGCTTAGAGTGCCACTGTGTATAAGCACTTCAGTGTGACTAAAGCTTAACTTTGACGTGAGGAAAAAATGACGGCTGAAATGATTAGCCCCTTGATCTGTGATTAAACAGACAGAAACTGGTTTAAGGACTATTTCGGGGATTTGAATCATACCTAGTATCTTTCAACTACTTTAATTAACTAGCTCTCTAGTGAGACTTTTGTAAGTCAAGCTTTTGTGGTTTTAATTTGAATATTTTTGGGTCCTTGTGTGAGGTTTGGTTTCAGCAAAAAATAAAATACAATGTTGGATGTCAGTCCAGTTTCTCTAAAACTATTGGTTCTGCTTTTCTGAAATTGTTGTGACCAAGGAAACAATTCACAGTATAATTATCTATATCACCTCATGGGGTCATAATTGAAGTTATAATCTTGTATGGCTAAAAACAAAGATACAATAAATAAAGAATTAAGTGGTACCATAGTGGTTTATTATATCAGGAACAGCTAGAATACCACAAATGTTTACAGTCTGGTGTAGGGGACATATTACAGGAATAATAGACTACAAGCTATTACTGCAGCCGCACAGACGGTTATAATCGGCTCAACGAAACGCCACCAACCCCCCCAAAAACTCCAACAAAGACCTAAAAGCGCAGAAATGAGACGGCGTTTAAAGCCCGCTGTCTGCCCTGTCTGTCTGTCTGGGCCTCTGTGTGAACCCTGCGGCGGAATCCGTCTGCGTCTCCTTTGATTTTTTTTTTCATTAATTCCCCCGACAAGACAAATACTACATTATCCACTGATGTTAATGGGACTTAAATGGACCACTAGAGCCAAACTGGAGCGTGCATTATTCCACGCAGAGTAGAATTGAGTGTGCTGTAACCACGACATACCTCCAGTGCTCCCCGTGTACGTAAACATGATCAAATGCGAGCGTGAGTAACGCAAATGCGTTCCGAGGAGGGAGAGAAAAAGTGGCGAAGGGGTTAAATTTTCATGCTGCGCAGTCGGTGACAGTCATGCCTCTTTGCCCTACTGAGAAATCATTCATTACCCTGAAGATTTGGGGGAAAACATGTCTGCTCTACATGGTTAAATGCACTCCACAGCACTTTAAAGTGCACTACTGTCGATAGACTAATGCTCCTGTGAGGATTTGCAGTTTTTGCTGTGACACTCATTGGATTAAAATGCTTGGCTGTTTTTCATACGGGTGTAGTAGACAGTTGCCTATAGTCATCACTCTACTTGCACGGCCTTCATGAGTACAAATAACCAACTCGAACAGCTCCATGTATATGATTTGTCCACGCATGCAGGATAACAAGTTTCATATTTGCACTCACCAACATAATGCACCACACACGTCTGTCCTTTTTTGGGGAAAGTCCTTCCTGTGAAGAAACCAACGAGGCGCTTAATATAACGGACATACTACGCAATTAAGGCGGTGTTTCTGCGGTTCTGTTAAATATATGCAAACAGCTCGCGCAATCGTGCACTTCGTTGAAAAACAGAAACGTGTATCGTAGTCTTGAAGTCGTCTTACCGTCACCCGGGGTTATAGTCTCGATTTCGACTCCCATTTTAGTGGTGTTTTCTGGAGCTGCACCCGGCAACACTCTTCCCTTCCCGCAGTCTGTCTGTCTGCTCCTCCGGCGGATGTTCTCAGCTGTCTGTCTGTCTCCCTCTCTGGATCTCTGCGGGCACACCAACGTCAATAACTCATATCAACGACGGCACTTCCGCCCGCATCTTTCAAAATAAAGCCCATGCTGGGGTAGCAAGAAAGGCCAATCAAGATGAGGCGCTTCGTGAAAACTATTAGAAGATTAAAACCTTTTAACCACTTTTTTACGAAATTGTTTTCGAAATGAACATATTGACTTATAAAAGCAAGAAGACTTGCAAAATAATCCTTTGGAGAAAAGAAACCAACAACAATCATCTGATTGGTTTAAGATTCTTGAGTTTGCCTCTTGTGGTGGAGTAACAAATGCGACATTTACAACTTTCTTGATAAATGTCTATGGAAAGTTTAGATACGAAGGTTGACTTAAGAGTTTTGAAATAGGAAAACTTGAAAAACTTTGAGGAAGCTTCTTTGAGGAACTTCTAATTTATGGCACACCCAGAGGACAAGGTAGTACATTACAGTTCTACACTTACATTTTCAAGTCTCATCTTCCCACAAAACGTCTCGTACTGCTTTATTCTAACATTCAGGAATAATCTTTGCCATGTAATAATCAATGATCAATAATTTTTGCCATGAAGTAATCTATAATCAATCATCTTTGCCATGTAAAAATCAATAATCTTTGCCATGTATTCTAAACTTGAGTGACACCAACCCCCTAACTGTGGGTTCTGACACAAAACACAACAGAAACTAAACTCATTTTTCTTTATCTGGATGACTTTGCATTTGTGGCTCTTACAGAGACACTAGGTTACGTTTTTCAGTCTGTTAAAACACCCTCACGAGAGGTTCACTCATCCAATTAGACACATACACTATTTAAAAGAAGAGGGAAGGAAAATTCAACTTTTTTTTGTTTTACTATAGGATGTTTGCTGACTTACCATATTTAGACACAAAAATTCAACAGGTTCTAAGACTACATTTTGGTAGGAAAGAATGAAAGGACAACTATAACCTCAAAGCACCGGGATATCTGTACTGTTGGACAGTAAATAACTGAATGAGGTCAGCTGAATGGGGTACACACCCTCTTTTCCCACCACAATAAAAACACAAGACAGCGTGTTCTTTGTACATCAACCATAAAATGGATTTATTTTGCCAGAGGTCCAAACATGTTTCTGTGTTGCCCCAGGATGCATAGAAGATGTCAGTGTGTCATTGGAATTCCACTTCCACTACTACAAACCAGTGTTTACAATCTATGTGTTCTTTTGCTCAACCATTGGTTCAATAATAAAGCCATATGTAACTGTTATTTTCATTTTACACAATATCAAAATGCAACTGTGTCACTGGGACAGTTCTACAATCTGTAAAGGAAATAAGAAAGGAAAAAAAGGCAGTTTAAAAAAATAATTCCATCTTTATTTAAACAAAGGGACAAGTGAAGTTCTGGAGGTGAAGAAAGGAGCGTAAGGCTACTGGTATAGGTTGATTTGGAGAAAGGAAACTCCTCAGAATTGTTTTGTAATATATTAACACTTTTCTCTCCACAGATATTACGGGGAGAGAAACAGAAACGGTGACAAAACTGCTCTGTGAATAGCTTCTTTGAACCTTAATAGAACTCAAATCTTGGTGTGGTTCTTGTTTGTGCTGTCAGGACAGAAACAAACTAGGAGACTGCCGCTGTGGGAATCTGGTGTGGCTCCAGCACCTGATAATTGACATGGCTTCAGGGCCAAATGAAAATTGATAAAGAAGGAACGTGGCGAGCAAGGTAATGGATAAAAAAAGCCAGGTTCAGTGAACATCTCTGCGACTCATCTTGATTACAGAAACCTGGACTGCTGCTTTGTTTCTTGGGTTTAACCATCTACTTCTGTCAGGTCAACATCCCCATCAAAAGCACAACAAGACCATTTATTTCAGCTTGTCAGCAGCTCTTAAATATAAACTCTGTTCCATTCTGGAAGATTTTTAGTTTCCCCCTCGTAACTGCCTGTCACAGACCACAGAGGAGGGGAGGGGAAGAGTCAGGGTCTGGGGGACAGGATGTTGTTATTCACTTTAGAAAAACAAAAAATCAGAAATTAGAAGTCCATACATAAGTCTGTTTTCTCCTCCCTCAGAAGGGGCAGCAGGTTTCACAGGGCTGAAGTTACTCAGCCACACCACCGAGGGGGGGGGGGCTAACTCTTACTACTCCCCCTTCAGTTTAGCCGCTGGACGATGACAGCGTTGAGGAGATTGGCTTGCTGCAGCGTCTGGCTCTCATCCGACAGCTCCTTGTTGGGGAAGGTTGTCATGAGAACAAACTCTCTGGCAGCCATGGAGGGCCGAGCTGCGACCACAAACTGACGCAGGTCAGACACCCTGAGGGAGACAACGCACAATGGGAAATATGGTGAGCTTGCATCTGGAAATATCAACAGTGCCTTCGATAAAAATTTTGCAAAAAATAAAGCTTAAAAATGCCACATCTTAGGTGCATTATCTGTTTGTCAAGAGCAAAAAAACAAACAAAATACCTGAGTTTAAACATTCGTATTCCTTACTCACAGAGCTTACGAGTTTAAAGAGTTGTTTGTGGTGATGAAATTTTAAGTAAATTTTTTAATTCACAATCTTTTCTGAGTTTTCCCCAAAAAGTTAGAACTAGATCTTAATACAGATAAAAGTCATTCACAAAGTATTTCAATCCTTAAGAGAGCTCATAGGCTGAAAAGGTGTTGGTGAAGTGAGGAGGACTTTGAAGAGGCTTCAAAGTTTCTGAAGCTGAGGAGGAAATAGCACAAAGGTAGTAAAACAGGAGAAATACACTCCAAACTGTCCTCAGACCAATAAGCAAACTAAACAATGCCAGGAGAGTGATTGGTCTGATTGGCATGATGTTGATGGCAACAGGTTACAAACGACTAAAATAACCGCATTACAAGGTTTATAATAACCATGAGATGTTACACTGCAGTTGATGCATTTAAGGAGAGACAGAAAAACTGGCATCTGTCTGTTATCATGTACAGAGAGTACCTTGAGTACCTTGATTACAAAAAATGATTGAGGAATCTCCCTTTCTCGAGTACGGGTTTATAAACTCTGTCGTCACTGTTTTGCACATCTTATTTTCAAGGTGACACAATGCGCTTACATCACCACGGTAGGAGGAGTAAGTGAGATTTTGGTTTTGCGGAGTGGAAAAATTGAATGATGAGAGGGGCTTTTCTTCTGCAGAGCTCCAGTGGCTCGATAGCAATTCACTTCTGAGTCGTTAGCGGACATGATGAAAGCTAATATCATAGTTAGCTTTCTTACAAGCATTGCCATCCGTTACCGCACATGCTTGTTCCACGATAATTGCTCTCTAACTAAAAAAAAAAAAAGTTTTATCCGATTACTTGATTAATCGATGGAATATTCGGTAGGATACTTGATTACTAGAATACTGGATAGCTGCAGCCCTAATATAAATGGTCAGCCTGCATTGGAATAATAGACCTATGTGTGGGTCTAATGACTGTGAACCATAACACAGGCATGAAAATGGGTCAGGGGTTGAAAAGAGCCACATTAACACAAAAAAAACGTTTTTAAATCTTAGACAATAAAGTTATTATTTAGGAGAATAAAGTCAATAATATATAAGAAGAGTATATAAGAGGAGAGTTGCTAAAATCAGCACTGAGGAGCATTTACATGAATTGTACTTTAGTATAGGTTTCACAAACATGGAGATACTTAATCCTTTGGTACATGAGCATTACACTGTCAGAACTTTAAAAAGAATATATGAGAAATGCTGCTTTTGTGGAGGGGAGAATGGCTGGAAATGGCTGTACAGAGGCTAAATCCATCAATACAGCTGTTAATAGCAATAGCATAGGGCTTTAGTTTATCATATGAGTTTATATGCCATGAGGTGTTGAGGTCTCTGCATGTGTAGGTTACTGACTTACTGTAATCATCGGGTCTTCCTCGTCCTTATAAAAACCTGCTCTATTTCGGCGAGTGTCTGTCTTCTGTAGTCAAACCGTAAGATATCAAAATCTACCCGGATACAGCAATGCTGCTTTTTGATTGGCTGTTCAGTATATATACTTTATTTGATTGGCTTGCGCGTGGCACGCAGCTTCTGAACTCCTGGAGGAACTCAGTTGATTTCTACCTGTTCCATTGTTACAGAGGTGCAACTTTGTGGACATCACCATGTTCATTTAAATGCGTGAGAAATACAATGTGTGGCGTGTGAACGGGTGGGAATGTGTGTCACACGCTGAATGCGTGAGACTTGAGAGCCCTGCAGAGCAGTAAACGCGAGACGCCCGCTTTCGCTTTTTTAGATGGCTCAAAACTTGGATTATTTCGCATTGTTGTGTACTTTCAACCGCGCTCCCGTCAGGGGGGCATTCTACGGCAGGGGTGCATTCTACGGCACAACACCGGCGTGGACAAGTCCTGCTTCTTGTTCTCGCAGCTTTGCAATGCTACCACAGGCTCTCCAAGCACTCCAAGTGCACGTGAAGAGTGTGCGCATGATTGGAATAGTGGAACGCAGTTTGGCCTATGATTGGTTCTCGTCAGCGGAGGAGCCAGGAAGATTTGCTGACCGTCCAAGTGTCATTTAAAGGGCCGATTTCTGAAGTGCTCAGTTTACGTATTGAGTCAATCACATGATAATAAAAGAACAAAAAAATCTCCCCCCCCCAAAAAAAAAAAAAAAATTCTCCTCGGATCTACACGATTCATGTAGGTCACCCTTTTTGACTTCAAAACGGCGACTTTTGCCGAAAGGTGAGAGATTTTCATGCTTTTCATTCACAATTGCTTCACCTTTTAAAACAGGTGTGTAAGTTTTAAAGATGTGAAAAAAGGCCACCTTGTTTTGAACTTATATATGTTTCTGTTTCAGAAGCATGAAGAAGTTTGTGACCATTACTCCAGTGTAAAACGCAGAGAGAGACGCTTCATTGTGGTACACTGCTGGATCCAGAAGATGGTACACCAATATGCAAGCAACCACTTTGCTGAGCAGAGCATGCTGGGATAATTAGAAACAAGGAATAAGCTAGCGGTGCCTTACTTCATCTGCTTTTCTCCCATATTAATCACAAGATTGAGCAAAACAACAACAAACTTTGAGATCTTAAACACATAAATGAATTGTCGGTTGAAAAGACTCAACTGAGGGGAGGAGCATGACTTCAGGCACATTGATTGCAGGCACTGGGTCTGTATCTAACAGGGATCAGTGTTACCACAGGCAGAGCTTAACCACCATACTAGCAGCTGGCAAGACTGCAAAACAGATGGTAAATGAAAAAGCTACACAGCTGCAAAGGAAGTGCACACTGTGGACTTAGAGACAGAAGTCACCACACTGAAACACAGTATAAACCTTTTTTTCCCTCCAAAACAGACTGTCTTATTCGCTGGTTTGACTGATATTCATGAGTTTACGGTAATGAGTGTTCGATGCTGCAGTGACTACAAAGTCTGAATGTTATTTATTTTTGAGCTGTCTGGCTGGATGATGATTACTTACTACTTTTGGTCTTCTTCTTTGACCCATGTACTCTATGTGGAGCTTCTGAGGAAGGTTGTTGAATAGGTATAACTGCCAATGTGCAGGCAGGAAAAGTCCATCTGAACAATTTTTCTGTATTTCAAATTTGAATATGTCATCTTAGTAGTGAGATGTTATCCCACTGATGTTGCTCTCTTGATAATGGAGACAGTTTAGGCCTGAAGGGATGCTAAGTAGCATCAAATTGTAACACCTGTTACACAATGTCTTATTACTGAAAGCACCTTAGCTCTCACTTTGAGTTGATCTTTGCTGCCTTTTGATCAGAAAACTGGAAAACAAACTGAAGTGGTTTGGAGTAACAATATATCTGCACATCTGAGAAAAGTAAAGCTGTCTAATCAGTCACCTGTGGGTGTGGTTAAACTTTTGGACCAGCCTGCCTCCATCAGCCAGTCTGATCTGAATGTTGGTGACGGGCTGAGAGGAGTCCAGGTTCACAGAGGCGCTGGCCTGGGCCTCGTTAGCAGCTTGGTCTTGCTGGGAGGTGGCTGGGGCTGTGATCAACTCTGGAGTGGCGCTAGAAGGGAAGAGAAGGGAGAAGATTTCATTCCTCTCCGAGTAAAATATTTATCCATCAATTCATCAGAAATAAAGAGAAAAATAACCAGCTGTAAACCATTTTTTAACCAACATTACACCCTGTGACATTCAATAGAAATGAACAAGCACTGCTGGTGAGATGCAATTCTTCGCAATAGCTTCAAGGTTGTTGTTTTTTTTTACAAGAATTCTGAAACAAATGCTTTTTTAGGTCTTTTTCCAAGTTTGCAGACACGACGACAGATACATAAATATTAACAGCACCCAGTATTGACAAACAAATCAAGCTAAGGTTCAAACTAGTGGAGTTGTTATTTGGACAATGTCATATCAACATTGTCCAAAAGGCAACACTGAGGACTGTGCAGACTTTGCTGTAAGAATATGTGTGTGGTCAAGTATCCACAGGACGAGGGTATGTGTTTATTTTTGTGTACTTTTGTTTTAAGAAAACACTAAAACAAGTGTAATTTAAAACCTGAAAAGATCATGCTCCATTTTTTATTAACATTAGTTTACGGCAGTAAGAACTGACATACTAAATTTATTTAATATCCACCATAGTACTGTCTGCAGCCGATTAACAATATCATTTAAAATCTTTGGAAATTGTGTAAAATATGAATGTATCACATGCATTTAAACACCTTTTGTATCATTGAAAAAGTGAACTGTGTCCCTTTCACTAGTGCAAACACTGCCACAAGTATAAAATGCAGAGATGGTTTTTGTGTGTTACAGTGTTTATCCAAAGGACTGCACTCAAAGACACAAGTGAGAACTTGTGTGTCGACATGTCTAGGTGGAGCACTTTTTCAGTCTTTTTTTCCCCTTACTGGCTCATAATCAAGAATAAAAAGAAAACAGTAAAGAAACAGTAAATTTCAACTCTTTGGAGTGCTAGCTTAACTGAAAGGACTCTTTAATAGAACACTTTATCATCAAGATTTCAGTGTTACTAAAGGCTGTGCTCAATTACCACAGCTGGTAGGGTGGTAACAGATGGCACTCGTAAGAGCTACACATCTGCACAGAAACAGCATGTTGCTCAACACCATGAGAGCCTTCATTTAAGAACACCATTGAAACCTTTCTTCATCTGAAAGCTCCGAAAACAGACCGTTACACACATTACGGTACATTTTTTAAACACAATAAGGCCCTGGAAGGAACTGAATTCAGTGGCTATGAAGACTTCCCAGTGCATGCTTCTTTGTTGAGAGAAAAATTCACCAATCATAAGAATTGATTCCTCACTTGGTTAGCATTTCACATCATGAAGGATCAAACAAGATCTAATCATTTCACTTTAAAGAATGTAGTCTGGTGTCATCTTAAGCATCATTATTTCTTATCTAAATTTTTAAAGTACGAGTTTAACTTTGAAAAGTAAGGACACTTTCTTATTTTGTGAATGCATCTCAGTTACGTTACTTGGCGGATGGAAACCAGTCATTTATCTGGAATGACCCTGTCCCAGTCAATTCACAGACGATGATTCATTCTTAATTAGAACTAGGAGGACTGGTTTGACCAGCGTCTGTCACCTTTCTTCTTTTGAGTTATTATAAAGTGCTAAAAGAAAAAGAACCTCATCAAAGGAAACAAGGTTGCTTGTAGGTCTCACCTTCCCAACTTCTGTCCTTCTCCTCCAAAGGCCTTGAAGGCCATCTTAGGTTTAGAGAAGTCTTCATCCCTATGGTCCTCCATGTCTAGGTTGACTTGGCCCCCTCGAGACCGCTGCCTCAGCTCCAGGGGAATCTCCCTGCATGGTGAAAACCAACATTCGGTCAGGGAGGGTGCTTAATAACATAATCTTAGTGTTAGAGTGTTTTTTAAGCAGACTAGAGTGTAAAGATGAAGATTAGAATCAAGATACTCCCCTGAGATAAGAGAAGAACTTCATCTATTGATATTTATCTCCCTAAATGGGATTCTGGAAAAATGTGCTCTTTGTAACTACATGTACACTACAGGCCAAAAGTTTGGAAGCAAGGCCATTACAGGCCGAACAGTTGGGAGTTACTTCAAGTTTTTGTTCACAATGCTTTTTTTAAATCCAGCAGGAGTTTTATGTATTTTGGGATGTATTTACTCCATGATCAGATGTTGCTTTCATGGAAATGCACCATTTTACTCCATTTACCTTTTGATATGCATTGATGTTAACAGACCATTGCTAAATATATGTCAGCAAAAGATAATAAGGGCTTAGTTTAAGGGTGGAAAACATTTGCAAGAGTCACAACTTCAGTGCAAAAGCAAAAAACAAATCATAATTGAATTATTCACTTTAACTTTTTGGCTTTTGAGAGTCTGCATACAAAAATCCTAATAAATCTCAACTGCGTTCAAACTACCGCAAAGATGGCTAGAAAGAAGCAACTGAGTAAAGAAACAAAAGTACAGATTTGTACAATGAGGAAAGAAGGGTACACAGAAAGAGAAAATTGCAAAACACCTAAAGGTGTTTAACAAAGGAGTCCACTACACTCTGAAGAGACTAGAGGAACCTGGAAGTTATGATAAAAAAAGACCTGGACGAAAGAGAGTTACTACAAAAGCAGAGGATAAACATAGGATTGTCACCAGTAAGAGAGATCAGCAAAAGACAGCACCAAAAATAAGGGAGGAAATCAACATGACAAGGTCGAAACCCATATCTCTGACAACTGTGAAATGACGTTTGAGAAAGGCTGGTCTGAAGGGTTGTGTATCTGCAAAAAAACACTACTTCGTCCACAGAACAAGAAAAAGAGATATGAGTGGGCAAAAGCTCACAAAAATTGGACCTATGATGACTAGAAACAAGTTCTCTGGACTGATGAAAGCAAGTTTGAGCTGTTCGGTTCAAAACGCAGAGTCTATGTCCGCAGACAAACTGGTGAACGTCTGAAAGCGTCATGTGTTACACCCACAATTCAGCATGGAGGTGGTAGTTCCATGGTATGGGGATGTTTTGCAGGTGATCGAGTAAAAGATTTGTTTGAAGTAAAGGGTATCATGGAGAAGGAACAGTACCACGCCATCCTCCAGCACCATGCTGCTCCACCTGAAATCAGACTTGTGGCTCATAAGTTTGTTTTGCAGCAAGACAATGACCCTAAGCACTCTGCCAAGCTCTGTCAGGGTTACCTAGACAGAAAAGAAGAGGAAGGTGTTCTTCAAAAGATGGTTTGGCCCCCTCAGTCTCCAGACCTTTCTCCAATTGAGCTTGTGCGGGATGAATTGGATCGATCGGTCAGAAAAGCGTGTCACACGAATAAGCAGTTTCTTTTTAATGAACCTAAGAAAGCTTGGAATGCAATCCCTGGAACATACCTTAAAAAACGTATATGCCAAGCTGTTGTTAAAGCCAGAGGAGGTTACTTTAAAGAAAGCAAAGTCTAAGCAACAATAACTCAAATACCTAATAATTATTGTCAAAATGTCTTCTGATAAGTTACTCTACACACAAAAGTCATGTTTATTGTGTTGCAAATTATATATATGAAACTATGATCTTTTTTGTACAAGTCTGATCTTGCTTCCAAACTTTTGGCCTGTAGTGTATGTATTTATAATCAAACACTAATTCAAATGAATCTGGGATGATTTTTTAAATGTGATTGAATACTTGAAATAATAATCTCACCCCCTTCTGATAGCCTCGAGGAAGTTGGCGTTTCCAGGGTCACTGTAGTTTCTGAGCTCACCATCATCCAGACTGAAACCTGTTTTCCACAATTTCAGCACCACATGGACCTGGAACATAAACAGAAACATAAACGCTGTTCATATACTCTCGTGGAAATTTTTCTCTAAAAAGGAGGTTTTTCCTCCAGTTCTGCTGTATGAATGAGTCCTTTCGACTGAGACTTATTGGAGCCTGGTATGGACAGGGTCTGTACAGGTCCACTGTGCTTATAGAGCATCACACTTGCCGTGTACACAGCATATTAAGCCATGAAAACACAAGGTTTTATAATAGCTTGTATAAGAGAATTTAGTTTGACTTTCTTTCACAAAATTTAAGAACATCTAGTTTACACGTTATACTAGGTTGTGGCCTAATTGTGATAGAGGTAAGTCTACTACTAAACCAGAAAAACTGTGTATCCACTTAATGGAGTGAAAGGTTCAGACACAACATCTACAACTTGAAGCATTGGAACGATGATGCAGAGCACCCGAGGCAAAAGATTTGATACCTAACACAAAAGTCAACAATTAAATGCAACAATATCACTGATCCACATATGTCCTGTAAATATTTGCTGCTCCTAAAAAAACTCTAGCACAGCTTATATAGGCTGTGCCTGAGCTCACCAGTGCCTTAGCATAGTTACACAATATTTAGACTGAGAGTAAACATACAGAGATGCTAACTATTGTCGTGTTTGTTGTGGACTTACATCCTGCTGACTGTTTGAGGCTTGCCTCTCTCCGGCCACATAGGCGGACTCCTCCTCAGGAGCTGCACCGAGCCTGTAGCCTCCACCAATGAAGGCCTTCAGGAGAAAACACCATAAAAAAAACAAATGAGGGAAAGTGAATTTTAACAAATGGATACTGCAAGAGGAAAACTTGGAGTTCAGTTTCACCCTAGCTCTGCTGGGCTCTCCTGGCCCTCGACCGCTTTTGTCCAGGGGCACAGCTCCATGTTCTCTGGCCCCCTTGAACAAATCCTCCACGACTTCATTGGAGCTTTTCTTCTTGGGAGGCCCGACTATCTGCTGCCCACTGCGCTCTGATCCTCCCGCAAAAAACCTGATAGAGAGTGAAGTAAGAGTTTCGTAAGATCAAAACAAATGCAGCAAAAATACACAGACAAGAAAATAAAAAGAACTCTGACACAGCAACAATATCAACAGAGTTTCATCTTTTGAACACCGATATCACAGACAGGTTTCACAATTTTCTGGAGTTAATTTGAGACATGTTACCGACATGTGATTTTGACAAAACAATAAAGAAAGTTTTAGCTATTCAGGACAACCTAGTATAACCTGTATTCAAAGGAAAATGATTACACCAGGAATCCAAATATGATGTAATTTCACTAAAAGCAAATGCTGATGCCCGTTCAAATATCACGTCAACTAAAATTGAACTCTTTTGTGGTAATTGTACCATAACGTTGTGAGAGACAGGAACAGACTCCGGTGGTCTTTAGTGCTGTTCAGTACTATCAGACATAAAAATGATGGAGATTATAACTTTTTAAGAAAGTGGTATTGAAAGTATCAAAGCATCAAAGATTTTGACAACCTTATTCCAAGGACAAAATAAAAAAACAATAAGTAAAAGTCAGGCACAGACAGACTGTGAAGCCAATCATGAAAAGTAAAGGGTAAAGAGGCTGACTGCTTGCTCTCAAGCCCTGTCTGCATGATACCCTGTAGCATTCTGATTGGCTGATTTGTAACCATGAGTTGTAACAGCGAAGACATTTTGGACTTTTGGTCCTGATTTTCTGTCAGACTGTTACTGCAGGCTGTCTTTGCTCGCTGAAGCCTTTAATTAGCCACTCGTGTACGTCGTGTCTCACAGTGAAACTCTGAACAGGGATTTTGATTGACAAGCAAAGATTTTACCGTGTTACACAAACTTGTCATTCATCAGTGTGCTCTCAAGTGCAGAGCAAATGAACCTCCAGTCAAGCCAGTATAACCTTTCAATTGTATTGTTTTAACAACTTCAATTTGTATTTTTACTTAAGCAGCTACAATGTATGCACAACAGTTATATGTCCAGGCTTTGTTGCCATACCAGAGATGATGTGAGCCTCCTGACAGGAGCAGCTAGATAAAACAATCAGTATGTTTATATGATGTTTAATCCAATTGATTTATTGTGTTAGTCCACCTTTCACCAAAAGTAAACACGTCAGCCTGACTTAAACGGCACGAAGTAGGGTTGCTCAAAGTTGGCCAAACATACAGTACCTTGATTATCTTTTAAGGGATTGATTTTCAAATGCAAGTATACACCTGATTAGACCCATACCAGCCTCAGTGTTCTGTGCATGCTCTGCAGTTTGCACACCAAACTTTGACTCTGAAGTCAAGTCGTACAAATGCATGGAAGACAGCAGGAGGACAACAGAACCTCAGAAAGCGCTGGTTGTCCACATGGTCACAGTTTGACATACTAGTAGTTGGCTCTTGCTTACTTGTTTGTTGACTGTTTTTGAATGTGATATAATCATAGACCAGTGTTTCCCCTAGAATTTGTTTCATCAGCGGCGCTGCTGTGTCCGTGTGTGTGGGGGGATTTCACTGTTACCCCCACTCTCTTGCTGCTAAAGGAGGTACGCTGTTACGTTCACGTTAAGTTACGTTACCCGTGCTACTCGCTGTAGACTGTGTACAAGCTTGAACATTACCCTTCGCATTGATGGAAGAGGGTCCGACAGGATTTGATGCACTCGTTGATGACTCAAAACAAGTCGAAAATAACATTGTGTGCTGTTGTGCTCACACTGGGCGAGCAGAAATCATTAATGGCGCATTGATATTGATGATCAAGTGAAATTTCAGTAGCTGCGCATGTATACGTAGCATACGTAGTAGCGCACGCAATTCGGCAGCGGCACTCCATGAATGTAGGGGAAACACTGAAGACTGAATATACTGTGGACAACTTGGCTCCGCCTTCCTTCATTATATGAATTTGAAGCTGGATTTGCTCTCGGCATTTCTGGGATTTTCTCCACTTCCTGGAACCACCACTTGCACAGTCGCGTTGTATGCATTTGACCACTTGTGCAGTAGCGCGAGAATCGCTGTGATGATGCTCTGCTCAAACAGCATATTCCTTGGGTGAGCTACGCAATCACACGCCATCACAAACCAGTTTAACAGTAACTAGATAATGCACTAGATTATTCATTCTCTCGAGACATCAGCTTTCTGCACGTTTCATGTCTGAATTCAGATTTCTTTGTCCATAAATGTCAAATTATTTGATAGTAATTGTCAAGAAATCATCCAGACTAGGGCTGCACGATATATCGTTTGAGCATCGTCATCGCGATGTACGTGTGTGCAATAGTCACATCGCAGAGCCTGCGATGTCGGAGGTGAATGAACTCATCTAATTTCAAGGGTAGCCGACTAAGTAGGCCTGGACGATATAGAAAAAAAGCATATCGATAAAAAATAAATCATATTGATCGATATCGATAATTATCGATATAATTGTTATAATTATTTAACATATATTTTAATTGCAGCCCTGGATGTTTTATGCTATTGCTTAATGACCTACTTTTAATAAAGAACACACAAGCACTGAATTCAAATTCAAACCTTTATTCAACCACCTTTTTTTTTTTTTTTACCACAACTGAAAGTTTTTTAAAAAAGAACTTAAAAAAAAAAAAGAAATCAACTTAAGTGGCCTGAGTGACGTCAGTAAATACTGACAAACATAAAGACTAAAGTGACCAGAAAATCTGATAAATAAATATTTAAATAGTCTTTTGATGAAAATAAACAAATATATAAATAAACAGAATAGCTTTAGGTGGGAATAGCATACTACCAGTTTTAACTGTGTGGGAAACTGCCCACAGCCTGGTGTCTGAACACTGAAATATTTCTCCCGGGGTCGGGAGATTTATTTTTTTTAAATATCATGTGATTGACTTAATACACAAACTAAGCACGAGAAGCAGGACTTATCCACGCCGGTGTTGTGTCGTAAAATGCACCCCTGCCGAGTGCACCCCCTGCTAGTAGCCATGGTCCAAATACTCGCGTCTTTGTAAAATATGAGCTCATTTTCTTCCACTTTAAGAAGCTACACCGGAACGTATTTCCTCCGCACCCTTCTCACCTTTTCAACCCCTGACCCATTTTCATGCCTGAAGCGCTGTGTTTGAGAAATACTTGCGGCCGGACACTTCATATTGCGGGTCGAGAGTGGCTAGAAGCTGGTCGAAGCCAGGCTTTTCAACGGTAGTTATTGGCAGTATGTCCCTCGCTATGGAGCATGTTACTGCATGGGTGATGTCCTTATGCCGCTCGGACGCTTTGTCGTATTTTGGCAAGAAACGAAGTCTGCTTCACATGCTTTGTGCTGGTGCTGGCAGCGGTTCCAGAGGATTCCTCCGACGATGACGTGGAGCCGCGGCGCGGCCGACACAGCTCGTACTCCTGCGGGTACGATCGGTTTAGATGGTAAAACAAGTTGGTTGTGTTATCAGACTTCGTTTTTACTAATTCTCTGCAAATTTTGCAAACGACCGCTGTTCGCTTTTTGTCAGACTTCTAAAAACCAAAACATTGCCATGCTGGTGAACTACTGAAACCTTTTTTCGGGACAATGTCCTCCGCTTCTCCTTGCTGTATCATTTTTTCTAATACACGTGCTGTCTGTTGTGGTTTGATAGGGGCTGGGCTTGGTGCCGTAGCGTACCTGGGTCTGCGTTTGTGATTGGTTGGGAGGAAGTAATGACTGTAGTAAAAGCTACATGATAGGCTATGATGAAAAAGAAAGGGAAACTGTGTTTTTCTATCGAACTTTTTATCGACCCGTTTTTTTTCTATCGCACCACACGTCTATCGATCGATATATATTGTTATCGAATTATCGTCCAGCACTACGACTAAGATACACTGCATGTGACTGCATGTGCTTTGCAGCGATCCACCAGTCACCTTCGTTCTTTACTCAGTTGCCAATCAGACTACCCTGCCAGCTATCAATCAAAATCAGAGAGGAGGAAACCCACCCCGTCACATGTCCTGCACATGGAGGGAGTCGCTGGCGCTACCGGAGTTGAGCTGAGAAAGTGTGTCCGCTGAGAATTACTTTCGGAACATTACTCATCACTGTTTAGCCCAACAAATAAGAACTGTATGGGTTTTAAATTGTACATTTCCCTGGACCACTGTACTATAAGCAGTGCGCGTTTTGTGAGGTGCAGAACAATAAAAGCTAAAAATATCTCTGAGACAGACAAAAGCCATTCTACTAACATTCACAAAAAGAGGTAAGATCAGTGCAGGTTAACTGTCCTCAAGATTTCAGCAGTGCAGCATAACATTAAGTTCTATTCAGGTCATCTGGTGAAAATTCCTGTATTTTTTTAATATCGCAATATATAAAGCAGGGTTGAAAAAAATCGCAATGTTAGTTTTTTCCAATAACGTGCAGCCTTAATCCAGACATTATGCATTTGTCAAATGCTCTATATTCTGGAATTCATTTGACAGATTATGACCATAAAGAGTAATTTTTAACCAGAAAGAATCATTTGATGTCTTCATCAGTAAAAACTGTCCTTCAAATGAGAAAGAAATACTAATATGTAACTTGTGTTGATGGACAGACTTATAGCTTATGCAAAGATTTGAATTACTTCTCATGAATGTTACTGCCAATTCTAAACCAGAGCATATTGTTGCTCTTCTGCCAGATGTCTAAGCATTCCTACATGTGCAAAAACTGTAAAGTTGTGTACACAGCACAGTCAACAGGGAAGCAGCCAGCACTGTCTTGGAAACTACCTTCAGATTGATGATCCAGCTCAAGCTTATTTTGCCAAAATTGTGTTTAACTTGAGTCAGCCGCTTGTCAAGCATTCAATTCTCAATACTTCGATACTCAGTCATTTCTTTAGACTTGAGCTCAGAGTTTGCAAAACATAAATGGCCTTCAAATTGACTCAACAAACAGCACAGCTAGAGAAGCAGAATCTGTTGATGCTGCAGGAAAGCCTGTCAGCTCAGAGTGAAAGAGGAGAGACCAAAAATAGTTTGGTGCATTGTGGAAACACCTCAGGTGTGACCATACCATCTAAACACTTTGAGGATGTACAACTCAGACAAACAGCCACTTAACAGATCCTAACATCTGTCAGTGCCATCTGGGAGGATAAATAAGACCTCAAAGATGACTGTCTTTCACCGTTAAACAAATTAGGGACTGTGACTTTGTTTATTATGAACTTATCATTGAGTCTTTTATTGTCGACTGTGACTGTTGGTCTTTTTTTTTTTTTTTTTACTCTGATTTGATAAATGTTCTTTGTTTTTTGGCTGGAGAACTATCTCCCATACAACAATCAATAAAATCATAACAGATCAATATAAGCACTTTAAACCCAGTGCATACAATACCAAAGACAGGGGGCAAACTTACCTTTGGCCTTCCTCCTCATCACTCTCCTCCTCTGCCTCATGCATCAGGTCTCGAAAGGAGGTCACTCTGGGCTGGGCACTATTGTCAAACATAAAATATGTAGGGTCAATGAACTGACGTATATGTGACATAATTATACTGATACATGAACTAAGCTTTCAAATAAGGTATACAAACACACCCTGTGGATTTATTGCCTAAGACTGTTTGCTGAACTTGACTTTTGGACATTACACAGACTAATGGCAGGTGTGCTATAAAAGTGCTATTGGATACAATAGGGACTGGTAGGGGTGTCTATCCCCAGTCCCAGTCCACAAGTACATGCTCTGTAATGTCATTTTATATTGCAGTCACTTCTTGGATAAAGACAAAGACAGTGGTCTCACTAGTTGGTCATTATAATAGCCAGGCAACAACAAACGCTTCCAAACCTTGCGGTCATTATTGTTCTGAGAGCAGCATTTACGCTACAATTTTTGGGAATACCAGTATTCCTCACAATGTGGGGCCACTGTGGCTCAGTGGTAGAATCAGTGTCTCAGCTGGAGGGTTGGCAGTTTGATCTACAGCCCCAGAAGCCAACACGTCAAGACACTAAACCCATAACAGCGGCTGATGGCATTGCATGCAGCATGTGAATGTTTAAGAATAGGATTGGTGAGTAGTGGTGTGTGTGTGTGTGTGTGTGTGTGTGTGTGTGTGTGTGTGTGTGTGTGTGTGTGTGTGTGTGTGTGTGTGTGTGTGTGTGTGTTATGCGTGTGTGTGTGTGTGTGTGTGTGTTATGCGTGCATGCGTGTGTGTGAGGACTTGAAAAACAGTAAATAAGTGCAGAGGTAGAATCAATTTTACATTTGAGGTAATGCAGCCCCCTGTAACACAAAATGGACATTACCTTGGCCCAGCAGATCTGGACACTGAGGAGCCCCCCTCAGGCTGGGGAAGTGTCACTATGTCGTCATCAGCTCCATCCTCAAAGAAACTGGCAAGTGCAAGCTGAGGTAAAAGAAAACTGATCAATGTCAGGGGAGGAAAGAGTGCAGATATTTTCTACTTGAGTAAAAGTAGTTACAATCATGACATTATCATATTCAAGTAAAAGTAGTTTCAAAAAATGACATTAAACTAAAATTAAGCACACCTGTGTTTTGATCTTCTCAATTAAAAGTAAAAAAATATTTTTTTATTTGAAATGCATTAAGTACTTCTTTAAATGCAGGTATGGAAGTAAGATATTCAGCCTATGTCTACGGAGCATCAGCTGCCCAAACTAACAGTAGTAATATCATAGTCTCTGCACAAGACATAGCACATTATTATAATCCAAAACTCAGGACTTAGTTTACTGGAATAAGTAAAAATGGCCGCCGGTAGAGTCAGATTTTTTCTAGGTTAGATTCTACAACCAGCCTTTTTTCCTTGTTAAAAAAAAAATTTAAAAGACAATTTTGGGTTAAAATATCTTGAAATAGGATTATATTTGAACCTTTCGGGTCAAAATACATACTATTAAGTGCAATGAGATATTTTGACTAGAAACGAAACAAATTCACTTGGTAAGATATGAGTTTTTGCAGTGTAGATATGATCTAATCCGAAGAATGCAGGGAGAAGATGGGAGGCTTGTTTCTATTAGCGGCTGTTCTACTCAGAAACTGAAGTCAAATGAAGCGCGATACAATATTCTCTACAGAGTAAAAGTTCAAGTGCTGATTTAAAAAATAAATAAAGAACTTCCCATCTGATCAATGGCACAGTTTACTGTCAGAGTCTAAATTCCTGTATGTGAACCAGCCATAACATTATAAACAACAAGTTGGTCTAATGCAAACCAACACAACAACTCTACCACAAAGTCTGCTTTTACCAAGCGTTGTTGTTGTCATGATCAGACAACTAATTATTACACCTCCTATTTCTCATAGAAGTCATAGTGGGTGTGGGCTGTAGTGTGTTATTTTCAAAGGTGTGCCTTATACTTTGCTTAAATGTAGAACCTTTGTAAAAATGAGAATTTATGACAGACCTGTTATATTTGGTTTCATAAGCCTGCCCAGGCATTCATACGGCTTTGTCTAGTCGGTGAGGGTGAGATTTTCTTTAAAACCATTTTTAGGATTCTATCCCACGTCTGACTTTGTTACATAAGTATGTACTTGTATTTAATCATTTTAGTTTCAATGGGCTTAAATGGAACAAAGATGTCATGTACATGTGTCTTTGACGCAGTGCTTGATACCTCTGAATAACACATATAGATCCAGACCTTATTTGAGTAGCAGACACCAGTACATGGAAATATCTGTGACACAGCAGCCTCTCTTAGGTATCACGTTGGGCTAATCTTTATATTTATTGCTATTGTAAAGGCGCTTTCTAAGTATCATAATACATCACAACATTCATTCGGTTTCGTTTCCTTTTCATGCCCAAAACTGAACAGATAAAAGCGGAGTAATGAGTCACTCGTTGATGTATATTTACTCAACAGCTGACACAGCGGTATATCCATCTCAATCCTTCAGTTTTCTGGATTAAGATCACCTTAAGCGAGCCTCAGCGCTAGCTTCGGCTAACTCCAGCTAGCGCAGCTCATTGAAATTACCGAACACTAACATTAGCGTTAGCCAAAACTTAAGGTCTGAATAGCTTTGTTCATAAGACAAAAAGAGCCAAGCTTCTTTTAACGGAAAGCTGTGTCGGCTAAAAATGTACAGCGAGCTTGTTGTTGCGGACAGAAAGCGCTCGGGCCATTGTCAAAGAGTGACTTGCACAAATTACCGGCAACACAGGCTAATGTTAGCCGGGAGACACATGTCATGACAGCCCTTTCTGCTCGATTTTCACCCGTGAATTCAGCCGTTACCGTGAGGAAAACAACCACGGAGATGTACCTGCAAATTCCAACCGGCGGACTCCAGGAAAAACCGAGCCCTCTCCTCGTCCACATCAGTAACAGCGACGAATTCCCTCACAGACTCTACAGACTCTTCTTGGCTCGCCATTTTGATTTGCTCCTTCAACAACTCGTCCGCCTCCACCTGAGGAAACAAGCAATAGATGATGGTTCCTATCCGGGTTTCAACCATGGACCATAACCGAAAACACAAATTGAAATAAATTTTGTTAATTAAATTTCTGTAATACTTCTATTTGTTTTGTTTTACTGAAACTTAATATATTCCTAAATCTATTTTTTTGTTAGAAGGCTGAAAATCGTTTTGTTTTGCTGCACTGTTAGTATTATTAGGACCACTAGGTGGAGGCGTAACCACAGGTTATTCAAAACAAACCTATTTTATGAAGCTAAGGCTCATGGATAAGGACGAAAAACAGCAGGCAAGAGAGTTTTAAAATCCCCTTAAAATGGTACTTCATAACTTTACAGTAAGGGCGCTGCTTGTCCACTTGTTAAAGTATTTATTTAGTTTTAACTTCTACTTTGAGTCGTTACGTATCTACTTTTTATGATGCATTTCAGTTTTTTTTTGTTTGTTTTTTTTTGTTATTGCAGGTCTGCTATCAAAGAAAATATGTCAAGCTATTTGGAGACATTAAGATGTTATCTCATCCCTTCTCATTAATGAGATCCCACCCATCTCGTCAAGATCTGACACCTCAGTGTGAGACCACAGATCTTAATCAGATTCTTATCACACTTTCAAGTTCCAGCTCTTGTTTTTCCTCACCATGCAAAACCAAAATGAAACCTGTGCTGACAGAAGTGTGTGTCACCTCACCTTTGACAAAAATATTCCCATAAACCTGTCCTTTTTAAGTGTGAAGAACAGATGGAGAGAGTTTTCCCATGGGAGATACCTTTGTAACCCTGTTTGGGTGTCTGATAGCAGGTCGGTCAGATGGTGCACTGTAATAAGACAGAATGGGAGCATCTTAATTGTTTCTAGAGGGGAAAGGGTTGATGAGGTTTTCGTGATATGCTGCTGGTTGTTTGATCTCCAAGGCTAATTAATCTGCTGAAAAGTGAGAAAAACCATGTTGTCATGACACCTCATAAGCACAACCCCCTCTCTTTTCCTCAGATGCAAACAAAGATGAACAAAAAAACAGAAAATACAGTGCAATTCATTGAAGAGGTTTATTCTTATATGGCTCCCCTTTTGGATGTTTTTTTACCTTTAGGGTCTGAATGATGAGGCAACAGCACCCACATGCAGGGCAAGAGGGAGGTAGAGACAAAGAGACAGGAAGGATGTTAATACCTACAGATTGATCCTTTAAGAGCAAGAACATTTGTGAATATGACAGAAATTATAAAAGAAAGAAGACAAATGAGCACTGATGGAGACTATTCTAACCGTAAATAAACCATCAATAGACTTAGAGCCTCAGGCTTGTCATGCAAATAACAAAGGAAAGTGAAAAAGTGAAAGTTCAATCCCTAATCTCACCTAAGAAAACCCTTAAAAAGATGCAAGCGCTGATGATGTGAACAAAAGTAGTGTATCTTCCCATGAGATGTAAAGCTGATGTAAATGTTACACTCAGCCTGTTTTTATGTAAGGTTAGACGCAGGCAGTGAACACAGATATGTCAACAGAGGCTAATGTAGTTCAAGGAGTAAGTGTCCAAGGCCCAGAGACATGCCGAAACACGTCACAGGTAGTTTACAGGCGGTTAAGATGATTCCAGAAACTGAACAAACAAAACTGATAGAAAGAAATGTGAATGTGGTTCAACACATTCCATTCAGGTGAGTCTGAGACCTGACAAGGTTTGTTTTGCTTTCGTTTTCTTGATTTTTATGAAAGAAAAAATGTTGATGCCTTTGTAAGATGTACAAAAGCAAGCAAGACAATCAGCAACAAGTCTATATTTATGTTCTTATTTTTCATCTCTGAAAGTGTCCCCATTGTGTTAAATAACAGGAAAAGAATAAATATAACTTTGATAACAGTTGTTAAAGACGATAGTGGGAACTGAAAGGGTATGTACACACATACTCAGATCACCCTATCAAAATACATTAGCTATTGAAAGTCCCTTTTGTGACGTTACCTACTGAGGATTGCTTGTAAAGTGAACTTGTTTTAATTGTAAGGACAGAGCAGCACATCTTGCCAGTGCATTAAGATTTTATGACTTCTTGTACTTTGCCCTTTCAGTAGAGGAAAAACCCTCCGGTTCCCCATTCTGATTTAATCTTGAGCAACCCGCAGGAGGTCACCAACCAGAGGAGCACAGAGGAGAAGAGACAGCTTATGGGAGTGAAGCTATGGCAGGAGGTTGATTAAGCAAAGCATCCATAAACCCTTGAGACCTCAGAGCCTCCCTCTGCCTCCCTATCCCCCACCCCTCTAAATTACGTACACACAACTTGTGCAATTACCTTGTTCTTCTTTCCTCCCTTAGGCAGCATGTCGTAAAGAAAACCACAGCATTGTTTATGACTCCTGTCAGTGTATTATTGCTTATCACTCTTAGGAAAGCACCTAAACTTTTGACCAAAGGGCAAAACAAGCATAGCAAGAGGGGAAATGATGCATGTATACTTCATTTAAATTAGACAAAACTTTCTCTTAGCTATGAAATGCATAATGTTTTGTTTTAATTTGAGCCTGTAACAGTATTGTTTGATAGAAATGAACTCAAAGCAGTTGTGCCTTTGTACTCTGGAGACTTTTCATCATATTTGCTTCTCCTTTACACTTTTCTGTTATGTCCAACTGAATTAGGATTGTACTGTTATTTTCTTCCTTGTGTTCATCCTTCTCCTGCTGCAAGAACAATATATCTCCCGCCCTTCAGGCAGTCAAGAGCTCATTTGACAATACTGTCTGAGGGGGTCAAGGCCTTGTGTCTATTTAACAACCATGCTAAAGGTCAACAGTGTCACAAACCATTGGTTCTTTAGAAGGGAAACCTTTAACAAGACTTCACATGATGTATGGCAGCTGAATGGGTGATGCTTGGCATTATGTGTAACAGAAAAACATGTCTGACTGATAGTATCTCTGATCCAGCTGATCACTCATTCAAAACACAGGCCATGTAACACCAACATTTTGACATAACCCTCTAGCATTGTTACTTCTGTTAAGTATTTCACTGATGCATCTTCTATTCTTATACATGGTGGGTGTATGAGAGCAGTTTTCTTACATTTAGGTAAATAAAAAACACACAGAAGACTAAAAAACATTATTGAATAAGTTAAACTTCAGGTTCACTTCTTCATTTCTCATTCAGGTTAAATGCTTGATGTACTTCTTTAATTTTTAGAAACAGCTTAAAAATGGTGAAACTGAAGTCTCTGACCCAAATGATTTCAGTCAGGTTGAAGAAAAATACAGCTATTAGCGTCACGTTACCAAGTGACCCCCTACCCACTGATGACTGTCTGTGGTTGTTGCAGTCACAGCATCTGTTGAAACAAAAAGTTCCTCTTTATCATGAGGTCAAAATGTACTCACCAGCCATGTCTGTGATGTTTGACCTAATAAAGACAGAATCCACAGGAGCTCTCTCTGTTTTGTAAAAGTTCACTCAGGATCACTTTGAATTACTTGTGTTCCTTCGTTATATTTGCCATTATGGCTCCATCCGGAGAGAGTCAAGCCTTGTTCGAAAGTATGAGAAGGCGATGGCCATGACAAAAGCACCAGAATATGACAAATTGGTTATGATAATTGGATCATGTTATGCAGACTTCAATTTGATTTTCCTTGCAACCCAGTGGGTCACGGTGTACATTTGTGATGTCTTTGTCAGAAAGAGAAAGAGGATTTTCATGCATTGATACTCACTCTGCTTGTGTCACTGTCATGACTGATGGTTTTTTAGTCTGTTAAAACCACAGCTGCATTCACAGTGTCACAGAGGTATTTCCCTTTGGGACAACATCTAAGACCACCAGACAGACACCACCATAGAAGTCCAGGTGAACTCAGCTGTAACAATGGCTGCCCTGAGGGTTGCTGTCAATGTGGAGCTTTGTTCCCACCTATCAACAGTCTAACCATAGTTATACCCCAGACCCATTTCTTAGGATCTGCTGACATAATGCCACTGGGACCTACTTTACATCATCCTGTAATGTGAAGAACATGTGGAGAGTATTTAAGTGACATGGGGGCTCTAGATGAGGCGCCATGGTGGTTTTCTGTTGTACCAAGAAAATCTGCAGCTACACAGCACTGCTTTCATACAGAGATATGAAAAAAGATTAGCGAGAACCAAAGCACAGCAGGTCCTGAATGTTTATCAGCTTAGAGTAAATCTTCAGGCATAAACACATATTTACATTTCACTAAATGAGCAGTGGCTGTTTGCTTTATCTCAGAAATCTACATATGTTGGAAGGATAACATACAAGGAAGGACGGACATATCAGCTCACTAGCATCCTCCTGTGAGTTCAAGCAATGATTAAAAATGGGAGTTACTCAAACTCTTTGTCCTCCACTTTAATCAAGATCAGTATTAAAGAATCATTATTTCCAAGTTTTAACTTGCACAATATCTTGATTTACTTCCCCACACTTGCTTCAACATTTCACCTCCCACCTGATCCCACTGTTTGGGTTCCCAGCAGTGACGTGCAATCAGGGGAGGCAGGAGAGGCCGTGCCTCGCCTGTCATCATGGAAAGAAAAAAAATGGAAAATGAAAAATTTAATTAAACGGTTATATTTATCCAGTGATTTCCACTACAAAGGTATTTTTCATTTATCTTCAGTTTTAGATTATTTTTTATTCAAAATCACTGAATTTTCACATTAACTGTTCAAATACTGAGAAGAGACAAGTGGTGAGGCAGCAGTCAGAGAAGCCTCACCATGGATTGCACAATAACTCAGCTAACTGTATTGGCATGCTATGCAGTGAGACCGTATTGCTATTTCTCTGTATTTCTTAATTAAAATGCTCAAACCCTAATGCTATATGAACTAAAACTACACAGATTGTATACACTGTATGGTATTTTTGTCAACAACTGTATGTGTGTAACATTTTTCTTGTGCTGAACAATTATAATATGATTGCGAAAGGGCACGAAGTGAGGCACGCAGTTCTCCTGACTGAGAACTGGTAGGGGGAATCGTGATCCAAGTGATTCTTCTTGCAACATCTCAACCGAAGATTAAGCGGCAGTAAGACACAAGCTACAGTTAGCAAGTCAAGTGTAGCCAACAGTTTTTTTTTCCCACTCGTATGGCCTTGTTTTTATCTGACGGAGTATTATGGCCACATTAAGAAGAAAAAAAATTAAGACTTCGAGTTTAAAGTCATTAACTAGCTAATGATCTGATAATCTGTCTGTCTAATAATTAACATTTGCAATTCAGAGGGAGTCGAGCTCCGACAAGCACTGCGTCTGTCTCTGACGCCGGCAGCAACTTACACCTGCAGAGGGATCAACAACTTATGGCGTATAGATTCATACGATAAACTAAACGCCTATGCTATTGCTCTTGCTATAAACAGCTGCATTGACGGATTTAGCCTTTGCATGGCCATTTCCAACCCCCCAATGTGACAATGTGATGCTGAAACACCAAAGGATTTAGTATCTCCTTGTTATAAACCTATAGCTACTAGAGTACAATTCATCTAAATGCTCTGCAACGCTCCTTTAATCAGCTCTCCTTTAAATCAACAGGTTAGAATAGCTATTAGCTACGACTTTATTCTCATAAATAATGACTTTATTACAACTTTATTCTCTAAAATAACGACTTTTTTTTCGTAATTAGTGATTTTATTACAACTTTATTCTCGTAAGTGATGACTTTAATCTCGGTCTTAATTTTTTTTTCCTTAATGAGGCCCTAATACTCTGTTGTACTTTTAAAAGGAAGGATTGAAATGACCTTTTCTGCTTTTCCTGCCTTTTTTTCTCAACTTGTGACAATGGGCTCTATTTTCATGTACGCCAGTGAGGCGGCTATCTAGTAAATATCTAGTAAATAAACATACATGATGAAGTTAAGATATTTAATTCATCTCCCTCCTTTTCTTTCTTCCTCTTCCTCTTATTTCTTGCGCAGCTTGACCTGGACATGTCTCTGTGTCCTCTGTCCGTCCTGCGGCTGAACAGATTTGTTTCAGTGCTCAGATGAGTTATTTACTTTAAGCCTACATACAAATATTATAATACTCAGTTTTGTGAGCCAAATTTATTTAATATGCCAACATCTATGGAAGAAAGAGCCAGGCCACGGAGCGCGATGCGTCATTTACGCACAGATGGTTCAGATTTTAATGCCATTTTTGGAGTCTATGTTGTGATCTGTGCGCACAACCCACCTTTGTCACATGAGGTTTGAATATATGCAACTTTATGTGAGTGTCTTTATTTGTGGAAAAGGATGTTTGTCTTACCAGTGGGTCCAACATTACACACACCATATCCGTCTGTGCTCATATGAGAGAGTGTGGAGGATGCCAAATGCAGCGCTTACAGTGACACTTGTTGAGGAGCTGCCTTCTGTCGCCATCGTGTGGCATTACTGTCTTCAGACATCTCTTGATCTCTTTGACTACTTCACGAAAATAGTAATACGCCTTGCTGGTGGCGGATTTAAAGGCAAGGAGAGGAGCTTATGTGATTGGTGAAAACAGGTCTCGGCTGTGTTAAACCCACTCCACGCCCTCTCTCCTCCCTAGCTACGACTTACGCCGCTGGGAGGAGCTGAGTTAGGGAGGGGGGATACTTACGCCAGGCTGCGCCGCTCGCCAAAATACCAAATTGTGCTTGGGAACGCCTTGTCGACGCAGCGGACCTGACTTACGCCGCAGGCGACTTCAGTAAGTCCACAAAGTGCACTCACTTGCTGGATAATGTTGTCAAGCTCCGTTTACCCAGAGCAGCTCCTACAAGATGGAGCTCTAACTCTAGGCTGCTGCAGACAATAGGCATGCACCACAATGATCTGCACGAGTTATTTCAGATCATTATAGACAATCCTGAATGCTAGGAAAATGACACGCTGATGATGGCAGCAGGATATGATCGGTGGCCGTCATAAGCATCAACATGCTTTCTCCTTATGGCATATGAGGGCATTTTCAAGTAAATATTTGAAGCACTTTTTTAAGTGCTGCAAAAAAAAAAAAGTGATAGACATTGAATATTGTCTTGAACGCATCAGTGACACTGTTGCAGCTCTCGAGTGCATGAGACTGGCGTTTCTGTGACTGATTTGAGGAGAAATACAGTGCACTTGGCTTGACAGACAGAGGAGGCAGACAGTTGATTAAATGTAAACGGAAACGACTGTTCTGTAACATTCTGGATAACATAAGCCACCCAATGACGGTGAGGTTTGATCATTTCGGTGAGCTGGCTTTCCATGATTTGGTGGATTGCGCAAAATTCAGTAAAATGTCACAACATTTTGATGACACAAAACTGCGGAGCCCATCAAAAAATGCCAAATTCTTTGGCTTTGTGAGACTAAAGGCAGATCATGTTGGGCTGTATAGCTCACAAACAGTTGATGATGAATGTTAAGTCTCCCAGACAGCTTCTCAGCTTTTTTGGCCCAGTAGGATCTCAGTCAAACTGTTCCAAAGTTGCTCCAGCTAGTGCTCACTGTTCCAGCTACAACAACATTGGTGGAGCAGTCATTCTCAGCACTGAAAAGACTCAAAACATACAGTGGGAACAGGACTGATCAAGGATGCCACCACAGACTGATAAAACATCTGCAGCATCTTACTACAGATGTCTATTGATCGGAGTCTTCTCAGGCAAAAGAGGCGGCTCTGCCCCTTTCTGTAGATGAAGTCTATATTCTTAGACCAGACCAATCCAGCTTATTATCCAGATGTACACCTAGGTATTTATATGATGTCATCACTTCGATGTCCACTCCACAGGTGTTCATTCGCTGAAGACGGGGTTTGGATCTACGGAAGTCTATGACCATCTCCTTTGTCTTTGAGGTGTTGAGGAGGAGGCAGTTTTTGTGACTCCAGTCACTGAAGGCTCTTATCAGATCTCTGTATTCAGCTTCTTGTCCATTTCTGATACTTGCCACAATAGCAGTGTCATCTGAGTATTTCTGGATGTGGCAGGACTCAGTGCTGTATTTGAAGTCTGACGTGTACAGTGTGAACAGGAATGGCACCAGCACTGTCCCCTGTGGAGCCCCTGTACTGCTCATTAATGTCCCAGACATACAATTTCCCAGCCTGACAAACTGTGGCCTTCCTTTCAGGTAATCTGCGATCCAGGAAACACAGGAAGGATCCACTCCCATCTCTGTGAGCTTGTCTTTGAGTACAGTAGGTTGGATGGTGATAACCCGTTAACTGCTGCCAGTCAAATGATGAATAAGCTACTCTGCAGGGTTCATATGTTTGTAAATCTGACTGGGATGAAATCAGTGCTTCACCAACCATGAACCTCACCGCAAGTCACTGGTTCCCAGGATATGATTCAGTCTTCCTAGCAAGCTACATTGAGATGGTCAACAGTAAACAGAAGCATGTTGAAATCGGTATTGTACCTGTGTTTGACTTGGCATGCTAAAACTAGCATCTAGCGGGAAAGATGTCTGTGTTGCATTGCAATCTGCTACCGCACACGCTTGTCCTGCGATTGTCCTCTCTATTTCTCCTCTATATGCAGAGTCTGGCCTGCATAGCGGGGCTGTGCTTGAATTCGCTACATAGAAAATCTCACTGTGTCTGAACCTGCCGTTTGGGTCTGCCAGAGATTTACAGAGATTTGAAAACAGAAATACTCAGAAATGCAATTTTGCACATAGTTTTCTCATATGTCCTGTAGCATCAGAAAAATGTCATGAACATGTAAACAACAAGAAAAACATGATTTTCATCAGAGTGGGTCTTTAATGTGATACAGGTGTGTCCCAGTTTCTACTTTTTGAGTATTATTTAATGTCTAAGGTGCATCATAATAAAGAAACAATGATCCCCAGATCTGTCCAAATTCAGATTTTGTTGTTATGTAAAATGATAAACTGTAATGTACTAACAAAAAAACTTTGTAAACTTGAACTTAGTTGCATACAAAGGCCACTGGACGCACTGGTTTTCACTTTATCTGTGGCATGAATAAAAGCTGTCTTGTTGCTCATGATCTCACCATCATCACTGTTAAAAAAACTCTTCACAGTGCCTTTAATGCTGAGGTCAGACTGGACATTAGGAGCACAACTATAGCCCAATCTGACAGGTGTAGGGTTTCAGTTCAGGGCTTTATCGGAGATGTCTAATGACCTGTTTAATGTTACTTTCTGCCCTCTGTGATGTGTACGATGAGCACTCTACAGGCACAAAAGTCAAGAACACAAACAAAAGAAACAAAGAAGCAAAGTAGGAATAATGATGTAAGATGAAGGTATTTGACAGAGGCTGGAAAAAACACACTCTAAAAACCTGGTGAGGAACTATTAGCATAAAGCTAGCTATCATTTATTGTAACATTTGGATAGGAAAATAAAAACTCCTCAGCTACACCTAGCTAAAACAAATGCTGCCAAATATATCGGTCCCACAGTAAATCCTGCCTCAATACTTGTTAGAATCTTATTATCTTATACTGTTTGGTGTCGTCCAAATTTCATTCACTCAAAATCTATCCCAAAGTTTCCCCAAAGCGGCACAATACAGCAGACACAAGTAAAGCACCTTCTATTGTGCTGAACATCAAAATGTAACAGAGAAAGACCCAGAGACCCAAAAAACCCAAAACGCAGCAGTAGGTAAATGATATCTACGTTCCCCATCATCACTGTGAGTTTTCCCTGGAGTTACACAGAGCAGGGCGGATAGCGAAACGAAAGGAAAATGTTTTCTCTGTGTTTTGCTTCAGCCCATGAGGATGTCCAGTTTGGGGAAGAAAAACGGTCCGGTATCAGCAGGGAGGAGGAAAGAGGAAGGGACCTTTTATCTCTGCAGCCATTAGAGTGTTTAGCTATCCCATTACTTTAGCCTGCATTTCATGGTGCCTCTCTGCACGTGCATGTACTTGATTACTGTCTGTCTCCCAAAAACAAAATCAGAGCCAGCTCATTTCCTGTCTCCATGGCAGCAGGCACTCATCTGATACAGTTGGCAGAACCGGGTCTATGGGGAACAAACAGGAGCCACTGACCCACATATGATGTGTATATCCACTGTAAATCACTCTGGATTAAATGGTCTGCACATTGAAGCAGATTGTATGGATCATCATATAGCAGCAGAGAGGTTGCTCTGATAGTGGCTGCGGGCGCTACAAGGCTGTGAATGGGGTGATTGAAATGGATCCAATCCATTCTCTTATTACCCCAGAAGGCAGCCAGTGCAAGAGAGAGATTTACAACAGACACCATCCTGCCTCCCCTTCTCTGCCTGTCTCCTCTCATTTTGCCTTTATTTTCACACCTTTCAACCTTTTACAACCCTTTTTCCTCAAACATGTCTTCTTTTGAGGCACTCTTCCATGCTTATGCAACATTACCAATTTAAGACAGTTTAAAACACAAACAATCCCTTTCATGATGAGCCATGTGATAGACTTATTCAATACAAATCAAGAAATTTTACCGTCATGACATTTTCGCTTCTGTCGCAGAACGAAACGAGGATGCAAATAGAATTTCTCTGCCCATTCTCGACACCTGAATATGCATGTTACACGACTTTTAAGTATGCCCATTAAATAATGAAGCATGTTGTCTACTGAGCATTTGGTTTAATTGCATGTAACTTAGTAGCACAGTGAATAATGCTGTCCACTGTGAAAAGGCAATTTTTTTTCAGAAAATAATACTTCCACATGTGCAGGACAAAACTAGTCAACTAGAAAACATGTGTTTGAAAATATCTCGGTGTGTAAAAGTCCCTGACTGCCTTTTTCTTCCACTATAACCCACTGTCAAAGGCTGTCCACTCGTTAATCACACATGGAGGACACTCCCCGACATAGTGGACAAGTTCTAATTAAAGCCACAAAGATTTACAGCTGACTGACCTCCTGCAAGCAAAGCTACATGATGATGCAAAATGAAAAAGGAAACAGTATGTCTTACAGACGGGGAAAGGAGGTGACTCAAGCAAGTGAGTGAGTTTGCTTTGTCAAATGATCTTAACAACATATATACATCTAGAAAGTTGTCAGCAAACTGTATAATGTTAAAAACTCCAAATGAAGTTTCATTCTGCCACTCTTCTTAAAATCAAAACCTGAACCTAAATGTAAAAAAAAGGACCAGTGAGCACAGTTGTTGTTGTTCTTTTTTCTTACAATGTTTTATGAAAAGGTACAAAAGACTCCCACCCCCCAGGTGTGTTTGTTCAGACAGGTTTGTCCCCCACAAGGACACACTGACAGTTAACGGCTCCACACTCTCTCTGCTCCATAACCAGCTGCCTGATTGTTCCCTGAATTATGAGGAGGGGAAGGGGGCTGCTGGAGAATACAGTGGAATGTATTCAGTGCATATGTTTCTCAGCTTTTTTAAAGGACCCGTTAAATATTTTGTATTAATCAAAAATTCACAACTGCAGCAAGTGAATTAATTGCTAATTGGTGAGATTCAGAGGTGAAGGTTTGCAGAATTTAAATAAACTGGGAAGAGCCAGGCTACCTTTCCCCCTTTGTTTCCAGCCTTTGTGCAAAGCTAGGCTTACCAGCTGCTGACCTCATTCATCCAAACAGATAAGAAAGTGGTTTCAATTGTCTCTGAGCAGGAAATCTTATAGAATAAAAATGAATGAGTGTGTAAACTGCTCAGCAGGACACCAAAGAGCTTTCTAGTACCTATAAACTGAAATTATTTCACGTCTTCACACTGATGTCTTTTTCAAGCTCCATGTTTAAACATTTGTATTTCTGCTGTTGTACATGAAATTACAGTAGTTGTTGATGTTGCATAGTAAGTGTGTTGAGGGCCACATTTGTCTGTTTAAGTGAGAAAATACAAGAGAGCCAGAGGCCCTCAGTAATAAAGCCATTGGTAAACGTTGTTTGGGGTAATGCCTCATGACCTCCTCCAAATGCCCCCTGGACAATCCCCCATCTGCAGCTCTTCAGTATTGTTATTGATGGTGATGGAGACAGACCAGGTCACCGTGGCAACTATGCCCAGATCATGGCCAGGACAAATATGGGTCCTCATCTGGCTGTGAATAGGTGCCTGCGAGGACACTGCCCCAGATCTCAGCTGACATTTGGCAGCCTTCAGTGTCTGTGTGTCTGATTTAGTGTACAGTAGAATTGTCTGGTGGGGGAGGGGCTGCTGACTCTGGTATATGCTCATTGCAAATGCATTTCTTTTTCATGACTTGAGCCCATTTGGTTGTATCCTGGTGTGTTCCTGCAAAATGCCTCTCATAGTTGGAGCCCCTTTATGTTTCTTGAGCTTTGTTTTTGTTTATTTTTCATCATTTCTAAAGCTGTATGTTCTAACTTATGACTGGGATGACGGCAGAGAGTAAAATATTGATTTGTCTCACTGAAACTAGGCCTTTTAAAACACTACAGAAACTCTCAAGTGTCTTCTTTTCATCCAAATTACAGATTCTCTTTTTATCATGCCAGTATTTTTTGCGGGGGAGGAGGATATTTAAATTTGGTTCAGCCATCATGCGTTGAAAAGACTTTGAAAAGACTTAGTTTACTTCTTCTGTGCATGTGCGTATGTAGCAGTAACGCTATATTGTTGAAAAACAGACAAATGATTGCATAAAAGAAAATAAAGACAATGGAAGCTGGGCAGAAGAGAAATCAGCCACTAAGTTGGAGTACGTGATTCAGTGTTTTGGATGGCTCAAACCATCTCGAGTCTCCTGCAGCCAGAATATCACTGCTGCACAAACTGACCCATTTTCAGATATTTTGTTCTAGCTGTTATGGAAGTGCGGTATAAAAACACTGTCACTAATAAGTTTTCTCATTCCAAATAGGATGCTTGTATTGGTTTTTCTCCCACACATGTAGCATGCATGATCTTGTGCAGGTAGAGGAGAGCTCACACCTGAAAACACATTTAGACAAGCTTTGATCAAATGAGGCGTCTTCAGGTACCCTTTTTTTAAAACCCTTTAAGAGGGTAAATCCAGAGTATCTTGAGACACTAATAGAGACAACAAAAATGCTGTGAAGTGTGATGGTGCAACAAACTACAATTAATTAGGATACATTTTTTAAAATATTAAATCGGCAGATTCCTACATTTCTACACTGTGAGAATAAACTGTCCATAAAGATTGATTAGTGTGGTGGTACATTCAAGGGACTGAGGTGGTTCTTGTGTCCTTAGTGCTCACAGATGGGCCCAAGTCACCAGTAATAAGTCAACATTGAAAAGAGACTTAAAGCTATTTTGAATCGTAAAATATGTTGAAATTGGTTAAAAATGAGATCAATTCAGTGATTAAAGGCACTGTAGGGAGTTTTTCATTGATCCTAAAATAGTCTCACACTCATATTGTCTTCACAATGTCAAGAAATAAAGTTGTTTTTTTTCTTGCATATTTGAAATTTGATTTTGTGTGTTCTTGATGGGTTCACACCAATGACATGCTCTATTCAGGTGCTACATTTCATGTATAGGAGAGCTAAACTTGTTTGTGTCAGCACAACTTTCCAAATAATCTGACTATCTCACTTATTTTACTCGGGGTGTACTGCTTTTAATTTAGTCCAAAACCAATTCATATTCTGTACCTGTTCTGTTCTAAACCCCCACTTCAAGTCCATTGTTGATGTGTCACCTGAGAATCTCCGTGCTGATTGGTTATCCCAGCATGTGTGATTTGCTTATAGGGATATTCTGGTGTAAATTTAAGTTATGGTCAAACACACCATAACACCGAGTTAGACACCCCCTCGAGAGATGAAAGTTATACCAACTTTAGTAACGACTGCACAATAGCAATACACAGTGGTCTACGTCTCCACGCACAAACCTCAACCAAAATGCACCTAAGCACCTAACTTCATCAACAGTACATGTAGGGTCCCCGCTATAGGACTAGCCATCAAACACCTTTTTAGCTTTGCTTTGTTTCTTTAGCAAAGAGACTAAACACAACTCACCTACTCTCCTCCAGCAGCCGCTTGTTTGTGCGTTAGCCCTGACAAGTCGATCACTGAGTGCAGCAGAGTTTTGCAGCTCAAGGAGGAACATTTATGATCATTACTTCATGGAAATGCAATCAGAGTTCTTGCGTATCTTGTATGTGCACTACAGACGCAGTAGTTCTTCTGCCTTAGCATCTTGGTCTGATTGCATTTCCATAAAGTAATAATCACAAATTTTCTGCTGCACTTGGTGGTCGACTCGTCAGGACCCCTCACAAACAATTTTGGTGGAATTGCAAGGTTTAATCTATTTCCACAAGTTTCCTGAAGATGTACAGAAATATGGATGAAATGTACGCTGAGGACTGATGGAGGACTTCATCTGTATCTGTAAAAGCATCAAACATAGAGCACAAATGAACCTTCCTGCTGACACATCTTCATAATCTGAGATGCAAAATTAGAAGGTTAGCAACACAGAGATACTTTTGGTTTTCTTAATCTCAATTTTGCATCATGTTTTGTGCTCATGGCTGTTAGAGGAGCAGGATTAAACACATTTTCTGAGTCCCTCTACAGGGGGGCTTTGCTCAGTGAAATGACCAAAATAACTGTGAACAGCTGGGTTGTGAATGCTCTACTGCTTTTTCAAGACAAAACAATTGAACTATGTGCATATTAACATCATTTGGGCATTAATTTGGACAGCAGAGCACACATCATGAAGCCAGAGCCGTGACAGAGAAGTTTAAACCCATACATCTAAGCTAGCCAAGTTAATAAATCAGAGCTCCCAGTTGTTTTATCAACTACAAACCAATACATGACCTCTGTATCCTGCAGTAAGCTGTCTTCACCAAAAAAGTATAGAATTCTGATCTGATGTCCATCCATTTGCTTCCCTAACAAATGTATACTTTGTAAGAGCTACTTCTTTTCAACAGAGAGTAATTATGCTCACGGAAAACAGTCTTCATCATGGAAAAAACACTACTTTCATTCAGAAGGGGTCACAAGAGTCAACATAACATGAAAATTCCTCACAGTGCCATTAAAAACAAACTATCCTTAAAGGTATTGACAAAATGTTTGTGAGGGTGAGGAGGGCGTGACTTTTGGATCGTGGCACAGGGGATAATGAGTATGTGTTATGATGAAAAGGCTTCTTTATGTCACCAAGATGTCACTAGGTGGTCACATGACCAACATCTGCCTCCTGATGACATCAACTGAAGTCTCTCTGCGTTGATTTCAAGCGTGGACAGTCGGGTCTTTATGTTTTTATGACTGAACTTTCATGTTGTGAACCTTCAGGGTTTTCTGGACCACCTCTGTGGGAAGTATTTTTCTTGTTTCATGAGATATCCTAAGCAACTGAGTAAAAATGTTGAATCGCACAATGGATTACACATGATTTAAAGGAAATCTTTTAATTAAGCTCCAGTTAACCCAAAATGTCTTTTCTTCTGAAGGTGGGGATTTATTTTACAGAGCGAACATCTGTCTGACAGCTGCCCATCATGTGATACCTTTGATCATCACTCCAGCTAATAATGGAGTAAATTAGATTATATAATTCATCATGTGAGTGCTTGTGCTCCAAAAATGTCTCATTTAATCCTCACCTCATCTTTTAACTGTTATCATGTGTTGGTGCACAGGCAGCGGGTTTCAAATCAGTGCAGACAGAGGAAGTAGACTGGGAAATCAGACCATAGTTGAGCTGCAGACACTCGGTGTGGGTTACAGAGTCAGCCAGCGCAGAGAGAGCAGTATGAGGCCTGCAAGAGGAGATAACAAGGAGGCAGAGGCACAGCCCAAATAACACATGAAAGGGATTTTTGGAGGCTGAGTCCTGGTTCTTTTTCCCTGGAGTCCCCCCGCCCTCTGTCACACACACACACAAACACACACAGGTATCACACAAAGCAGCACACGCACTTGAGGCCTGTCTTTCAATCTCTCTTTCACACAAATGTAGCCTCCCACTCCTTTCTCTGATTCTCACGAAGACAAAACAAGTCCTTGGTTCCTGTGACATCCTCTCTGCTGCACTATCTTTCTTGTTGTTGTTGTTGTTTGATATTGTGTTTTTCTTGCAGTCTGTATCTTTTTACTGCTGCTATCTCAACCTGTCTGTCATCTCTTTCCTCCTCAAAGATGTTGCACTATTCAATGGCAGGTTCCAGTTTGCCTCTTTCTTATCCAGACAACGTGAACAATGGGAGTAAATATGTTATTATATCTGGTGTGGTTTCCTCCCGGTCTTCCACTGATCTGCGCTATCAGACAGGAAGTAGAGGAGAGGGCTTCCTGTCCCTTATACCCGGGGCAGCGTAATGGTGCCAATGAGAAAAGAGAAGTCAGACTGTCATTAAAAATTTAGCAGATACAGCCAAGAGCTCACTAAAAGATTACATGAATTTTTAATTGAGGGCCTCAGGAGGCATCCTTTACTGTTTCTTTTGTGTCTTATTTGTGTGTGTACAGCTTTAAGAAAGCCACAGTTATAATTAGATGATGAATATCAGCTGCTGCAAGTATGGTTTGTGGGATACAAATTTAAAAATTCTGCCTTCGTGAATCCAGTTCCAGTCACCAGCTTAAAGCACAATTACTTTAATGGTAGTGGGGCCTGATATTGCATAAAACATGCAGAACTGCGGATGCAGCCAGGCTAATGGTATCAGGTTTATAAGCTAATCAAACTCTAGCTTTAATAACTTTATAACTTTAAATATAAAAGTTACCTTACAGCTCTTGTAGGAGTTACTTTTTTCGCATTGAGGATTTTAAGCCTGACCATTTCAAAAGCCTAAACACAACAGTCCCTGTGACAATTAGTGTGAGGGCCTGTGTCCACTTTAGCATTATTTGCCCTGGCACTGTACATGACCTAATTTTTTCAAGTCAGTGGCTGCTTGGGCTCTATCACCTTGTCCAGTTCAGCCACATATAATGTGGGCTAAGTGTGTTAGTTAAAATTGTCAACACAACGGTATAACAAATATATATAAATATATATATATATATATATATATATATATATATATATATATATATTTCAACGAAATCTAGTTTTATTCTCTATTATGTATATTCTTTCCCCCTCTCCTCCCTCACAAAAGAATTTTTGTTAAATTTTGTTGTTGTTGTTGTTGTTAAATTAAAAAACAAACAAACAAACAAAAAAATCCATACAAAAAACAAAAATACCGTGAAGAATTTGGCTTCAAATTCACACAATGATGGGAGGCGCAGCCAATTTGTCCATAATATATACAGTCTATGGTTTGGATCCAAAAGTGTCCATGAATACAGCCAAATAATGGCCGAAGCCAATTTATTTCTGTCAACTGTTACTATGGCAACAAGAAGCTCCTCAGCATTTTTCAAACCTGCTTCTAGAATTCCAGGGCTTTGATATGTCACAGTGACATCATCATCATCAAGGGCAACCAAAGGGAATTAAAGCATCAGACCAACATAGGCTGATCCGAACGCAGTACACAGAAAAGTTTCGCGACCGTCCGCTCTTTCTGCAGCCCAACAGACTCAGAATAAGCTGATCTTCATTTCATTATTCATCATTCATCCCTATACTTTGAGAAAAATCACGTCATCATGGGCAGTTCATCCTCAAGCTCCTTGTGCCCAACCGGCTACAACCTTTCCAGGTCGAACTACATTCAGCTGATGAAGATTGGATCTGGAAGCTTTGGGGTTGTACTAAAATGTATCAAAGTGGACACCCAAGAGATCGTTGCTGTAAAGATCCAAGAAGCTAACAGAAACTTTGAAAATGAGTATAATATTTTAAAGTTCCTCATGACTAACAACTTGGACAAGAAGAACATCGTCAAGTTTATTGAGATGTTCCCACTTCAGAACAACAAGAGAGCCTTAGTGTTTGAGATGCTGGATCAGACTCTTCAAGATCATTTGAGAATGACATACCGCTGCACCTCAACCCCTCCGGATCTGGCCAGCATCAGAAGCATCATCCATCAGATGGCCATAGCCTTGGATGATCTGAAGACCAACAAAGTGATCCACTCAGATATAAAGCCGGACAACATCATGTTGCTGCATCGTGTAGAGCAGCCTGTAAAGGTTAAGCTCATTGACTTTGGATTGGCTTTTCCAACCAGTTTAGCAACGCAGGGCTCTAAAGTACAACCTACATTTTACAGGGCTCCAGAGATTATTTTAGGACTGCCCTTTTCAGAGGCCATCGACATGTGGTCTCTTGGTGTTGTGATGGCGTACATGCTGACTGGATACTTATTATTTCAATCAGATTTGGAATATATCGTTCTGCAATACATGGTGGAGCTCCTCGGTGCTCTTCCAGGCAATATAAGTGGTGGGAAGTTTACCGAAAGATATTGCAAAAAGACCCCATCTGGCCAATGGAGGCTGAAGACCCCTGAGGAGTGTTTATTAAGAAGTGCGCATATAGAAACCAGGCCCTATCTTTTCAGAAACCTGGACCAGCTGGAAACAGAAACCCACCTTGCTAACGAGGACAATGATGAGAAGAAGGCGTGCATCGACCTTTTGAAGGCTATGCTTCAGATGGATCCCAGCAAAAGGATCACCCCGAGCCAAGTCCTTGCCCATCTGTTCATCACCAGAAGAAACTTCCAGCAAAGCTCCAACCCCAGCAGCAGCAGAAGTGGCTTGAATAAACAGACCCCACAAAAACCCTTATTGATCCAGGTTAAACCTGCGCCCCCCAAACGCTGCCTGAAACTGGAAGAAGACACAGAAGACGAACTTGTGGAGCTACAAATGAGACCTCGTCTTCCCCCATATTTCTCAGAGGACAGTGACACTGAAGAGAAGACCTCAGAGGACAGTGACACTGAAGAGGAGACCTCAGAGGACAGTGACACCGAAGAGGAGACCTCAGAGGAGACCTCAGAGGACAGTGACACCGAAGAGGAGACCTCAGAGGACAGTGACACTGAAGACGAGACCTCAGAGGACAGTGAAACTGAAGAGGAGACCTCAGAAGACAGGACCGTCTCCTCAGGTGACCCCGCTCCAGATGAGAGAACACAGAAGGAGGAGAAGAAGAAGAGGAAGAAGAAAGGTGGAAGCTGTCTGGTCCGATTCTGTCGGTGGCTCCTGATGAAGCTCCGTCTCTGCACTGCAACTGTGCATGCCACCGACTGAATCTCTCTGGGAGAGTTTTTGCGGCACCTCGCCTGGAGGATCTCACGCGTGGAGGTGGGCCTGACGCCAAAAACCCACCAGACCTATGTTCCTCATGTTCTGTCAGCGCTGTGTTCCAGCTCGGGCCGACGGCATGTGCCGTCGCTCACTGGCGGCGTGGCAGCAGTGGAGCAGCCGCCTAGGGCTGGTGCTGGGCTGCTGCTACGCTGCTGGTGGGCCGTGGCGTGTGCTGTTGGCCTGGGCCGGAGCACAGTGCTAACAGAACGTGAGGAACATGCTTTCTGGCTTTAGGCTTTGCTTCACGTGTGGGGTCCTCCAGGTGGGTAGCTGTGCTGTTGAAACTCTCTCAGATCTTTCGGACAACACGGTGGCCTAGTGGTTAGCATGACGGCCTCAGAGATCAGACTCTGTGTGGAGTTCGCATGTTCTCCCCGTGTCTGTGTGGGTTTTCTCCGGGAGCTCCGGTTTCCTCCCACATGGCCAAAAACCGGCATGAGCTGTTTAATTGGTGCATAGCATTTAAAAAAAAAAAAAAAAACTGTCTCGTGCTGCTGGTAGGAAATGCGTGCCTCGACTACAGCTTTCACTACACAGCAGCAGGAGTTGGTTGGGCTTGACGTGCCGGGACAGCTTGTACCCGACCCAGAACCTGTCTGGTCTCACGTGGTATGAGACTGTAATCCATTGCCTGGAGGACAAAAGGTTAGGGGAAGGGGACTAACAAACCAACTCCAAAATACACCTGAAGCCAGAAATGGTGGAAAGTTGGGCTTCGGGCTAGCAACTCCAACTCGTAATAAATCGCATATGCTACAGAAACCACAAACACACTACTTCAGCAAGAGCCTAGTCGGAGAGATTCCTCTGTAGAAGAGCCCATGACATGTGCGGGTCAAAACCAAATGGAAGCCAGCTCACCGAAGAATCCACTGAAGATGAAGGCAAAAACCAGGATAGGGACCTGGAACATCAGAACCTTGTATGAGAGCAGCAAATCAGCCCAAGTGGCAAGCGAAATGAAGAGATATAATATCGCACTCCTTGGTTTAAGCGAATCACGATGGAACGGAAGTGGCCAAACCAGACTGACTTCAGGAGAGACCATCATCTGCCCTGGCCATGAAGACCTGGGCCATGACCACACCCAAGGAGTAGCGCTGATGATGACACCAGAGGCCACAAAGGCATTGATGGCGTGAGCCAAAACTATACACACTTTGGTATATAAATCAGACAGGGATTTGATATCTGGGTAAGGTGGTTAATGGTGTGGTGGGTGGAGTATTGTCTCACAGATCTGAATTAAAACAATGAGGATGAAATCACAAAGTGTCTGTTGCGATCATGATTCCAAATATTATATAACTTTCGATTAAATTCATAACTTTTGATACATCGAGCATGATGCAATCAAAGTCTGAAATTAAGCTGCTATTTTTTGAATGGTGCTATTTCGTCCCTTTAGGCACACCATAGTTAGGCCGCTGAATCTTGCTGCATCCTGCTGCTGCCATGATGTGAAATAACACCACCGTTCTTTTGAACAACACATTTCACTTTTTAAAAGACACAGATGGCTAAATTAATAAGCAGAAAGTCAAAAGCTCTTCGTGGCAAATGGATTAAAATATCAGAAAAGTACTTAAAGGGGACCTGCCACCAAAATTTCATACCCATTTTTATCATTTTTTCATAATCCTTGATGTCCTCTGATCATGTTTGCAACATAATTTTAGCTGAAAAGTTATTTGATGGTTTGTTTTAGTATGCCTAAAAAACCTTACAGGAAAACCAACTGGTTTTGGCTCATTAACATTTATGGTAATGAGCTTTGCTCTGATTGGATCGCTGCTGTGAAGCCTGCAGTGCTCTGATTGGCTCAGCAGTGGAGGTTCGGATTTTAGTTTATCCATTGTTATTATGCTAATGCTAATGTGTGCTAAAGTAAGGTGCCCAGATGTCTGTAATGATATCCAGGGATATTCGGTGTGGTGGCGGTGGTGCAGGGGCTGCAGGGGCTGTGTGATCACAGACAAAATCTCGGTACTATTTAGTAGCAGCGCATGCCCCTTGTAATAACCCCCGTAAGAACTGTTGTTCAGGACTGCTTACTTGTGCTTCCTACCTATTCGGCTACTGTAATAGCCGTTGTTCGAGCCCACACGCAACACTTTTGCTCTCATTCATGAAACGCTTAAATCGGGGACATTTTCGGGGACAGTCCCCGTATTGGATGACCTGTCCCCAGAAATCGGGGACGTCTGGTCACCTTATGCTAAAGGCTAAAAACGGCAGGTATTAAACCATATATTTTAGACCCTGAGTCCGAAGAGGAGGTGGAAGTTGAGGAAGAAGCCGGAGATCTCCAGCGGTGTTTTCTCATTCATTCTGCCCAGCTTTAAGTTAATTTTCCCGGCAGTGAACCGAAGGAAACACCGGTCGTTTGGAAGAGACCCATAGCGGATACAGTGGTAGCTGGGTCTCGCTCTGGCTGTGACTGAGTACAAGAACGAGAGAGTGGGCACGGCTCACCGAGGACGCGCTCGTGAATAATAATGAGCAATGTCAACGCAACGTCAGATTGACCTGCTTTTTCAATTGGCCTGGTTTACTCGTTCCTTTATTTTAAACCTTTACAGAATGCAAACGACGTAACGGTTTGTTTTCACATTTACAACATAAGACGAACATAATATGGACCTTATCTGACACAAAAAAAACCCAAAATTACATTTTTATGGCAGGTCCCCTTTAAGTAAGCATAGAAGTGCAGCGAATTGTACTGAATCCAGCAGAGGACCCCATATGAAGCCAAGTGTGTGGAGTGTGTGTGAATGAATAAGTGACTGAGCGCCCTGAGAGTGGTAGCAAGTCACAGCAGCTCCACACAGTGTTTACGTTCTTGCCTTTTTATTGTTGTTTTTTGCACCTTATTTGTCTTTTTTTTAATTAGCAGTGTTGTGTTTTGCATGTTCCAACCATGGATGTGCATTTCATGACTCTAGCACTTTGTTTTCTTCAAATTTTTGGAGTTTTTAAGTCCGCGTCTCATGACCCGTTCAGCGGCTCTATTGTTTACAGCCGTGAACAGCTGTTGGCGCTGTGCCAAGCCCGGCCTACTTCGTGGGAGAGACCAGACATCCCTGCCAAGCTCCGCAGGAGAAGGAGAGGATGCAGAGCCAGAGTTCAGCATCGGGCGAAGCGGAGGCGTTATAAACCAACTGTCCCGTCCATTATCATGGACGGAGTAACTTCTTTGAGGTCTCTCCCCAACAAGATGGAAGAGCTCACAGTGCTGACTCGGCTGCAGTGGGAGTACCGGGAGTGCAGCCTCGATGTTCACGGAGTCATGGCTGAACGAATTCACTCCGGACTCACTCGTAACTTTGGTCGGATTTCATCTTGTCAGAGTGGACCGGAGCGTGAGGGAGACTGGTAAAAAGAAAGGAGGCGGGATAGCGGTGTATGTGAATGAGAGATGGTGTAATACTGGGCACATCAGTGTTAAAGAGCAGCTCTGCTCTGAGGACATTGAGCTGCTGGCTGTGAGTTTGCGGCCATATTACCTGCCAAGGGAGTTTTCGCACGTCATCCTGTTAACTGTTTACATCCCCCCTCGGCTGATGCTGCTGCAGCCTGTGAACTCCTCCATAATGAAGTGTCCAAACTGCAAACATCACACCCTCAGTCTCTGGTCATCATCTCTGGAGACTTTAATGATGCATCGCTCTCCTCCACTCTCCCTACCTTCAGCCAGTATGTGAATTGCCCAACAAGAGACAATAAAACTTTGGACTGATTGTATGCAAACACCGAGGATGCATACACCTCTTCCCCCCTCCCCCCACTGGGCTGCTCAGATCACAACCTGGTGAGACTGCAGCCCATTTACATACCTATGTAAGAAACAACCCCCCACCATCAGGTATGTTAAGAGGTGGTCTGAGGAGGCCACTGAGGTTCGGCAGGACTGTTTTGAGACCACAGACTGGGATGTACTGTGCGGCCCACATGGTGATGACATAGACACCATGACAGATTGTATCACGGACTATATAAACCTCTGTGTTGAGAACACCGTACCCACCAGGAAAGTACGGTGTTTCTCCAACAGCAAACCCTGGGTGACCCCTGAACTTAAAGTCGTCCTGAAGGAGAAGAGGAGGGTCTTTAAATCTGGGGACAAGGATGAGCTGAGCAGGGTGCAGAAGGAGCTGAAGAAGAAGATCAGAGAGGGGAAGGCCAGCTACAAGACCAAGATGGAAAACCTTTCTGCAACAGAACAATGCAAGGGAGGTCTGGAGAGGCCTGAAATCCATCTCAGGTCACAGCAGGGGCCACGAGAGGGGACCTGAAGCAGGAGACAGGGGCTGTGTCTCATTTCAGAGACCGCATCAGGATAGGCACCCTTAGCTGAGCGCACCACCGTTATCTGCCGTTATGTGGACTTACACTCACCGGCCACTTTATTAGGTACACCATGCTAGTAACGGGTTGGACCCCCTTTTGCCTTCAGAACTGCCTCAATTCTTCGTGGCATAGATTCAACAAGGTGCTGGAAGCATTCCTCAGAGAGCTTGGTCCAGATTGACATGATGGCATCACACAGTTGCCGCAGATTTGTCGGCTGCACATCCATGATGCGAATCTCCCGTTCCACCACATCCCAAAGATGCTCTATTGGATTGAGATCTGGTGACTGTGGAGGCCATTTGAGTACAGTGAACTTATTGTCATGTTCAAGAAACCAGTCTGAGATGATTCCAGCTTTATGACATCGCGCATTATCCTGCTGAAAGTAGCCATCAGAAGTTGGGTACATTGTGGTCATAAAGGGATGGACATGGTCAGCAACAATACTCAGGTAGGCTGTGGCGTTGCAACGATGCTCAATTGGTACCAAGGGGCCCAAAGAGTGCCAAGAAAATATTCCCCACACCATGACACCACCACCACCAGCCTGAACCGTTGATACAAGGCAGGATGGATCCATGCTTTCATGTTGTTGACGTCAAATTCTGACCTTACCATCCGAATGTCGCAGCAGAAATCGAGACTCATCAGACCAGGCAACGTTTTTCCAATCTTCTATTGTCCAATTTCGATGAGCTTGTGCAAATTGTAGCCTCAGTTTCCTGTTCTTAGCTGAAAGGAGTGGCACCCGGCGTGGTCTTCTGCTGCTGTAGCCCATCTGCCTCAAAGTTCGACGTACTGTGCGTTCAGAGATGCTCTTCTGCCTACCTTGGTTGTAACGGGTGGTTATTTGAGTCAATGTTGCCTTTCTATCAGCTCGAACCAGTCTGGCCATTCTCCTCTGACCTCTGGCATCAACAAGGCATTTCCGCCCACAGAACTGCCGCTCACGGGATATTTTTTCTTTTTCGGACCATTCTCTGTAAACCCTAGAGATGGTTGTGCGTGAAAATCCCAGTAGATCAGCAGTTTCTGAAATACTCAGACCAGCCCTTCTGGCACCAACAACCATGCCACGTTCAAAGTCACTCAAATCACCTTTCTTCCCCATACTGATGCTCGGTTTGAACTGCAGGAGATTGTCTTGACCATGTCTACATGCCTAAATGCTCTAAGTTGCCGCCATGTGATTGGCTGATTAGAAATTAAGTGTAAACGAGCAGTTGGACAGGTGTACCTAATAAAGTGGCCGGTGTCCCATTTGGCACGAAATGCTTAGCGCTCTTCAAATTCGGTCTCAAAATCACACTGCCCCCGCCCCTTTTTCAAGCGTGCATTTATGCACGCTTTCGTGCCGTTGGTATCCCAGAATTCTTTGCGTGCCGCTGCACAGCTGCGCATTTCGGGTGAGAGGCTGGACTTGCTTTGAGACGCAGCGCGTCTTCAAAAAAAAGACAAGAAATCCAAAAACAGCAGACAGTCAGCTCAGGCTGCATGAGCACATGATCTCTGAACTCACTAAAATCTGTAAACTAAACATTATAGTATTTAGAGACGAACTGATCCGCTCTGCTACCACAATCAAAAACATTAGAAATAAGAAAGCTGACAAAACTACAGCAGAGTATCAGGACAACATTGTTTTTTTTTTTTTTTTAAGATATAGAGATTAAAGTTGTAAATTTAGGAGAATAAAGTCATAAAGTAAATAAAGTCATAAAGCTGCTTTTGTGGAGGGGGGAAATGACTGAAGCTGGTCATCTGCAGGGTTATCTGTGGATGTATC